AAAAAAAAAAAAAAAAAAAAAAAAAAGCCTGAGCGACAAAAGAGTTCGGATGCCCCGTCTTCTCATTCGAAGAGCGGTTATGGCATCCTACATCTCTACCCCTTTCCTTCCGCGGCCTCATCTAGGGGCGCCCCTCAGGCAGTTGGAAATAAATCCTTCTGCGATTGTGGCTACACCCCGACTCGAACTCACCTCGGGAAATTCCAGGACGTTTAGAGTATGACAGAGAGCTATTAACCACTCTGCCACCGTCCCTTCTGGTTGGAAAGGTACTGATTGACTTCCTATTTATGTTTGGCTGTCAGTGAAGGAAAAGGGTATGGCCGGGGCTAGCGAATCAGGAGCTGTCATTACGTCTCTGGCATATTTCCGGCATGCCGGCTTCGATATGGCTAAGCTGGATATCTGTGCACCCTCAATAGGAGAAAGGAATAAGGATCTGAAGTGCTTGATTCTGATACGGGGGTAGTCTACGAGGCTCGGTCAAGCTCCTATGTGATTGAGATAACTGTTTCCTCAAGGCCTTTCTCCAGTTCAACTTCAACCAAGGTGTTCACTGCATCATAGTATTCAGGTGCTCATCACATTACTATATTTACAATTGAGCAAGTGTTGGCTCCCCAGAAGAAAAGTAATCTACGGCATATAATGGACATCATGATAACATCACAAACGGTATTTTGCAGGCACATGATCTCGAGTAGAACCTCGGCCAGAAGACTAGCGAATCAGTGAGGTTTGACATTATGATGAGCCATGTAAAGACCAATGCTATGAAAGCAAGCCTCAAAGCTCCGTGAGATTTTCTAAATGTTGGTGAGGACTGACGAAAGCAAAAGCACGTAAACAATAGAAGGTGATGGAGCAGTCAATGATAGATGTAGAATTGCTGTTTGCTTTCACGTCCCCGTCTGTGGAGACTTCCATCGCACAATCTAAAACGCCGCAGAAGTAGTTCACTTGGTATTTCAGATTGCCACAGTCATCATTGCAAGAGGAAATATCAACAATGCTCTGTGGAGTATGAAGCAAGTAAGAGCACATGTCTCAATCAACTAAAAAAAGTTTACCATGCATGAGCAATAGGCACTCGCCTTGAGAGTAGGTATTCAAAGACATTTGCTGGGTTGGAGATGCCCAACATGGCAAAACTGACAGACAACACATTGGAAGAATTAGAAAGCAAAAACAGAATATAAGCGATACCATAAGTCAGACGAAAAAAAGGGCACGCATTGCACTTGACAACACAATCGAACAAGGGGTTATTTCGCTGTACAAGAAAGTCAACTTGATTGCGTTGTCCAGTAACATTTTTATTGATTGCCATGGACTCCGTCACCAGGGAAACTCCTGTGCATATTAGAATGACTTAGTGTTGAGGGAGTAAACGGAGGGTACTCCGTATGAAACGGCGAGGATTGAACAGTGCGTGGATGATCTCAATGGTTAGTCCATGTGGAGAGCATTAGATAAAGGGTTAGATTGCCCTTGCCTACCTAATCTTAGGTCCCTGATCAGCTCGGGTCCTGAAATGAAGATGGGGGGGAGATGGCCACCAAGGAACCAATGATACCAGCAACCCATTGCACATTTCTCTCCATTGCTCGTCATTCTTGTCGTTTTTGGGTCTCGCACCGGCAAATGCTGCTTTCCGGTGGCGTGCCCTAGCCAAAGCTTGGCCTTCCAAAGGTCGATGAGTGGGACCTGAACCGCCGAGAAATCCGGGCAGCATCGCTTGAATTAACAAATCTGTCCAATTAAAGTTCCTGGGATTCTTGCTTGATTCCCCCTTTAGCCTCTGGGGCTGAGAGACGGACGAGGGAGAGCAAGTCTGGTTCGGGGTTCTCGTACCAACCCACCACACTCGACCGTTTCCCTGTCTGCAGCCTGTCGTCATTTCAGCAGGGACTCTTTTTAACCTTGGATTTACGAGAGAGAAGTCGCAAAGCTGCCGTGGTTTGCCAGCCACGCCCTAAAATAATCCCACACCCGCCCTCGGCCACAACCGCTTCACACTCTTTCCCCTGTCATTTCCCACTTTCTTTTTGCTGGCTGAAGGGAGAGAAAGTGAGATACTTGTCGCCTATTGAACGAGGCAGAAGACAACAGTCGGAAGGCTTCATCATAGGTGGATTCTTTTGGAATCACCAGTCAGAGTGTACTAGCATCTACTTTTGAAATTCAATTCGCTTTTGTCTTTGAATTTCCATCTGATCTGGCTCAAACAGCGCAAGTGCGACCTACTTTTCTTTCGCAATGGCGGACTCGGAACAGCGACCAAATACTCAGCCCAATGGAGATGCCGGCGTGAGCGACAGCAACCACAATCATGACAATGAAAAGACGCAGAGCAAAGGCGCCAAACATGATCTCGAGAAACTCGTCGACAAGCAGAAACTGGAGGAGAAAATGAAGATGGTGAAACCCGAGAAGCAGCCGCCGGGCGGATACGACAGCATGCCGATTCCGTCGGCGTCTCGAGGATACACGGTGAAATTTACCTTTCATCGCGCAACAAATTTGCCAATGGCAGACATCAATTCGCTTTCCTCGGATCCTTTTGTCTTGGCGCAGCTCAAGACGGACCTGCCCAAGCGTCACAAGGAAGATCCGCCATTCATGTTCCGCACCCCCACTATCAGGCGCAACACGAACCCCGAATGGAACGCCGTCTGGATCGTAAGCAATGTCCCCGCATCCGGGTTCCGACTGAAAGCGCGCCTCTACGACGAAGATCCAGCCGATCATGACGATCGCCTGGGCAATGCGCATATCGACGTGGACCACATTGACGAGAACTGGCCCGGCATCCATGAGCAATCGTACAAGGTGAAGAAGCGCATGGGCAGCAAGAGAGCATACTTTATTCGAGGCTGCGCAGCCCTGTTCCAGCGTGGCCTTGACATGAGCGGCGAACTTACCGTGAGCGTGGAAGTCTTGGGCAGGACCGAAGGCGATGCTCCCGGTGGGCAATTGTATACCGCCGGGCCAATGGCCTGGACGAAGCATTTCTCACCCCTTCTTGGACGCATCAGCGGCACAAAAGCTGCTAGTGACGATAATCCCGGAACAGAGCGCTACAAGTACGTTTCCACCCCCGAGTGTAACACATTTATTGTCACATAGAAGTAAAAGCAAAAGCAAAAAGCAAAGAAGACTGACATATTCGGCCCTTGGGGGCCGTGACGTAGTTTCCAAGCAAATCAGATTCAACTCGCAGGACCTGTCCCGTCAACGCTCTACCACCGATACGTCGAGTTCAAACCATTCATCGGATCCATGTTCACGACCAAAGGCGTACGGGGCTGGATCCTCAACCGCGCATTGCACCACCAGCACGCGCGCGTGTACAACTTTGACCGCACCACCGTCTACGGCTCCTTTGACGAGCCGTGTCGGGACATGACGCTCAAATTCCTCGATCTCGTACACTACGACCAAGGCGGACGAATCTTCACCTACGTGCTCACGCTGGACGGACAGTTGCGCTTCACCGAAACGGGCAAGGAATTCGGCATCGACCTGCTCTCGAAACATACCATGCACAGCGATGTGAGCATCTACATTGCCTTTAGCGGCGAGTTTTTCATCCGGCGGCATACGCGCAAGAACCATTTCAGCGATAACGAGGCTTCTGATCCCACCCACCCTCCCGAGGACATTGGAGGCGGGCCTCCCAAGGACGAACCCCCCAAGGACCCGGCATACTATGAGCTCGTCATTGACAATGACTCGGGCACGTACCGCCCCAATGCCAAACTCTTGCCCGACCTCAAGAGCTTCATTCATCGCAACCTCCCAGGCATCAAAGTCCTCACGCTCGACTGTAATGGCGACAAGGAGAAAATGGACCGCCTCAAAACCCAGCAGCGCGAGCGCAAGAAGACGGAAGGCGATGCCCATGTCTACGTCCAGGGCAGCGACGCGGGCAGTATATCCTCCTCGGACGAGGAAATGCTTGATACCATGGACGGCGATGACGGTAATGGCAATGGTGCTGGTGATATCGGCGTCAGCCAGGGCGTCAAGACTGTCTTGCATGGACCCAAACAGCGTGTCGAAAAGTTTCAACATCCTGGTAAAGCGCGACGAGAGCGGATAGAAACCCTGGATGACCAGGAAACAGAGCGTGCAGAGCAAAGCCATGCTTCTCATCCTCATGCGCCTGCTGCTGCTGCTGCTGCTTCTTCTTCTTCTCACCCTGATACGCATCATGATACTCATCAGTCTGATGCCCCTCCTTCTGCTGCTCTTTCTGATGGTCCTTTCTTTGATGCTGTTCCTTCTCATCCTGATACCGCTTCTCATCATGACTCGGCTGCTGCTGAAAAGCCAAATACGAATACTGCATAAGAGACCAATCTTGACGTTTCTTTACTTTCCTTTCCTTTTTCGTTCCTGTCTTGCCTTTCCTTTCTTTCCTTCTCCCTCTCCCGTCTTGTTGTTCTTAGGTATTTTTCTCATCTCTCCCCCTCTCTGATTTCAAATAGCCTTTTGTAATGTTTTTTGTCCATCATTTTCTTTTTCTTTTTTTGTACTTTATGTCACTTATACCATTTATTTTATTCCTTTCTTTCCTTTTCTCTCTCTCTCTCTCTTCCCTTCCGATTTTGGTTTCGGCATTTCCTTTCCTTTTCCTTTCTCCTTTGTTTTGGTTTTGGAGCACTCCTATTGCCATTGTCGTATCAGGTACTCATTGTATAACTTGGTCACTGTAATTATTAATCATCAATCATCAAGTGTGATTCGAGAGTTTGTGTATGTATATACCGTAGTAGATTCGAAAATACCTAATAACAACAAACCCGACAAATCCATAGGAAACCCCCCAAGGAAAAGGAAAAAAAAAAAAAAAAAATCATGTGAATCCAACCACAACAATACTAAAGCTCATACAGAACGCCACGCAGATGCCGAAGAGACCTAGTAGACAGGGATGTCGTGATGCAGGTCCGGCAGCACTCACGGGGACCCCGCTGGTGGTAAATACGTGCGTTGTGCCAGTGAGTGAGACTGTGGGCGTTGTCGCGGATGTGCCGCTTCCTGTGGCATTGACGCGGAGTTTGTTGCCAATGGGTTCTCCAAGAGAAGAGCCGGATGCTGATGCGGATGCTGATGAAGCAGCATAGGACGACAAGGATGACGTAAAAGTAGAAGCAGCAGCAGCAGCAGATGATAATGAGGAGGAAACGCCAGGTAGATCTGGCCCTTCTCCGAGAGCTTTTGTCGAGGTGGCTAGTGAGTCGAGAGACGAGACCGTTGTCGATGATGCTGTCGAAGCTTTTAATGCTGTTGACGCGGACTTGCTGTTGGTGTGCTTGCTGGATATTGACGCAGAGGCGGAAGAGGGACTGGAGAATGAAAGTCCGGAAGAAAGGGAGAGAGGGGAGGAAGGGAAAGAGGATGATGTAGCGGTTCCAGTGGATGTCGATGCGGAGATAGATGACCAGGATTTCACACTAGGATGGATGTATAAGTATACTTAAAAAGAAGAGTTGTAATGAGATAAAAGGGGGTGGGCAGAATTGAGATCTTACAGTTTACATATCGACGAGACAAAGTTTATCGTTGCTAGTCGGGCATGAGTTTAGCTTTGGGTTGTACTCGTATTACAGGGTCTGTACATGGATGGATATGCAGTTCGAAACGGGTTTAAACGATGGCCAACAAGCAAAGAAGTACACAGTAACTTACTCTGTTGGTCATTCTTGGAGCAAGCATTTGTAAGACAATCAGACATGGTGCTTGCCATTTTCTTATCTGCACAGATGCATTGCATGTCCAGCAACGCACAACCGCTTTTGCTAAATGATGTGCCAACGCAGGATTCCTGTCGTTGTATTGTTAGTACGAAAAGAAACACTAGGAGCCAAACATATCGTCATCGAGGAAGGGGAAAAAAAAAGAAAGCAGTCAAATTGTAATGTGTAATGCAAGCCAATTTGCTTTACGCAATGCACAAATGCTTTGCAGGACAAACTTGCCAAAGCAGATCTGCAACATTGGTGAGGAATCGAGGTAGAACTCCAGAAAAGGACACGAGAAAAGGCAATTGATACCGCCTTTTGGGAAAACATAAAGTGAAGAGTAGGACAAGGCCTACTGCAACTTACCGCACAAGAAGGTAGACTCTGCGGCGAAGAATCCGCGTCCGAGGCCGTAACGCCCAATACTTGACTGCCAGATAATGTGAAAACACCAAGAAGCAGACACGACGTTGACGCTGAAATGGAGAATTTCATAATGAATTAGTGATAGATGGAAAGCAAATAAAGCGCCAACGTGATCAGATATTATGAGCAATATCACACAGCTGCGGATCAAGAGTACACCGTAGGACCAGCCTAATCCAGCATCGAGAGAAATTGTAATAAAGTGATTTGAAAACTGTCTCCTCGAGTATTGGCAAGGAGAAAAGTATGTGAAAGAAGATAAATATCAGACTGTGACATGAAAGACTCATTCAGATGACGGGTAATGGTGTCTATACATGGTCGCTATGGCAGGTAAAGGCCGCCATAGATAGATGAAATGTCAAAAAAAGGAGAAGACTGGATTGAGTGCGCCACAGGTTTGCATATGAAAATATGAAAGTATGCAAGGTATGCTATATAAATCATTCGGATCGTCCTGCATGTTGGGCATAGCCGCTGGGTGTGCATATTCGAGATGATAAGAGCTTGGAATGGTACTCCGTAGGGTTGCAGAAACGGCGGCGTAAGCGCCGAGCCCAGAAAATATTTGTGTAGCCATGTTAGGCGCCGACGAAGAAAAGTAGAGCTACATGGTGAAAAGAAGAATTGAAGAGATCAAGCAAAGGACAGAAACGTCTGTAAAGAGGAAAAAGGATTTGACGTTGCCGGGGGACAGTCTAGTTCGTTCTGGGCCTCTGCTTCGTCCACCTCCTCTGTATGGAGAACACTCGGCGCTTAGCTACAGTGTCGACTGCAGCTCGTGATTCGTGTTTCACGCTATGCCACTTTCAAAAATCGGAATAATAATATCCCAATTCAATTGAATCGTGTATTATAAGTGAGCCTCTCAAAGGTACGAGAGCATCAATTCTTTGCGTAGTCATTGGATATCCGAAGCCATTTACACGGCCTGATCCTCCATATCCGATTCAGTATCCAAACCCGTCTTACATCACTTGATATCAATACAAGGCTACATATTTGAATTGTAAGGATTGAATTGCATATTCGCGTCTGAATATCTAGGCGGAACGCAGAATATCGAGTGCTTGGTATCGTGTCTCCATCCAGCAAAAAGCAAGACAAGAGAGACGAGCAGAGCACCGTCAGAAAACAAGTTGTTGTCAGAAGAAGAGAAAGAAGAAGAGAAGTAAAAAGAGAAAGAAAAAAAGGGGAGGTAAAATAGATGAAAATTGGTTATCACGCCGCCAAAGCTGGCAAATACACCCCCGAGCCAGCTTGACCTTCTTCGCACATACACGCATTGTAGGATCTTTGTAAATCCGGAGCAAATTTCAACTCGAGGGTCAAAAGAAAAACACATAGAACCTTCCGTCCGGGGACATAGTAGTGGTCAATCAAAACAGCAACAGGAGCGTAGGCTTCAATTGGCTAGCTGCTTCATCCCCGTTTTTCAAAACAAACTCCTTGGGCTCCTAACTTAGCAACAGCTACTCCATGCCCTGGTCCGCTCATTCTCCTTTATCATATCGATTTCAAAGGCATCAATGTGATTAGAAAGAATCGAGTGGTTGAGAGACAGAGTGCAGCGCCCGAGACCCGTGAAAATTGCGCGACAAGTTTAAGACTCGGTGGCGGGAGCGGCCTCCTCCTGGGCTTCGGCAGCCGGGGCTTCCGACTTGGGCTCGGCGGGCTTCTCGGCCTCCTTGGCGGGCTCAGCAGCGGCGGCCTCAGGCTCGCCACCGTCAGACGAGGTCCAGAGAGTCAGGTTGTCCCGGAGCAGCTGCATAATGAGGGTGCTGTCGCGGTAAGACTCCTCGGATAGCGAGTCAAGCTCGGCAATCGCGTCATCGAAGGCCTGCTTGGCCAAATGGCAAGCACGGTCAGGGGAGTTCAAGATCTCGTAGTAGAAGACCGAGAAGTTCAGCGCGAGACCGAGGCGGATGGGGTGAGTGGGCGTGAGCTCAGTCTGAGCAACGTCGGTGGCGCTCTACATGTATGGTCAATTAAAGATGGTCCCCACAGAGAGAAAGGAGGTTTTTGCGACGTACCTTGTAGGCTTCATGAGCGGCAGTGGCCGCAACCTTGCGCTTCTCACCCGAGGCGAACTCGGCGAGGTAACGGTGGTAGTCACCCTTCCTGGAGTAAACGTCAGCAGCCGTGATGATGCGGAAGACCGGCTCGGCAGAGATGACGAGACACGTACATCTTGTGGTAGAAGACCTTGGACTCGCCAGACTCGGCCTTGGGGATCAAAGAGTCATCCAAGACGTTGAGAACATCCTGGCAGACACGCTCAAGCTCGGCCTCAATCTTCTGGCGGTACTCGCGAATGGTAGAGACGTGCTTGTCGGAGCCCTTGGACTCCTCCTTCTGCTCAATCGAGGAGATGATGCGCCAAGAGGCACGGCGGGTGCCAACGACGTTCTTGTAGGCAACCGAGAGAAGATTCCGCTCGTCGACGGTCAACTCACCACCGAGCTGCACGAGCTTATTGTTAGTGGAGAAGCTCAAAAGTGCAGCAGGGTACGGCCACACGAAGGGTTATGTGTCGTCTGTCGAGGATGGAATCAAAGAGCGCGTGTTCATACCTTGGCAACTTCCTGCAATAATGATTAGCATATCTCGAGACAAATTCACGGGTCGAAAACAAACATACCTTCATGTAGGTGACCATTTCTGTAAGAAAAGGAGGGATACGATTAGCAACGCTCATCACAGCCTCAAAACATTTCGTTAAACCTACCATCGTAGCGCTCAGCCTGCTCGCAGAGCCGGGCGAGGAAAGTCTTGCTGCAGAAAATGTCAGATCGCTGGTGTCATCGAAGCGGGGATGTCATGTTATGGATTGAGGTGTACCTCTCGCGCTGCAGTCATCATCAGAGGTTAGCTACATTGATCTTCGGAAAGTCTCCTTGAAAGTGGGATATCAAACAAGGTCGAGAAAAGCGGTCCCGCAACTCAAGTAATTTCCAGTGTGCGAGGACCGCGTCTTCTACCAGTCACGAGCAAGCGAAGAACAGGGGACTTACTTCGTTAGCCATGGCGAAGATTGTTTATGAGGATGAGGGGTGAGGGGGAAAGAAGAAGAGTTCAGAACACGAAATGGGTGGGATAAGAGCTTGTGGGTTTGGGGTAAGTTGAAAATCGAGTTGAGAAAGAAGCGTAGTGTGAGAGAGGGAGAGAAATGGGGACAGGAAGATTGAGAGATGGACGATTAGCAGTTTGGGTTTTGGCGACAGGCGGCGGGCACGACACTTGGTTGTCTATTATTATTGCTTGTACGTACCACAGTAGTACTTCCTTACTATAAAAGATACAACCAACCTACCACGACGACTCGTTCGACTGACGGGTCTCCTCTGTTTGGGGCCCAAGCGATGCCGCTTTTAACTCGTCACTGCCTCGTCCTGCTTGCGAGTTGCTCCACTTGGGGCCCCCGGAGCCACAACAAACGCAGCTCCCACCAACCGCCCGGCCCTTGGGTAATTGCAGACTTCACCCCATCTCCATCCCCCTTTCGTCACGGTCAAGATTGATATTACTCGTAGCGTTCACCTCTCCTTGATGCTCTTCATCAATTTCGTGTACGTGGATACCAATAATGTCCCCGAACAAGCCTGGTGAAGACGTGTACTGGAGCAGCCAATGTGAAGCTTCCCTAACCCCCAACCAAACAAGCTAAACCCATCTCCACGAAAAGCCATGTGGAAGATGCTGCCACAGGACCCTGATTTCTCTATTTCTCCTCCCACAATCTTTGCACGGTGAAGAGATTGTGCCTTACGAGGTGATGGACAATGTTAAGATGAAACCAGCCCAAGGTTGGCAGAGATTTCAGGGAGGGCTCTCAGACGATGCGTGGGTTGGTCCCACAGGCAGGCAACTGGTGAAATAGGCAGACAAGGCGGTACGCTGCAGTGGACGGGACGGACCCCGCACTTCCCTTCTTCTGTCTTCTTCCACCTGCCAGCTCTAGCGAGGGGCGAAGGAGACCAGACCAACCACCCAAATCACCCACAACTCACATAACACAAACAGCGGCCTCTTCTCCTTGAATCTCATGACTCATGACTCATCAAAAAAGAGTCGAAGATTTTATTATCCGGAATTCAATGAAGAATAGTAGAGAAAGTTAATTCATTAATCAATCACATTATCGGCAGGCCACACGTCTTTCCAACTTTTGCTTGCCATGTGTCATTGGTCATGTGTTCGGAAAAAGGGGGCATGGTGAGGCCGGAATGGGTCCCTTCCTCTTATGACTAGCGCTGCGACAAGGTACTCCCTGGACACTTCTTGATATGTTAGAAACACCACAGCCCGGTGGACGGAGGTTCGATGACATTTCGGAGTTTCTCGCTTCAGGACACGTTGGAGATTGTCGACGATATCCATTGATTAATCAGGAAATTTATTCCTGGGCAATTGATTATCCTGCCATTGCCTCTCTTTGTTTGTCCTGTGTAAACCGTGTTCTTCTCTAATTCACTTGCTCCTCACGGTCTTTACTTATTCACAAAATCCCATCTTCCTCTGCTCGCTGATACGGGAGTATCGCTTTCGCTATCTCAATGCCCATCTGAAACAAACGTAGAGGCGCAACATCGGGATTCCCCATTGAGTCAAAATGGAAGACGCCTACATTCGCTCTGCGCAAGATGCGCTGGGCCACTTTAACGTGACAGAGCATGCTGGTCTCATAGACGAACAAGTCGAAACTCAGAGGACCCTCTTTGGCCGCAATGGTATGTCTCGACCTTTCAGTGCTGACCCTTTTCACGGAAGCAAGCCATGCTAACTCCACCTAAAAAAAGCCTTGCCAGAAGATCCTCCGACGCCTCTCTGGGAGCTTGTTCTAGAGCAATTCAAGGACCAGCTAGTTATCATCCTGCTCGGTTCTGCCGCAGTGTCATTCGCGTTAGCTTTGTTCGAGGAAGGCGATGATTGGACTGCCTTTGTTGACCCAGTCGTGGTATGTTATTGAGATGGAAAGCTCTCGTCTATGGCTACAAGTACTGATAGATGGCCCATTCTAGATCCTGACAATCCTCATTCTCAATGCCATTGTTGGAGTTTCACAGGAAAGCAGCGCCGAAAAGGCTATTGCTGCTCTTCAAGAATATTCTGCCAACGAGGCCAAAGTCACCCGGAATGGTGCCCTCAAACGAGTCAAGGCCGATGATCTAGTGCCGGGAGATATCATTTCAGTTGCTGTGGGAGACAGGATTCCCGCAGACTGCAGGGTTCTTTCTATCCAGAGCAACAGCTTTAGCGTTGACCAAGCCATTTTGACAGGCGAAAGTGAGAGTGTCGGAAAGGATGCGACAGCTATCACCGATAAGCAAGCAGTTAAGCAGGATCAGGTCAATATGCTTTTCTCGGGAACGACAGTCGTCACCGGCCATGCAACCGCGCTGGTCGTGCTTACTGGAAGCACCACCGCGATTGGCGACATCCACGAGAGTATTACTGCGCAAATCTCTGCTCCCACTCCGCTTAAGCAAAAGCTGAACGACTTTGGTGACCTGTTGGCCAAAGTTATCACGGTCATCTGCATTATCGTCTGGCTCATTAACGTTCGGCATTTCAATGATCCCTCTCACGGAGGCTGGACCAAGGGAGCAATCTATTATCTTAAGGTATGTTTCATCTGCAACTTACACGTGCCAGTTAGACACGGTTTACTAATTCTCTTGTCCAGATTGCTGTTTCTCTTGGAGTTGCTGCCATTCCTGAGGGTCTCGCCGTTGTCATCACCACTTGTTTGGCACTCGGTACCCGCAAAATGGCGGGAAAGAATGCTGTAGTCCGTAGCCTCCCGTCCGTGGAAACTTTGGGAAGCTGCAGCGTCATCTGTTCTGACAAGACCGGAACTTTGACCACCAATCAAATGAGTGTCAACAAGATTGTGTACCTGAATGAAGCCGCGACGGGGCTGGAAGAGATCGACGTGGAGGGTACAACATTCGCCCCTGACGGCAAATTAACAGCAAACGACAGGATTCTAGAACATGTTGCGGCATCTTCTTCTACGCTCCTTCAACTGACCGAAGTGGCTGCGCTCTGCAACGAAGCCCAAATCGCATATGATCCCAAGACTGCAACGTACAGTTGTGTCGGCGAGCCGACCGAGGGCGCTCTTCGTACCCTGGTTGAGAAGATTGGTACTCCTGATGTTGCGTTCAATCAAGCAAGCGAATCTGCACGCGTTCACCGTGCGAGCAAATATTACGAGGATTCTTACCCTCGTCAGGCAATCTATGAGTTCTCGCGCGACCGCAAAAGCATGTCAGTTTTGATTGGCAGCGACGATCATCAGCGCCTTCTTGTGAAGGGTGCCCCGGAATCTGTAATCGATCGATGCTCGCACGTGCTCGTTGGCTCCAATGGCAAGAAGGTGCCTCTAAATGAGAAACTCAGTTCACTTCTGTCTGACGAAGTGATCGAGTATGGTAATCGGGGCCTGAGAATCATTGCTTTCGCTGCAATCAATGACATGGCACCCAACCCTCTCCTACATACCGCACGCACAAGCAAAGAATATGCACAACTCGAGCAGAACATGACCTTGATCGGTCTTGTCGGCATGCTGGATCCTCCCCGTCCTGAAGTTGCCGAGTCCATTCGGAAGTGCAAAGAAGCTGGCATTCGCGTCATTGTCATTACTGGCGATAATCAAAATACGGCAGAATCCATTTGCAGAAGTATCGGCATCTTTGGCGAAGACGAGAACCTCCATGGAAAGAGCTTCACTGGCCGTGATTTTGACTCTTTGACCGAAACCGAGCAATTGGCTGCGGCCAGGACCGCGTCCCTTTTCTCTCGTACTGAGCCTGGCCACAAGTCAAAGCTTGTCGATCTTTTGCAATCGATTGGTGAAGTTGTCGCCATGACTGGCGACGGCGTCAACGATGCGCCTGCATTGAAGAAATCTGATATTGGCGTTGCAATGGGCTCAGGAACCGATGTTGCCAAATTGGCCGCAGACATGGTTCTCGCTGACGACAATTTCGCGACCATTGAGGCTGCTGTCGAGGAAGGACGCTCCATTTTCAACAACACGCAGCAATTCATCCGCTACTTGATCTCATCCAACATTGGTGAAGTCGTGTCCATCTTCTTGACCGCTGCCGCAGGAATGCCAGAGGCTCTCATTCCGGTCCAACTTCTGTGGGTCAATCTCGTGACGGACGGTCTTCCTGCCACTGCACTCTCCTTCAACCCTCCGGACCACGACGTCATGCGACGCCCACCCCGAAAGCGAGACGAGGCTCTTGTCGGTGGGTGGCTCTTCTTCCGTTACATGGTTATTGGCACATATGTTGGCGCCGCCACTGTCTTCGGTTACGCCTGGTGGTTCATGTTCAACCCCGAGGGTCCTCAAATCAGCTTCTACCAATTGACGCACTTTCACCAGTGCAGCCTCCGCTTCCCTGAGATTGGTTGCGACATGTTCTTCAACGACATGTCTAAGTCGGCCTCAACCGTGTCTTTGTCCATTCTTGTGGTTATTGAGATGTTCAACGCCATGAATGCGCTGTCTTCTAGCGAGTCGCTCCTCACGCTTCCTCTGTGGAATAACATGCCCCTCGTCTACGCCATCATGTTGTCAATGGCCCTGCACTTTGCTCTGCTGTATATTCCTTTCTTGCAGGGCTTGTTCTCCATCATCCCCCTTAATTGGACGGAGTGGAAGGCAGTGCTCTACATTAGTGCCCCTGTCATGTAAGTTTCACCAGTTTTTCTCCTCCCTCCTGCTTTGGTCGATCTTGATCAATTGTACCACCGCTGTGGCGGCATTCCTCCCCATACAACTGCAGCCGTATCTCATTTCGTTTCCTTACCTTTTCTTTTATGCAACAACATGCTGACTTATATAATCACCAGCGTCATTGACGAAATCCTCAAATTCCTCGAGCGAGCCTTTTTCCTCGCCAAACCATCCCGCATCGAGCCTCGGCCGAAGAAGGATTAAGCCGTTTGTAAAACCATACATGGCTTTACATTCTCGTTCTTCTTTCCCCCATTACCCTATCAACATCTCTTCCCAGCATGTCCATCATGTTTTCTTTCCCTCCCCTTTCCTTACCTTTTCTGTTACCTCGGTTCTTACACTTTTCCGCCGCCCCCACTTTCCGTTCCATTCTTGGGATACCACATTTTAGATGTCTAGAGCAAAAGAAAATCGTTGCAGAGCATGGAGAATACTGGCACAGTAGCGCAAAGATGAGAAAGAGAAGAGACTAAAAAAAAATCGATTGCTCCTTGCATATACATATTCCTTAAAACTGCTAAAAGGCGAAGCGTAGCTTTTCCCCTGCCCTTCCGCTTTTTTCTTATTGCATGTATATACTTTCACTTTCTACAGTATTTTTTCTTGAAGTTTAAAGTTTACTTTTGTAAGAAAGACAAATACAATAAAATACTATTGATTCATGATTATATGCAATTTCCAACGGAGATTTACCCTCTTATATAGACTTTCCTAGGGCGGGCTTCAGTTTTGGGATGGACTGTCTTTTCACAAAGGGCGCAGCGAGTTTTGCTGACACAAGTGAAAGGAATGGATTAATACAATCTGGCTCCCGGGTAGTATGGAGTAAAGCGGCCACAGGGGCATATTTGTTAGTTTCAAGGAAATGATCACATTTAGATCTGCTGGAGGGATTCTAATGCCGTAATAGTACAAACATAACGTGGGCTTTGGAAGGAAATAAGAGAAAGTATATTGGGGGGAAAAAGAAAAGGAAAAGCCAAAATGCAAAACTCCGTTTTAGTCCTGCCGACCCTTCAATAACCGCTTTGTGACCTTGTCCTTTTCAATGATGTAAACGTGGGCGCCCCAGCCCGAGAGCGCGTCACGGTCGACAGCGTTGAGGAGAGCTTGCGAGACAGTCTCGAAGAGGTCCTCAGGGCCCTATAGAGTTGCGAATCAATGAGTTGGTGATGTGATTATTGAGTTTCGGGCAAAACAAGCGTGGATCAAGGTATGTATTGCTCTCCAAGAGAACAAGGAGCATTAGATCGAGAGGAAGACGAGGAAAGGTGAAAATGATAAAAGAGGAAAATACGCACAAGGTCCGGCTCCCACAATCCTTCGCAAGTACCGAACAGCTGGTCGCTGGCAGTACCGCTGACGATAAAGTCCTTGGCAAAGTCGATACAACCGATGCTGTCGAAACCGCAGATGAATGGCTTTCCCGTAGTGTGGTTGATGCCCGCAATGACAGGACTGACGAAGAAAGGACCAAATCGCCGCTCATACAGACTCGAGCTGACGAGATTGGCCATTGTTTGCGGCGAGATGGGCCGCTCCTCACGCAGCCGGTACATGTTGACCTTGTAACGGAATAGATCTGACACCGTTGCAACGTCCGTCGCCAGCCCTGTGAGACCCAGGTAGACATCGCCATAGTTGAAGATCTTGGGGAAATTATTCGAAATTGTCAAGGCTTGCATGCCTAGTCGCAGATCGCATGCAATTGCAACGCAGTCTTTGCCGACCATTGCCACGCAGGCACCGCCATCTAATAAGGGTGAAGAATGTTAGCTGCGGTGTAATGTCTTCTGGTATAGGTCGCAAAATAACAGATGATATGGATTAGGGATTATGGTTGGCAGGAAAAGTGAACGTGGAAGAAATGTATCTAGCGGGTAGTATCGACAGCTGTGCGTATGGACACTAGGGCAACGCATTGGACAGAGGACATCTTTCGGTTCAAGAAACGTACTTATTGAGAAGGGAGAAGACTAGATTGAGGAAATCTGTATTAGCACTTGAAAGCCGGGGATAAGAGATGAACAGTGACGGATAGATGAGTTGGATACGGACCATCTTGAAGCTCTATATTGAAAGAGAAAATGCAAAGCACTTCTCGCACGAGCTACACCTCTTTGATACCCTTTACTGAGAATGCTGGGGATTGAATCGTTGAATATTGGGCAGTGGTGTGGTTCGTCGTGCTACTTCCTCCGCTTCTCGTCGTTAGTCGTAGCTCTGCGGTCAGTAACTGTCGTCGCTCGCTCTCTATAGCTGAGCAACTCGATTAGGTTGACATCGGGATACGCGTTGGTAAGTGAGCCTCCCATGTGGCGCTAACCTTCTCTTGGCAGCTCCACCGGCATCTGCCGTATGACGAAGTTGAGAGCTCCAGAACCATCCATCCTTGGGAGAACGTCTACTACGAATATAAACATTACTGGCTTTCTGCAGCCTGAAATTTCAAGTCTCAGCGTGTACGACTACGTGATCGAGGCTACAAACAGATACACTTTCTCTACTGATAAATCCTTGACGGATTGTGCTGTTTTTCTAGGCGGCTCTGCCCCGCATATTTTCTCGACTTGTTATCAACACTTCCTTTAGCTGCCTACAACCCGCCGCTGGGGAAGATTGTTGTCTTCGACAAACATGTCTTCCCATGTCGTCGTGATAGACTCGTCTGCTCGTCGGGCAGTGGTCAAAGTCACTCCAGGAAAATTCCTGACTGATGTATTACATGAGGCCTGCACGAAGTTCGGCGTGGATTCGAACCAGTACACACTCAAGTAAGTATTCTCTCCGCAGTACTTATAGAAGAATAAACTAATTAGCCTGTATAGAAACAATAATAAAACATTAGATTTATCTCGCACATTCCGCCTGTCCGGCCTCACATCAGGTTCAAAACTGGAGCTCGTCCTAGGCTCTAAGTCGCCGTCGGTCGTTTCGGTCGCCTTGCAATTACCAGAAAGCGAAGCCAAAGATATACCCAATGGACGCCTTACAGACAAGTTCCCTAGCTCGACAACAATGTGGCTTATCCTCCGCAAATTCGAGTCCGCCGTAGCTGGCGGAGCTCAAGTCACGAAGAATTTTACCGCTCGTGGTATTGCGCAGACATCTACTGGTGGTAGTGGGGCCGGAAGAGTCTACTACGATAGACCAATCCTAAATGTAATGGGACGGGAACTTTCTTCATTCACTGACCTTCAAAAAACACTGGCACAACTCGGAATCAATAGCGGCAGCGCATTAATAAGGCTGACCTTTAAATCGAGCGATACTCCTCTAGACGAGGCTATGGTTGATATTGAACAGTACTTCAAGAGTATAGAGGCAGAGGACAACCCGCAAAAGGTGGATTCGCGCGGTGCTCATGCCAGCGGCGCCGCTCAGTCTCAATCAACACCAGAAACCAATGAGAACCCTGGAATCTCAGAAGCAATAGCGGGCGTTGATTCATCTGCTGAGACAGCGGGCATGGAGGACATAATAATGCCTGACGTTGACAGTGCTCCGGACAACATCAGCGGCGAGAAACGAAAGGCGGACGAAGTCGTTGAAGATGGTCTTCAAAGAGGGACGCCTGAGGCACCCCAATCATCAGAAGCCAGCATTTCGCAAAATACTATTGTCGGGCCAGACCACAGGCCGATATCTGTGTTTGCTGCACCAACTAGCACCAGTCCTCAAGCATCCCACCTTCTCTACAATGAAGGAGACTACGAGCCAACTGTTGACCACGCAAAGTTGCATCAGGCTCGGCTCGCGAATGAGGCGAAGAACCGGCGTCTGCTCTCTGAAGCTGAGCTTGCCGCGGCTCGACAAGCTGCCCAGCAGAAGCTAGATGACACCGCTGAAGTCGAGCTGAAATTGAGATATCCGGACCAGACGCAGATCGTCAGTAAATTTACCTCTATGGATACCACTTCTACTCTCTATTCGTTTGTTGCCGGCACACTCGATCAGGAGGATCAGCCTTTTGCCCTCACATATTCATTGCCACGGGGGCCCAAGGCCATTCCCAAGGAAAGCAACCAACGACTGATCCGCGACTTGGGTCTTACTGGCCGAGTTCTTGTCAATTTCGTCTGGGATGAAAACGCTAGCAGCGAGGCCAGGACACGTCCGGCCCTCAAAGAACAATTTCGCCAACAAGCAAAGGATATCAAAGTGGAAGAGCCAAAGTTGTTGCCTGACGACGACGCCGAAGAAGAACGCCGGCAAAGAGCATCTAATGCTGCTCAAAGCAGAGCAGCGGCGAATAAGGGCACGGGTGAAAGGAAGACCCTACCAAAATGGTTGAAGTTGCCGGGAAAGAAATAAGCTGGAAACAACTTCAGTTGAGCTTAGGAATTGTCATGTCTAATAATGAAAGGGCCACCAAATAAAGCTTTTTACGAACGTCTTCATATGAAACTAGGGGTATAACTTTTTTGCGAGTTCACAGCGGTGCATAGCGTTGGAAGAGAATGTTTCCGCTTTAGATAAATCATGGTCGCTGGAGTTTAGAAGCCAAGGTCCAAACCATGGATTGGCTTTTACAATTGACTTATATTCAAGGGCGAGCGGTGTGACTTGTTATGAACTGTCCAGGATCGGTTTGGTATTCGGAACTTGGCCGCAGATAATTCATAGGGCCTAAGAAATCGAGTTGGTATCATGCGGAAACATATTGATCACAAAATCGATTGGTAGTCATGTGCACTCTGAATTGGCACTTCAATATTGCGTGTTGCGCCTTGAAAGCTGCGAATGGTGATAATATTTTTCCCCCTAATGGAACAATTCACGGAATGGAAAAACGGAACAGGTTAAAAACCGTTTAGTGAGCGCCGGTTCTTCTGGCCTCCGCAATCACATTCTGCAGCTCATCGACCTTTCTCTTGCCACGGCCGAAGGTACCGAGCTGTATCAGAGTCAGCTAAACTGTGGTATTCATGGATGATTTCGTCTGCTAAACATACCCGCTTCTTGGCAAGCTTACGGGCACGCTTGTCCTTCTGGTTGCGGAGCAACTCAATGATGCGGCGCTCGTAGGGGGCGAGACTGAACAAGACAATCGTTAGCAAAAGCCATTCCTTCCAAGTCGTCTGTTGGTGTAGTGTTTCTCAGGTTATTCTTTTGGCGGCTTGGATCCGTGAATAGATCTAACATTGGAAAAAAAGTCGTATAAAAACACCGAATGCGCTTGTTCCGATCTTTTGGAATGAAAAAAGGTCGCAATAAAAGTTCCTTTTTCATTTGCCAACGCTTCCGATCCTAACTCCAAGCGCCGCCGAAAGAATAGCCCAAAAATCCCCTTCCATTGACGATGAATATGGTTCGATGGAATAATATCAGACATACCCAGAAACCTCCTTGGCGATCTCACGGACGAAAGCGGTCTTCTTGCTGAGGTGACCCTTGGTGCGGGAGACACGGGGCTTGACAGCGCGGGGGGTGGTTTTCTATAGTCCATCCAAAAGATACCAGTCAGCCAAAAATCCTTCAATGAATCCAGTCACTATGCCCGCGAAGTGTTTGAATCCTTCGATATCTCGTCCAGTCCATGTTGGCATTTTAAAATCCTCTTCTCCATAGAGGAGGAAGGACTTCTCCGTCAAACGGACGACGAAGAATATCGGCGAAACTCGAAGCGCTCGAAAAACCCAGAACGAGGGAGAGAGTATCATGGGAGACATACGTGGCCGCTGTTAAGACCCCGGATGATGCCGGTGCGTTCCGTCGCCATTTTTGATTCCGTTGACGAAGGCTGGGGGATATCCTTCGAAATTGTCGTCGTCGAGGTTCGTCGTCGTGGGCGGATTCGTCTCGCTATGCGAAGGTTCGAAATTCGTCTACGGCCGAGTGTGCGCTGATTAGGTAAGCCGCGCTTTTTGTGGGCCTAGCCCTTAATGCCAAGGCCAGGACAGGTACTTGCCGGTCCCTTTCCCGAAACGAAACCCGTACTCCGTATGTTACCACAGTCAAGTTAACGTTACTATACGATGGTAGTTTATGTCTAGAAGGATTCAGATGCTCTTTGCCTTCGACATGTCGACAAAACTTTTAAAAATGTGAAATCGTCCGATGTCTCGACCTTGTTTTGACTTCCGTCAAGAGAAGACACTATGGAAATCACTTTATTATGTCAATGATTTGTTTATGGCCTGGACATGTTCGATCGTTCCACCGATCCCCATCCGTGTTTCGGAAACTTTAAAGGGGCCTCGCGATCATGGAACATTCCTAGGCCAAGTTCGCTCAGTGCGCAGTTGCGGTGCAAGCTGGCCATTTATCATTTCAGATTAGCGCTTCATGTCTTGAATTTTACCTAAATTATATTGATCAACCATTTCAAAAAAATCCAGACCGGTATATAGATGCGTTCACTACCATCGAATACGATGCGATGAAAACCTACAAGCTGCTCTTTATCCATTGCTTGAAATCATTCAAGATTCTCGGTCTGAAAGGAGTATGATTCGGGTATTCATCGTCAAGCGCCTTGTGTGCTTCAATCCTCCGAACGGGCGTAATTTGTTACAGTACATTACTTGATAGCGACAGATGACTACAATTTATTACTTCCCAAAATTTCAATTGCAAATATCGCACGACACGGAAACTTCTCGGTCATTTTCCGCACTTGGAGAGTAGGGATCATGGATTTCTGTGCAACGTCGTGGTTCATCTACCTCCAGGGTGCAACCATGTCCGTTTTCCATCACTGGGTAGGCTATGCGTGGTCCAATACCCCGGCGGAAGGACTGTACTACCAAGCATCTGATCAGAAAAGATAAACCCAGCACCTGCTTGATCAAATATAAGAGGTTTTCTAGCATGCCCGCCCAAGGAGTATCAATAAGCAGCTGGGGATGATAGCCGTGAAAACCACATCTGTCCTTTGTGTTTTCCTATTGGCCAAGCACAGTCAACTTCTGTCCAAAAATCATCCGAGATGATTTTACAATCTTTCCTCGAGGCTGACAGCCTATATCTAATGATGTGGCGGGCTTCTTCAACAGCCCTCGATTCTTTCCGACCTTTATGATGAGTCGCCTTTATTTTTGCCACGACGGCCGTGTGACACTATTGGCGCCACGACTGTATCAATTTTGATGCAGGAATGGTTTAATAATTTTCTGTATGTTCCCACGTTCCAGTATACATGTCAAGTATAGCGTGGACCAGCATCTGTGTCGCGCGATGAATGCTTTGAAATCCAGTTCTATTGCCGGCAGTGTAACCTTCGAAGATAAAATTTTGAAGAGGAAGGTTTGCAAAAATTTTACGCCATCATTCAAGCTGCATACCGAAGCTTCGTTCTGAATTGAATGCAAGTTGTTTCTGAAAGAAACTACATAAGGCCCGGGCCCTTGGCACCATGTTTGATGTCTTGTTAATTCAGGATGGCGAACTGCCTATTTCTTACTCACGCATGAGCAGTTGAGGAATTTCCAACCTGCATTCAAATCCTGTCAGCATTGTTTAGATAATTATGTGGCCCAGAACTGTCAAGGCGTTCGATCGGTACATCACCACTCAAGTGAGACAAGGCGAACTGTGGCTTCGCTCAGATTTGCCATTTTCTTATCCGCTATGTGTGTCTGTAATAGCGGCATGTGATATCGGCAAAGCAGGATGCGACCAAAATCCCGTGGCTGGCGAATTGCTTGACGTCGGTGTAAAGAATGTCAATCTGTACCGGAACCTCCTCGGTGAGAATTATCGAAATTGCATCTTCAGGTTCGACGAGCAAATCGCAGTCTCCCTAGAGCTTATGCATTGAGAAAGAAAGGCCATGTGCTGTGCCGCAAAACGAACTATACCGCATTGGTTCACCGCCCACATGGCCCTAATCAGACCCTGAGCGGCCAGTTTTTGATTCTCTGGCACGATCTTCCCCCTTTGAAAATTCCGTTAGGTAAGCTCGTAATTGAAATCAGACTCATTCGACTTTGGCTCTACGGCAAAAACATCAAGTACAGCCACCTACGTCGAATATGCTTGAAAGAGTGAGACTTGATGACGGGTGGGGCGACAACGATTGTAGAGAGGCGCCTGATGGCGCTCGGCAAAAAGGGTAAACGGTCCATCGAACGTAGTCTAGACCATGAAGGCCAAAGCCCAAACACCCGCCAGCCTGTAACCGCAGCCGAGAGGAAAGAGTTACATGAAAGGTACCCTTACGGCGACGTTACATCTACTATGCTCCCTGCTTGCCGGGCCAAAGACGTCCTAACACTCATGCCAACGCAAATAATGATCGGGAGAAGGTAATGAGGCTTCTCAGCTAATTCGACAGGGTACTTAAATGCTATGTGTATACAGGCGCAGTGCTGGTACGCGAGGTGCTGCCGATGGTTCTCTTAGGCACTTGTAGATGCCTGCCGATCTTTCCGGAAGAACGGCAGTACATAACAGTACCTTGTCCAGGGTGTGTTCGAAGTAAGCTGCTCGGGTACCTGACTAGTCACTCGATGCTTCCCTGATTGGATGCGGAGAGTTCTGCGGGGATGATGAGCATCGGGAAAGTCTTGGAGAAGCCAAGAGGTTTCTGGTCGGTCTCGGCTCGAGGAAGCCGCGACTAGAGCGAGATCTAGATTGCAGTGGAGGGAAGGGATCGGCCATAAGCAGGGGACTGAACTTGGTTCTCCCCCCACTCAGCTGTCGACAAATGACTGAACTGCAGTGAGCCCAGCGGCAGGGTTTCCTTTAAGTCCACACAGTGAGAGAGTTAACTGTATCAGAGAGTGCTTGAGTGTGCAAAGGTTATCTACATGCTAACTACCTGCCTACCTGCCTACCTTACCTTTTTTTTTTCTCTTCATAATTTCCTAGCTAAAGTACCCACCAACCCCCGGGGCGCTTCTCGACACTGACGATCAGTCATCCCCAATAGAAACACCCTGCAAGTGTCCTACCCTTCTGAGCAGAACGAACACAAGAAGGAAAAAGGACTATGGATGCAGTGAAATGTACCCAATAACCCCGGTGCACGCAGATGATGACGAAGCATTTCATTGTCTTGCTTCTTCCCTCTAGCCCGCAGTCGTGGGCTGCTTGACCAAACTAACCACACCCCCTCCCTCCCCCCTTCACACCACTCACACACATACACACCCACCCCCACCCCCAAAACCCCCGGCCGGGTGCCAAAGTGAAGGAAGCCAAGGTACCGTCCATGGTGCGCTGCGCGAACCCCGGCAGTGGCATCGCCGGCCTCAAATGTGGCTTCGGGTCGCTTTACCTCAAGTTATACCACTACAGTTCCACCACCTGCAGCTCGTTCTTGCCTAACCTACTTTTTCCAACCGCACCTATCATTCATCTTTAGACGCCCATCATCTCTTTCTTTCACTCTCTAGCTAGTCATTTTCGTCCACATCGTTAAGCTCGTAGCTCTTAGAGGAGAGCATCGCCCATCCTTTATTCTATGGTGATAACCTATAGGACACCGACACACGATTCGGACGACCTTAGTATTCCTTAGCAGATGGGATTTGCCTGAAGGGTTGCTGGCAATTCATTTCAACCTAGAATTCGGCCATCAAACTTAGTCGATCTTCGCCGTGAGCTCTCCTTAATCATATTCAGGAGCAAAGCAGAAAACCTCGACACGCAATATACGGGAATCAACGGCATTATTCACGTCCAGAGCTCGACGAGGCGGCAGCCCGGTGCTGGTGGTAGTTGCAGACCCTCATAATACTTCATCTGTGATTGGCTGCTACATACACTCTGTCATAAAACAAGATCGGCGACGCCTTCTCAGGACGGCAACCCTGCCTCCCTGAAGCCGGCGCTGAAGAGGGAGCAAATGCCGGATGGACAAAAGCTCAAAAGCGCACAAGGATGCATCGCCTCGCTCCACCCCGCGGACCTCGTTATGTTTGTCCAGTCCCATACCTGGTCTGGCCTTGCATCACGGTGACCCGGGGTTTGACGAGACCTTGGAACGTGTGTACGCCGCCCCCGAGAGTAACGCCGCCGAGCAGCTTATCGAGCTCAAGATGCAGCTCAGGAGAGCGGGTTTATACGAGTTCTGGACGTTGTTGATGGAAGGTGTCACCAAGATTACTGGCGCACAATTTGGATTTGTTTCGAAACGCATCCTCGTGGACGACGAGCACTCTGCTGTTGAAATGCCACCGATAGGTGAGCCTGGTTCCTGCTTGATGGGCGTAATCCTTTATTATAACGACGGCCATGGCATCAAAAACGAGCATCGAGACAGCAAGTATTTTGCCTATGGAGCTCCTTGTGGGCACATGAAGCACGACAAGGTCTTCCTCGTTCCAGAAAAGCTCACCGAGTTTACCAAGGACAACCCGAACACTCTACCTTTTCCTTGCGATGCTTATCTGGGCGTCCCTCTCTTCGCAGATGGAAGATGCTTCGCTCACTTTGGTTTGATGTGGACGGTGGAGGGAGCTCGGGCTCGCAACTTAGGTTGGGGCTATCTCGAGATGATCCTCCACTCGCTTGAAGACATTATTCAGCAACGTATTCTTGATGGAGAAAGCTTCACAAAGACCAAGAAATTGACTGATGGTCGGAATCAAGTTATTCCTTCCAATGCCGTCGCGATTACACAGTCTTTGAAACCCTATGCCCGCAGTCTTTCGCATGAGTTGCGTACTCCCATGCAGGGGGTCGTTGGGATGCTGGATGTGATGCACGCTACCGTTCAGGAAGCAGTCGAAGGGCAGTCAATTACTGAGGTTCGGGAGATATTTCAGGCATTGAAGGAAAACATCGAGGCTGTACAAGGTCAGTGGCTTGCTTCGGTTCCGAAATTGGATATCGCGGTGTGTTGACGCCAGATTAGATAGCTCCAGACGGGCCTGTGATGCCGCGGACAACGTTATCCATGCATATGATCTTAATATGGAAGTACCAGATACGCCGCCGGGCGATTTTGAAGAACCCAGCATTACGAACCCCCTCGAGACTGAGAACGTTCCATCAAAATCGGCTGTTAAGCGGAACTTCGGATTGCTTGAACCGGTCTCCTCCAAGAGACAAAGGAGTGAACCCGTTGACAAATACCATGAAAGCCCTCGGAAACGACGAATGGCAGCAAATTCGACAGCGTCAGCGCGACAACGAACCAGTCTCTCCCCGCGCAGTCGACGACTCAAGTTAGCGGTCAGAGAAGGCGAGGAACTCATGAATGGCTCGACTGGCAATCACGCCGAAAGCAATCAACTCGTCAAAGGACCGCCGCGGTTGACGCCGGTAGAATACGCTCTTCATGCCCTTGACCAAGGAGCAGCTATTGCGCCTGGATTTTGCCGCACCAATATTCGTGAAGTCTTGCACTATGTCATAAATGAGTCGTTGAGGGTCGGTGGAAGGCCTGAGTCAGCCGTTGCTGAAGATACTGCACGAGGAGAGCTCATCGAGATAAGAACACGATCGTCCAGCGGACAACTCAACACCAAAATCATTGACTGGTCTGTGGATCCGGCAATGCCAGAAGTGTTGTTGGGTGAGTTTCATTTCTTGTTCTTTTTTTTTGTTGGTGTTTAAACCAAGTTGATTCTGGTCCAGCTAATGGAATAATTAGTTGAAGATAGTGATATCGCCAAATTGATTTCCTGTGTATTCTTGAACGCCTTGAAGTTTACAGAGCGAGGGAAAATTGTCGTAACTGCAGTCATGAGCCCAAAGTCCCGCTACCTTGTGATCAATGTCAAAGACACAGGGACCGGCATACCAAAGAGCTTCATTCCAAAGTTGTTCAAGCCATTTGCCAGGGAAGATGATTCTATCACCCGGCAACAAGAGGGACTCGGACTCGGCTTGCTCGTTGCCAAAGGGCTCGTCCGCAAAATTGGCGGTGATCTTATCTGTGTCCGTTCAGAGACTTCAGGCCCGCACCGAGGTACCGAATTTGAAATACGGATCCCAGCTTCAGTTGCGAAAGTACGCAGCACTCCAAGCACTCCCGTACATACTCCCACGCCAACTGTACGGCCCACAGCTGCCGCAGAAGTAATTGTTCAAGGGAAATCTTCTGTTCGTCGAGGGTCGCGGAACGGTATTATTTCGGTCGACAATCGTGCAATCAATCGTCCGACCTCAGTCGCAGTGCCACCTCCACCCAGCGGACTTATTTCATCGTCAATATTGCCCAGCCCGAATCCGGCATTGCATCGCCGCAGTCCGACTGTTGCGAGAATCCCACTTCAAAAGGGCAGCTTTGATAGGGAACTTTCTAAGAGATGTCCGCTCAATATACTCGTGGTGGAAGATAACATAATCAATCGCAAGCTGCTGGTCAATATGCTTTCAAAGCTGGGTTATAGCAAGGTCTACGAAGCTTACAATGGGGTTGAGGCTGTGCGGCAAATGTCTATTGATCGTGGGCGCACCGGCGCTATTGATGTTGTTCTCATGGACCTCTGGATGCCAGTCATGGATGGATACGAAGCCACTGAGAAGATTTTAAGCATGCATCCCGGAGCAAAGAATAGCATCACCATCTTGGCTATAAGTGCCGACGGCACGACTGAAGCCAAAGAGAGAGCGGCACGCGTAGGAATAAACGGATTCCTCACCAAGCCATACAAACTTCTAGACCTGGAGCGTCTCATTATCGAGCATTGTGCGAAGAAGGCAGCAAAAGACGCTGCAATAACCGTCGAAGACCAAAGTCCATGAGAGGCGCTTTCCTATTGTTTCCATCGCTTGTCTCAGCTTTCACTTGCAGAGGTTGTCATCCATTCTTTGGTGTCTTTTTCGCTTTTTGATTATTTTTCAAAAAGCACAGGTGTCCATACCTAAGGGAACATTCTTTTTTTTTTTTTTTTTTTTTTTTTTTTCTGGTTGTATTGAGGTAAAGGTCACGGCGACGGAGTTTCTGCTTTCAGATGGGATATACCTAGGTTGCTGAACTTTTAATTTGTCTGGTTTGGGAAGTGTTAGGGCATAGCGTTAGGATATGTTTATGATATGGCTATGAGCATCTTTCCTTATTTGAATTTTGTTGTTGTCGATAATATCATTGTGATCTATATGCTATCTCGACTCTATATTGATCCTTGGGATGGATATGATGAATCAAAAAAATGTTAGTTAGGGAACCGCAAGCACTAACATTGTATTCGAAATTCCTTTTTTATGATGATGTTTGCCAATTATTTTGCCACGTTGATTATTGACTGCCATTTCGCAATCTACTGCCAGTTAGAAATGTCGGATCAAAAACAGCGATTACGTTAGTCCCCAATCCATACAACTCCTGTCTCAGTTGATTACGGGGTACTTGGCAAGTTTGCAATGTTTGACTCGTGTAACTTGTTAGGCCGAGACCGAGCAACAGTGGCTTGGTCTGAGCCATTGACCTAGGTAGTTACCTGCTGTAGATGAGCACTCCTGAAGTGAGCTCAAGAGATTGACGAAGACAGAAGTTCAGACAGATTATATCTGTGTGTTTCCTCAGAATTTTGATTCGACTTTCACTCTAATGCATGCTCAAATTTACAGTGTCGCCAACGTTCTAACCGATATTCTCTCGTCAACGGCCTATGCCCCTGTTCCAGACTCATATCAACCAAATTGCAATTAGCTATTACACCTTCGCAAACGGATCTTTCGAGTCTATTCAATGAATCGGAGTTGAAAATATATATGCGTCGTGTCCTCTCCTTCTCTCGTTCATTACATTCCGCCAAACTTACGATTTGAGCAATCGCCATTCGGATATACTGCTACACAACCCCAGCACGACCGAAAAGATTGAGGAGGATTTGTTGCGACAAGCATAGAACCATCGGGACAAGAAGAAGGTTGTGTTTGTGATAGGATTGCTGTCACCAGCACCTACAACAACACATGCAGACGGCCAAATCCAAAGCCGAGCAGCAGATCCAGAAAGCAAAGGTCAGTCGGGTTTTCTATCCATTAATCTGAGTTGGATATAAGAAGGAGGGAGCAGGCGGATGGTATTTTAGGATGGGAAGACAGAAAAGTACGAGGCTCTTATCTGGGACCTGACACGGTGCTTCCGGAAGAGCCTCTTAATCAGACCAATTGTAATGGATCCGCTCTCAATTTCTGCGGCAGCTATGTGGCAAGGCCAACGTTGAGAACAACGAGAATCCTGCGCTCGATTTGATACTTGGTGCTTGCGGAATTGCATTCGGCAATAGCATGCAGATGTTGAGGGCGTTCTATTGCTACTCAGTTATAGTGACAATCGCAATTAGCGCAGAAGGACCTATTCGTGGGCTTAGATACACGACTATTACAAAGCTTCCATTTCGTGTTGGGATTCAATCAAAGGGGAAAATCTAGTTGGATTTTGTTGACTGACTTATTTGATTTTATAGCTTGCCAACTCGTACCATGCTTTATTGGAGTAAGTTTGTTCCCCCTTTCTGGCTTGATTCATGCACAGGTTTTGGCGGGTATCGCTCTTATGATGAGAAGAAGCTAAACTCTTTACTCACAGGGAATTTTCTTCCAAGGACCTGCGAACAGTTGGCAATTACAGTCTCGGTCGGCTCATCGGCAAAGGATCTTTTGGCAAGGTCTATTTAGCCTCCCACAAACTTACCAATGGGTTAAAGGTATAATTTGGCGCGTTCAAATTCGCAGTATAGAATTTTTAGAACTGACTGTTCTGTTTTGCACGGTTCAGGTTGTTCTAAAATCCGCTGATAAGAATGACACCAACCTTGCCCGAGAAATACATCACCACCGCCAATTCATTCACCCGCACATTGCGCGACTTTACGAGGTTATCGTGACCGAAACTCTGGTCTGGTTGGTTCTGGAGTACTGTCCCGGTATGGAATACCCAAATTTTGGCGGGTAAAGAGCGCGTCAGCTGACATGAAAGTTTGTAGGCGACGAGCTATATAATTACCTTCTTCGTCATGGGCCTCTCCCAGTTGACCAAGTTCAAAAGATATTTTCACAATTAGTCGGTGCCGTTGCCTATGTCCATAACAAATCCTGCGTTCACCGAGACTTGAAGTTGGAGAACATTCTCTTGGATAAACATGGCAATGTCAAGCTCTGCGATTTCGGGTTCACAAGGGAATATGAAGGGAAATCAAGCTACCTTCAAACTTTTTGTGGAACAATATGCTATTCGGCTCCGGAAATGCTCAAGGCCGAAAAGTATGCCGGAGAAAAGGTGGATGTTTGGAGTTTGGGGATCATCCTTTACGCCTTACTTGCGGGCGAATTGCCATTCGACGAGGATAGCGATGCGGATACGAAGATGAAGATTTTGACAACAGAGCCGAAATACCCGGACCATTTCCCAGAAGATGCCAAGACTCTTATAGGCCAGCTGCTATCAAAGCGGCCGTTGCTTCGGCCTTCGCTCTCAGACGTACTGGCTCACCCTTTCCTGACCGAATATGCTCACCAGCAGCAAGCAACATTGAAGATTCAACAACCGGCGCCGTTTACGACGAAGCTCGAAAAGGACACACTTCAACGTATGCGAAGCGCAGGCGTGGACATTGATCAAGTTATTGAAAACGTCTTGGCCCAAAGGTGCGACAGTTTAGCGGGCTGGTGGGCTTTATTGATCGAGAAGGAGGAGAGGAAAGAGAAGCGAAGGGAACGGAAGAGGAAGGAAAAAGAGTCTGAAGCCAGAACATTACGACGGCTCAGTGCGGCCAGTAGTCGCCTGGATCGTATAGCGCCCACACTGACGGAAGTTGATGAGGAGGGTGAGCTGGGCCAAGGGGATGGTGATGTGCCTATCAGTCGCGGAAGAAAAGACAGAAGAAGCGGTACAAGCTGTATGTTTTGTACCCGTTGAGCTTTCTTCCTTCTTCGCTCTATTTTGCTATTCACTACTATCGTTTCACAAGGCTGACCTGAATATTAGCAACGTTGGGCATACCTGAGCTTCCTCGCCTGCCTGAGAATCAGTCAACCGAATCCCAAGAGCCAGTCACTCCCCCTCCGCCAATCGAAAAAGACCGAATCCGCTCCGGTAGTTCATCGCGACAGCGTCCTATGGTGCCACCAAAAGACGTGCGGAGGTCACGGAGCAGTCATCTTCACATCACGACAAATGCTGACCTGCTTTCGCCACATGGCTACACCAGCCGACGGGCCCGTAAACATCAACATCCTTTCATGAGCCAACTTGCTTCTATAAAACATTGGTTTATGGATACGACAAAGCGCGGACGATCACCGAATGGCTCAAAGAGCACGACTCCATCAAAGTCTCCCGGCCAAAAGAAGCCAGAAGGCGCGCGGAAAGTTTCACCCGCCTCTACTTCAACATTGAATTCAACTGTCGCCTCGGGGTTGCCGACGCGATCAACTGCACCACAAAGGCCGAGGATATCTACGACGCCTCATAATCGCAGCTCACTCTCTCCATCTCCACTTACCCCCCACTCGTCTTACCGCAGAACCCCATCTGGCCTTCGGGGCAGAAAATCGACATCATCATCAGTTTCGTCTATTCGGTCCATGCATAAGCGAAACTATAGTCATTCAAAAGCCTCCTCAACTTCTTCCGCATCAGCATCGGTTACCTCATCAAAGAAGGTGCCTCGGTCTCCCCACTCTTCCGTCAAAGTCCTTCCTGCTACACCGACGAATAGCGTTTTCCCATCCGGTTTACGCCTTGTGCGGTCTCCTCCGAGTTACAACGAGACGGCTCACTTTGGAAGCCCAACGCCTTCTCTCACATTTGCTAGGCGCAAGAGAAGTCCATTCAAAGGCCCAATGCTCGGCCTAAGTACAGGCCACGGCTCAGCTGGCGCCGCTACTCGAGGCCGCGACGCAAGCGTCAGCAGCAGGACGGCTTCCATCACGGAGCGTCGAAGTGGCGAAGTGATCCAAGAAGAGGACGAGAATGATTTTGAAGAAGTCGACGCCTTTTCACCTGTCGCTGGGCCTGGAGAAGGCGCTGATAATGATGACAGTCCATTTGGTGGACCACTACGATCCGAGGCATGACGTCCTTGAGTATGCATATAAATGTCTTTTTCAATTACCTTTGAGGACCGCATCTAAAAATCTTGTTGGCAATATTATCCTAAAAATTAGCAGCGTTGACAAGAGCTTCATGCTAAAAAGCAATGGCTTTTGCTCGTACTATTCCAGATTTCCCTATCTTCTTTTCTTTTCTTTATCTTCCATTCATTTATTCATTCCTCCTTTTTCTATTATTTTATTTAATTTTCTTCCTCTTCCATTTTCATTTGGATACCCAGGGCGAAGTCAAGGAAATGGGACACCTCTTTAACTTTATTGCGTCTTACGGTCGAGAGGCTGACCGCTATAGCTGTGCCCGTTGGACTGTATGTTATCTACATTTGTTTCTTTTCATGTCCATTTTACCATACATAGGTGCATATTATTATTTATTATTTATTATTCTCATTTGTTTATTTTATTTTATTTCTACATTTCCGTTGATTTAATCAGTATTTGGTAATATAAACTTATTAGACCGCCACCAAATTGATGATTTACGTGTTGCTTCATCATCGTAATTTTGGTCCATTGATGTCCAAATTATTGTTAAGCAACCATGTCAGTTGGACTGGACTCTAAGTTTATAATCAGTGATTACAAAACGTGTGCTTACGATGGACAGTACGTAGTATTACCAGGTTCTGCGCCAGCACTCATGCTGTCCTAATTGTCTAAATGTCTGTCAGGCTGCTTACTACTCCGTACAGAATCGCAACGTCTCTCCACTCTACCACTCCATAGTCACTTAGTCTCTTTTTCCAATCTTATCTTTTTCGCCTCTACTGTACTACGTAACTTATACCATAGGTGGCTTCTAGAAGGAATAGTTAGTCCGTTATCCATCGGAAAATCTTCTTCTTCTTCTTCTTCTTCTTCTTCTTCTTCTCCCGCTGCGGGCTGACAACGCCTAACCCCCTTTTGTCCGCCCCCAGTTGCGCAACAATTGTTTCTCCTAATGCGCCTAGGATATAAGATCTTGAGCTCGTGGCAGCCCATGTGGCGCCCGTGGCTTGAGCGAAGAGCGAAAGGCGCAAGTTGCAAGGTGCATCTGCAGACCATGCGCCGCCTGTCGGAAGATAGAACCATGTGCGATGACGATGACAATGACGATGATGTGTATACTTGACGGTAGCCACAATGTTACCTACGGAGTATGACCAACGTTGGATCCTATATCCTACGCAAAACAAGGTGATACAAAGGTAAGCTTCCTAAGTCTAAAAAGTGACCGAACGGACATTCGACCCGTAAGTGATAGGAACAAAGAAAACAGAGGAAATAGAGGGATGGGTTTATCAAGCAAGTCGAAAACCAAACCGTGTCGTTTAACGTTAGAGTAGGTAGGTAAGGTAGGTAGTTTATGTCCTCGGTCTTGCTCCTCGCTCCCGCTTGAACAATTTCCATGTGTCAAACTTTTTGTTTTAAACAGATTTGCTACGTACAAGCTTCCGCCGAGCACCCACCGCTCGTTACGAGATTCCATCAGGCCGTCCTCGGTCCAACTAACTTACCTTCCTACCTACCTTAGGTACCTTAGGTAGGTATGGGCAGAGTGACCTCTGGGACAAAAGACTTGCGGGTGCTTACACACATATGACAGGGATGTTTTAAAAGACGTGTGTCTGAATTACAGAGTACAGAGGATATCCGCGTTTATGCGCCAGAATCCTCCGAGAGAGCCGCGAATTTCCATTAAAGTCCGATATGTTGTCGTTGTCTCCGAGATCGCAGACGACAGTGCTCAGTAATGTTCTCGAAAGATGAGAAGGCGGATAGACCAGGGGGAGCCTTATCTCTGCACGCTCGCACCTGGTGGGTTTTTGGCGGGTTTTGGCGATTGCGGGTCCTGCGGCTCCACTGTTCCCCCGTTCCACCGCTTCCCGACCAGATACAGTAGTTAAAGGTAAGCCTGATTAGTGTGCAGGACATGTAATGGCATAATGTAAATTACAAGAGTAATGGAGATATTCGAGAAGACTTCTAACGCTTAAGCTACTGTATGCAGTAGTGTAAAGGTACTGATAAGAGTGGATCGTAGACGATGGAATTATCAGGATTATGATAACTTATGATATGATGTTGTTTCGTATAGCTACCAAGGTAGCTCAAGTCACGTTATGATCACAGAGTCATCGTACAGGACCGTATGACGCGCAACGTCATGCAGATCGTCAGAGCATACGAGTACTGATTACTCTGTTACAATTCGTCAGATATCTGTCAAGTTGTACCTCTGTAAACGTGCGAGGATAACGTGAGTATTTTCATCGATATTAGTCACATCATGAGAAGCGTGGTTGATGGTTTCAAAGACTAGGTAGCACCTGATAGAGTTACAGGATATACAGAGGAACGGAACGTCATCATAGAAATCAAATTTATACAAAAGAGACAAAGTTTATTATTGACGTTTCCAGCCTTGGTCCATCCACTAGTCAACGTATGGGAATTTAAATGCGAAACGTATAATGATAAAGGGCGAAATGAAGGACGACTAACGGGATGGTTGGTAGTACTGTCACCTTGTTCGGGCACATCGGGCACATCGGGCACCCCGCAAAAGGCTTGACTGGAAAGAGACATCATGCTCCGAATCCTACCCAAGAGTGGCTAAATCCACTGAACCTCGGCAATGGGAAGGATGAGGAGGAGAAAGAAAAGGACAAGTCAATTGCAAAGAAGCATGCTTTCGGTCTGTCAATGGCGGCCTGGTATGGGTAGTGTTGGTGTGTGGTTAAATCTTAGGCAGAAGAGGCGAGGGGGGTGTTAGTTATGCCTATTGTGCTGTAGCTTGGTGCGGAGACGGGGGCGGTTTTCCACCAGAGAGGCGCAAAACATGCAGTAGCTCTACTTGTACTCAGTGGAATTGGTTGCGCAGTCTGACGGTACTGTACAGAGGTACGGTGTAGTCTGGTACGAGTACGCAATAACAGGTTTGTCATGCGAAGAGGCTAATCGCTCAGATTACCAGGTAATGAAGGAGCAATCCAAGCATTCGTTGGGCAAAAGGGATTCTACGCGGCTTCTAGAAATGCAACCCCCCTTTTACTCGGCGTGAAATGCAGCGATACGTGGAATCAAGTCTTGTTTTTTCCTATGGTGCAGACCATGTCAACAGTGGCTGCCAGGATGATTCGTGGTGCCAAGGTGCGAGGTGCTAGGTGCAAGGTGCAAGGTGCCAGTGCAACGAGATGATAAATGCGGAGAAGGCACTAACAAGTCTTGGCAGAAAACACAGTTTCGGTACAAAAAGATCGGGGGATTTTTGTCCTTCATCTCCACTTCTCGCTCTCTCTCTCAATCTATCGGACACCAAGCGGAAAGCGCAGAGATAAGACCTGCCATAAGGAGTAAGTTAAGCGACATTTTGCTAGGCTGACGGGGGTCAGGGTACGTCACTTGATATCAAGCACAATTAATGACCAACGGACATTACGAATAACAAGCCCGTGCACGCATTGATGACCATGGGTAATTAATACGGATACTCAGTATGTGTACTCAGTAGAAGTGTACATGTGTGAAGAAATAATAATAATAATAATGATAATGATAATAATAATCAAGTATTGTTACTTTGATATTTGAAGCGGCTGACAGGACTACACATATAAGTCAGCTATGGTAACGCAGAGGCGCCATGCTTGGCATATTCAGGTGGCCAAAATGATGATGATGCTGGTATTGCCCGACGGCCAAAGGGGAGAAGAAGGAGAAGAAGGAGAAGAAGGAGGCTGGTCTTATCAGCAGGGAATTAATTGCGCCATGGTGCCAAAGTCTCTATTACATGGAGCCAATCAGAAGGATTCACGGCTTATCTCGTCGGAGCCGGGGAGCATCGCTAGTCAGGTTACTATAGAAGTAGTCACTTACCGTAGCGGGTCGAACAATGTGGGATCATGGGAGAGAAACTCACTGTCCCGCTAGTCCACCAGAGAGAAGCCTTCGGGGGCTCTTGGGTTCCTTCATTTCCTTCGATGCTAATTCTTTAGACTTTGCCTGGTCTGGTATCATCACGAAACGGGAACGGGAGTGATTGACAAGTTTCGGTGAAAGAGCCAGGTTCTGTCCGGCCTCGTGCTGAGGTTGCTCAAAGTACCTTGGACGAGAGAGTACATGCTGCTTTGACTTGATGACCTAGTATGGGGAATATCAAAAAGAAAGACAAATAGCGACAGAGGCATGGCCGAGAGATGGACGAGAATTCGACGCGTCTTCCATTGATCGTACCTTGCATATCGGATTATTAGAATCTTTAACCATATCAAAACGGGCCCTTGATTTTTAGTGGCTGAAACGAAGAGATATCTTTCGGGTCGGGGGGTGGCCCTGTCGACTGGACTGACTTGGATAGTAGAGTAACACGTTAGGTACGAAGATCAGGCCAACTCGAGTCAAATCTTTTTCTCTCTTGAAAGGCCGCGAACAGACCCGAAGATGGAGCGGCAAAATGGACCAGGGTTGCGGGTGTGGAGTGTTCTGTTCGGCCACTAGACCTCTATGAGGGAGGTACACCAATTCCTTCACTTACGAGTAACCTAAGTGACTCCATCCCCCCTCAACCCTGCAAGCCACCTGAACAGCCCGTTCTTCGCCCCCATGAAACCTTCAATCTCGCATTTATAACTTGGCCTCCTCCTCCTCGTCGCCCCTCCCTTGTTCTTCTCTGTTTTTGTATCTGCGTTTCATCTAAAAACCTCTCCCGTCACTCTTGACCCCCCGGTCCCTTCAATTCCCTCTTTCCTTGGGAATTGCAAGTGGTCAACGACCGACTTCGAACGGCACGACTATATAGATCACTATTAGATCGCTACAGCACATTACAGTGTTTGCGTGCCTTGAACCTGAGTGACTTTAAAAAGGGATATACTACTCCCATCACATCAGCTGAAGAGTGCCTTGGTCTCGACTCGTTGAAAACGCGACTTGGGACTACGCAACCTTCTTTTGAAACCCAACGGACGTTGACAGGTGGACGCGATGGATTTTGAGAAGAAGGCTCCATCAAGTACCGATATGGGTACCGACAACGGTTCGCCGTCTCCCATGTATGGCGAGACGACAAAACATCACCGTAACTGCGGACAACGCTTGGTCGACAGCTTCAGGAGAGACCCCAATGCCGCCATTATCCCGACCACCACGGACAAGGAGGGTAATAGACATATTGATCTGGAGCATGCCGCTGCCGCCACGGCCGAGTCTGGTCTGTCCCGGCGACTCAAGTCTCGCCATCTTCAGATGATTGCCATTGGTGGTTCCATTGGTAAGTTTGAATATATATATATATATATATATATATTTGGACATTTACAAGATACTAACTGCGCAACCTAGGCACCGGTCTCTTCGTCGGTTCGGGTGCGGCTTTGAGCACCGGTGGTCCGGCTTCGCTCGTCATCGCCTTTATCATCATTGGTGTTATGCTTTACTGCACCGTTCATGCGCTCGGTGAATTGGCCGTCCTCTTCCCCGTCGCCGGTTCCTTCTCCGCCTACTCGACTCGTTTCCTCGACCCCGCCTGGGGTTTCGCCATGGGTTGGAATTACACGCTGCAGTGGCTCGTCACCCTCCCTCTGGAAATTGTCGCCGCTTCCATCACCATTAGCTTTTGGAATGACAAGATCAACCATGCCGCCTGGGTCGCCATCTTCTTGGCCGTCATCATCTCCATCAACTTGTTCGGTGTCAAGGGTTACGGTGAAGCCGAATTCATCTTTGCCATTATCAAGGTCGTCGCCGTCATTGGTTTCATGTGAGTTTTTCTCTTCCCTCTTTCCCCGCCACCGAAAAGCGCTCTTTTTGACTGATCTTTCGCGCAGCATTCTTGGAATTGTTCTCAACTGCGGTGGCGGTCCCAAGGGTAGCTACATTGGTGGCAAGTACTGGCACAACCCTGGCGCCTTCCACGACGGCTTCAAGGGTCTTTGCAGTGTCTTTGTCACTGCTGCCTTTGCCTTTGCCGGTACTGAGCTGGTCGGTCTCGCGGCCGCTGAGACTGCCAACCCGCGCAAGTCTCTTCCCACTGCCATTAAGCAGGTCTTTTGGCGTATCACTCTGGTATATTTCCCCACTCTTTTGCGAAACTAGTTGGCAGCCCTTTTGGAGCTAACGGGCAACTTTGATAGTTTTACGTGGTGTCCCTCATTATCGTTGGTCTGCTCGTGCCTTACAACGACCCTCGTCTGCTCGGCAAGAGCTCTGCCGACGCCAAAGCCTCTCCCTTTGTCCTGGCCATTTACGACGCGGGAATCCAAGTTCTCCCTTCGATCATGAACGTGGTTATTATGATTGCTGTCCTGTCCGTCGGCAACTCGGCCGTCTACGGTTCGTCACGTACCCTGGCCGCTCTGGCCAACCAAGGCCAGGCACCCAAGATCCTCGGATACATTGACCGCACTGGTCGTCCCATTATTTCGATTCTTGTCGCTTCGTCTCTCGGATTCCTTGCCTTCCTCGCCGCCTCGTCCAAGGAGGGCGAGGCCTTCACCTGGATGCTTGCCCTGTCCGGTCTCTCCTCCATCTTCACGTGGGGCTCCATCAACTTGGCCCACATTCGCTTCCGACGTGCCTGGAGGGTCCAGGGCCACTCTCTCGACGAGCTTGCTTTCCGCTCCCAGCCCGGCATTGTCGGCTCCTGGATCGGTTTCATCCTCAACTGCCTGGTGCTTGTCGCCCAGTTTTGGACTGGCTTCGCCCCCGAGGGCTACAAGGACATGTCCACCAACGACCTGGTGCAAAACTTTTTCGAGGGCTACCTGGCTGCTCCCGTCGTCATTGCCTTTTACATTCCTTACAAGCTCTACTACAAGACGCCCTTTATGCGCGCCCGCGACATTGACCTCCACACGGGTATCCGCGAGATGAACCTGGCCGAGCTCCTGGCCGAAGAGCGTGCCGAGCGCGCCACATGGCCCAAGTGGAAGAAGGCCTACAAGTACATGTGTTAATCGTCTTTCTTCTCGTATTTTCCTTCTTTTCATTGTCCTTTTTTCTTTTCTTTTCTTATAATCACCTTTTTGGGAATGGAATGACTACTCCCGTTCTCTCACGGTCGAGGTATCGGATGTTTGTCCTTTTTTTTCTGTCTTATATCACGGTTCAACGGTCACACGGATTATATCTCCTTGGCTCGTCTTTTTGCATTTCAGCGTGGTCATACAGTTTTCTTTCCCTTGTATACTCTTTTGTGTACTTTTCTCCTGGGTATACTCTTTCGTATACCTCGTCAATCCCTCTATTTCCTTTTCTACGTGTAGTATGTTTTTATATCCATTCAACAAAAATAAGTTCAAATCGGGATAGGATGGACTTGGAAGACTTAGATGAAACTGGAAACTGGAAACTGGAAACTGGATAGGATACGAGCAAAAAGAAAATAACTATCAGATTTATCGATTCATAGATCCGCAATTCGGTTCTTTATATGTAATACTCTTTGTCGTTCACTGGTCTTTTCTTCATTGTGTATGAAAGTTGTATGTGTTTGTTTTACAACGTTATAAATCATTGGTCTTTTTGTTTCCTTTTCTCTTATGCCAGCTGTTGTGTTGTTATGTTGGCCTGTTGGTCTGTTGGTCTGTTATGTGAACGTCCGAAAGAGCTATGTAGAATTCAAGACTTTTGATATGCCCCCAATCCCGTTTCTTATGTCCCCGTTCCTTTTGCAACTGTGCTGACTCGCTGAGTCTCTTTCTTTTCGCAAGTTCCGTTCTTTTGTAAGTTCCATTTGCGGCTTGTCATTGGTATGAAATGAATCCATGAATCGACGAATCTATGTTGTTTGTCTAGTTTTGTAAGTTATGTGGTTATGTGGTTTTGTAGTGTTGGATTTTTGTGGGTTTGTGGATTATCAGCTATGTATGGCACAACACTTCAGTCAATTATGGTATGTATGTATGTATGTATGTATGTAATTCAGGGGATATAGTTGTATATAGAAAAATTTTTTTTTTCACATGATTTAACTGCTCGTGGTCATGCATGCAGTCTCTAGGTAAGAACAAAACACTGGCTCTAGGATGCCGGGGCCCGCCAAACCGGCCTCCGTCCCTCCTCTCCCACTCAACCAAGTAAAGTCTGTTACCAAGAGGTCCAGACATGGGAGGTGAGATGGTCTTTTGCGCGAAGACTGATGCAGAGTGTTGGGTCTAAAAGCCGGACGTGAGGCTCGTATAGCTCGTATATGTGGGGTTGGGTATCCCGAGGAGCAGCAGTAGCAGTATTAACGACTCCGAGGGCAGCGAGGCCGAGATAGGAATGGATGAGATCTGTTTTGGTGAGTCAGTTGAGTCAGTTGAGCCAGTTGGTTGTAATGGAATGAGCTGTGGAATATGTAAAGGGTATGTAAAGGATATGTATGCATATAAAGATATAGACGGAAAGGAAGGGTATAAAAAGGAGAAAAGGAGGAAAGGGACAAGGGACAAGGAAAAAGAGAAAGAGAGATGCTGTGAAATGGGGAAAGGACGATACAGGAGATGGGAAAAAGGACGATAATTGAAAGGGAACAGGGATGGGGAAAAAAAGGCAAATAAAAAAAATAAAAATAAAAATAAAGGACCCAAACAAAACGAAGCAAAAGGTAAATCAGAGACATACCAGGAGGATCGCCGGTGATTTTCCCAAACCCGCCAATCAGGTGCTGCGTCTTCTCGAGGAGATGATTACGTGCGGCTTCGCGGTCGATTACATGCAGGCCGTCTAATATCTATACGCAGTCAGTATCTTTGACGATGAAAAGTATTACAGAGGGGAGGAGATGAAATATGGCGGAAAGGTATAAACCAATAACACTAGGAAACATACCCCCAGAGAACCTAGCACCCAGAATGAATAGCATGTATCGGCAATCTTGTTTGCGCGGCCATTGAAGCCCGCCCAACGAAGGGATTCCGGCCTCTGTTGCGTCCCATCCGTACTTGTATTACACTCTCCGTGCGCATCTTTGGAATATGGGTCTATTATCGCCTGTAAATTCGCCGGCGGGAGACTGATAAAAGCATGTCGGTCATGGCATGTTGCGGGCGAATCCGTCTCATCGCCGTATGTGTTCTCCTCGTCAGGCTCTTCGACCGTCTGTGTTTGTCGCGAGGCGAGCCATCGGCTCAGCGTCTCTGGAGAGCTGGGAGCTCTTAGTTCTTGTGATGCAGAAGAAGCGTTTGGAGCAGGTGAAAGCTTATTTAGTCGTCCGAGGGAGGATAGCGCGCCCAGTGAGCAGAACGTTAAGCCAGCTACATATGTTAGCTTTAATGAATACTAAGAGATTATTGTGTGGTGGACAAAACATACCATGAGCTTCAAAAAATGGTCCTTCAGAAATGCCGCCATCATAAGTCTGCACACAAGTAGCGTATTAGTTGAAGTGATGCAATTATCAAAAACTGGCCGGGAGAAATCCCCTTCATACCTCTGAAGACAATATATACTTCACCGTCGCATCAACGTTTATATCCTGCACACCGAGATCCTCGACGGATTTTGTTCCCTTCAAGACCCATCGAATAGCGGCGGCGAACTGGCAGAATCGGGAATCTCTCCCGCCTTCTATACGGCCGCCCTCGGTCATGACTTCTCCGAAGCTTCCATCGTCGCGCTGCATGCGCTTCAGCCACGCAAGTGTCTCTTTCCTGCGCACTTGTTTCAGATCGTCTCCGAGAATTATCAGTGTTGCTAGCGCAGAGTATGTGGCAGCAACACTCGCAGTGTCCCAATGCCTGTTCTCCTCCGTCGTGGCTGCGCCTAGATTCGTCCCAGAAAAGCCCCGGAACCCGCCGCTGGGATGCTGACATTTGTAGATCCAGCGAATGTAGTCGGAGCGTTCGTCGGCTGATACAGACGAGTCTAAAGCAGAGAGCAAGTCAAGTGCGGAGACGATGAAAAATGCTAGCGTCATGCGATTCGTGTCCATGGATGTATACGCTGAGGGGAGAAACGTTTTGAGGCATCGCAGCCAGTATTTGACGTGTTTGTCTCTCCGCAATACTGGGCGGTCCGACGGCGCGGATGTCGGTGGTGTTGAGCTCGCCATTTGGAGGGGAGAGTTGTTGGAGTATGTATATCAGCGCGCAATGAGAGGTATCATATGTCCATTATCGTCCAACGAGAGGTGTGCGGGTTGAGGTAGTGCTCTAGAAGAGTGAAGCTGTCCGGCGGTGGTGGGGAGATGCGGACTATGTTCCGCAGCTGAAGTGGGGGTTGCTGTTTACTTCTCGGAGATGTTCGATAGAGTGGATGACCGTTGAACGAAGCCAGGACTTTCGAGAAGACCCAACGTATATCTATACCAGTATATCACTTTCACAATTATTCCCCAAACTTTTGGTTGATATTCTTGTTCAGTTGTTTTCAAGTAACGTTATGCCCAGCATAGCTCTCTCAGACCCCTAAACACCCTTCCCGGCAAGGAAAAACGTAAGCCCGTCTCCACAAAATGTCCCTTCCATAGCTCTCCTATTAAGTCAACTATCCTCCAATTCCACAAGTCAACAAGCCAGCTCCTGCAATAATCAATAATTCCTCCATTCGCAATTAGCACAGATCATCGTCTTTTGCCCATACAAACACCAGGTTGAGAATGGGCTTCGTATCAACCGCCACAGCACTTCGGTGCCTGTCCATCTTCCACCTCACGCTGGCATACTACTTTCTGACCAGCCCCGTGCGCGTTGCGGATCAGAATGCCGTCTTCATACTTGGCGAAGCCATGGGAATTGTGCGTACTCTATTGATTCCTTTCTTCCTTTCCTTGTACTTTCCTTTCCTTCTTTTCTCTCCTTTTCCTTTTTTCTGTGTTTCTTTTTTTGGGGCGTTGCACTGCTAACGATTGTTAACATTAATTCTAGCCGCACTCGCTTTCCTTGACTCTACCATCCGCATCAACGGCAGTGATTGGACTGCTCCTCGCATTCATCGGCCTGACCGACTTGTCGTCTACGGGTCTGCCAGAGGACATGGCGAATTACTTCTGGAGCTCTCAGGCGCCTATACGCCTATTATTCTTCTTCGGGATTACCGGCTACGCGTACCTATTTTCGCAATGGTCGAATGTGGCTGCTGATGATGATGATGTCGACCTTGTCAATGATGCCTCGGGCGCTGCGGGCGAGAATGCAAAGAACAGTGTTGTTTTTGCTTGGGGGTTCTTCGAATTGGTCGTGTGGTTTTATGTGAGTGGAATGCCCTCTACATAACCTCTTATGCATATTACTTGCCTCTGCCACTGATCGCGTTCTCAACTCTGCCCTTCGTTGCTCCATCGTCACCAGGATTAAGGTACATTACTGATTTAGATAAAACAGATTTTCATCACGCTCCGGGAGGAACGAACAGCTCTTGCTGCTAAATTGGCTGAGCGCAAACAGGCAGAGGAGGAAAGATTATAAATGGTTGTGTATTGGTAGATTTGGGCATGGTCGGGAAAAGTTGTATTCTCTAGATTTTTTTTTACCCTACTTTACAAATTTACAAACAACATGCAGATGGGAGCTACATTTTACTGGTATATATCCGCTGGAACGGAGAAAAGTCATGTGTTTCTTGAAAAAAAAAAGAAAAAAAAAAAAAAAAGTTTATAATCAAATGTGTCAAGAGAGCATATTGGAAAATTTTGAAACGCTTTTATTCGAAAATTTTTTTTGAAGATGCGCGTGTCGCACATACGCTATCTGAACGCATAGTTGAAATGTACACAGGCATGGCTATGCTGAAATCTATGTGCTAGTGACTACTCCATCCCATAAGGCCATTGTCGTCTGCAGTTTTATCGGAATAGGAGGCTAATTCCTTCTCAAGTCAGCTTTATCAAGAGCACACCATCCAAAGCATCGATCCAGCTCTCAATGACTTTGCCAAATAGCGTCGACTCAGCTCTAGGCTGGTCTTTATAAATTTTGTGCAACGACTCGGTGAATTCGCTCTGGAACGATTGTGTGTTGTTGTCTGAAGCAGTCGCGTTGGCGTCTCCAGATACGGGACGCTCAAATGTAGCTTCGACTAGAGCTCCCAACGCACTTGAATTTGTAAGACTGTTGCGAAGATTGATGGCGCGGGTGCGGATTTCGGCAAAGACCTGCTCGACGAGCACGCCGATGCTTTGAAGAAGGTCCTTTGGCACCTGGGCTTTGAGAGCTTTGGATTTAGACGTGGACTGGACAAAGGAATGGATAGCTTTGATGGCTTCAAGAGTAGTAAAGGATTCGTGGAAAAAGGTCCAATCAGGGAGAAGAAGTTTGGCCTTGTTGGTGTTTCCATTTATGCCCAGGTTCTCGAGAGCCGTGATGGTGCTGGAGGTGCGGAGCTTGTCGAGTTTCTCAGATAGCCACTGCTTGATTTCTCCAAGTTCTCGAGCAATTGGAGAGTCGGGCTTAGCGGGACCGTTATTTCCAGAACCGCTTTTCAGTGTGACAAGAACCTTGAGCAGCGTCCATTGGATGTTCAAAGAGGCCGCTTCGAAAGAGGTAAGTTCCGCTTCCGCATTCTCAGCAAAAGGATCGTCTTTGATGAGTGTCCATGGATCGGCAATGGAGTTAGAAGAGTCGAGGAGGGTGAAGAGTTTCTCGGATATCATGTTGGCACGCAGCCATCCGGCCTGAGACAACGAGAGAATAAGGATTAATATCTTGCAAAAGAAATGTAGCGGGGGAAAGTACAGAAAAAAAGGACAAGACCTTCACTTACACAAGGGCGAGGTCCGACGCTGAAGCGCTCCTCGAAACGTGGTTGCCCGGGGGCTTCGAAGCTCGCCATGACTTCAAAATCTCTGTTGTCTGATGGGTTTGACATGTTTGGTTCCTCTGGAATAAGAGAAAGAGATATTAGAATATGCAGATTTGGGCTTGGTATAGACATCTCTAATGAGAGCTAAAATCGGTCACTTACTCAAGATTTCTTCATCCTCTTCATGCCTCTGAGAAGAAAGAAGGCGAGAAATCCGACGCCTTTCCATGGCCAGCATGTACTTGGAAATGCTGGGCTGAAGCTTCTGGTCGAATTGCATAAATCCCTCAATCTGCCAATAGCTGCCTTCTTGAAGAGCGAGTCTCATCAACCCTGGAACATCGGATTGCGCCATGTCGTAAAGTCCCAGAGCACGATCCATGGCCAGAAAAGGATCATTGAAGTTTGGAATACGTGCGCCTGTCATGACCGTGCTAGGATGGATGGTGGAGATTCTTGTGAAAATATTATGCGATAGAGTGTCGTTTTGGATTTGTTTGATGGACATATCCGAATATCGTTGCATTGCCATAGACGTGCAGCCAATGAGCATATACAGCCGCACAGCTAGTAAGCCGCCTTGGTAGTTATGCTTCGATTGAGAACGGAAATAGTCTAGTAACGCCGCGGCTTTGAGGAGGTAGACTTTGCTCTTCGCCTCTTCTTGAGCAGTGTCTGCAAGCCGCATCAGTGCCATGACGGCCAGAACAAGGACATCATCTCCTGGTTTATTGTCTGTAGACAAGAATTGGCCGCTCAGCCAGAGAGAATTAATATAAGTTTCGATGCACTTGTCCACGAAGGCCTCGAATCTTCCCTCTCTGCTGGCATGGTCGTTTTCGGGGTTCGAGACGTCAAGGAAGTATTCGGCCTTTAAATAATTTGTCTCCATGGTGATGCCATCCATAGAAACATTCTGTGACGCGGGACATTAGCTTGGTGCTCAGTGAGATGATAACACGAGATGAGATACCTGTTCATCTCGCAACTCCGGTCTTCGCGACTCCACAATCTCGTAAGCAGACTGAAGAAACTTGATACGATCCGTTGGGCTGAATTGCTCAAAAGTCCAACGAAGGTCGTCGAAGAGGTAGTATCTTGCACAGTATTCACGAAAGTGGCTCAGGGCTAGCTCAACTAGCGGAGAAGGTTCCTTTTCAGCCGACAGCTCTTCCCCAGATATCTTAGACTTGAACCGTAAGAGAGCGAGCTGCGCGTTTCTTGAAGGCTTCGGCCGCCCAGCAAAGGCTTTGATGAGCTCCTCTGTCTCCTTTCTGATACTATATGAACGATTAGAGGCCGAGGAGTCGAATTAGCCCAGGTTCACTTACTTTGAATCATCCAGCTTTTCACAGGACAACAAAAGCCCTTCCCAAACTCTCCAGTCGTCGCCGTAGAGATCAGTGTCTGAAACATCACCTCGTACTAAATCTAGTAGTTTTTTGCAGAGTTCCCACTCCTCCGTCCATTTGACAAGGTCTTCAAGTATCTGAATGTGCTCTCGCACGAAAGCCCAGTCGCCTTTAGCAACGGCAGAGCCGGAGCCAAGCTCAGAGCTGGCCATTATGTCTGCAAGCTCTTTTAGAGCACCCTGGCGACGGTAAATGGAAACGAGGAGGCGAAGCTCTTCAGGAGTTTGGATAGCTCTACCAGGACTCAAAACAGCTTTCTGCAAAATAGCTATAGTAAGTAGGCGAGCAATGGGAGAAAGTCGACTTTAAAAACCTTACCGGATCTTTGGGGACGTCAGAGGCTGCTTTGGTTATCATCCGATATCCAAGGGTTCCGAACAGCTTCTTTTCAGCCTCAGTGGCTTCATCCGAGATGCTTACGAGGTGCGAGGTTAGAATGGCCCAGAAGTAGTAATGGCGTTTCTTAGGAAACGACTTTTGGAGGATCATAGCAGCCTATTAAGCGTTAACGATCAGTTAGCAAACCCGCAACTACCGTGTGTCACGACAAAACCCTCTCACGGCAGCAGTGGAGGCATTGACCTCGATCATTACGGTAATTCACAAACAAATGGGACAGAAATTTAAATTTTCGGGCGAATTAATAATGGTCGAAAGAGAAGTCTCACCTTCTGTGCGTTCTTCCAATTGAATTGGTCAAATGAACGTTGAAACCATTCCTGAGGCAGAACCTCGTCATGAGGTCGTGACTTGATTGCTCGTTCCCACAGCCCTGAGACTGCTGCTGCACCCCCGCCTTCAGACTTGGCACAATTTTCTTGCAGCATTATCAGGGTTGATATGTCAGTAACGGGCGGATCTCTTTCGCATAGTTTCCGCAACTCTGCTGCACCTTGTTCCCTCAAGGGGGAAGATGGGGAGGACAGCAGAACATGAGCTCGAAGAGCCTATTGAGCAGTCCCATTAGTCTATTTGTTCCCGCCATTTTAATACAAAAATACGGCGGCCGCCCGAAAAAAGCAATTGAGAACAACATTAAAGAGAACGAAAAGAAAAGAAAAAAAAAAATAACGAAGTTAACCATCATTACAAGGCAATGGAGCCACACGCCTTTCCGAATTCCGAACTCCACTCGATTCATGAATTAAAAAGTTAAGCCGGAATTATTGGGCAAGCAAACGCCCAAAACCAAAGCTAAAAGCAAAAATTGCAAGCAAAAGGAACAGATAAGTGTTGCTTCGGGTTGAGTACCGAATAGAAAATTGAAGACCGAATATTTTCAACAACTTGGAAAGAACATGAATTGTATAAAATAAACCATCCTAAATCAAGCAATGGACAGGCAATGAACAAGAACAAGAACCAGCGGAACAACGAGATTCAAAAATATAGCATCGAGTATTTAAAATAAAAGTCATCAACTCATGAATATAAAAATTGCACCAATGCAGCAAAAAGGAAGCAGGAAGCAAAGCCTTTTCATACTTACCAAAAGAGAATCACCCTTTTCGCCCTTTTTAAGCCTCTTCTCTAGGAGCTGAAGTGCCTGCTTCCAGTTGCCATTGTCGAGAGCATCAAAAACCTGCTTATCGCGGCGTTCCACCACCGATGAAGCTGATGATGTGGGTGCGCGCATCATTTTTCGACAACAAGACGCAGCTTTTGGAGACGGGTATAATTGACCGCTGTCTATGCTTTGTCCTGCTTCGCTTGGAGGCAAATGAATGGCAAGATTGAAAAGAATCCAAAGAAAAATACAGGGTATATATGAAGAGAACGAAATAAAAACAACACTGAACTTTTCAGATCAAGTTCACACTCCGACACATTTGCACAATGCAGTAAGAGAACTTCATCATTGAACTTCCATGTTGACAGTAATTTGATCCAATCCGAGCATCTGAGCTTGGGCTAGGGTCTGCAGATAGACACGGTGCGCAATCAGGTCGGTGATTGCCGAGAGAGTCAGATTGATATAGGTCGATAAGCAACATCTCCCTCGTCCTTGAATAATCAATCCTATTTTGAGCTACCGTACCGCACCAACATAGTAGAGCAGCTGATGAAATATGGATAGCAAGAGATGCATTACTGAGACTTTATATGATCAAGACATGGGTCAAGTGCTCTTTTAAGTGCCCGAATAATCAGGGATACAGAGGGTAATTAGAGTCAGCAATATTCAAGTGACGCGGTGGAGAGGTAAATAGACATTGTTTCAATGTGAGTGATAAACCGTAATTCTTGATAGTTTGAAAGTATTTTTTATCTAGATATTGAGGAATTTCAAGATATCTTGGCGAGCGAATGTTTCTAGTGTAGCATCGAGCGGTGCGCGACGATAGATTACCACGGCCAAAGCTAGCTCTTGCGTGAATGCTATATTAGCAGCAAGTATTCATAATGTATGTAGCATCCGCTGGAACATGACGACAGTTATGGACCACCAAATCTTTCACTGTGGCGATTGGCCTAGCGGTTGGATGCAGCCAGGAGTGGATGCGAATTTGGGGTATGCCGAATATCAGGAAGGAAGAGGACCCTTTTGACGATTGGCCCCAAACGTCCCATGGCAGTCACCCGCGGAGAAGTCATCTATCTTGGACCTGTGCCGAAGTGTTTTTTTTTACTGCTGCCATATAGTAGGGATCCCCGCGCCTCATACTCGGGGTTGTGAACCGAGCTACTTCTCGCCTGCGTAATAGCAAAGGGGTTCAAATGCCATATTGAGTTTTCAAATCCATGATCGTGTACTAACGATGCAGCTAGTATCACAGTATCCAATACGATAATATCATGACAAAGCCGAGACTCCATTTAACCTTATGGGAAATCGAAAATACGCCAAAACGTCTCAGAGCCTAAAGAAATGAACCTTTCTCTTTTTGCCTTGCTGCCTTCCGCTCGTTAATCTGTATCAATGCTTCTGTCAGCAAATATTTCGTATTGTTACCCGCTCTGGCTTTGAAAACCGGAGCGAAATTGCATTGCATGATAAAGGAAGGCTCCGGAGAGACAAAGCGAATTGTCATACCCATTGCTTTTTGCAGTCTCGATATGCCCTGTTTGTTTGTATACATGTCAGTCTTGTTTGATAATTATTGGAAAATAAAGGCATCGATTTATATGGAACGTAGACGAAATGAAAACCCAACATCTCATTCGCACCTGAGCGTAACTTGTCGAGGTTGCGAAGAGGGTGAGAAGAGGTTGGGAACGCTGAGTGAGGTCGAATCGGGGGTGGGCCCAATGACTGACTGGAAATAATCTGCACAGAGGTCCTTATCGGCACCGTTGCGGTGCAAGCATCGGATGCTACGGGATGCTGCTTCTTGACAAGGGTCGAAGTACTCGCTATTTTGCTTCCTGCAGGATCGTCAGTGCATGCATCAATGACAGCAAGGAGTTTTTGGCTGTGGAAAACCAGCGATAATGGACACAAAGCCCGGAAGCAACTTACTTGTTGAATTTTGTCTTGGTCTCGGCATTCCATGGGTCAGAAGGCTTGTCTGTTGCGCTTTCACTCGACATAGTTTCAACAGAGCGACCACCAGCAAGAGCTGCCTAGAAAATGTCGATTGGTTTTGCGAAAAAGGGTCAAGTAGGCAGGTTCAGTCGGTTAAGCTCGCATATGCGGCGTTAGAGAATGTGCTGCCACAGCTTCAATGATAATGCTGTGTAGACTACTCTGTACTGTAGGAAGTTATTGCCCAGACAAAAGATACCGCAGAGCCAAACGGGTCTTTCCCAGCACTCATCTGTCAATGGCAGCTCTTGCGTTCGGCAGTTCCCGTTCGTCTCGGCTGCAGAAGTTAGCGCCACAGTATTCCGATGCAAGGCAAAGCGGTGGAGGTGGAGGTGCGAGGTGTTGATGGCTTATCGATAACAAAGGGGACATCCTTGAGACCCAAATAGAACCGCGTTTTTCAGAGAGCAGGAAAAAATCAAAGTCCTCCTCTTCCGGTCGTAAAGGAGGGAAGGCTCTCCTCGAGTTATAGTGCTAGCCTAATCAGACATTTAAAATTTGGTCTGTTCGGGATCGAGTTAATGCTTAGACAGTGTATTGGAGCCAATAAATCACATGTGACTTTTTCAGATGAGTCGATCATTTCAAACACACTGCAGGCAATGAACTGGAGATGACGCCTAGGATAAAGAAAGTCTGGCTTGCACCCATCTGTGCAAGGCAGCAAAAGGATTATTGATCCCTCACGATCGGGTATATTGCCATTTTGACATAGTTTACTAAGGTATGTGTAGCTATCCGTCGCATCTGTTATGCCTTACCCTCCCTGTTCCTGCCCAGGCCCTCAACATAACGGAATCAGCGTCGAGAAATGTATATTTCAGGATGGGCACTTTCAGGAGAATCCGCCATGATTGCAATGGCTCGAGTGGAAAATCGATCGACCATTAGAGTATCTCATGACGGCAAAAGAGCCCCATGTGCTTGTACTTCATAATTAAAAGGCTCGGGAGCGGAGACCTGCAACAAGTTGAGTTCAAAAGCCTCTGCCAGAAAGATGGTGGGAGCCAAAGGTTATCAGCGGATGTGTTGTTCGTAGCAGCCACTCCTATCAAGCCCTCCACTTAGTCCTTTGCGGACCGAAGGATTAACGTTGTCCGGTCAAGGCGTCCACCGACGAGAGGGCGCGAACTGCACTAGCGAGGTTACCAGGGGGCTCGTCAAACCCGCCCTGACTGGTCAGTATGCCGTCAACGTCGCAACCATGCGCTCGACACCCTGATCTGGAAAAAGAATCCAGTTCAAACGCCCCATGCCACAGTAGCAGATCCTATTGTCAGGGTGTGCTCGGAGCCATTCAAACTCGAGTAGCGGCAAGAAGCACAATAATCCTCCACACCTTACAGAATGCTCAATTTGAATTGACTATCTGTCCCCACATGGCCACCTCCCAAGTGCTGCATCATCCCAGCCTCAAGGCTTTTCCTCGAACAAATGAATCTGTAAATTGGTGCACCAATGTCTTGGTTTTTAGGGAAGCGTGTCATTGTGACCCTTGTATCAGCACGAGTTGGATCAAGTGGGAGCAACGGACCTTGCGGAACAAAGCCGATTGACTAAAAGAGACCCAGTATCAGTATCGTACTAAACCGTAACCCTTTCCTGCTTTCCAAGTCGAGGAACAATTTCCATACAAACCGTAGCCTGAGCCGAGTGACCAAGAATCCCATCACACCGTCAAGGATTCAACAGCCATCCATCCTTCTTGATAACTCCTTTCAGTATTGATTCACACATGCTAGATGTGGCCCCAGAGACGGAGGCTGGCACACGATAAGCGGGTAGCATTACGTACCATGCATGTGGCAGCTGTTAGATGCACACATACTCAGCATCTCCCGGTCCAGATATCTAGGGCGCTGTGTTGTAGACAAAGCCTCGCAAATCTGCGGGGTTAATTGACTAAACCTCCAAGCCGGGCCGGGATGGCCAAACGGCTATTTAGGAGCCAAGATCAATTGGCAGATAAGAGAGGATCCAAAGGGTTCGAAGAAACCGCACTAGAGCTATCACCTCTGTTTTGACAGGAGAGCTCCCCTAGCACTTGAACTCCATAAAAGTTGGCACAACAGCTCTCATGAGATCCTCCATTAGCTCATAAGAGTGACGAGCATAGCGCATCTGAAAGGTGTCTATATCCGACCGACTCCCCCTTCTACCAGCATCTTGATAACGGCACAGCCAAGGCTTGTTCCTCAATAAAACTAGCTCTCTTAAATTGCTCCGAGGTAGTATTCCCTCAGGTGTTGAAGGGTTCATTTGAGTTTCAAATCGTTTTGCAAACATTACTTGTCCTTTCACCCTTTTCTCGCACCAGAGGCTCCGAGATTGTTCCGGCTTCTTGTCGCAACACCAGCACCCCTTCGTCATTCTTCCACAGTATTGTGGGCAAACACTCCTGTTTTCTGCAATCCCTTTGGAGAGTTTTCATCGCCTTTGAATTTTGGAACCCAGCTCGCACCTATTCATACCAAATCCCACAAGCTCATTATCAAGAATACTTACCAGTTTGGCAGATTTATTCTGTACGGATAACGGAATCAATCATGGCGACTGCAGGTGTTCTCCCTCCGCCATCTAGCGCGCGGCGCCCGAGTTTCAAGCCAATCATCGAAGCGGCAGGTTCCAAGTCCACTGCCAAGGTCGGCAGCTCTGAGTTCAATCCAGAGAAGCACCTTACTTTTGAGCCACCTTCCAAGGTGTATAAAATGGCAGACATTGGACTTTCGGACGAGACAGGAGTCTCAACCGTGGCAGTATCTGAGCCTTTCCCTCTATTTTCTCCTGAAGCAATTCGTGTGATGCGTGAGGAGGTGCTCCGGGAAGAAGTGATGAACAACTGCAACTACTCCAGCAACATCGCAGCTTGTCAGCTGCGAGGTTTTGCTCCAAAGTAGGTTGTTTGATCGTTGTTTCGACTAGAGACTGAAAGGCTGACTGTCGAAATAGATATTCACCTTTTGTTTATGAAGCCTGGAAGAACCCCAAGACTTTGGAAATAATTTCGAGAATAGCAGGTGTTGATCTCGTCCCGGTCATGGACTTTGAAATTGGACACGTCAACGTTTCTGTCAAATCCGAGCAGGAAAAGGAGCGAGAACTAGCCAACATCCGAGAGGCAAAGTCTAGAATGGCCGATGAAGGTATTGCAGGCTGCCCTTGGGAAGATGACAAGCCGATTGTGGGCTGGCACACGGACAGCTACCCCTTCGTCTGTGTCCTCATGCTTAGTGACTGCTCAACCATGGTGGGAGGAGAAACAGCTCTGCGGACCGGCAAAGGTGATGTGGTGCGTGTTCGCGGCCCTCAGGAAGTGAGTACTTTTTGCATTCAGCACCCGAAATTTGCAAACAACTAACAGTTTCGCGTCAGGGCTGCGCCGTCGTTTTACAAGGACGGTATATCACACACCAGGCTCTGCGTGCCCTAGGCGCTACAGAGCGCATTACCATGGTTACGTCCTTCCGTCCTCGTTCGCCACATGCTCGGGATGATACAGAGCTGAGAACAGTGCGGCCAATCTCGGACTTGTCCGAGCTGTATTATCAGTTCGGCGAATATCGACTCGAGATCCTTGAAGAGCGTATCCGTAGCCAGCTGCGGAAGATACGCGAGACGCGCGGTGCTGGCAAGAGATTTGACACGAAAGCGATGAAAAATTTCCTCACTGAAACCGAGGACTTTGTTTCGCGCACAGATGCGGAACTCATCGAGGACGAGAAGGTTCAGGTGGGATATATTGAAGAGATGAAATATGAAAACGTCAAGGTTGAAGACACCAAGGCGCAGGAACATCCTTCGAAGCGTTCGCGGGTTGAATGAAGTTAGAATTAATATGATGTGTTATCGTTTGCATTTGAGAATTGAGGATGGGCTAATCGAACCGCCCCTATGAATGTCAGCAAGGTCATTTGCGTTTCTGATTTGTGCATTCCATCTCAAGTTTTTCTTCTTCTTCTTCTTCTTCTTCTTCTTCTTCTTCTTCTTCTTCTTCTTCTTTGCTTGTACTAGCGAATATCGTTCGGAGAACTCATGTCCTCAGCTTTCATTGCATACTTGATCAATTTACCTGCTTGATAGTAGCACATCATTTATGCCAAAGTTATCTGCATGATTGATCAAGATTGAATGTGACGCACCAAAGACGAACACTGCAATAAAATAGAAATCTTGGGAAAGAAGAAACGAAAACGGAAATATAAACACCAGCTACCTTTCAAAAGACTAATAATTTGAGAAAACTAAAAAAATTGAATGCCAGACTGTACTTTGCATAGCAGTGAACAAATGCAGACAGACGGCGTGCAAACAATGCTATCACAGCCATTTCATGGTGCTGCAGAACCTCTGTTCGATATGAAAGATTGAATGTGTTCGCATGATTGAGAAGAATGTCAAATATGTTTTCGCTTTCCTATTACACTTCGAAAGACAAGGTGTCAGGGTAGACCAGGCGGTGCTTGCATACCTAGCCAGACTGGGTGGGAGCATTTAATTTGCATAGATACGGACACCGAAACATTGAAATAACAAGCCGCTTGTATGCAAGCGAAAACATTAGCGATGCGCAAAGCTAATGATAGGGATGATGATGATGCTTTGGCAGAATGAGATTATCGAGAACATTGTTGGACGTTCTGCTGCATAACGCGCCACCTGGTGGTGATGTCTCCCTAGAGCGGTTGGAGCGGAAATGGCTGCTGTTCGCTAAGCGCGGGTGACATTGCTTCTACAAGTAGCGAGGGTGCTACTGTAGTCCTGTACTCTAAATTGATGCGATTCTTCATTCTGGGCAATCTTTTGTACGCATGGCGACATAAAGAGAAGTGAAAGGGCTATGCTTTGTGATACTTTGTGATAGTAGTGCTGTCTTTTCTTCTTGGAGTCACTTTAATTACTTGTAAGATACTTGTAAATGAAATAATTCTCACAACAGATACCAGTTAGTCAGGATTGGGCCTTAATTGCTTTGTGACCGTCATGAGTGGCTAATTATTTTCGCTACGCTCAGGCGCCAGGGTCCAAGGCGTTCGACCACTTGAACCACTAAAGGCTCATCAGATGAGCTGCACCTTGAACGTCTTTGCCTGACCAGCCTTGTACCACCTTGGACCCTCTCAGTTTGTCCCCCGTTCTTCTCCTCCTCGTCAGCCTGCCTTAGGCATTTAAAAACTAGAATTCGGAGAAGAGCTGTGAATGGAGCCGAGACGACCATCGATAGCGCCTGCCACTCTCGCAACCGCTGATCTCTCCGAGGACCTGGACCATTCCGCTTCTGCAGCAGCTATTCAATCACCTGGATCCTCACATATCCTGAACCAGCGTCCACCAAATCCTCAGCAGCCCACGTTCGCTAGAAACGCATCCGATGCAGATGTAAGCGATCGATCTGAACTTCACACTCGCCCGTCCTCTCAAACGGGCTCGATGCCCTCAGCATCCCGCTTTCCCGATGCCGCGAGGCCCGCCGAGCCCTCCGTTCGATCAACGAGAAGCAGGTCTTTAGTACCGGACGGAGGTACAAAGGATGGCGCCACCGCGGCTCCAAAGCAAGAAAATGCTCTCCCCCGTGCATCAACCGGCTCCCCGAAGGCTACTAAGACGGCTGGAGGGGCCGGCAAAAGCGATGGACAGGAGCAATCACGAAGCGGAAAGGAAATTGTGAAGGGACTAAAGTCACAAGCCAACGAGGAGGTATAGTCTTATACCTTATTCAAATGATGCTCAGTTCTAACAAAGGTTTTCTAGCTTCTTCAAGGTTTTCGAACCAGTTTTGACAGTCTGCGCTCGCTGGTCACCTGCCGTGTCTGCGTGAGATTATTATACGAGCCTTACATGATTAGTTGCGGGCATACTTTCTGTTACAGCGTAAGGCTTCTGCAAGTAGAGTTGACGAGAATGATGCTGAAGAAATACTAGTGTCTCTGCCAGTGGTTCGTCAATAACAAAGCCCGCAAAACATGTCCCGATTGCCGCAGCGAAGTAAAACATCCTCCTGCTCCAGCATTTCTGGTCAGTACAGCCATCAACCCGTAAACCTCATGTAAATTATGCTAACTTCACAATTACTTAGGTTCGCGAAATGACCGAAATATTCATCAGTCGTGCCGAGCTTTTGCCTGCAGGGGAAACAGTCTTAGAACATCATAAATGGAAGAAAGAAGAATCTGAACTCATTGAGCGTGACAGAAATAACAAGGATCCCGAAATAGGCGGTTTATTCAGAGGATGTTTCAATCATCCGGATGTGGAATTGAGAGCCATCAGGGACGATGAAGACGGAGTTGAACGCTGTCCAATGTGTGCTTGGGAGTTGGAAGATGGTCTATGTGGTCAATGTGGGCTTAGATTTGATGATGACGGGCGAGTTATGCGATGGGGAGCACCGAATTTCAGCTTCAGCGATGTGGACTTTGACGATTTCCCAAGTGAGGATTTGGACGATGAAGTCAATATGGAAGACGATTTCGGTATCGATGACGAATCTCAATGGGATGATACTCGTGCCAGCTACTCCGGTTTCGATTTTTATGATGACGAAAGTTATGCCCCCCCGACGACTTTTGCCATCCAACGAGCTATCAACCAAGGAAATATTAGACCACCCCGTCGCGCTGCGTTTCATAGTGCAGCGGGCAGTCGAAGGCGCAGCTACACTTCGAGCCTGGTCTCTGACATGACCATTTCCGAAGATGGGGAGATGGGGACTGTGGAGGAGGAAAGTGAAGAAGAAGAGGATGATGAGCCAACGTCGCTTGACGGCTTCATAGTGGATGACGAGACTGACCAGGTATCGCGAGGTTCGCAGCCTACCTTTCGGCGCGCCTCTCAGCATCCAAGTCAGCGTCGAGCTCAGAGAACTGGACCGCGGGCTCCGCCATCGGATTCAGTGAGTACAGCGTCTCACACTCAAACAGAAGAGGATGACGATGATTATGACGAGGGCGGAGCCGTATCAACGGGGAGGCGCCGAAGACCTGGCCAAAGAGGTCCTTCTCTAGGCCGACTCGGCCGCCGCGGGCCAATTGCTCTCACTATTTCGGATGATGAGGAGCATGATCTTAGCGAAAGTACACAGGCTCTTCTCCGAAGCCAGAGGGGATGGTCGCAGCTCGATCACGATACTGCAGATGATATGAGCGAGACAAATGATGACGACGATGACGATGATACAATGACCACAGTGGGAATGCCGGCAAGCACAATTGGGGCCGACAGGGCTCGGCTTGGAGGTTCTTTGACACCCACTGCTGACTGCCCCCGGCCTAACATTCGTCCTCCATCTCGAGTTAGGAATCGGGTGATTGATGGGTCTCGAGGGATCAGGAGAAGATCTTCTGTACTATCAGTGACTTCCTCGGCCATTGACGAGGATGGCGAGGCTGATGACGACGACTCCGATACTGGCTCAGTAATTAGGGATCGGGATGGAGATGTGGACATGAGCCTCGAGAGTCCGCCTCAGGGTGCCACAATTAACCGTCATGCACGACTGCCGCCTCTTACGGTGAATCGACCTGTCGCTCGACGGGAGCCAGCTGGGCCGGGCCCAATCTCACCTTCACTGGACGGCACCGCAGACGTGGACTCTGACTCAACATCTGATGCTTCAATCCAACCAGCTCGCCGACGTCGACCTCGGCGATTGAGACAGCCTGAGTATAACCCCATGATTAGTGCTATCCTAGCTCGACACCAGATTGATATGCGAGGAAATATTGCCCAGCTAGGAGATTCCACAGCTAACAGTTTGGAGATTCCCCGCACAAGGACACCAGTAGCCCGGCCCCGGACGGCAAACCGCAATCGAGTCAGTAGCCGCTCAGGTACGCCCTCGATTGCTCCGCCTTTCTCGCCCCTTTCAAACGGACCGTTGCCGCCATTTTCTCCACCTCTAGCTGCTGCGCCATTGCGTTCTCGGACCCCTTCAGTCATGACAACCGTTTCTACAAGTCGATCTTCGGAATCACCTAATACTGCAACGAGGGCGAGTACATCACCTGCTGGTAACCCGACATCTTTGGTAGAAGCCGCTCTTTCTCCGCCTCCTCCATCAACGTTGATCCAGACGAACGTGAACCCGGACCCAGCACCTCTGGCACAACCAAGTTCAAGTGGAACTCACGATAGTGGCCCAGCTGTCCCTGGCTCGATTGAGCGGCCGGTCAGTAGGATGTCTTCCATTTCCGGATCTGGTTCATCTAGTAGGCGCATTTCGATTCCAGGAAGAGACGCAATTGCTACATTTCATGGTTATCCGGCCACAGTGCCATTTGTTGCACCCTCGCCGGGGCTGAATTTTGCTGCTCGTTCCTTCCAAGGTGGCAATCCGTGGGCTGGATATGTCCGGACTCGACCCTCGACTAACCGTTTGAGGGAGCAAAGCTCAACGGCGACGCTGAGAGCTCGTAACTCTCGACGCGAGCTGCGATCCCAGCCCTCACAAATAAACATACAGGATATACCGGCACCGCAGCCGGTTATGAGACCGCAGGCGTCACGGTCATCTCTTCGCCCGATGCCTTCCCAACAGCGTTTACGGCCTCAAGGATCGACACAAGCACTACGAATGGGTTCAACTACACCCACACCGCAATCACCGATTCGAGTTGGCGCTACTTTACCTATGCCAGGGATTCGCCACATGATCACTGGGGGTCGTCGCCTCTCAGACGAGGAGCGTCGACGACTAGGTAGTGAAGTAGTCAGACGGAGGGCAGAGGAGCTGGGACGGCAAAATAGCAACCCTTTCGCTGCGAGAACCCGTCTGGCTCGGGGCTCTCAAACCGTAGGGATTGGATCAACCTCTGGCCAGGCCACCGAGCAATTGCACACACATCCGCAATACCATCGACAGACACACGAGGCCTCTGTAGACGACCGGAGTCAGCTTTCACTTGAGTCATCTCGGGCGGGTATAGGGCCTGTCACTCAACGGACAGACTTGAATACCTCGGCCCCGCAGGGAACCCTTACATCTAACACTCCGAGCACTTCAGCTCGCCAATCCAGCCTCCATCGGGGCAGCCGTCGAAATCTGAGAGGCTCTTTTGATGGGTCGACAATGACAGCTCCTAATCCCGGCATGAATGCTGCTCCTGTTTACACTCGAGATCGTGCGAACTTGGGTAATAACCTGGGCCACCATTCCAACATGCTTCGTGGCCTCGGTCCCATGATGGCTGGCGGGGAACCCCAGCGTCTGGGATAAATTATTTCGCCTCGTGGAAAAGTTTACGAAATTCTTTTATGAAGTCTTAAAAACAGCAAGCGAAAAACAGCCACTCTCACGACTGGGCATACATTTTTCCTTTAACAATTGTTTTTAATTTTCACAACTGCTTTAGCCCCAATGACTGCTGCGCTCTCATCATGCTCATGACATTATATTTTGCATCGGCTCGATCATTTGTATTTCACTTGTCATGTTTACTCGCGCACCAAAATCTGCATTTTCTTAGCCAAATTTCTATTGAAACGGCATATGATGATGATGTCTTTCGCATAGCTCTTTGCATCTTCACGGCGTTCATTTGTTTTGATCTTGAAGGTGTCTTATCTCTTTCGGTCTTTGCATCTTGCGTCTTAGGTAGCTCGGGTGAAAAAGGGGACCGGTTCTGACCTTTGTTCTTCTTCATACAGTGCTGGTCCAAGACCTGGGGCTAGAGCTAAATAGCGCTTTTTTTTATGAATATATGCGGAAATGCAGACGATATGAAATGTGAATATGACTATTACGATTATATTTTCTTGCAATTTTCAAATTTTACAAGCTGGTTCCATTGTTTTCAATGTCCAGATCCGAGAGACTGTTCGACGTTTTCAGAGCAATGAATAATATATCCATATTTGTGATATGCACACTAGATACAGTACATGATACAAACAGAAACTAGAGTAATCGATACCTGAGGTAGGTAAGGTAACAGATGAGCAGGAAAGATTAGAAACAAAACGCCTACAATAGAGCCTGACTAATGATGAGGTCGAAATGCTGCTTGATATGCGCCTATTGAATCAGAGAAGGGGGGAAAGGGAAAGAAAAGGAATAAAAACCCAAAGTGCTTTTTTTCAATGGTGCAGGATACCCCTGTTTAGCTGCTCAGCTTTATTCTTCACTATTGGCGACATCTTTGGAAGCTTCCTGCTTCGGGACTTCAAACACCACAGCGCCATTCTTGCCCTTGAGCTTGATCCAGCGGCCAAAGCGATGTTCCGTGCCGACAGCAGCAACGACGCAAGCTCCGTCGCGACCGCGATCGCCGCGCTCGAATACAGCAATGTCGTTGACGACACCGCGTATCGAGGTCTGATGCGGATTCTGGGTTCCGGTCGCATCGCCATTGACCAGTTCAAGTCCGTTGGCATCTCCGCTGCCACCTGCTCCACCGCCCAAGACACCCATTGGTTCCAGACTTTTCTTGTCGTCGCCGATGCGCCAGACGCGGACATAGCCATCTGAGCTACCACTTAGGATGACGTCCGAAAAAGGAATGGTCGCGAGGGCAGTGATCCAGCGAGGCTGGGGTCGTCCAGGCGGGATGGGATCAGGGTTTTGCTCGGCGGAAGCTTCCTCGGGTTTAAGAGGCGGGTTGAGACCGTGGGCGACGTGGACAGTGTAGAGGGGTTTCTTCTTTTGCAGGGACCATAGTGAAATACTACCGTTGTCGCTGCCGGTGACGAACGTTTCTTCGTCGACCATGGCGATGCGGTCCATGCTGCCTTCGCCGTAGCGAGCTGTGGAGACGGGAGCACCGCCGTTAGCGGCTTCCAGTTCCTTTTCTTTTCTCGATTTCTTCTCGAGGCTCCCGCCGCCGCGGAACACGAGCTGCGATTCTTCAACGACCTTCCATAGACGAGCGGTCCGGTCGCGGGCGCCTACGCTGACGCAGCGCTCTTGTGCGAGTGCGTCGACGTCGACAACTTCGTCTTGGTGACCGAAGAGTGTCTCGACGTAGGCTAGCTCGTCGAGACTCCATGTCTTGAGCGTTCGGTCTTTGGAGCCGGAGTATAGCTGGTTGGTGCCGCGGCGGAAAGCGAGTCCGGTGACGGCGTCACGGTGCTGAGTGAAGACTCGGAGGGGCGTCAGGTCGGTTGCGTTCCATACAACGAGGCGTCTGTCCCGTCCGCCAGTGGCAACGAATTTGCCGTCCTGAGATGCAGCTACGGTGAGGATTTGGTCGGTGTGTCCGAGATACGAGGTATCGTCGGCGAAGTTCTTGTCGCCTTTGACGAAGGCGATTTGTTTGGGTCGTCGGCGTGCCGGAGGAGGATTCTTTTGCTTCTTGGTGCCGTTCGTCTGAGCGTTGTTGGTAGAAGAGTTTGATGGAGAAGGAGGAGTGGGCAGTTCCCATTTGATCAATGTCATATCTTTGGATACAGTGTATGCGTAGGGCGCACATGTTGCAATTGATGTCGTAGGAAGGGTATCAGCGCGGAATTGAGTGCATGTGGCATCGGAAAATCCTAGGGAGTCTGCAATGCGTCTGTACATGCGACCTTTTGTTTCGGCCTTGTAACCACGACACCGTTAGTGTGAAATCAGAAGGACGGAAGAGATTGAGCGGTAACGTACAACATCCTCTTTTAATCGCTCTGCAATCATGTCCCTGTCAATCTCTGCTGCGTCGAACCCATAGTCGTCCACTTCCTCCCGTACGTTCTCGAGGTAACGCTCTGCTAGCCTTAACCTTCGTTCTGCTGCGGTTTCGTCCTCATTCTCTGAACCAGAGGTTCCCTCGTCCTCATCCATCTCCTCATCTGCGCCTTCTTCACCCTCCGACTCACTGCCGGATATCGACTCATCGCGGGTCTGTCTGCTCCGGGCACTTCGTTCTGCTCGATCTGTCGTGGCGTTGCGCTTGTTGTTCGACTGCGCTGCGTCGGTCCTCTTCCGCTTGCGCTGAGAAGCGGGAAGCGTGAAAAATGATGACATGGCTGCTTATAGACTCGTACACATAGAGAAGTAAGAAAGTCTCTTGAAATACGAGTGAAGGAGCAGCGGGCGGCAAATGAAAAGGGCGTTCAGCCTTTAGTGTATCATTATCAACTTTTTGGGTCTTTGATTTTTGTGTCGCTTTCTGGTCGTCGATTGGTCCGTGCGCGCGAAATCTTGGCAGAAAGTCTCTATCATATCAATCAGTTGATCAGATAAGATGATAACTTGGTTTCACAACCTCCGTACAACTTACCATTAGATTGTTTCATTCCCTTATATTCTCCGCTTCCTCGTTCATAAAGACAATTCTAAGTTGATTTTAGAAAACAAACTTTTGTTGAAATGTTATCAGAAAGCAATATAGCTCTTCTGATAAGTTGGCCAATCGGGTCGTGCCATTTCTGTGCAACATCTCAGCCTCCCTCAGACGAGGCTGAGCATAGCAGCCACCGGCTGGATAAATGTCTTTAGAGTTTACTGTTATGCTTTTTATCTTAAAAGACGATCTGCTTTTATTTTGTGATCTGAATCAAATTGCATTCCATTGTTCCCCTGATATTTTCTTCGAGGATTGTCTCTGGATTCTCCGAGTTACTCATCCAGTTGACTTTCTGCGGACTTTTGGTGCATGAGACACTCAGTCCATCATGTCCGGCGTCGAGCTCCTCGGTGCTGTTGCGGCCGGCGCTCAATTTGCTGATCTGGGATGGAAAATCGTCATCGGCCTCTCACGGCTTTGTGCCGATCTGAAGCATGCTCTGGCAAATCTCCCGACGATGAACCAAGAGTTGACAATTTTAGTTCAAATTCTCGACAAAATCTCCGACGACCTGAGCCCTTGGATTAATTCTTTAGCTGTTGACCCGAGCGGAACGTCATTGACAAACCACAGCCCACCCGAAGTAGGGCTTGTTCATGAATTATTGAGACGAGCAGAGACTCTTAAATTCTTACTTGAGAAGCTCGAACCCCGTTCCAAAAGCAAACTCAAAAATGCCTGGATTACCTTTGTTTGCGCAAAGAAACAAAAAAGTATAGAGGAAAGATTCCTTCAACTCGAGCGCCTCAAATCATCTCTGACCTTATTGAATACTCAATATACCTTAAACAGCACAAGAAAACTAGAGTGTGTTCTCAACTTTCATAACCGGTATCTCTGCTAACTGTTCGATAGGGCAGAGACTAAAGAGGTAAATGTGGGAATTGCTGCCATGAATGGCTCTGTTCTCCGAAATATTAGATCTAACGAGTCCGGCATTTCGAGGCTGGAAGCAAAAGTCGATTTGATCTTGGCTTCGCAGCAGAAACATTTCGCTCAGTCATCTAATTGCACGAATATAGTTCCTGCATCGTCCGAGCATATGGGTATGAACGAACTTCAAACGGTGAATCGTCTCTCAAGCAACCTGCAGAGTCGTTTACTAATCTTTTCTCTGTAAGACACGCATGTTATTCCTTGCAGCTGGCTCGAAACCGGCCGTCGCCCGCGACTTATTAGACTGCTTAGAAGTTCGTGATCTGGCTCTTGTGCATTCAAACAATGAGGTACTCTCTGCCTTAAGGATGTCGGGCAACAAATGCGCCCAATGCCTTAAAACGAGTGTAGGAGTCTGTACTCATGATGCCAGTTGTCAGGGCTATCAAGCAGTTTCTCAAAAAAATAGATCTTCTAAGCGAAAAGGTGTTTGGAAAATTTCTGCAAGACTTCCATATATTTTGTCGAGAGTCATATCAATCACATTTGAAGCAACTTCCGGAGCTGGTGGGTTATCAATCTCTTCGGAGCTTCGCCTGCCAAGGATCGTCGACAGATCGAACTCGCCTGCATTTAATTTGACAGAGAGAGCAATACGGGACATAGAATATCAGCTTAAAGGGATCTGTGACGTCCTTGTTTACTCAACGGATGACTTTGATACACCCGCTGAGCTGGAGTCTACTGGCCCTAGGTATACTGTCTTGTGGCCGGGCGAGGAGACTTACGAGACGGCGCCGTTCGAGTCAGCCATCAGAAAAATAGAAGAATGTCTTTTAAAATTGGTGCACGATCTCACCGAAGAGTTCTTCTGTGGCAGTGCGTCTGCACAAGATCAGGATAGCAACGGTGTTACTTTGCTCCATGTTAGTATATTCTAGTTGATATCCTTGATATCAGCACAGTTGAACTTAAGACCTGAAAGGAAATTGCTCGCATGGCTGGCCTCTTAGGCGCCTTGAGCGATCGATTTGAATCAGCTCTCAACCTTGCTGTGAGGCTTCTCGTCAATAATGGTGTGGATGCAAGCGCTGTCTGGCTATGGTATGTAAATTTCGAAAAAATGACTGCACTGTTCTCACTCTATGATAGGCGAATGGATGGGAAAATATATTATTTTAATGCTTTAGCTCAGCTCCTTGATTATATGTCGGTGCTGATAAAATTCCATCCCGAATCCTACGATATTGGCAAACGTAGGATGCAGAAAATCCTTCTTGATAGCGGCTGTGAATTGAATGATACTGCAATCCATGTTTCCGGCTCAATCTTTCCCCTGCTAAGCAAGGATGCAGATATCGCTTTCGGTGAGCAAGCTAATTTACCCTGGGAACGTTAATAGAGCTCAATTAAATCTTCCTCACAGATTGCGGGTACGATGAGCTTTCTCTGTCAATTATTCGTCGCTCGGACTCAGACATGCGTCGCATATTGCGGAGATCTGCCTGCGTAAATGGACGACCCAACGTCAATTATCCGCCCATAGCATTTGCTCTAGGATGGCACGTAGGCACGGTGGCTCTCCTAGATGCCGGCGCAGATCCACTTCCAATCATCCCACAAGTGATTAAGCGTAAGGATGATGACTCGCTTCAACTCATTTTCACTTACAATTTCCTTGATCGGTTTGAAGGATCCCGGGAAGCTCTCTTATTTTCAATTTTATGGTTTGCACTTGAGTACAGGGCTACAGACAAAGCCGTTGATTTGATTGCCGATAAGATTCTAAGTGGCGCCCAAATTTGTCAAAAGGTTTCCAGGTAAGCCGCAGATACAGGAGGAAGTAATGCGTTTTCCCGCTCACAAACGTCAGATCGCCTGTAAACCTCCCCCTTCTTCCCAAAGATCATCGATTACAATATTATTACAATTCGGCTTGTCAGAAGGGCAATACTGTATATCACGACCGGTCCGTGAATAAGATTGCTGCCGAAAAGCTATTTAATGTGGGCCTCAACGTTATTGACGGCGTCAACGAAGTGGGAGACACCCCGCTTTCTATGTGGTGTAGGATGGCTTTTATTATTGACCAAATCCCTCCCAGGGAAGAAGAACTTATGCTGTTCTACATAAATAAGGGAGCCTCTCTAGTGTTCGAAAGCAAGATTGCACCCAGATCGCTGCTGCATGCAATGGCTGTTTCATTAGTTCTTCGGAACTTCAAGCTCGGATCGGACTTTGTGCGCATTGCAGAAGAGATAGCAAAGCATTATCCCCAAGGCCACTGCGCAATATTGACAGACGGGTGCGTCTGCTATTGCTCGACTGGCGGTTGCATTCCGACAACGCTATTGCTCAAGTCCTTTTGCATTGAAGTTTGGCAACAGGATTTCGAGTCTAGTCACAACGAAAACGTAACTGCAATTTTGGATTGGACGAGACTCTTTGGATTAACCCAATCTCAGAAAGAGGTATGCTTTGAGGAGTACAGCAGGCTGGATGTGTTCGAGCGCCTGGGAATGGCGCACACCTGCTGCACATACAGGCACCCGGGGCTTAAGGAGAAGGGTTTATCATGTGATGAGCAGGTCGAACTTCGAGAAGAGGATAACCCGCTGAATGAGGTATTAACGATCTACATGCAAACATATAGGCGCGCTCGAAATGATTACCATGGAACGTCCGAGGCCTTTTGGGAGGCTTGGACTGAGGTGGTAAATGAATATCTACCGCCTATCAAAACACGACACGGACGAAAATTCAATATATACTCCCGTGCAATAGACGAGCTAGAATCATCTATTCCCGTCTCAGGGGTTTCTGAGGCTTCAAACCAACAAGGAACATTTATAGAAGACGCGGAGAAAGTCTACGACAGACTCAAATCCATTCTGCATCTCGATGATGAGGCGGGAGCTATGTATAACATGGGTCAAGCTGTTGATCACGTTTTATGACCTCGCTTTGTCTTCTCGAACGTTAGTTGCAAGCATTTATTCAACTCAGTATGCAGTACTCTGCATGTCGAACAACTAGAACCGGGCTATGCGAGCCTTGACAATTGAAATCTCCGAGGCTGTGCTCTCTTTCCCATTACTGTTGTTGATTATTGTAAATTAATAGTTATAATCCACAATTGAATGCTAGACCTTCTTAAAATCAGTTTCATTCGTAAAGTGTTTAGGCCCGAAATGCTCTGGCATTGCTTCCGTTGTGGTCGAACGTCATCAGAGCAGCCTGAGCCTGAGTGTATTATGTAAGCGACTATGAAGCTCCGACCAGGCAGCCTATAGCTCCACGCGTAGGCCGACAGTTAATTCCGCTGTCGTCCTCAGTTCAATATCAGAAGAATCGCATTACACTTCTAACTGTTGCATCAATCAATATGTGTGTATTCTCTTCAAATAAAACTATTGAGCGTCAATCTGACTTGTCACTTCAGGGAAGTTTTACTCGGAATCACTGGAAAGGACTTTACCATCCTTGCGGCCTCCAAGGCCGCCATGCGCGGAGCAACAATCCTCAAGTCTTCCGACGACAAGACCCGCCAACTTAACCAGCATACACTGATGGCTTATTCTGGAGAAGCCGGGGATACAGGTACGTGGGACGAGTCGTTCAGTCTCGACATGAGGATGTGGACAAGGAACTCAAAAAGCTCTGTCCTCTCCGATCGAGCCTTCTACTATTTGGATGCCCGTGGGCATGCTCAGTTGGGATGATTTTTGGTATTCTTTGTTCATCACCACGGGCTTCCATCTCAATCTGCTTCGTTTTCGGAAACACGAGCCTTTCACGTCCAGTGCTATTACCCGTCCTCACGGGTCCCCGGATACGAATTTGAGAACCTCGCAGCATAGTTTGATTGAATGACTAATAACGGCTTTTCCGTAGTGCAATTTGCGGAGTACATCCAAGCCAATGTTCAGCTATATACCATGCGGAACGAGGTCGAACTGAGTCCTTCGGCCATATCGAGCTTTGTCCGGGGTGAACTGGCAAAGAGCTTACGCTCTCGGAGTCCTTACACTGTTAATCTGCTTCTCGGCGGTATCGATCCTATCACGCAGAAGCCACATCTGTATTGGCTTGACTATCTGGCGTCTTGCGCATCAGTACCATATGCGGCGCATGGTTATGCACAGTATGTTGAGCCCTACCCGCTTCGTTCCTTTCCAACTATGTATTGTCTGCCGCATTCTGGGAGCAAAGTCGAATGATCGCTTCTCTCTTGGCCACTGTCCCAGAATCCAGCACCGCACTACGGAAATAAATCTCAGTCCATCCTGCTAAATGGTGTTTTGCCAATAGGTACTACTGCCTCTCCATTCTCGACAAGCACCACCACCCCGATATCAATTACGAGCAGGGTATGAAGATACTGCGAATGTGTACCGATGAGTTGAAGAGACGGTTACCGATAGACTTCAAGGGGGTAAGTACCAGCGTTTACTGATGAAAGCCTCTGAATGTTCCGCTCCACATCATATGTTGCGCCGAATATCATCATAGCTGACTCTCATTCTTTGTTAGGTTACTGTCAAGGTCGTTACCAAGGACGGCATTAATGAAGTCGAGTATGATGACAGCAAGCAGGTCATCAGCGCATAGAGTTCATTGAAAATGGACATTACACTGTCTTTTGGTTCCTAAATTTTTTCCTTTTCACGTGCGTTTTCCTAGGTCCGGCATGGTTTCGGTGCTACTTTTCTATTCTCAATGATCTGAGCGAAATGAAAACACCTTTAAACATATCAGTCATCTGCCACTGCAGCCACTCAGAAGAGAGTTGGCGATCACAAAGCGGACTTGTATGATATAGCCTTATGATACAATAATATGATAGACATTGGAATGTCATCATCCCCAATTTGATCCTCGAAGCTGCAGTGAATGTTGAAATGAATCGAAACTTTGCTCGTCATCTACGAAGTAGTCGAATGAGATGGTGAGATGGCTTGAAGGACTCTATTATGATATACTTCATTCCTAATAATCTATTGAGTTGCCATACTTTTTTCTGTCCCAAAGAGATAGACGTACAAAGTTTTGGCAAGGGAAAAAGCAGGACGCCGCCATGCCACAACTATATAGTACAAAACTCCAGCAGTCTTCCCCAGATAAATGAGGGGAAACAAAAATGTTGATAAACATGATGACACTGATCCAGCTGTAGAAACAGCGCATGCGCACTCAATTGCTTCCGAGCGGATGCCAAGAACGATGCACGAAAGAAGAGGATCCTAACGCCGTATCCCGCAAAGCATATGAAATGAAACAACGAAATCAAGGGAATACAAAAGCTTTTTGGTCCAAAACAAATACCAGATCACCGTATGAGCCATCACACGACAGCTAAGCCGCTATGATTCCATCCATGACCTCAGCCATATCGCCTGCGTCAGAACCGGCATCTGCTTCTTCAGCTTCAATTGCAGCAACAGCGTCTCCACCACCAATGGCAGCAGTCACGCCAGCTCCTCCATCAGCAAACGCGACGTCGTCCATCTCGCGAAGCGTGTACTCGACAAGGTAGCTCTCGTCTGCGAGTTCTTCCATACGGCGATAATGCCGTTCAGTATACGCCTTCATAGCGTCGAACAATTCTTTCAAGCTAGCGGCTCCTTTCCCTCTAGCCGCCGAGCCCTTGACGGGTTTCAAGCTGGCCAGTCGTTCCGCAGGGTAGGACTTGACGACGGTATAGAAGATGCGCTGGGCGATAGGCGCAGTGCGAGCGTTTGTATTCCAGTCACGCAGACGGAGAAGTAACAAATAGAGCTGCTCATCCGAGAGCGAGCCGATAACAGTGTCAACGGCGAGGACGCCAGAAAGGGACCCAGCTTCGGGAGGAGAGGTTTTGACGACAGAGGTGAACAGGCTGAGGAGCCGAGCTGGGTGGTTGAGCTGCAGAGCGAGAGTGATGGCTCGGCGGTACGAGCCGGCATGGATGTAGTTCATGAGTTTCTGCTCTTGCTCGATCCGCTGCGAGGATGCGGTGACGGCAGCGGCTTGAGTGGTGGATGTAGTGTCGGCCCAGAAGGTCACGGTGCTGTCGCCGCCGCCGGAGACGATGGTGTTGGATGAGGGGTGCACGGTGAGTGCCCAGACCTGATGAACAGAGGGTTGGTTAATTGTGTTCTGTAGGAGAGAATGCGGAAGAAAGAAGTTTCGGAGGTGTGGGGAATGTAAAGGGTTTACGTACTCTGTCTTCATGGTTGTCAAGAGTGCAGTCGCATTCGCCGCTGCTTGCGTCCCAGACTTTGACGAGCCCGTCACCGCCTGCACTGGCAATTTCGACGTCACGCTTGTCGCGGCCTTCGCCCTTGGGCATATTGAGCCAAGCAACCTTCAAGACGCTGTTTGTGTGGCCTTCGAATGTGCGGAGACAGCTGTAGTCGGTCAAACTCCAGATCTTGACGGTCTTGTCTCCACTGCCGGTGAGAACAAGGCCCCGGTTTCCGCTGGCAGCGCCGCCATCGCCGGTAATGGTAGGCGTGTCCTTGGGCGCGAATTTGACAGACCAGACACCTCGGCGGTGACCGCGGAGGATTCCTTGCGTTTCGCCCTCCTCGGCGGACCAAATCTTGACGGTGCGGTCCTGGGAGGCGGATGCGAATAATGCTGAGGTGTGGTTGATGTCGATGGCGTTAATGTCCTTTTCGTGCGCCTTGCGAGTGTACGCGGCGCGGGGTGACTTTTTGGTAGAAGAAGAGAGCAAGGATTTAATGTCCCATCTCTTGATGGTCTTGTCTTGCGAACCAGTTACAAGAAAGGCGGGTGGATGCTCAAGAGGTTTCTCATAGGCTGGAGTACCAACAGGAGGAACGGTCCGTGGGAGAGCAATCGCGCCAAGAGACTCTGCGTGACCGGTGAATGTTGCGAAACAGGTATACGAGTTGTTTTCGGGATCGACTCGCCAAAGTCGAGCAGTGTTGTCTTTGGCACCGGTTGCGATCCAGTGGCCTGACCAGTCTGTATCCAAGCAGATGATAATGTCCTCGTGGCCCTTGAGCATGGCCACGTCGGCGCCGAAGTACTGCGGTGCCGTGGAGTTCTGTGACTGACCGTCGCCCGCCGTCGGAGTCTTGCCCAAAGAAACAATACGGATGTCTTCCGTGTTTGTCGCCAGCGCCAGGTATGATTTGTCTCGGGTGACATAGGCAAGATCAATGATCTCATCGTATGTTCCGGAAATTTGACGAATAATTGGAAGAGGAGCAATGGTCTGGCCCTCGGAGAAATCGGACAAAGGTGATATGGAGTGTAAGGTCAAGGTCTGATCAACATTGACAGACACCAGGAAATCGAGGTTAGACTGGAAGACAATATCGACAATGCCCTCGCCTTCAGCTCCGACCCCTTGTTCTCTCGTAGCTTCTCTTCCATCATTTGTTTCCCACAAACGTACGCATCCGTTTTCGCCACCAGTGTAAAGAAGGGAGCCCTGAGCAATAAAACCAACGGCTTCCACCGTCTCCAGCACAGGGATAACTTTCCGTAGCTTCCAGGTCGCGGCGTCCCAAAGAATAATGGTCTTGTCACGGCTGCCTGAAACAAGCGCATTTTCCTCTGAGGAGAAGTCCAACCCTCGCACAACGGAAACGTGAGAATCCAAGATGGCCACACAGTTTCGCCTGTGAAGATCCCATACGCGAACTTTTCCATCGTCATCTCCCGACGCCAATCTGAACGTCTGCACAAGTCCTCCCTCGGATTCCTCCAAACCTTCCATTTCTTCATCATCCTGCGCTTTGTTCTTCTTGCCCTTTCTCCTATTCCTTGCTGAAATTCCTACGTGCGAAGCTGGAGCTGCAGCCTCGAAGAAACGCAGTGACGAGATGATACCACTGTGACCGCGGAAAACATGGGTCGTGAAGCCACCACGGATATCCCACACTTTTACCACCCCGTCAGATCCTCCTGTTGCAAAAAGCGTACCGGTACGATCTACGGCGGAGCTGATGACAGGGGCGGTGTGTGGCTTCAGCGTTCGTAACAGCTCTGTGTCAAATCCATCATCCGAATCCAAGCGAGTAAGCGCATATATGCGCATGGACAGTGATCGCGAGCATGTTATCAAATGAGATGCCGAAGGTGTTACTGTGCCTCAAGTCAGCATGGCTTCTTTGGGTGACATTGACAATTTTCCCTTACTGGCAAGAGTAGTGAGCACCTCTCCATCCTATGTGAGAGATTAGTTAGCCTTGTATACTATGGAGCTCCCGTATCGCGGTTTGGTCGCATAGGATCACATACACCCTCTATTCGAGCCAATTGCTCGCCAGTTCGAAGATCAGTGAGCAGTGCATCCTCGCCCAGACATGTGGCTAGGACTCTGCCGTCTGAGCTAAGGGCAACGGTACCACCAGTGTAGATAGGTTGAATAACATTCTCGACCTCAAAGGTCGTCTTAGTTGCCGTTCTCAGAGCCATGCTGGGATCCAGCCAGCGAAGTCTGAGGGCGAAACAAAAATTTGGGCGCGAAGGATGATATAATTGTTGCTCGTCGGGACTGTCATTATTTTGTCGGCGAAAAGACGGAAAACTTATCGGCACGGAATTTTATTTAGCCGAGGCACATTTGTTATCGGTTCGGATAATTGATTTACCGAGTATCAGTTAGTCCTCCCCCGGATTCTAATAGTGTTATGCTTCTCATCCTCAACTTATACAAACATACATCTCTCAATGTTTTCGACTCCCAGTGAAAGTTCGTGATGGTCGTTTGGTCGTAAGGACCTAAGCCTCTTTGACCATGGGTAGGCAGGCTTACATTACCCGCTTAGCTCTGGTAAGTCCAGTATTTTGTTTTCAAGCTTCATCCTCTTTCTGCATACAAATCCGTCATTGCCATCCCTCGCCCGATCGAACCTTTCTGCAAATATGGATCATAGCCTCGCCTTCAGAGGTATTTTCGCAAAAAAGCCCTTAAATATATCCTTTACTCCATCTCTTTTTGATATTCCACCCCGCGCTGTTTGTCTCTTCGGGTCCGAGGTTTTCAAACTCTCGACTCCTTTGATCCATCACCTGAAGCGCTTTGCTCGGCCCCGTCCAGCGGTAGCCTCGAGCCACTCTGAAGAGGCCAATAAGATGCTCATGTCTCCCGGAGCGGGGCTTGCTATTGCGGAGGTCTCCCATGCTGCCAGCTCGCGCAATGGTTACGAACCTTCTTTGGGTAAAAACAATAGTTCAAGTCTTCCGCAGAAAGCTTTAGATGCCGGGCAGACTAGAGACACTCTCAATGGTCACTTTCAAGCTCAATCCGGCGTTTATAAAGACTCCTGGGAGGTTATCGATCTCGCTGATGATGATTTCGAAGCCTTTGAGCCTCAAGAATGGCCTGAACTTTTCCCGACTTTTGCAGCGAGCGAGTTTTTGGGGTTTGAGATGCTCGATGAATTAAACTAACTGGAAATTTCAGGGTCGCTCAGCATACGAAGCGCCCGAGGAATCGGAACCCGCAGGATCTGTTCCTCATGCTGGGCAAAATTCATCAATAAGACCTACAAATGAGATTGATGCAGGAAATGAGGGGAGCGACTATGTACAACTCTATGACCATAGAGGGCACCCGACCAATCCGGCATCGAAAGCATCGGCTCGCACCTTGATCAAAGCTCAGAACGATGTGTTGGCTACGGTTGGAGTTTGCGTTGGCGTCCAGGGGGATGGAAAGCTGACAAGTCCGTCGACGAAGCTGGAAGATTTGTCTGGAAGTGAAAGAGCAAAGGTTAAGCTCGTGATGGAGGAGAATGAGGTGGGGCTATGGATACGATCCGTCAGTAGTTTTCTCGAATCGACTGGGATGTGGCCTATCATGGCATTGAAGAATCGAATCCAGGTAAAGAAGCCCTTGTAATAAATTCTCTGGTCAGAAGATTGCTCATTGTTCACTAGGTCCTACGTCCATATTCGCAAGTCTCTTTCGTCGAGTTGTTAAAGGCTCAGTGGCGTCAGACCAGGGCCTTGTCCTTTCTATTTCCCGGCTTTGTTGCTCAGAGTGCTTCTGTAGTTTTCGGGGTTGCATCCGACATCCTCTTCATCGGGTCTGCCAACTTGTTTCCTCTATTGCTAGCAAAACATGGAATTTCTCGCAGACATCCGCGTGCATCAAGATATAGCATCCTTTTTGTGAGAACACTGTATGCAAACTGTTCATCCACCTTTGTTACTTGTAAGATATGCTGAGCTGATTGTATCACAGTGCCGAAATAATGCCATATCTCATCATTTATCCTTTCGAAATATTCGTGGCATTGCAAATTCTACATCTCATCCCTCCGTGGCCCCTTCTACCTCCTCTCCGATCTTTTATTCCTTTCTCGTCCGCCTCGCCTATCCAATTGCCGCAGCTTCCAAGTCGAATCAATCCAAAGTCAATAGTGCGGATGATAGTTTCATCGGTGACCTCGCCGTTTGTTATGGTTTGGCTGTACAATTCAACATTTGATGCTCTTTCGGCATTTCTCTCCGAAATGATACTGCCTCGACTAATTGCTCGGTCTGATCCTGATGAGTACTCCATAAAAGGTTCGTTAGAGAGCGGCATACGTGTGGACGGCATCTCAGGACTTTCCCCATCTGTACAAACGGGTGACGCGGACCCCGGAATTTTTCGCACCGCTTTGAACAACGTGGTGGATTCTGTTCGAGGAGCATTTGATCCAGAGCACTCACAACGGAGTCAAAGAAGAGCTTTCGAACAGTCGCGCGACGGCATCATTTTCAGCGATCTTCATAGACTACCCAACAGTAGGAGTGAAGCAGAGCTAAATTCTCAACTACAAGAAGTCCATGGCAACACTCAAGCTGCAGACCAGATTTCAGGAGATATTTCTGCTCGAGGGAGTCGCGAAACCGCTGAAGACGATGAGGAGGAGGATGAAGAGGGAGGGGTTGGCCTCAACAGAGCAGATTACGTTTCAACCAACGAAGGACAAGCGCCCCGTACGAGATCTTCTTCTGTTTCTTCCAGCTCCGTCCACTCTCGCCCAACAAATGCTGTTCGCGTTTCCTCCACGCGCCACGGGAATTCGGAGACCGTTACCATGGAAGTCGAAATTGACACTGCCGGCATAATCAACCAGGGCGGCGGCATGCGGGCAGCCGACGCTTTGCAACCGCAGCCCGTTCAGCAGATACTTGAGGGTGGTATCACTGCATCCCCTGTCTCTGCTTCTTTGAACCCCTTACCAACGCCACTTGGCCCGCCGGGTTTCGATAATCAGACGCCGATCGGAGATCAATTTTCTCCTCCTGATGGAGCCCAAAATTCTTCCCGTCGACGCCGACATCGATCCCGCCGCGCTGCCGAGGCAGCTTCTAACCAGCGCAAGCGCAAACGCCAGCACATAACGATCCTCTCCAACAGTCCTGCGCTGACCATGGCCAACCTTATTGCTAGCATTGCAGCTGGGTGCATACTTTCGCCTTTTCAAGCAACTGTCAATCGATCAATTGCTCGATCCTTCCTCGCTGCCGCGAGCACTCCTGAGCAGCGCGCCAATGCAGCTTTCTTTCTGCCTCAGATATACACCACGACTACGTGGCCCTTTGGTCTCGGTGCTGCCATCGGATCTACCCTAGGTCTTGGTCATGGCCGCAGCTTGTGGAAAAGCAAAAGCTCTGGCGACACAGGCCCAAGTCCAACAAGCCTCTTTGGAGGGTCTGGCCCGAGCCTGCTGGCATATTCCTCAAAATTGCTTCTATGCTGTGGCTTGGAAGCTGCTGTCGGGTTTACCTGCTGGCAGATTTCGTATTTGGTTTCTGTGGCCGTAGGAATGGCGAGATTTGGCTGGGAAGGAGGCTTCACACCATGATATGTCTTGGATTGCTCTAGCTTTTGTCACGCTCCGAGTTTATATCCTTTTTATTGGAATGCCGCCCGCACAATTTTTTTTAATCACCCTTTCACCCATGGATCTTTTGAACCTGGCAAAGGTGTCATCATCACTTCCACATTTTTTTGAAGTTCTCGACATATCATCCCTTCATGTCCCTTCCTTTTTCTTTATTGGTATTTTGAGCCATCTATCTCTCACCATCATCATCGTCTGCTTCCATCGCTACAACGTCGATTGCAAAGGGAATTTGGTTCATCGGGGTAAATTTATCGGGCTACAAAGGGCGTTCTCTCTTTTCTCTCTTACTCAATATGCATCATAAAGCGGAATTCAACTCTAGGGTTAATATCATCTTTAAGAGCGCGAGACGGAATCTACTTTATGGGAGCAAGCGGAACCAATGGAGTAATATCACCACTTTGAGCATCAAATCCATAGCTATTTTCTCCAGAGTTTATAATTAAATCGTTCTAAGATAATCCCATTTGAGAATGATGTATCTGTTTACCATGTGACTAGCGACTATCAGAATCTAAGATCAAAATCATTTTGGAAGAAAAAGGCCCAAGGTGATCCCAAGTCCAACAAAGGGAACTTGGCTCCCGGGATAAGTATATTTTATGCTACCAATTCATATATCAAAAGAATATAACCTCCCCTTCGAAACTCCAGCTCAAAATAAGCTTTGCAAAAAAAAAAAGGTCTTTTCTACAATACCCCTACTCCACCCTGCAAAAGAAGCAAAAATATCTGCAATGCAACGCCACCATCATTCACCGCTTCGACGGGGGAGCAGTCTTCCTCTTTTCCCAAACCTGTAGCACACTCTCCTTTGTGAAGAGCGTCTCGGCACTAACTCTATCGACAAAGAGATCCTGGACCTCGACCCATTCGTCGCGGCTCTTGTCTCTGAGCTGGACGCGCCACACTTTGGCGTCGGCTTCGACTTCGACGCTGTCGTCTCTGCGACGGATCGCTTCGTGCGTGACGTTTGCGACGAGATCGTACCAGATGGGTTCGGCAGGCGGGTGGAGGGCCGGGTTGGGCTCGACGTAGGGCGACATGTCGAGCGATCTGGGCGAGAAAGTGACGATAGTGGGGTTACGCTCTGAGACGAACTTGTTTTTGGAGAAGCGCTTGATGTGGAACAGCAGGTGTTGGGGGAGAGGGTGCAGAAGGCGGTAGCGCTTGCGCATGTTGAGGTGCTCTTGGGAGCGGATGCCGTCGTATTTGGTCAGAAGAGAGGTCAGGGGGACCTGGACGTTGAGACGGGGATTGTTAGAAATACTGTATGTTGCAGAGAAACGAAAGAAAGAAGGGTAAAGAGGACAGAGAAAGAAGGGGGAAAGCAATGAGGAAAAAGACTGGAAATGCGTACCTGAGGAATAATATTCTTCTCGACTTCGTCTTGGAAGAGTGGCGCGGCAGGTAGATCGAGCGTGAGCATCAGAAAGCGGCTGATGTCGGAATGGACAGTGGCATCTTCGAAACGGAGACGGTCGCCGGCATCGCCGCGGGCGGTGATCTGCTGGCTCTCCACTTTGAGTTTGCCTTGAAAGACCTTTTGTACGATACTCGTGCCTGGTTTCGTTTTGCTACCGCCAAGCGCGAGGTGGAGGTTGTTTAGGAACCAGCTGATAAAGTCTACGGGATCGGCTTGTTCGGTGAGTGTGAAACGTTTGTTGGAGCGGAGGGAGATTTCCTGCAACAGCTCGTGAGGGGAAACGTGCGATTTGAAAGCGCGAGGGTTCCATATTTTTCGGATCAGGGTGGAAAAGCGCTGGACTAGCTGTGGGCGGCTTGTGAAATCTTCGAGCATGAAATAATTGCGCAGCGGAGAGACGTGGGCTAGAGAATGCACAATGACGTTGAAATAGTCGTTGGCTTTAATGTTGTTGAGACCGACGAAACCTGGAGCATATATGTTAGCCATGATATTCAAGAATGCGGGAGTATCATACGGAGGAGAGAGGCGTGGTATGGACTAACCAGGAGTATATTTTCTACCACTCAAATCCCACGCCGATTTTTGCTCCTTGTCCAACTTCATCACTTCCTCCCGCGATAGCCTTGGGTCGACAACAAATTTGATGTCGTCCAGGGACTTATTCTTCACCTCGTAGCCTTCCGGCAGAACGTATACCTTCTTCGTCTCCATATTTACGTACACATGGTGCCCGACGTCCAGCGCGTGGAAGTACGCGTGTGATTTGGGTCCACGGCCCTGGAAATATTTGCCGCAGACTAGACAAGCGTAAACATTGATGTTGGACAGACTGATGGAGCAGAGCTTTTCAAAATCAAAGTCAAGCACGGCGCGATTGATCGTGTCAAGATATAGGTCATTGTAGCCTTCTGTTGGCGCGATTTGCCGTGTCGGTGCCGTAAGCGCAGATTGATCCTCGTCGATGCCATGCAGAGCGTCGCCCTCGTCTTCCTCGTCATCTGTGCCCACTGCCTCCTCAAGCTCCTCCCCTTCAACATCTGCCGCTGCAAGAATATCCTCTCCGCGACGCTCGTCTTGTTCGCGGTTGAAAACGTGGCCGTGGCTGTGACGATGGCTTTGCGCAGAGACATTGCCGTTTGCTTTTGCGTCGGTGCTGCCATTTATGGATGCTGAAGGCGGGGCTGCTGAAATAGGTGCTGCTCTTTCGGATTCATCTATCTCATCTTCGACTCGGGCCTTTTTGGATGCCGGAGACGCCACCGCCGCGTCCACGTTCTCCAGGGACTCTTCCGCCTGTCGCTTGGCCATAGCTTTCTCTATATTGTGATTGTATGTAACAGGCCAATATTAATCGACAGGCGCTTTCGTTCTGTCCAATTCTGTAATAAAGTATCTGGAGGGCTCCGAGGACTGTATAGTATCGAAGACCTGTTCTTGTCGCGGTCAGGTCAATAGAGATCGAAAGTTTATCAATTGTGGAAGCTCTTGCTCTGTTTGGATTTCGGGTGAAATCATCGCCAAAAGTCCGACACCGACATGGCACTGAATGTTACCCGGCCCATGATATCTTTCGACAATTATCCAATTTGACTGGTGATTTTTGGCAATAATGGCTGCCACAACGAAAGAAAAGGTATGAGTGGGTATCATTGCGTGTATTTATGTCTTATATAACTCTCTGACAAATGATCATGGCAGCCGAGCGCGCTGCGCTCAATCATCGCAGGCTCTACAGCCGGCGCTGTTGAAATTGGTATGGGACTCACCCCGCGATACGAATGTCGCATGACGCAACTAAACAATTACTGATTTGCGGTGCAATGCAGCTATCACATATCCTGCCGAGTGTATGACCCCTTCTTCGAACCTTTTTACACCTTCAGTCCAACTAAAGCGGGATATGCAGTCCTGAAGACGCGAAGTCAATTAAATCGACGGCTCGCCGATGGCAAGAAACTCCCCATCCCACCATTCGGGCCAGCTTGGTATGCGGGATGTACGACATTGATTATTGGCAACTCTCTCAAGGCAGGAATTCGTATGTGGTTTCAATTAAGGCTATTAGCTTAGAACTGCCTCCTTATTAACTCTGCTACTACAGGCTTTGTCGCCTTTGATACATACAAGTCCATGCTGCAGGATGCGGACGGCAAGATTTCAGGCCCTCGCACAGTCATTGCCGGTTTCGGTGCAGGTGTTACCGAGTCTCTTCTTGCCGTCACTCCTTTTGAAAGCATTAAAACTACCCTGTAAGCCTCGGACAGAAGAAAGGGTTCTTTAAATGGGCCAGCGGAGTTAATTATCCCACGCGCAAATCTACAGGATCGATGATCGGAAATCAGGCACGCCGCGCATGCGTGGCTTCTTGCACGGATCAAAGATAATAGCACAGGAGCGAGGTATCCGCGGCTTCTTCCAGGGCTTTGTCCCTACCACAGCGCGCCAGGCCGCCAATTCGGCCACTCGATTCAGCGCATATACTACCCTGAAGCAGCTTGCACAAGGCTACGTTGCGCCGGGAGAGAAGCTCGGAACCGTTAGCACGTTCGCTATTGGCGGTATCGCAGGACTGATCACTGTGTATGTTTTGACATTCTCTAATTAATATCCCAGGCATACCGGGGGGACTTTTAGGACTAGTCGTGCTAATATAATTTTGGCAGCTATGTGACGCAACCCCTGGATACTATCAAAACAAGGTACGCACTTATATTTTCCCCAGCCAATTTTAGGAGGAAAACTTCAAACTATGGAAAGACGGAAGCTGACTCGAATCCAGGATGCAATCTATCGAGGCTCGCCACCTCTACAAGAACAGCTTCGTCTGCGCAAGTCGAATCGTCAAGGATGAAGGCTTTTTCACCTTGTGGTCTGGCGCCGTACCGCGTCTTGCCCGACTTATATTGAGCGGTGGTATCGTCTTTACAATGTACGTTGATGACCTATCGCAGACTTATCTTTTTCTTTCCCCCTTGTCCTTTTAAGACTGCTCTCCGAGTAATCTGCGAATATGCACCGTCTGTGGGATCATTACTAACCATTCCGTTGTCGAATTTAGGTACGAGAAGACAATGGACCTATTGGATACATTCGATCCTGAGCGCAAATACCTTTGAATCAATTTCCGTCGCATCACTACAAGCGGCAATTGCAATGCATAGAATATTTCCGACTTTCTGGGCACACTTGAGTACAGTACAGTACAGTACAATAAAACTATTTTAGACATTCGTGCCATTTTTTAAACCTTCTTATTTTTCCTTTACCTAAGACACATATCAAATTGTCCTCAATGAACTGTGATTTTTGTATGTACGACGTGTATACAACACACCGGTATCCATTTAAGAGTCTTTGATAGAATGGAGACACCCAGACCGGAATGTTCTTGTATATCTCCTAGTAACTTTTATACACCTTTGATCTATTATAATATTGACATCGACATCGACATCCAATGACAGGCTCCAATGACGGGCTTCAATACCAAAGTTCAAACCACTTATTTTTCGCTCATGGCGCGAACAACAACGACATCTAATCCCGTCGATAATCTCGATCCCTATCTCTCCTCCTCGAAGAAGATGATGTGGAATCATACCGTCTGTCCTCTCGATCTCTTTCACGTCGGCGGTCTCGGTCCTTGTCTCTGTCTTTCCTATCATCCTTGTAATAATCACGACCGTCGTCATCGTCATAGTCATCATTTCGGCGCCTGCGCCTACTGCTGCTGCTTTCAGATGATCGAGAATAATCGTCGTATTCTCGGTCTCGGTCTCTCCGCGACGAGCTGTGTCTGCTTCGACTGCTGCTTTCGTGTTTGTAGGAATCCCGGTCACTATCGCGGTGGTCGCGATAGCGTCGGTGGGTAGATGAGTCTCGAGAATCTCTGTCCCGGTCGTTTTCCCGTTCTCGTTCTCTGGCGAGTCGAAAAGACGTCAGTGAATTGTCATTTGAGAGAAACTAATGAATGAGGGAGGAAAAAAGAAAATAATGAAGAGAGCAAGCACTGAGATGGAGAAAGAACGGAAAAGAAAAAAAAAATAGAAAAACGAAAGAAAAGAAAAAGAAAGACAAACTCACCTTGAACTGCGTCTACTCCTCTCCTTATCCCTCTTCCTGTCCCGATCCGCCGCGAGATTCCTATCCCGCCTCTCTTTCCAATCCTCCTCTTCGATGAGACGTTTCTGTTCTTCCGCTTTGGCTTTAAGTTCGTCCTCGGTCAACATTTCGCCCGTCTTCGTATTCTTCAGCACCACGGGATTATATATCTTATCCACCGCTCTTTGCTTGCGACCTTTTCCTGGACCCCCTCCTCCGGAGGCTGCTTTCCCCCAGGCGCCAAATTCCTCCATGCCGCCTGGAACTTCCTTGGCGCCGATACCCAGCAAAGCCGGACGACGCTCGACCACGCGGGGCTTGGTGACTTGCTCTCTCCTCTTGCCTACAGCGTCTCCTTCCTTCCAGCCCATTCCGCGAAGCAGGGCCGCGCCGAACTCTTCGACGGGTACGGCCGAATACGCATCAAGGGACGCAGATTCCGGCCGTGACTCGATATCCATTCTGAACGCCTCGTCTTCGTTTCTGGCCTCCCATAGGGCTGGCCGGTCGGCACCGGTAGTCCGCGCTTCTTCGACGGCCGGGAGGACGAGATTCGAGCCTGTCTTGTTTGTCCCGTCGCTTGTAAGGGCCTCGAGTGCGAGCTCGTCCATTGTTTTGGGTGTAGGTGTAGCGGTAACTGTCGCGCTGGATGATTCCGCGGCCTGGCCATCCTCGACAAGGTCACTTGTGCCTTGCGGAGCGATGACGACTTCCTCCCGGCGGACAAAGTTGAGTCCGAAGGCCTGTGGTCCGCTATTAACGACATCAAAGTCTCTTTCATTCGCTGATGATGATGATGATGATGCTTGGCCCGCTTGTTGCGCTGCCTGGACCTCGGGCGGAAGAAGGTTCTTGCTGCGTTTCCGCCGGCTTTCTTCGCGCCAGTCCCGATTCTTGAGTGTAGGTATGGTGAGCGGTGCTTTCTTCTCGGCGGGCCCGTCTATGCTGATTGCACCGCCGGCGGAGTGGTCAAAGCTCGACACCAGCTGAGGCTGTGCGCCCGCTGCGGCGTCGTCTTCATCGTCCGAGTCATGGAGGGATGAGTGAGGCCGTTTCGTGCCGGATGTGGTGAGAGGTTTCCGTGCGAGCGGCGACGGTTTCGAGGCCTTGCCTGCGCCGAGAGACAAGGAGAAGGTACCCGGGCTTCGTGTCGAAGAGGAAGCCGCTGCTGAGTCCTTGCCGGACGCAGGAGATGGTGGGTCGGATGAAGGCATCGTTTCCTCTATCTTCAATGTTCGAACAAAAGCACAAGGACCCTGCCTGTGTGCCCCCGTTATTGCTTGAGAAACAAGTTGTTTCTTGACAGCCCCAGAGCTCATAAACGTCGCCGAAGGCGGTGGCGGGCCCAGTTCGGTCGCAGTGCTTACATAAGCATACTGAGGACTTGAATGGAGAAGTGCCGGGTAATCCATCTGGCTCCTGGAACTTTGTTATCTTGCAAAACGGGTAGACTACTTGAACACATTCTGTGACGAACAATCTCAAAAACGGGGCTTGAGACGATAATGCTGTCAAACTTAAAAATTTTAAAATTCTTCATAATCGGCGTGATAATATACTACAAGAATGGTAACAACCCTATGTCCTTTTACCAGCCGTGTCAATAGCAATACGACGCCGGGCGCCTCCCACCCTGCTCGTCCTAAGAAGCAGTCGGGTCCAGTCCAGTCCAATCCAGTCCCTTCCCTTGCCCGCGCTTACAAATGAAATAGAATTAGGGGAATAAAAAAACATAAGGAAGAAGAAGAATCGAATATGATATCGTGGAAATAGACTTCACATCATTCATTGCCCCCCAGCCACTTGCGCTTGCGGAGGTCGTGGGCTTTGACTCTGCCCTTGTCTCGGCGCTTGGACGCTATTGCTCCGTTGAGGCTGTGGCGTGGCAGGGGTTGCACTACGGCTAGCAGGCCGTGCGCCATTGGGGGCCACAGTGGAGGCTCGGCTCTGGCCAGCTTGTTGCGCCCTCAGCATCTGTGCATATAGCTGTTGTTGCTGGGCAGTGGTGGGATGGTTACCCATCAGCGGATGCTGTTGAGGCGGTAGTGGAGTGTTATGTTGTTTCTGGGCATCATTGCTCATGGGTTGAGCGGCTGCTGCATTAGCATTCAGAGCAGGTTGCTGCTGGGCTGCCATGCGCTGCTGATATTGTTGGGCGAGTTGCTCGCTTGCGAGCTTCTGGATTTGCTCATTCGACATTTGTGGATGACGTGCCTTAAGCTGATGAGCAATGCTGTTTACAGCTGGAATCATTCCACTTGAAAGTTGCTGGGGTTGATTCGGCTGCGAGGGGTAAGCCTGCGCAAGGCGCGGGGAGTTTGTTGCGCCGGCAGGCCCATGAAGGTTGTTATGAGAAGGGCTACGCATTCCATTCGCATTAGATGCCGCTTGCATCGCGGCCAAGACCGCCGGGTTACTTTGGTTCGCAACGTTGAGGTTAGCCAGATTTGGTGAACCTGCAGGGCCAGGTTGGCCGTGGTGTTGCTGCGACGCCTGGAAATGTTGTTGTTGGCGAGCCTGCAAGTAACGTTGCTGTTCTTGCTGAACTCGATTGGCCTCTAGGAGTACACGCATGTTGTCCGGTGTCATTTGCGCCGGCATGCGCTGTTGACCTGGAAGACCCGGCTGCATGGTCGCTTGAGGCATTCCTTTCATAGCGGCTAGCTGAGGATTTGGGGTCATCCCTGGTGGGATGTGAGCACCAGCTTGATTCGGAAGGCCATTGTGCATGGTAGGGATAGGATGAGCACGAGGCTGAGCCGGGACACCTTGTGGCACGTGGGCCGCAGGTAGGGGAGCACCGGGAACACCGTTAACGTTGGCAGACCCAGGGGTAGCGTGACGGGCCTGAGGTGCTGCTCCGTTAAGAAGAGATTGCTGAGCGGTCGGCTGCTGGCCTGGTCGTTGTTGCAAAGCGGCCTTGATGGCGCGTTAGTACTTTTGACTACATTCAAAGAAGTAATAAAATTTTTACAAGACATACTCTTTGGTGGGCAAGCATTTGCTGCCGGTACGCCTCAGCCTTTTCCTGCATCTTGCACTCACGCTCATACTTCAACCGACTGAAGTCCTGCGGAGTGTGGGTAGAGGGTCGCGCATGAGTGATTTCATTTGCTTTCCGCATCGCGGCCAATCCGGCGGCTGTAATTCCCAAGAATGTCAATAAACAATTTTATCCACTGAGGTCGTCGGATGACCGTTACTTACCCTGCTGCTGCTTCTGAAGAGCAGCCTCCCTCTTCTTAGCCAACTTCCTCATTGCGTCAATCAAAGCAAAATGTTTGGTATTTTTTCTTCGTTCAACCCTAACAGGCTGTGTGATTTTCCTCCTGACTGGAGTAACGGATTGCGAGGGATTGTTGTTCTGCTGCTGTTGCTGAGCAGCTTGCTGCTGGGAACTGAGTGTTCGTTGTGCGCCCTCGAGCCGAGCATGGTAAGCTCGGAAATACTGCGTCTTGGACATGTCTGCTGGAAGCCCCTCCAGTCCGACCCATCTTTCAAAGCATTCCCACGGTGTGCGACGCTCAGCTCCAGACGAGAAGAGTGAAGACGAAGAAAGGCAGCTTGCAATTAACGACCAATTGTACGAATACTCCCGGACAAGCTTTCGAAGTTCATCATCTTCGCTGTAAGTCCATTGAGAAGAATTTCGGGTCTCGAAAAAGGTTTGAGAGGGCATAGGGAACTCGGATGGCGGCCTGAACGCATGTCCAGCATGTAGTCGATCCCGAATATGCTTGTTTTCCGGAGTAAAGAGTGCAACGTCTCGCTGTTCAGGAGGTAGCTGGAAACGCCGTCGGTGATTTGATGGTAGTCCCGAATCGGCATCCAATTCCTCGTCCTCAGATTCATAGTCATAGCGGCTCCTTTTCCGTGGAGGACCTTCATCTTGACCAATCATCTTGCCCTGGACAAACTTGGAGACTGGCACCATGGGGAGTTTCCAGGCAGCATCCGGAATTATCGTAGTTCTCTCGAACTCGGATCGTGGAATATCCTTAACTGGCTCATAAAGAGGAAGTTCGTTCAAAAGCTCAACGCTCGCCGACGTCTTTTGCAAATCAAACGTAGCCTCATCAGGCGGTAGGGCAAAGATGGCTGCGGGTGCGACAATTTCGAAAGGTATACGGTGATGCTCCTCAAAATCGGGCGCATCGCTCATGGAATCGTCTTCGGCCGACGGTACCAGATCAGGGGTTTGTTGGTCGTCATGTTTGATGTCCTTGACGCCATCGGGTTGGGACTCAGAAGGCGCATCTTTCATGTCCACGTCTTCAATAGGCTTGGGAACCCTTCGCTTTACTTGCAAAGCAAGTCGGTCTTCTGGGCTACACGCGTGCCATTCAGCACACCAGTCGGCAAGATGTTTCGCCATTGTAAGTTTCCATTTCCGTTCCTCTCGAAAATCTGTCTGCATCCACTTCATCTCATCAAGTAATGCATCCCAATGAGTTACCGGACGCGGGGCCTCAGCCGCACGCGTAAGCTGACGCAGCGACCATCGATTGGCGTATTGCAAGTGGTAGATGCGCTTGAGAATCCGACAATCCTGCTGCTCGAAAAAGTCGACATAATGATTTGAGGTGGTTAGTGTTTTGTGTGCGCTGGTCAAGATGGAATTGAGCGACTGCGATCTGGGAGCAGATGAAGCTTGGGCAGCAAAAAGAGTCCGAAGGTAATCCTTTTCGTCTTGCAAGGTGACCTGCTGGTCTTTGCGAGCAGGCGCAAGAGATTCGCTCCGCGGCTGGCTCGGTCTTGCAAATACGACCGTGGAAAGCTTGCTGCGCTCTCTTTCTTTGCGCTCATTATTCCGTAAACGGACTGCGGCAGACGCAGGTGTTCCGCCCCTCGAGGCAGATGGAGAGGCCATGAGAGCCGAGTTCGCCCTGACGGGTTCGGGAGACTGCTTCTCATTTATTGCCGCTAGATGTGGCTTAGGGACCTCGCCCAATATCTCCGATACTGATTTATGTCTGATCGCGCCCGAAGATACTCTTGTAGTCATCCTGTCTGGAGCTGACGGGGCTTGAGTATGTGGTGGATGAAGGCCGTCTGTTGGGGGTTTCGCAACCGGCTGAGCCGTTCTTGAATGGTCGTCATTTGGACGGAGTTTAGCATCAATCGCAGTGCCTTTTTGAGCCATAATAGCAGCAGTTGCTTCAATGCCGTCCATGTCCATGGGAGTGCTTTGAGCACTTGCGGCATGAGGTATAGGAGTTGTGGCCTTGTCCTCTTTTGACAAGCCATCAATTTCAGGCTGCCCGGTCTCATCTGCAATTTCCATCTCCTCGCCTGCAGTAGGCACGCCCACAACCTCGTCCTCATCATCAACAATGTCCTGAACGATCTCGTCCGCTTTTTGCGTGAGAGGAGGATTGCCAGCTGGGCCGACAGCGTTCTCGGTGGTTGGGACAGAATCGGGGAGTATCGATACGTTCGGCTGGCTTGCAGAGGCTGCGGCAGCGGCTTGTTGCTCTTCAAGCTTCAATTGGGCTTCTGCAGTCGACGGCCCACTTTCAAAAGCGTCGCGGCGCGCCAACTTCATCTGGGATTTGAGAAGCTTGTCATGCTCTGCTTTGGCAGCTTGTTCCTGGGCGCTAGGTTTGAGGGCATCTGGCGTGCTTTCCCTAAGCGGTGGTGCTGCTGCTTCTCCAGCGCCGTCATGCTCAGGACTCGTGTCGGGAGAAACGATATTCATTGCAGGCGTATTGGTAGAGTAAGGTCCAACGGTCGAGGTAGGAGAGGAAAGCGGCTCGGAGATTGTCGGAAGACCAGCGGAAGAAGGCCGGTGCTTTTCCTCCTCCTTTCTTTGCCTTTGAAGGTCGCGTTCTTGACCGAGTTCAACCTCCCTAAGATGCCGCTCCTGTGTACGCTTCGGAGGCAGATGAACGGTCCGAGGGCCCAAACGTTCGCCATCGGGAGACGCTGCATGTACCGTCGAAGCCGGCAACGACTGCGCATCATCAGGAGAGATAGGAACCGCTTTGGCCGGATCGACACCTGGACTCCCAGGAGGGCTTTCCACCTGTTGCTTGATTCTTTCTTTTTCTAGGGTCCTGTCTAGTTCGGCCTCATCTTGCGGTGCCGGACTTGGTTGCGATTCTCTCAAGGTGGCCGTCGCCTTTTGCATAGTCAAAGATGGCTGCAATGTGCGCGCGCGCTTCTGTGGCTCCGCAACACCGTGGTCCTCCGCGACTTGGACATTCGCATCTCCTTGCGATGCTGTTCCATCTGGGGGTGACGGTAGAGGATGCGGGCGGGACAGTGCGTCGGCCGATACGACCTGGTCTTGGGCTCCATCGACTGCGCGCGATACCGGCTGTCGCGCTCCATCATTGGCTACGGAGCTTGGCGAAGCTGTCTGCGATGGTTGCTTTTGATCCTCGTCTGGTAAGAGTTGAGTGGAAGCGATTTGTTCATGGAAAGGCGCACGCGACGGCAGCGTAGATTCATCAAAGAAGCGTCCTCTATACAAACGAAAAGAAAGAAGAGGCGCAAATGTCAGCAACTGTCACTTGAGAAAGAAAAAAAATATGTATTTTGAATTAATGATTCAAAAATGAATGAATTGTAACTCACTTTAAAATGTCATTGGCCTCGAGAAAGGCATTTTCGGCCGGAGTAGGATTGGCGAGGCCGGTCACTTGGGGAGTCTCGGTAACATCGTAACGTGCGACCGTGTAGAGTTCGCGCAGCTTACGCTTTCTCGACGACACCGAATGCCTACCACGACCATAAAATTGAAAATGAGCGATTTATTCAAGAGATTCGAAGACGGAGAATCGATTGAGATACAACTTACGCGATTTCTGCCCGCTTAGATCGCAAGATCTCGTCGCGAAGAGCAGGGTTGGCGGCCGTCGTCATCGGAAGACATCCGAGCGGGGGGCAAAAGAGGGACTCTGGGTAAATGAGGGAGCGTAAGACGATGAGCGCAAGAGATTTGAAGCTTTTTGAGGGCGTTGGGGGCGATCTTTTGGATCGCAAAGTCGGGGTGAGGGACGGGGTGAGGTCGAAATTGAAGTCTTGTTCGATGCGTCGTCGATATGTCCGAGACTCCTGATAGGCCACGCTCGTCTGCTTGTCCCTCGCTTCGCCCTTGCGCTTGTACTTTTTGGCTCTTTTGCTGCTCTCTTCTTTTTCTTGGTTGATATTGTCATATTATTGTCCGATTGTCTTATTGTCGTATTGTCCCTATTGACACTCTTCTCTTCCAAATCAATTGAACTCGTTTTCTTATTGAACAACAATGGCCAAGAGAAAGAGAGAAGTCACTGATGACGTCGTCAAAACCAATAAGCAGCAGCCGCAACAGCAGCCAAGTAGTCCTGCTGTGAAAAAGTCAGCCTCTTCGCCGTCCTCGTCCTCGGCCTCGTCGTCCGCACCTATTACGCTCCAAATCATTACCGGTTCCTACGAGCGCGTCCTACATGGCATTACCGCTACTATTCCGCAGCTGTCCACCAATGAGAATACCACCGAAAACTCGTCGGCGTCCAGCGAAGTGAAATTCTCCGATACCTTCCTATTCAGCGCTCATGCGTCGGCCATTCGATGCATTGCTCTCTCGCCCATCACCACTTCGGACCCGTCGCAAAAGGTACTCCTAGCTAGCGGAGGCACAGATGAGCGTATCAACTTATACCACCTGTCTGCGACTCCCCCGCCGTCATCAAAGAAAGGCGCAGTCTCAATCCCGACCCTCGCCGGCACCACCATCACCGAAAACCCCAAGAACCGCGAACTCGGATCGCTCATGCACCACTCCTCGAGCATCAGCGCGCTATACTTTCCCAGTCGATCCAAGCTTCTGTCCGCCGCCGAAGACAGCACCATTGCCATCTCACGCAGTCGCGATTGGACCGTCCTATCCACCATCAAGGCGCCGGTGCCGAAACCCCAGGGCCGTCCTAGCGGAGATACGGCCGGACCGGGAGAAATACCCGCCGGCATCAATGACTTTTCCGTCCACCCGAGCATGAAGCTCATGGTCAGTGTGAGCAAGGGCGAGCGCTGCATGCGGCTGTGGAACCTAGTGACGGGAAAGAAGGCAGGTGTGCTCAACTTCACGAGAGAAATGCTGCAGGAAGCTGGAGAGGGGCGATGGTCAAGTGGAGAGGGCCGAAAGGTCGAATGGGATGCCGCGGGCGAGGAATTTGTTGTGTCATTCGAGCGAGGCGCTATTGTTTTTGGAATGGTACGTTGAATCACTGTTATTCCGACTTCTCTTCACCCTCGTCGAATCATACAAATTAACACGTCTGTCAACTTTAGGACTCTAAACCCAAAGGCCGCATCATGCCGCAGCCGCCTTCGAAAATTCACCAAATCCGCTACGTCAGCACCGAAGGCGCAACCACTGAAGGTGAAAAAGCGGAAGACGAACAACCAAACAACATTCTCGCCGTCTCCACCGAAGACGGCCGCATCATCTTCTACTCTACTTCGACGCTTCTCCCGCTCTCAGAATCCGCTAATACTACAACTACTACTGCTCCCTCTACTGCCAACAAACCCGCGCCCACGATCCCGCTGTGCAAACCCCTCGCCCAACTCGGCGGCCGCGCAGCCGGCGTGTCGAGCCGCATCAAGGACTTTGAAATCCTCTCGCTCTCGCAATCAAGCGATGCGGGCGCAGGCGCCGCAGACACCCAATTCCTCGTCGTCACAGCAAGCAGCACTGGCGCCGTGCAGCTCTGGTATCTTCCCTTGAGCGACCTTGATCCCGAACTTGATATCGGCGCCGACGCCTCAACCGAAGCAGAAGCCGAAGCTGAGTCCAAATCAAAGTCCAAATCCAAAAAGTCGAAAAAGTCAAAAACATCAAAAGACGCCAATGCTGATGCCGATGCCGATGTCAACGAATCGGATATCCGCGCCCCCACCACACCTAGCTCAACGACGACAGCGACACCAGCGTCGACGGGCATCAAGCAAGTCGGTCATCCTCTCGGCGTATATGACACCGGAAACCGCATTACTTGCTTAAGAGCCTTTGTCATGCTTGCCCCTCAGCCCGGGGCCCCCGACAATGACGAGGAGTCTCTTGAGGCGAGTGAGGATGAGAGCAGTGACGATGATGATGATGAGTAGGTGGTGGATGTAATATGAGTCTGGCGATTCGGCATTCCTTTTGTTTTTCCTTCTTTTTTTTCTCCTACCATTCATTTTCGCTTTATTTTCATTCTCCATGATATGTGTATATCTCTCCCGGTCCTTCTTTTCCCGATTGTGTGCATATGTATGGGTATCTGCGTGTTGAAAACAAGGGAGTCTTGTGACTAGTAGCTAAAAGTACGGGCGGAACAAAAAGTTTGCATCCAATGCATTAAATACAGGTAGTTATATGGGCATTTCCTTTTTTATCTTTTAGTATTTAGTATTTGATCCTTTAGTATTTAATTTTTTTTTCTCCTTCAGTATTTAAATTTTTCCCCCTTAGAAAATTCATTTTACATATTACAAGCCTTACACATCCACGTGCTATTTGCTATTTACTCCCCTACAACGCGCAACATATCCCAGATCATGTCCCTACAATATCAAAGCAGAAACAGCCCCGACGCAAAGAATATATCCTATACTCCTCAGCAGCCCAAAACCACTACACTGGACGCGGGATCCGCGGGATCCGCTATTCGCGGGACTGTTCGTCGTGCCTGTGCCTGTGCCTGTTGCTGTCGAGCTCGAGGTCTTATCCGCGCCAATGGCACTGCTACTGTGCCCGTGACGAGAGGAAGATGTATCCGAGACTGATGAACGTGCGGCTTGAGTTGTTTGTGGAGATTGACTTGTAGAACTTGTGGAGACTGCGGCGGCTGCGCCGGAGGAGGAAGAGAATGCAGCGCCAGACGTCGAACTGGGCGTATATTTCGAGTAGGGATCCGTCGAGCCGTACTCATTTTCTGAACTAGGAAGCTGTGATGTCCGCGCGGAGTCTCCTGGTTCTAGTGCGGTTGTGGAAGTCGCAGTCACGGTTGTAGTCGTGGGGGTAGTGGTTAGTGGTATGACTGGGGCAGGGAGGAGGGTGTAAGTAGGTTACTGGATACTTGGATATGCACTGAGAGATATGAGGAAGGATCAAGTTAAAAAAAAAAAAAAAATATTGAAGGAATGGATAATAGAGGGTCTTAGGGGGTATATGAAAAGAAGGAGAAAGAGAAAGAGAAAAGGGAAAGGAAAAGGATGACAAGAATATCAATGGTAGTATAAGATACGAATGAATAGAATAAGATGAAGAATACATCATTCAATGGACGAGCATGACAAGATGAAGGAATAAATCGAATACACGGATGAATATAACAAAATGAAGAAATGAGCTATGAAGAAGTAAATAAAGAGATAAGACATACCTTCTGTAGTCACATCGCTCCCGCTGCTCGTACTGGTCGCACTGGTCGCACTCACAGCAAAGGTCTGATACACGGTTTGCCCATTATCATACGACCACGTATAATAATACCCCGTATTGCATACTCCGCCGGGACAACACCCAGGCATGCCACGATAAATGACACACTCATACCCCGGATCGCAGTATCCCCAGGACTTGCAGCACTGGCCGCCCGCAATTGCGCAGCCGTGGTTATCTCCGCCGCAACATAGGTAGCCGGGATCGCAGTAGTTGCCGTTACTGCAGCAGCTACCGCCCGGTGGGGCGCATCCCAGGTTCCCGCAGCAAGTATGGTCTGCGGGGCAGTTATATCCGCCGGAACAGCAGACGATGTTTTGCTCGGAAGCGCAGCTGTCTGGGCAGCAAGATCCAGACATGGGACAGCACCCGCCGTTGTCTATGTCGGGGAGTGTTAGTTGGGTTGTATGCTATTGGTACTATTTTGATAAAGTACTATGATGTAGAAAATTGGATAAGGAATAAATAGATATTACTATGATATAGTAAAATGGAAAAGGGTAAATGCAGTACTATGGTAGCAGAATGAAAAGGATAACGCACTAGAACAGTATCCTTCTCCTTGAGGACACGTCAAACTTCGGGCAAATAAGCTCCTCGAGCCTGGGGATATCGGAATCGAGGCATTCCGCGTAATGCTCTTCTGGGATTCTCCACCCAGCCGGGGAGAAAATGGAATGTTCAGATCATCATGGACAACGAGATCAGAGAGACCAGAGTCTGCGCATGCGGTATGAAAAAAGGAGCTCAATGTCAGACTCAGCAGTGTCAGTGTCAGTGTCAGTGCCACGCATTGGCCTCGCATGCACTGGCTATAAAACAGCATGACGATGGTTTGCAACAGTCAACTCAAACGTGAGATGCATATGCGTATACATATGATTTACTAACAGTATTGAAGATGAAATGAAAAGCAGTGGAAGGTGGAAGGCATTTGCTCCGTATATCATGTTTTTTAGCTTTAGCTCTCCGCTGCGGAAGGGAATAGTGGGGCTCGTAACGGCGGAAAGTGTGCAGGTATAGCAAAGCAAATAACACCAAGCAAAAAAGGCAGGCCAACCAGAAATGAAGTGCACGGGCACCAAAACGACACGATAGTAAGGTGCTGTTATAGAGAATTAGGGTAGTATAACCAACGGTGCAGATATTAGTCAAATAACCTCCAAGGCTAAAGGATCGAGGCGAGGAGTACTATATGCTGCACAAGAGCCCGAAAAAAAGCAAAAAGTGAAGCTAAACAAATAAATGCTTTTTCCAGCACTAATGTACGCTGGTGTAGGGAGCGTTATAGTCAAAGCTTGTAAAATTAAGGGTCTCGCTGGGCTTGCCTTGCCCTCGTGCTAGTGGTCGTCTCGTAAAGGCGCACGGTCCGGCTGCTTCAGCAGGTCTTGGCACGGTGCCGTCGTTAGCCAGCGCTGCCAGGCGTGTCATTGAAGCAATGAATGTAGGTGCAAGTGTAGAGTCGAATAGGCAGAGACGAGTGATTACCCATCTGTGATTCTTTTGGGGTATATTCGATCCTTTCAATTGTAGAGTTGTACAGTAGCTGAACAAGAGCACTAGAGCGTACAATGTGCGAAAGTGATAGTGAGCGTCTTGTATATTGCTCCGTATGAGGTTTCAAATAGTCGTTCGATGGCGACCTGAAGTTGAACGACTGTAAGCATATATTAAGGTGCGTCGTGGTGAGAGAAAGAAGAAGTAGATGCAAAAGTATCAGATCTGATGGAGAGTTGCTAGAGCTCACAGAAGGTCGATGCTCATGACCGCTCATATCTTGTCGTCTGGATCAAATCAACCCGTAATGTTATAGAGTACAGGTACCGTCACCCGGTTATACTGCGTTCTATAGTACTGTATAGGTGTTCTACCCTCCCCACTATACGGGAGAACTATAGCGATACCCGTAGTGGAGACATAACCGACATATTGCCGATCTTCATCCAGTTTTTGTTTCCCCATAGCCGGAAATCACCTCGCCAGTTAAGACCATTACCCACTAGACCCGCCTATACCCGTCCCACTCCGCCAAGCTTACCCGCTGTAACACAACTGTATCTGTTTAGAGTTCGTTTTATCACCAACATTCCCGAAGCTTTTACGTTACAGCAGGAAATTCTCATTACCCCATAGCACGGTATTTATTACCCCATAGTTAGGTGTCCAGCCGGATCAAACAATTCTTATTACCCCATAATTTATAAACCGGAGTCCTGGCATGGCGCGGCTATGCATTATTCGTTTGCCGACGACCGATACCCGACGACAGAACCGCCGGGTTTGGCGACTCAGGGAAAAGACATAACGGTGAATTGTCGATGGACGGAAGCCTGGATAAATTGAAATTATTCTAGTCTGTTCGAAGAGAACGAAGACCTTTGATTGTAACATACTGTACAACGTACAAAGTACCTGAATAATACTAAAACTTCATGTGCACTTATCCGACCACCTTTATACATCGTTCCATGCTGACATGATGTGTCTTTTCCGACAGTGATTTTATTCCCGACGATAGGGCGCACATGGGCTCTATCCCCACATTCCTATTTCCGTGGGGCGTGGTATATAAACCCCCGTTGAAGCAGAACAGCTTCTTGTTCCTGTTTCATTTTTTCCACTCAATTGTCTTTATACTCATCATTTGGATTCTCTACACTATTGTTTTTCTCATCAGTCTGTACTATTTTGGCCAATCAACAAAAAAAAAAAGGAATTGGCCGCAATTGGAATAAGCCACCTTTACCACCTTTAATCACCATATACAGCAGTCACATTGTGAAACTGCTTCACCACTACCCCAACGTCTTTGCGGGCACATTGGAGGTAAATCATCTTCTCTTTCCCTTTGGCTGAATACATCAATTAATCCAGACATCAAGGAAACCTACCTACGTCAACGTACAATAGATATCAAAATGACAAAGACGGCTCCGTCGACACAGCCCTGGCGCAAGACGCCCCTGATAGAGTCATCCGCGCTTTCCCGCGCCGCAGGATGGTACGTGTAACCTCTCCTCCTGCCTGTCTTCAAGTATACGTCACAAAATATACTCTGAAGACGGGATGGGAAAAAACATCAAATGCAAAAAAAAAAGAAAAGCACAAGCTCAGACGTAGAAGCAAAGTCTTTCTCAAGCTAGATAATCTGCAACCCGCGGGTTCTTTTAAATCACGGTATGTAAATACATACGTTTCCCCTGTTTTTTTCCCTTTCACTACTCCTGGATTGAGAAATCAAGTGAAAACAATGCAAAAATACAAAAAGACCCAAAAAAAAAAGAAAAAGAAGAAAAAATAATAATAATAGCTAACTAAAGTACAGAGGAATCGGAAACTATCTTCTCGCACGACTACGTGAACGCGGAGATGATCCCGACATCCACTTCTACAGCTCCAGCGGCGGCAACGCAGGACTCGCATGCGTGACTGCCGCACAGGACCTGGGCCACCCTGCCACAGTGGTCGTGCCCATGTCGACAAAACCCATGATGATTGCCAAGATCCGCGTCGCTGGGGCCACAGACGTGATCCAGCACGGGGCGAGCTGGGCCGAAGCCGATCGATTCCTGCGCGAGGAGATCCTAACTCGGGATACCAAGGGGGTATATGTGCCGCCTTTTGACCATCCAGATATCTGGAAGGGTAATTCGACGATTGTCGATGAAATTGCTGCCGATTTTCGGGATAGTCATGGCGCCCAAGACCATGCACGAGACGCAAAAACAGTACAGGCCGAAAAGCCAGACGCAATCATATGCTCCGTCGGCGGCGGCGGCCTCTTTATTGGCATCATGCAAGGTCTCGAGCGACACGGCTGGTCACCGGACGTATCTGTCGTCGCCGTCGAGACGGCAGGAGCGGACTCGCTGGCCTCGGCATTGGACGCAAATGAACTGGTCACGTTGACAGGAATAACGAGTATCGCGACCAGCTTGGGAGCGACGCGCGTTGCGGAAAAGGCGTTCGAGCTGGGCCAACTCGGACGCGAGAACGTGCAGAATAATGTGAAGAGTTTGGTGCTCTCGGATGCGGAAGCGGCCATGGGATCGTGGCGGCTCGCGGACGACGAGCGATTGCTTGTCGAGGCGGCGTGTGGTGTGAGTGTCGCGGTGTGTTATAATGGCAAGAGACTGAAGCAGTTGCTGCCGCATTTGACGCCTGAGAGTAAAGTCGTTTTGGTAGTCTGTGGCGGGTCGAACATTACGGTGGAAGGGCTCGCAGAGTATCGTCGCGTGTATGGACCGTTGGTGGACAAGCTGGGGGCTGCGGACGATGAGATGGTGCCTAGCTCGGTGACTGCGCCGCGTGGGTAGATGCTCGGGTTCATGCCGTATTTGGAGTTAGGATTAATCTATGCGGTCGAGTATTGGTTGCAATACGCAATGATTTTGGCTTGAAGTCGCGCTCTTAATATGGATAATTGATTGTCGGGTTTTGCATTAGTATAGGGCTATTTATGTCACATCGGATCTGTTTGAATTTAAGGATTATGGAAATGCGTAAGAATGTTACTTGAATTTGTTCATATTACATGCTTATGCATTGTGTCAACATTTCCCTGAATTTGACTAATCTGGTCTCTGTATACATGCTTTAATAGATTCTTTTCCAATCAACTAGAACGCCGGGTATTCATTGATAAAATCGCTGCACAAAGAACACTCGATTCATGCAGTACCAGTCGCTCTAGCCTCCTTTGTAATTATATCTTTCCTCCAGCCCCAGTAGAATCGTCGAATGGGGTCATATTTTTCAGCAAGAAGATCGAGTGCTTGACACGCCTTCTTCACATCTTTTTGGCTTTCATCTGCACTGCTAGGGCCAGAAGTTGGTTGTTCACCAGCATATATCGAGGCCAGGAAATCCAGGGCGTGACTCGACCGGACCTTTTCCGGTTCGTCCAGGTTCGCAAACTGCTCCACAAATGGCTTCACAGTAGCCAGTGGCCGTCCGGCCTCCCGCAATACCCCAGAGAGATAGTTCCAGGGACTCTGATTTTGCGGCGCGAGCTTGATAGCTTCTTGTGCAAAGGCAACCTCGCGGTCAATAAGACTATCCGGATATGACTCTATTGTTCTGCCAGTCTGGGATAAAGGAGCAAAAGATGCGGCTTGTTTTGACTGTTCCGTATGCTTTATGTCGGTTAAGGGTCTATATCGTCCAAACACTGTGAACCAGCGATGATTCCAGGCGGAATTGTTCCGAATGTCCCGCTTGAGCATCTCTTCTACAAATGGAATCTCCTTGTCGTCCCAGAGATCAAATCGTCGAACTAGCCATTGCCGGTATGACCATACGTGGTAGTTTTTTGAGTCTTCGTCCAGCATTTCTCCGATAAATTCACGTTCCCCGTCGTATGCATTTCGTTTGTCTGTCAGAAGCTGCCGGTGGTGCCTGAAAGATAAAAGAGTAAGCTATTATTATACAATGCGCAGGTATTGCTGAGTCGGGGAAAATAGAGGAGGTTCTCGTAAGCATACCATATTTGATAATTCTTCTGATGTGCCAGCGCAATAGGATTCACCCAGTCGAGCTCCTCTCTCAGATCCTTATTCAGTTGCAGTAGAGTCTTTGCACGATACAACCTGTGGTAAGATACTCTGTTAGTATCGAAAATTGCTTTCTGTCAAGTTACTAGAAAAGCTAAGAAGCCATGGCACTTACCATACCGTGTAATGCGCAGGGTTCATGTCAATGATATCCGCAGTGAGTTCAAGCACCCGATCGCTGAACTCGTTCTTGGCCATGATTGCCCGCAAATATGATGTAGCTTCACTATAGGCATCTGGGTATGCTATAGTCGCCAGCGCATTTGGGCCGCCATCGTCCTGGGGGATCGGAACAATGTCCGCCCATTTCGAGTCGTCGGCGTAGCTCCCCATTTGTATGCTTATTGTTGAAGGTAATTTTTTTTCTATCTCTGGGTCTGGACGAACACTTTGAGGTTGATTTTTCCAAACTGCAGGCAAAGAATGGTGGCGGAACCAGAGATATACAGCTTGGGACGAGGGTGGTCGGTTTGCAGCTGAAAGGCGGTGAATTATATCTCCTGTGGTGATGTATAGGGTGGGGTGAAGGTCGGAGGGCGGAGCTTTGGCGAGAACAATAGCCAACCCAGGAAATTGATAAACAATAGAGAACAATATTAAAGTCCAACAAAGAGCGTTCCAATTATGTGCGGATTAAGTCATATCTAGACTCAGATTCCAAGTCCTCATCTACAGCAAATGGAGAATAAGCACTTGAATGGAAATGAAGTGGTCGAGAAGCAAACGTGACTGTCCTGCTCATGAATTCTCGCATTTATAACCATACTATAACTTCTATGGTTATAATCTAGACACACCACACCATAACTCCTATGTCCCGTTGGTAATATTACCACTTTTGCAGGGTCCGAAGATCATACTTCCAATGTCTACTCTTATCCAAGAATAATTATTCTTCATCTGAAATAAACTATTGACTCTGAATATTCACAGTGAGAGGAAATGAAGGAGAGGGCGAGGCTTTTCTCCTCTGCGCCGGACGCTGATGCTGACTTCGTGCTGGATGGACTCAGGATTGCACGAAGGCAGAACTACTGGAAATAGCTGCTAGTGCCTTCTACTACTTGGGAGAGCAATATTTACGAAATCCGGGGAACATAATTGACGCAATTCCATTCGTTCGATCGACTAGATCCAACATTTGATAAGAGGTGGGATGTGCAGTGCATTCCCGACATCGGGAATAAGTTTTGGACTTCAAGGCTCGACTCAACCGCCCTATATTACATGTTTATCAGCTCGATCCATAGAACATTTTGCTCTTTCAATGCCTCACGCCCTTTACTGACTATTTCCTCTCAAATTATACATTCTAAAAATGCCTTCCTCTTTTCTTGAAACCAAGACGCCGCCCAAGTACAGCTTTACCGACGACTACAGCGAAGGTGCTCATCCGCAACTCCTCGAAGCTCTTGTGCGCACCAATTCAACGCAGCAAGTCTCTTATGGGAACGATGAATACAGCAGCGAAGCACGCCGATTAATCCAAAGAAAACTTTCTGCCACCGAGGATGAGGTGGCCATCCACTTCGTGCCCAGCGGGACCTCTGCCAACTTGATCTGCATCGCGAGCTGTTTACGGCCTTACGAGGCAGTGCTGACTGTCGGGTCAGGACATATTGTGGACAAGGAAGCGGGTGCCATTGAAGCTACCGGACACAAAATGATTATTGTCCCTGGATCACGAGGGAAAATGACGGCAGAAAACCTGGAGAAGACTGTCCGTCAGAATCAATTCTTCCCGCACATGGCTAAACCGCGGCTGGTCTATATTTCCAACGCTACGGAATTAGGAACCATCTACACCAAGCAAGAGCTGGAAAGTATCAGCGCAGTGTGCAAACGCTGGAACCTGTTACTTCACATGGATGGCGCTCGCATTGGAGTCGCACTGAGTGCGCCGTCAAATAATTTGACACCGCGAGATCTAGTCGATCTAACAGACATTTTCTGGATTGGCGGGACCAAGATGGGCGCATTACTGGGGGAGGCCATTGTTGTGCGGAGCCACTTGGCGGAAGGCTTTGCTTTCCACTTGAAACAACACGGCGCCTTGCTGGCCAAGGGTCGTATCATAGGTGCCCAGTTTGCAGAACTCTTCCGGGGAGATCTCTTCTTTGAGCTGGCAACAAATGCCAACAAGATGGCCCATATGATTTCCGACAATTTCCAAACGTTGGGATACCGATTATCGGCAAAAACAGAGACGAATCAAGTTTTTGTAATACTGCCAACAAGCTTGATTCGCCGCTTAGAAGAGCGGTATAGCTTCTATATCTGGGAGCACCTAGATGAGCAACAAGCTGTGGTGAGGATTGTCACGTCATGGGCAACAAATGCATCAGAGGTGGCCGATTTCAATGCGTGGGTGAGACAGTGGACTTAATTGCATACGAGCTGAGCCATCTTTATAAAGTATAACTAGCCTGGCTTTCATCATATAGATTTAAATTAGACTTCTTAGTGTTAGACTTCAAGTGTTAGATGCTCTGGGTCCTTGACTATAAATTCACCTTTCCAAGCCTCCTGCTCTAGCCCTCTAACCCATGTTTACTTTCTCCTTCCAAGCCTCTTGAAACCCATATAACACATAATCCTCGTGTTTTGTACGCTTTTTTTGCTTTTTCTTAAGTTTCCTATATTTATTTTTAATTTTCTCCCATTTTGATGTTTCAGCTTTCATTACCTTATCTTCTCTTTTCTTTCCTTTTATTTTTGGCGCAGCGACCAGCCAAAGAATCCACGCTCATTATCTTCGATACCGCCTCGGACTGCTCAATTTGCATTGATTTGGCGAACTGGCGACTCGCCGACTCCCGAAACGCGGAAATAGTCCTCGATCCAACCACAACTCCGCACATTTATTCCCGATACTTCGGAAATATATAAATAACTCCAGTTTACTACCTCTCCCCAATTTCACAACAAACCTCCCCCCTCGCCTGTCTCTACCTTAGTAACTTATCGGGAATCAATCTTTCCGAAATCGTTGTTTGGTTTATCATATAAAAACCGTCTCCTCTCAAGTGATATCTTGACTTTATTTTTTTTTTCCTACTACACATATTTATATGATAGATATTTTGATATACTATACTCAATTCAAGATCAAAACAGAGGCATAGAAAGCAAAGCAAAGCGAGAATACAGATATAGAAAAAAGGTTGTTCAAACAGCCGTATCCTGAAGACGAAAGACTTAGGCTGCAAGCTGCAAGCTGCAAGCTGCAAGAGTCAAGCATCATGGTACGTGCATGAATCCTGAGTCCTGAGTCCGAAAATATATATGTCATTATCCGGATCCAGCCAGCTGCTTCAGGCATGCCGCATATATCATACAGTATACTCACACGAACAATTGCGATTTTGGGATGATTCCAGAAAACCAACTAATGCGTCTTCTAACTAGTCAATATCAACAATCGCCCGCGGGACCGGCACAGTGCCAGTATACCAAACCCAAGCATCGCTACACGAGCTCGTGACGAGAATCGTCTCGTGTCAATTGATACATTCTCTTCCAGAAGCGGACAGAGGGCTTTTCAAAGGTGCCATCGATAGTGGCAGCGAAGAAGACGACTATGTTATTGCCACCGAAGAAACGATATTTCATCCTCAAGGCGGCGGACAGCCCAGCGATATCGGGTACATGAAGCCCGCGGTGCCTACTTCGCAACTGGAATCTCTAGATGAAATGAGGACGCCAGAGCAACACGGTCAAGATCAAGCAAATACACTAGAACGAAAGTACCAAGAAGATCCACACAGACAAGACGAAAAGGCAGAAAATAACAAACAAGGTTCATCGATATTCAACGTCAAACTTGTCCGCAAGTCAACCACAGCGCCCCAAATCATCTATCATTTTGGAAGATTTTCGTCCTCGTCACAAGATGCCAAAGGAGGACGTCCCAATGATCAAGGACCTCCAAACGAACAAGTTCAACCAACATGGCAAAAAGGCGCATCCGTCATGCAGACCATCGACAGCGCCACACGCAACTACCACTCGCGGTACCACACGGGGGGGCACATTCTGGGCCTTGCAGTCCGACAACTACAGGACCAAATCGGACAACCCGTGTCTGAAATCAAAGCAAACCACGCGCCGGGGATGGCGTTTGTCGAGTTTCGGGGCCTGATTGCCGGTGAGCACAAGGCTGCGATTCAGGAAAGGGTGAGCGAGTTGGTGCAGCGGAGCCTTGCAGTGAATGTTGAGTTGTGGGATGAGGAGCAGGCAAAAGCGCGCTGTGCGGCGTTGCCAGAAGGGTTTAAACTGCCAATTGACGGTGATGGAAAAGTGCAGGTGCGTGTGGTAGATGTTGATGGCGTGGGAGCGTATCCCTGTGGGGGCACGCATTTGCCGACGACGCGGGATATTGGAGGCGTTGTGGTGAGGAAGATCAGTAGGTCGAAGGGCGTTTCGAAGGTGTCGTATGAGATTACGGATGTGTGAGTAGTGAGTATTTAAGTAGCAGCAGCAGAGGAGTTTAATGGGATGGTTTTCGGTAGGGGAGGTGGAGTTGTGCCGGATATTGAAATAGATTTAGATTTATTAGGTTTTTTTTGGGGGAAGGGAGTCGTAGTCACGACCGCTAGCTTGAATTCTCAATGTCTCGTATCAATTAATAGTGAAGACCTGTCTACACTCTACATCAATAAACAGGGAAAGGGGCCATCCTTGGCTTGGTGAGACTGCAGCGATATGGTCAGAGGATCCTTCTCTGCTCGGGACAGTCAATCAAAAGTGGTCTTCGATTGTCTGAAGGCAAACACCGAGTCCTCTTGCGAATCGTGCAAGCAGGAGATACCCATATGACGATTGTGTCTGCTTCGTCAGAAATGTCTTCCATGAGGGTCAGACGGTAAGGCATGCGTCATCATCAAATTCAAGGATGATGCTACCTCAGCTTCTTGAGAGTCCTCATAGAGAGTGTTTATTCAGGTAAGGAGGGCTGTCCTTGAAGGAATAACGGTGAGCCAGTATAGTGTCTCTCCCGACTGGGGCACAACTGCGAACGGGAGCCTTTGAGTCGGTCTTGTTAAAGGGCGACAATGACGGACGCACGTCGGCTACAAATGGGGACCGAATGAGTGGGATTCGTCCTGAGCTCGCGGAATCCCCCAGTTCATGACCAACAAGTGACTAATAATAGCATGTTGGACGAGTAATGGTGAAGATGTCACAGTAGTGGCTTGTTGTGACGTGCATGAGACTTTGAGATACAGGCCGACTCACCGGGTATGCTGATCATCAAGGACCTTAGTCGGCCTCAAGTTCCGAATCTGGATCATTCTGCAGTCCTATGCAAGTCCTACAGCTTGGCTTTCCCATGTCAGCCAAAATTGGGCCATGCAGAGTCAAGCCCTGTATCAAAACCAGATGACCATGTTTCGTCAATAAAGGGCCACTGCAGCATCTCCAGTTCGTGAGAGTCCAAGGTAAACTGGTCACTAAACGGAAGATGGGTCTGAGCAGGAGAGTCCATCTGTCCCCCTTGTGGAGGTATATTTGCCTCCGTTCCTGTTGCTCGCCGGCGGGTATTCGAGGACGGCCCCTGAAGAGGACGAGACGATCGAATATCGCCGTACTCATCGAGAGTGCCTGCTAGGGTGATATGGCCGTGACGGTCACCTGCAAGGACGTGCTCTTGGTTATTCTTCGCACTTTGGTAGAATTTGTTTGCTTCTTGTACGGTTCGCCACTGCCAATAGTTAACCCCGATGCAAGTTAACTTGAAAATAAAAATAGCAGACATACCCAGCTATGACCGACTGGCCAGAATTTGCACAGCCGTTCAAGGTACGAGAAATTAGACTTCTTCTCTGCCTCTGCCCGCTCTTGCCCACCTGGATATCGTAACGGTGACACCGTGCCATACATATTTACATGTGCAGCAACAAAGGCACTGAATCCGGAATATGGAGTGATGATGGGGGCCCCGGAGGCCTCCAGGGCTGATAAGACACCTCCAATACTTTGTGCAGCTTCAAAAAGGTGTTCAATGGCACGATCCTGACGGGACTCATGGACCTGCTTTAAGCTAGACAAAAGCTGGTCGCGATAGAGGAATAGAATGCTGCAGCAAGTTAATCACACTGAACTGTGACTAATTTGATATGACTCGGAGAATGGTCATCCTAACACCTACCTCATAAAATAGATCAGATTGATGTAAGCAAAGAGCTCACCGTATCCGAGAGCAACATGCGCCTGGACGCTAGTAGCGGGATATTGAAGAGTGAAGTCTTGCAGGGCCCTCCATTCATCCAGCTCCTCTTTCAGGATTTGCCAGTTCCGCTGCTGGATCGATAATGAATCCGTAGTCGTTGACGATGTCCGACCACGACGACTTTCGTTGGCAAATCGCAAGATGCGTACAGAGATATCAAACCCGCGGGTCACGACGATCAAGCCATGATCAATAGTCATCTTCATGCACAGCGGGGAATCTCGACTAAGATTCGCCGGCATCAATCTTGGTGACCCTCGACGACCAAAATTGAAATCATGATCGCTGATTGGCAAGGGCACAGAGATCTGGCGAAAGGAGGGAGAAAAATGCTGGCGAGCTCCTGAGCTTAGCTCACAGTCTTGAGCAAAGCAGACCCAATAAGTGCGGACAAGCTGCTCGTACTGGATCTGGGAGGCTTGGAATTCATCTGGATTTTGCTCCATGCTATCGTCCGCTGTTCGTAACAGCGACTGGACCATATAAGTTGCCATTCCTGACGAGGTCAGCGCATGTTCCATATAAAAAAGGCGCTACACTTACCACTATACATCCATGCTTTATAGGGATGCCCTGAGCCCCACTCATAGAACACCATCATTGCTGAAGACTGTGCCAGGTAAAGTGAAGGAGCCTCGAATGCCTTACGAGCCAGCTCGGCGCGTGCATACTCGGCATATGTTTCGCCAGCCTCCAGGTGATGCTCTGGAAGAAAGCGGGCACATAAGGAAAACAGTGAAGCCACAAACACCGGGTCCACGGACGAAGGATTGGCCGATATTTCGGCAATAAGTGATGGATAATGGAGAAAGTTGGCTACAGGGAATTTCTTACGGTAGGTATCACAGGCACAGATGATGGTGGACGCAGATAACGATGCAATCGGATTAGAAGGCGTAGTAGGTTGGAGATCATTGGTTGGGGCGGCGCGATTGACAGTGGAATTGGCCACTGCAGCTCTAGGAGCAGATCTTGCCTTGTGCTGAACTCGCTCCGAGTCTCTGCGTGGCCTTAAAGGCGACGCTCGTGGATCAGTGAGCACGCAAGCCTGTCGATTCCGCCGTTGACACCGACGGCAAGGCGGATGACCTTCATGTATACACTTGACCTTGGCTTCTCTACAATCATTCTTAGTGTGATGAATTTGAGGACATGGAATCGATCTCATCTTACCGACAAGCATCACAGGATATAGAAAGCCGCATTCTCTGTGCATTAACCAATTCATCAATCGGGTATGTCGATGATATTGTGTGTTGTCGGGAATCGCAATGTCGGGAATAATTTAGACGATCCGTAGGCTATCCTCGTCTAACAACCCTACACCATATAGGTTGTATTTCAGTCTAATATCTCAATTACTCGTGCTCATATCGAATTGATACTTTATTTCAAGGTAAATGGGTGAATCTGAATTGCGAGATTCTTTTTTTTTTTTTCAATAGAGCTGACCTGGGCTCAAGGCCAGGAAAAAGAACCCCTGGAGAGGCAAATTCTGAAGTAGGAGTATTGTCGTGGAAAGCTCGTATAATTGCTATTAATATTAATTAAGGATGCATTACTTTTCATAATCATCTTATATGCCTTTGCCCTCATTCAGCGCCAAGCTTGTATATAAAGACGTAAATTGTTCCCGCAATGAACCTGTGAGAAAGCATGCGCAATGCAGCTGCAATCGAACGTGAGCAACAAACTATCACGTTGGTCTCCAAAACTTCCAGCCGTCCCTCTTTTCCTGAACGCCCACGCCGACCAAATCTTCGATCGCGGCGGTATCTGGCGCATTCAAGAATTTCTCCTGATCAATTTCTTCACCGCCCTCTTCGTCGGTGCCATTTTGCAGCACCGCCGGCCACAGCACACCGACGCCATCACCTCCAAGAGTAGTCTCAAAACGCTCAAAGCCCTCAGCATCGAGCTGGTCCATCAATCCTTTGACCTTTTCCACGTCTGCCTCGGGCTTCAGAATGGTGATGGCACAACCACCGCCACCAGCTCCTGTCAGTTTGGTCCATCCAATGCCTGCATAATCAACAAGCTCGCGAATACGTTCCAGACGAGGGTGTGAGACACCCAAGGACGTCAGCAGACCATGATTGATCTGGATCAATTCTCCAAGGTACTGGAGAGAAGCAGGATCATCCTTGTTGTAGTCGGGAGAAGTAAGGAGCTTGTATGCCGAATCGGTCACTTCGTGGATAGCGTCCAGAAGCTGATTTGTTACGGTGGGGTGGGCTTCTTTCAGCGCGCCCACTTTGGCGACTTGAGTACCAGTTGAACGTGGATGGCGCGAATTGACCAGCAAAAGGGGAAGCTCTGGGAAGGCTCTTAATGGTGTTACAGTGGGAGGTCGGCCAGAGACCTCGCGCTTGTAAACAACGGCTTTTCCTCCGGCTGAAACGGTATTGTCCACACCACTGGGATTTCCATGTATACACATTTCTCCGACAAACGCCCAACGGTTAATCCTCTCCAATTGCACTTCAGACTCGTCGGATGGTTGGTCCGCGTGAGGGCCTGCCAAGGTTCGGATTTGCAATAAGAGTGCAGTGCTAAGGCAGACGCAAATGCTGGCACTGCTTCCCAGACCGGCCCCCACTGGTAATGTAGAACGAAGCGTATATATACATGCGGATGACTTTGGCGAGCCCAGCGAAAGATATAGGTAAAGGAACGCGAATGCCGAAGCATGGTGGACTTTGCGCGCATCGGGAGAAGCATTAGGGGAGACAACAGAGAGATGGGGTTTGATAGCGTCCACAAGTTCTTGGTCCAGAGAAGTGACCCTGTCGTAATAGTACTTCTTTTTCGATGGCGCCGAAAACACATCCCACGGCAGTGTTTCAATATCCCAGGTATGGTCGAGATCAATATCAGGGAATCGCAGAGAGACGGTTCTATGTGACTTGGACAGCGTCGTAACGTGAAGATAAGACCGGAGAGAGATTGTTGCTGCCATGGCCGGCTAAAACGGTTTGATCTCTCGTTAGTCTCCTGTCAGGGCAATATATCTGGAAATTCTGCTCACCTTTCCATAGACGACAGCGTGTTCTCCAAATACTATGACTTTGCCAGGCGCCGAGACCATAAAAGCCGGGGCCATTGGCGAAGACTTTCTTCGATCTGGCGCGGGTCTTGAGGCGGCATGATGGCCTTGGAAAGGAGCATCATTCAGGTGCGCAGCTTCGAGGCCATGCTGGAGATGGGCCACCGGGGCAGGAATAGCACTGCCATTAGATTCTTTCGAAACGAAAGCACCGTGATTCGAAGTTGCACCGTTGGCACCCTTGAAGTCATTCATGATTGCAGCTGTGAATCGTTGGACTAGGCTGCCTGTCGTCAGGGGATTTAGACTAGAAGGCTGCAGGGACGGCGCATATATATGGTGGAGTTGTGGACTAAAAGGTAGCGTCGTAAGGTACTAACTACAGGTATATCATCCACCTCCAATGGCCGCAACGGTTAATTAAACTTTTGGCGGGTCAGGAACAAGCGATAATCTTATCGCTCCGTCAGCCGATTTTATATGACACTTTCAATGGATCTCTCTTTGTGATTTAAAGTTGATTTGAAGAGTAAAGACGGAAAGCAAAATTCTAAAGTGGATAGAGGAGGATCATCTCAACTCTTAATACACCTGTTTGTTCTTTGTCTTCGGGATGGCTAATTGTGGGGAACCTGCTCTTATTGCCGCGGTCTTCCGCCGCCTTTACTATATGCTCCGATGCATAGACTGCCGGCGTCAAGACAAGGAGAAAGATTATGAGGCAATACAATTACCCATAAGAAGCCTGCTGAGACACAAAGAATTCAAAACCTGCATACTTCTTGTCACAATGTTCAATGGCTGATCTCTTCTTTATGAACATGACTTGATGTCAAGTTCTTTCCTTAAGTGGTTCACCATAACATTGTACTCCCAATATCCCAGACATTGCATGAAAAGGATATGTTCAGCTATCTTATAATTGACACTGTAATTCAAAAAGTAAAGGTTTCCAAAGAACTAAAAGCAACCGGCTTCTGCATTGTAGATATCACGGAATCATCTTGTTGGCACGTGGAGATAAGTTGACGATGACATAAGCAAGGATATGGCTGCCTGAGACAATGATGAAGTCGTCTCGAGACGTCAACACACGACAAGGTGGTCTCATCTGCCTTGAACAGCATCACCTGTACAATTCACTCGTGTCGTTCATTGAATTGGTGCACTACTGCTGCATCATGGATTTCCTTCAGGTTCGTACTCTGGCTAGCAATTCTTTCTCCGCCGTCCATCTCTGCTAATAGACAGCTCCAGCGCCTCGCGCGCTTTCTAGACCGTCCGCTCTTCCCCTGGAAGAATCTTCTCGTTGGCTTCTCTGTCGGACAATTCGTCTTTGAGAGCTTCCTTTCTCTCCGTCAGTACCGCGTTCTGCAGCAAAAGAAGCCGCCGAAGACTCTCGAAGGAGAGATCTCCCAAGAGGTTTTCGACAAGAGCCAGGTAAGCGCTGTTGTCACAGACCACAGCCTTTTTCAAGGCAATGGACAAGGCTTATGCAGCAGCTTTAGGGATATGGGCGTGCCAAGGCCAAGTTTGGCTTTATTGCATCTCTCTACAGTCAGATCCAAAACATTGCATTCGTCTATCTCGATATTCTCCCGAAACTCTGGAGCGTCACCGGTATACTGCTGGCCCGTTACTTTCCTACGCGGTTCTCGGGCGAGATTACCCATTCTCTGATATTCTTCTTTGCCTTTAACATCATTTCGACTATACTCGCATTGCCGACCTCGTACTACAGCACCTTTGTCCTGGAGGAGAAATGGGGCTTCAACAAGCAGACCGTCAAGCTCTGGGTATCCGACTTGTTAAAGGGACAAGCATTGATGGTTGTTTTGGGCACTCCTCTTCTCAGTGCTTTCCTGGCAATTGTTCAAAAGGTCGGTACATCTCAAAATATCAGAAGACGAACCTCGGACTAATGTAACCTTATTCAGACCGGCAACAGCTTCTTCTTCTACCTTTGGCTTTTTGGAATGGGCGTGCAGGTCTTTGCCATTACCATCTACCCGATTGCAATCTTGCCATTGTTCAACAAGCTCTCTCCGCTCGAAAAGGGCCCGCTCAAGGAGGGTGTCGAGTCCTTGGCGAAGCGCCTGGAGTTCCCCTTGCACGAGCTTCACGTCATTGACGGAAGCAAGCGGAGCGCTCACAGCAACGCCTACTTTTACGGTCTGCCATGGAAGAAGCACATTGTCATCTATGATACTCTGATTGAGAAGAGCGAAACGGAAGAGGTTGTGGCAGTTTTGAGCCACGAGCTTGGCCACTGGAGTCTCGGCCACACCACCAAGCTCTTTGGAATTGCTCAGGTTAGTACAATCCGTATCCAGCTCGACAAGTTGAATGTACAGCTCAATTGACCTTCTCAAGTTCCACATGTTTTACATTTTCGCCCTCTTCTCGGTATTCATCAACAACCGATCGCTGTACCAGGCGTTTGGCTTCCACAACCAATACCCTATTATAATTGGTTTCATTCTCTTCTCCGACGCTCTCGCGCCTCTCGACACCGTCGTGAAGCTGCTCATGAACATTCTCAGCCGCAAGTTTGAATTCCAAGCTGGTAAGTCTTTTGTATTTCACCAATCTGTATTCTCACATCCTCTGACGACTTATTTAGATGCATTCGCCGTCAAGCTGGGCTACTCTGCCGAGCTCGCCAAGTCTCTGATCAAGCTGCAAGTTCAGAATCTGAGCACCATGGATGCCGACCCGATCTATGCCAGCTACCACTTTTCCCACCCCATTCTGCCCGAGCGTCTCGGCGCTCTGGGATGGTACAGCGAAAAGGCTGGTGGCAAGAAGAAGGAAGAAGACACTGTTGGTAAGGCAACAGGCCGCGAGCTTTGAATAAGTTACGGCAAAACTTTTATTTCTTCTAGTTGATATACATCAAAACAGTATGCTCCACAGAAGAGGAGCGTAATAGCATGTTTTAGAAAAGAAAGAGTATACCTGTAAAATAGAAAAAATAGTAAAAATTGCTTTTGGATACCATTCCATAATAACTCCTGAAATATCCCACATTTATATGCGCCGCTGAAAGTTAGACCCCCAAGTCTAGCTGGACCAAAGAGAAAAAAGAACCACTTTATGCAATAACCTCCTATCCTTCCTCCTATCGCAACCCACACATACAGATACACACACTCTCTCCATTTCAAGCACCCTCTGCATCCTTTTCCTTCTGACGCTGGGCCTCCTTCTCCCGCCTCTCCTGCAACCTTCTCTCCTTCTTCGCCTTTTTCCGCGCGTCCTTGTCCACCGGGGCGCCCGCACCCGCATCTGTTTCCTTGACCGCAGGCACCTCCCCGCCATCCGTCAGACCCGTCTGTCTCTGCCCAATCTCTCCGGACTCTATTCCCTCCTGCTCGCGCTGATACGCCGTCAAATCCTGCCACTCTCCACCCTGCCCTTCTCCTTCTTCCCCGGCGCCGCCCGTCGTCGTTTGAACACCCTCCATGGCATCTCCTTCAGCAGTAGGCGCATTATTACTTTCGTCGTTCCCCTCGAAAAACGACATGTCCGCTGCCAAGTGCTCGCCGCGCAGCCCGGCTTCGACGCGCCGCAGATGATGCATCGTTAGCCCGCCACCAGACGACTGCTGTGGCCCGCGCTCTGTCAGCATCGCGTCCGGTAGGAACGCATGGTTGGTCGTCGAGGATTCAATGTACGTCTGCACGAGCCCCAGCGCGGACGCAGGGCTGATTTTGCGCAAGGTGAAATGGTGCGTTGGTGGGAACGGGGTTGCCGTGGCCATGGCGGGATGCTATGATCGAGCAAGAGACTTTTAGAAGGGAATGTAAATATGTTAAAAGGAGGATTTGGACGTTGGGTTGTTGTGTCGCAGTCGGGTTGTGCGGTTGCGTTGAGTTTGGTGGGTTTGGTTTGGAAAAAATAAGTTCCGTTGGAGAAGGAAGACCGCTGTGAGTCCGATTTTATGAGCAGCACAAGATGACTGTAAATTGAAGGGAGAGTGAGCGGTAAAGGTAAAGGTAAGGGCTGGCGCTGGAAGACAACAAGACTGTCAGAGGAAACGGAGGGTGGAAACGGAGGTTGTGATATTATTTTTTGGCGGATTGGCGGAGAGTTTCTTGTCTGGCTCAGTGTCGGCATTTTCGTCTGGCAAAACTCCGACCCCCGTCAACCCAGCCAAAGTCCAAATCGACAACCTTCTCGTCCAAATCATCAATCACTGTGTCCCGCCTGCTCGAGGAAATTCTTCTCGCCACGCCGTCTGTCCAGACTCATCACACTTCTCTCTCACTTCTCTCTCAGCTGTCGGGTGCTGCTCGAGTATCTTGAGACGGACTTACGATACCTACGGTCCCTCAATTGAGCGCACCAGCGATTTTTCTCCCGTCCAACACGCAGCACCGAAAGTTCATCCAATAGCGACATTCAAATCAACATGCTCTGCGTGCGCTGTCTCCGCGGCAGTGCCGTCGGCGCCTTGTCTCGGGGTGTTTCTGCCTCTGCTCGACCAGCTACGTCCATCGGCGCTGGAAATGCTACGAAACGGTGAGTTTGAGCTGGAGTCCTAGCTATTCCTCATTACGATCATTACCAGACCTCAATTCATGACAACCCTTTGTGCAATACGAAAAGAACATACTCGAAACAAATTACAAGTCACAAGGCTAACGTTTCCTTGCAAAACAGGTCTCTTACAATCCCAACTCTCTTCCGTCCACGTCTGAGCTATCCTCGCGCTTCTCCCTCCATTTCTACCGCCGTCTCCGCTGGCCCCGCTGGCACCGCCTCCGAAGCTACTTCATCTTCCTCAATCACAAATGCCGCGAGTGCTGCGACGGGCATCTTCTCCGCCGGTATCCCGAAACCGTCAACCCACCCGGCCATGGCAGGCACGCAGCTGCGTACCGTCGTGCGCAATACGTTCCGGCCCAGCCACCGCGTGCGCAAGCGGCGACATGGCTTCCTTGCGCGCAGACGTAGCCGGACTGGACGACAGACTTTGACGCGGAGACGAGCGAAGGGCCGGGGAGACTTGAGTCATTAGCCTGTTGTTTCCAAGTCTTACTAGTCTGTTCGTTTTCCAAGTCTTATTCGTCTGATCTTTCCTTCAAGTCTTATTAGTTCTTATTATTTTCTTTCCATTTCTTTTCTTTCCCCTTTTCTTTGGTTTGTGTATTATAGAATGTCGTCTGTGACGGGATTGTGATAGAACCTGCAGCTACAAAGAATGACAATTTTCTTATTTATATTTTTCCTTTTGTCTTTTCCCCCCTCTTTTTTTGTCCCAATTGAATGATTTTAGACGGAATCAGTGTCTCGATCTTATTTATGTCTCGTCTCGATTCCAGTGTTGTCTTGTCTCGATCCTATCGTTTATCGTTGTCTGAGCTTCACGTCTTCAACGCATAACACGCATAAGCCGATGATATGACGCAGAGGGTTGATATGACAGAAAAGGGGTGTATATCTTTCCTTTTTTTTCCCTCTTCAAACTCTTTACCCCCTCCCCCTTTCTTCTGTGTGTGTGATTGTACGCCACCATTGTACAATTGCACCATTGCACCAATGTATCACTGTAACTTACCATTATATCACAACTTGAGATAACTACCTTACCTTACCTCAAGGCATAAAAATATCCAATATCCAATATCCAATACCTCGCAGCATGCAGGAACTCCTCGAGCTACGGATTGTATCGTATCGTATGTAGTGCCATTCCTCCCATTCCTCCCATTCCTCTCTTCACTGCAGTGAAAATAATAATAAAGTAAAAATAATAAAAACCTTCTTAGATTGCGGGAAAAAAAGAGGTATAGACAACCTCTTTCACACCAAGTTGAATTAAGTTGAATATCAATAGAATATCAATAGAATACCAATAGAGTGTAGAGTGTACAGTGTAGGTATAAACAGACATTATTCGTATTTTGGATAGTCTCGTTTCTTTCTAGAGTAGATTCTTATCTATGTAGCAGAACAGCAGAACAGCAGATATAGATACCAAACGTTTAAAAAAGAATAATAGACGGCACTTGAATGCGTAGCGCAGGCTCAGCCTTACGCGGTGCCCCGAGCCCCGTAAACTCCGCCAGAACGCCTTATTTCCTAGGTTTGTATTTCTCTCTCTTTCCCCATTGTACGTCTCTTACTTCTTTTCGTGTCGAAAGCCCTCTATGACTATGATTCGGGATCGAAGAAACCGTTAAGACCATAATTGGGAAGGACAAAACCCCTAAGACTATGGCTGGGACCGAAAAAATAAAACCGCCACCCGGGTTAAAAAAAAAAGAGAAGATAGTCTTCAAAGATTAAATCCGAGAACAGAGGGTGTACAAAACCGAGACAGGAAAACAAATCTAAGATGATGCCTGTTTTGCTTGTGACGCCTCTCTCAGAGCCTGCATGACGCGATCAATCTGGTCCATATCCGCCGCATCCAACTTCTTCTTCTCCGGACCATCCGCCGCGGCCACAATCTCCGCGGGGAGATGCTTGCCCGCTTCGTCCAGCGCGGGCTGGTAATTCCGGACCGCCGACGACAGCGCATAGATTGCCTTTCGACGAACCTGTTCGTTGGCATCCCCGACCGCGATGCGCACGAGGGTAGGTACCCCGCCTAGTATCAACACCTGTTACACAAGTTAGCAAGACCAACTATCCTCCAACAGACAAGGTTTTTCTCAAAGGAAAGGTATCTCTCAAAAGGCAAGGTTTTTCGAGCTACGTCTCAAAACCAAACCAAACCAAGGGGAAAAAAAAAAAAAGGCAACCTACTCGTTCCTGGGCTTTGGGATTATTCTGCACCGCCGTGCCGACACACCACGCAGCCATTTTGCGCATCTCGGGCTCAGCGTTTTCCAGCTGTCCGAGCAGTGGGGTCCAGAGACCCAACGGCTCCTGATTGTTCGCATTGTCTATCGTCTCGATCAATTGCTCGTAGTTGTCAAACGCGATCAACTTGTTCTCGAGATCGACGTTGGGAGAGACGATTGCGGCCATGGCGTCCTTCATGAGATCGGCGTCGGAGGGGCCGCCGAGGAGCTGGGCGAGGGCTTGGGGGTCGATGCCCCGTGCGGCATCGCCGGTGGAAGTTGTGTTGTTGTTGCTGTTAGAGGAGGGAGTGTCTTTGGAGTGTTCAACGCCCCATTTGAGGAGAGAATTGAGACCGGGGTCTGTCATGTTGATCGTTGGTTGTTGGTTGATGGTTGCTGGTTGTTTTTCTTGGGGGAAAAAAAAGATTTGGTGTTAAAAAAAAAGATAACAGGGAAAGTAGAAAAGTAAAGTGGAGTCTAAATGTAAAGACTATAAGAAAAACAAAAAGCAAGAATAATAGCTTTTCAGGGGAAAGTCTGAGAAGGGAATTGCGGTCTTAAGAGTACAGTTTGAAAAATACAAAAGTTGGCTGCGTCGCGGGGTCCCAAGTGACGATGTTGCTCGGCGATTCGCGAACGTCCGGCGGGATTCTCTGACTTTCTACCCTTTTCGGGTTAGTGCATGTTTCCGTCATGGAGATATGTTGCCCTGTTGCCCTGTTGCGTACGGTTGACAGCATCAGGATTGTCTCATAGCTATGTTTACAAGCATGATATTCAATGGTTTAATCAATATGTCATATACTCAAAATGCAGACTAAAATGGCGGTATGATTATCATTATGATTCGTAAAAACGAAAATCGGTAGGGCGTAAAGTACGCTCCCTGACTCACAGGCTTAAAGTCAATGATTTGATGCAACAAATAATATTATCTTTCTAACAAATAATTCTTTTCAACCACTTGTGGCTATTGCAGTGATTCTATTTCCAATACTCAAAAAGTCTTATATCAGCCCAAATGCAGACCGTACCTCGGTACCCAGTGCTAGTAAAACAGAGTAGGAAATATTGAAAATCTCTAGTATTTATATCCTCTGCAATCCATGCGTGAAGAAGAAGAAATCGGATTTTGTGTCAGGAAAATCTCATCATTCTCTCTTCTCTAATCTTGATGCTGAACACATCCTCAGTCGTTGCGGTTCTGGGCAAGACGTCTTCCAATGTTACCAAAACAGACACAGCTGCAAAACAAGACACTGGCAATCCAGGTCTTGACGCCAATGCTTTCGACATTGATCATTCCCTCTGGAACACCGTACAAAGTGCTCAAATTGGCGGCGCCGGTGCCGCCTTCACCGAAAAAGGCGTGCGGGGAGCTAGTCGTGGCGGGCGTGGGCACCATATGAGGATTGATTTGAAGGAGGAGGGCCGTACCCATGATGCCGACGGCGGAGGAGAGGAAGAGGCCGGGTTTCGATCGATCAATGACGTACCATAAGACCGGATTGACAAGAGCCAGCGTCAACGATGCCTGCAGTGTCGATTGCCAAGGGAGTTTTCGCTAGATCCGAGTTAGCTATCCACCAGATTCTCTTTCTCTCACACACACACACAATTCGTTGTAAAACATACAATTGCTAGGGCAATGCCAACAAAGGCACCAATTCCCCGTATCGCAGAGTTCCAATCCGCTCCCTGGCTGCTGTTTGACTCGTGCTCTTCAGTCCGCGATGGAGATTCATCGGCGACTTCCACGCCCCCTTCTTCCTTGAGAGACTTTTTCGTGCCAACCGCTTCGCTGGAGCCCGTCCTCTCCTCCCAAACAATGTCAACCCAGGGCAAAAGTCCGCCAAAGAAGATGCCAGCAATGCCCCATAAAATCAGGTAACGCCGCGAGAGGTGATCCACCCCCTCCAATTGCACCGGCGCCAATCTTTTATCGTGAAGATGCGAAATGACTATCCCTCCGGCAATGCCAAAAATAAAAAGAAGCGTCGACCGCACAAGCAAAGGCACGCCGGTGCCCCAAAAGCCGTGGCGCGGCATGTGGTGTGGACGTACATTCTTGCCGCCAGGCCGCTGCCAGTGAGCAACCGGCGAAGGACGAACATCGCTTTCATCACTGCGGCGACGGTTGGGCGTCAGAGCACCCGTTCCCCAGGGAGTCGACGGCTCGTCGCGAGAAGCATCCTCTTCTGTAGGCGAATAGATACCAAACAGTGTTGAAGAGGTGAGATTGAGGATCGAGCGGGTTCTCGAAGGCGGAATATCATCGCTCTTGCGGTTGGTGTAGCCGGTCGAGTTCTCTTCGCTCCGTCGTGGTTGAAGCATATTGGTACCGGCGTCGACAGGCGTCACCGGGGAAGGGGACTCGGTCGAGGCCGGCGTTAAATCAAACGGACGGCGCGGAATCGGCCGTAATATGTCAGGTTTCCTTTCGGCACCGCTCGCCATGGCGTCAAAAGAATTGAGAGCGGAGTATTGGTCGGAGATTTAGGCTCCAGATTGGTGGTTGCAAAGGTGTAGAATATGTTTCGAGTATTGAACAGACCCGTTCTAAGGCCTGTATCTTTCGAGATTATATATTCAAGCGGCCAGAAACGTGAAGAGTTCGGACTCAGATCGAACCGATGTTGCTGGGAAATTATAATGAACCATGGAATGGCTTCAACCGTCTGCGTCCTCGAGAATCCCAGGAGGATGTCAAAGTAGTGGCGAGTTATAGTATCGTAATGCGAAAGGGAGGGAGGAGACGGAGATCCACCGTTGTCAAATTGGTGTCCCGTGCGCCGAAACTCTCCGAGATCTATATAGGTGGTCTACCGGAGGCTGAGGATCTTAGCCAAGCCGCACGAGGTTTGAAACAAGACAAAATGTTCAGAAAGGAAAATGTGTCCAAAATGCAGATGAGATGTCAAAGAGTGCGGGGCAATTCAATGGAGGATGTGAGGATGGTGAATTGTTGGTTGAGAGAAGCTCAAGGGTAGGAAGCATGTGCTTATGTCTGTTAGGCTGGGATTAATGCTTAACTGGCTTTGCCGCCCTAGCAGCGACATGGCTCATGCTCGGTTATAAGTGCGTGCCTGGTTCTGTGCAGCATTCGCACTTGTATATGAACCCCTGTAGGTAAACGTACCTTGAGAGCTGATCAACAAACCATTCAATATCAGCGTACAATTAAGACGAATGTGTGATAGGTTGCTGGTTGTCTCAGAGTGAGAGAGGCCGAACTGGCTACTCCCAGAAAGACCACGAAAGGCTTAGTTGACCTATAAGACACCCCAGTTCCCCAACGCTTGCCAAGAGAGTTCCTAATAAGTGTTAAGTTTAATAACACAACCACGTCAAGGAAAGAGGATGAGATTGATACAGCTTTAGGTAAAGAAACAGAGGGGAGAAGGTCGGAAAGGTTGAGCTTACTCGGATACGTGATAGAGAGGACGAAGGAGTCTGACATGTGAAAAAAGGGCAGCGAAACCTTGTCTACGTGCTTCTCTGCCAAAGTGGGTTAGTCCCTCTTCATTGCCCCAACCCGTTGAACCGGACAAGACAAATGATACGACCGTCCATACCCTTTCCCCTAGGGTGGCAGATGGAGCAACATGGGGCCACCACAAAAGGCAAACAAATCATCCGATGGAACAAAAACGCATGTGTATCTTCCCTGTCACTGTGACAGTGTTTGCCCGCATCCCATTCAAGCTCGGAACATATAAGCCAGAAAGAGATTCTCAGGTAAACTTTTTTGCATTTTCAACGTCATGACTTTTGATTGAATATTGTCTATGCTTTAAATGGAGGGGAAAAAAAAGAATCGATGAGAAATAAAAGGGAATCAAAGAAGCAAAGACGCAAAGTATTTGCACGCCTTCAATAATGCTCATTGCCTGCATGACCCGCGCACCTATGTACGACGCGCCTGCTGCTCACCAGCGCGGGCCCCTGCCAAAGAGCAAAGGTGCTGCAAACCCCCCATCTGACATTGGCATCCAGAGTATCGTAATCATCCACTCGCACAATGTTGCCTTCCTCTATCTCGTCCTTCACATGCACGCCCACGTCAAAAGCAGCAGCACCAACTCCGTCGTAAGCAGCAGTAGCTCATTGCTCCCTCTATGATGTCCCTTGATCTCGCCGCCAATATTCGCGTTACAGAAAATTTTAAATCACCTTGTCAAGCCACTTAAACAATGGGCTCCAGAGTGTTTCCACTGTTTAAAAAATTGAAACGTTAGTGACGCAGGAGGAATGCATTGGAAAGCAAATGATACGTACGCAACAATATTGGCCCATCCAATCAATCGCCAGTGCTTCTCGATACGTCGACTCAGCGCGACCTTCTCACCAATCTCCGTGCAGGCCGGGCTCGTCAAGCTCAACTTGGCGGCATCGGCCTTGACACCAATGACCTTAGCACCAGTGGCAGTACTGCCAATGTTGACCATGAGAACTTCGTTCTTTGCGAGCTTGGCAACCTTGGCCTGCTTGCCATCGGCAGTCTTGACACCAAGGAGGCGTCGGAGCAAGAAGTAGTTGACCTCAATTTCAGTGTAGATGGCCGGCAGACGGCCCTTGAGACCCAAAACGAAACCGACTAATCGATCCGCACGGCAGAGTGTGGGGTCGACGCGGGTACCAACACCTATTGCGCCAAATCGTCAGTATGTTGTCTGCAATTCCATTATCAACTAACTGATCCAGGACGAGGCTCTTACCGATAAGACCACCGGGGACAGCAAACTTGAGGTCGTTGTGCTCAGCAAATAGTGACACAACACGACTGAAAATGGGCCGGCACTTAATCTTGCCCTGATCGTCACGGGTGACGATACCAGGGCGGATTTCAATCTCATCGCCCAACTTCAACACACCAGTCAAGATACTACCACCAGCAACACCACCCTTGAGTTCCTCAATCTCGGCACCGGGCTTGTTGACGTCGAAAGATCGAATGACAATCATGTGAGGGGCCGCGGTGAAGTCGCGCATCGGGACAGGAATCTTCGACACAAGGTACTCGTTGACGGCGTCAATGTTGTACTTGAGCTGAGCCGAGATGGGGATAATCGGGGAACCATCCGCGACAGTACCACGAATGAACTTGAGAATGGACTGGTAGTGGTCCGCAGCACCTTCCTCACGCATCAAGTCGACCTTGTTCTGAAGAATGATGATGTGGTTGAGCTTCATGATCTCAATAGCAGCCAAGTGTTCCGAGGTCTGAGGCTGAGGGCAGGTTTCGTTTCCGGCAATCAAGAGCAGAGCGGCGTCCATGACCGCAGCACCCGAAAGCATAGTACTCATGAGAATATCGTGACCAGGGCAGTCGACGAACCTATAGAGAAGGGGAACATTCCCAGTCAGCATCTGATTACAAGATAAAAATTTCTCCTTGATGCCGTAGCAAAACGGACAAAAGTGGTGGCTACATACGAGACGTGTCGCAAAAGGCGATACCGTCCGCCACAGCCCTCGCGCTCGCAAGGAGGGTCAATCTCCTTGTCACTCTTGAAGCTGCGGAAGCAGCCCGGCCGAGGGCACTCCTCGTTGTCACACTTGTAGACCTTTGCGTTGGCATAACCCAGCTTAATGGTGATGTTTCGTTCCAATTCGTTCTTGAATCGAACAGTCTGAACACCTGAGATTGCCTTGACCACCGTCGACTTTCCGTGTGCGACGTGTCCTATCGTACCAATATTGATAGTCGCCTGGCGGGCGATGATTTCGGGGGAAAGCGGGGTGAGAGTCGACACATCAAGATCCTCAGGGTTGGGCTGAGGAGGAAGCTCCGGCCGGGGCGGGGCCGGGACGGGAGCAGGCTTGCTGCTCTTCTTCAAAGCGGACTTGGGCTTGTCCAGAGACTCCTCAAAGTTCTCGTTCTCAATGTCCTGCTGGTTGGTGGGTTCCAGGGCGGGGGAGCCGGGAGGAGACTCATCCTCAGAATAGTTTCCGTTGGTAGCCATGATTGCGGTAAAATCCAACGCTGTTCCGCGGTCGCGCGTCTATTTAAAGATTTTTCCTTTTCTATCCAAAATCCGGTAAGCTTGCTGGCTTTCAGGGTCGATCAGATCAGGTGTCACTCAGGGAACCGTACAAGTCGTCCTGTTTGCACAATTCATCAGTTAGTCGGTCTGGAGGTTTCGTGACGAAGTCGACTAACGCTTGTCCTTTTCGGCTAGGAAAACCTCGGCGGCAGAATTTTGTCCCGCACAAGTCTGGATTGAAGCAGAGTGGCCAACGAATTTCAAAGGCCAGGTGGAGATCGCAACTGTCACTACACTGGACAGCAGGAGATGCGGTGGAGCGTGGAGCGGGTTAGAATTCTTGAAGCTTTCCGAGTCGGTACGGTTGGCAATTCTCAAAGAATTTAGTCAGACTGACAACCCAAGCCTCTTTTGGGGTTTTCCCTTTGGGTGAGGTTGTGGCGTCTGTGCGTTCATTGGCTCGTCTAAGCACCAGCACATTGCATTAACGACTCTCCATGCCTGAATCATAGCAGCAAGAAGACAACATGAATGCTTTCTCAGATAGTGGAGGCACAAGGCTGTATCCGAGAAAGAAAAAAGGGCATGGGAAAAATAGCGTCTACGTCAATCATGCACATGCCAGCCATTATTAAATAAAATGTCCCTATGTTGAATGCGAAGACGAAATAGTCGTAGCTACTCTGCATCTAAGAAACGTCACACTTGGATATAAATTCATGTCCCACGCATAAAACTCCCGCTTCGTTCAGTCGCAACCTTGAAGCCGAGCAAAAGAACGCCGGCGCTCAAGAGCCGTTAATTCTACCAGAGATTTAATGATGGAAAAGACGGATGCTCTGCTCAATAAAGGTGATACCAAGCTCCGCTGACGTGTCAAAGACGGCCTGGTCGTTCTGGCTACCCGTAGGCGCAGCAATGTACTTGGCACCAGAGCGGGCGACACGGAAGACGTTGTCAATGAAGGGGAACTATCAGACGTGAAAGATTAGCGATTCTGAAGAAAGTGAAAAGAGGACGACAACTATCCCATCTGTGGGTGACGGTGACTGAATTTTTTTTGGGGGGGTGGTAGGGGTTAAGACGTACGAAAGCGTCGCTGCTGACGGCAACCTCGCTCAGCTTCTTCGCCCAAGCCTCGCGCTCCTCGGCGGTGAAGGGCGTGGGGACCTCCTCAAAGCTCTTCTCGTACTCCTCCAGCTCGGGGCCCGATGAGGGGAGCTCGCCGCTGCAGAGCAGGTCAATGGCGTTGCTCTTGTCGGGGCGCTTGGTGCCCTTCTTCCACTTAATGTCAAGGACGCGGTCATGGAAACGCATCCACCAGTTGTCGGCCTTGTCACCGGCAAGACGGGTGCAGTGAATGCGCGACTGCTGGCCAGCGCCAAGACCAATGACCTGGCCATTCAAAGCGTAGCAGACAGAGTTGGATTGCGTGTACTTGAGCGCAATGGTGGCAACGGTGAGGTCACGGAGGGCGGACTCGGGCACGTTGGCATCCTTGGGGGTGATGACTGTCTTGAAGGTGGATTTCGGCACAATAGTGGCGTCATTGCGACGCTGAGAGAGCTGGATGCCGTAGACGGTACGGGTCTCCTGCTTGTAGGGCTCAAACTCCTCGTCCATCTGAAGGACAAGGTAGCGGCCACCCTTCTTCTTGGACAAGAGCTCGAGAGCCTCGGCCGAGTAGCCGGGGGCGATGATGCCGTCCGAGACCTCGCGAGAGATGATCTTGGCAGTCGTAACGTCCACTTCGTCGGACAGGGCAATGACGTCGCCGAAGCTCGACATGCGGTCGGCACCGCGGGCACGTGCGTAGGCCTGGGCGAGGGCGGAGCGCTCAAGACCCTCAATGTCATCAACCATGTAGACCTTGCGCTCCTTGGGGCTCAGGGGCACACCAATGGCAGCACCAGCGGGCGAGACATGCTTGAAGCTGGCGGCGGCGGGGTAGTTGAGCGCGCGCTTGAGCTCCTTGACGAGGGGCCACGCGTTGAGGGCGTCGAGCAGGTTGATGTAGCCGGGAGAGCCGCTGAGCACCTTGAAGGGCAGCTTCTGGCCACGAACGTAGCAGGAAGCATGCTTTTGGTGGGGGTTGGCGCCGTAGCGCAGGGAGAGATGCTGCAGGCCGTTGGCGGCGTACTTTTTGCGGAAGAAGTCGTTAATGGTGGTGTCGTAGTCAGCAGTGTGCTCGAAAGCCTTGAGGGCGTAGAGCTGACGGCTCTTCTCCGAGACGTTGCCCTTGCTCAGCTCCTGCAAGAACTCGGGGTAGTCAGAGGGGTCGCTGAGGATGGTGACGCGGGAGTGGTTCTTGGCGGCAGCGCGAATGAGAGTGACACCACCAATGTCAATCTCCTCGACGGCTTCGGGAATGGTAACATTGACCTTGGCAATGGTGTCCTTGAAGGGGTAGAGGTTGCAGACGACAAAGTCAACCTTGTTAATGTTCTGCTCGGCAAGGTCCTTCTCGTCCGAGGCGAGGTCGCGGGCAAGGATGCCAGCGTGCACGGCGGGGTGGAGGGTCTTGACGCGGCCTGAGAGCATCTCCGGGGCGTGGGTAATGGCAGAGACGTCTCTGCAAAACGTGGGTTAGTGACATGGCAGATATGGAATTTGGATAGAGCTGTGGGATCGTGGTCGCCGTAATTTCTTCAAGGGAAATTGAACGCCGTATTGTTCCGGAGACTTACTCAACCTCAAAACCAGCCTCCCGGATCATTTTAGAGGTGCCGCCCGAGGCCAGCAGGCGGACATTGTTCTTGATCAAGCCCTTGGCGAGATCCAGCAAGCCAGTCTTGTCATAGACGGAAATGATAGCTAATGGGCGGTGACGATAAGAGTCAGCGTATGGTAGCTCTTTTTGGAACGCAGAGAATGGCACAAAAGAACCTTACCGGTCTTGCGCGGCTCCTGGGATGCCATGATTGACTATGTTCAGGTCAGCTCTCAGCCTTTCCTCACTATTCACGCACAGCGTTTTGGGGAAGAGACAAAGGACTGTGAGTGCGGGAAAAAAGTTGGGGGACGAGGGGACTTTTTGGTGCACTATTTGCTGTCCCAAATTTCTAGTCGCCGTAGTGCACAAGCCAGGTTTCGTGGGCAGTAGTACAATGGCGTGTGAGAGTGGAGGAACCCAGCCTTTGTAAATGCACAGCTATGGGAGCACGTACCCGAGTAAATTGAATATGCTTCAAGTCCACAGCACGATACCAGTCAGACCAGAATTGTAATTCGGTGCAATGAGTTGTTCTGTCTATGAAAACCTCTCGCAGAAAGGTTTGGCAATTCAAATTATGAGAGAAAAGGACAATTGGACGAACAAGGGACAATTATCGGCCACTGGAGGGGTCAAGGATTATAATCATTCCCTGTCTTTGGAGGGTGGGCAAGTGGGCATATGTGTGTGTGCGGAACCTGGGCCCGCAACAAGGTCACCGTTTTTTTCTTAGTGGGGGAAAGTGGGAAATAGAGGGGCAGTTGAGGGGCACACAGAGGGACGAGGGGAGGGGCAACACCGCCAGTAAGCTCCGCCAGCAGGAGAGAATTAAGAGCGTAGATGATGCAAGAAATCTGAATGGAAAGTATCGTGCATGTATGGTGGCCTTGGAACATTAGCCTGCAAAACACAATTTTGTTTCTACTTCAATTGCAAGTCTTATGAGAGGTGCATCTGAGGCAAAAAAAAAAAAAAAAAACAAAGTGGGATGTTGCAGCATGAGAAATATCGGTTTGCTGCAGAATCCGGTCTCGGTCGAGGGAACCAATGTGGGCTGTATTTTTGCTGTGCTTTGAGTTAAGCGTGGCACAAGTACTTTACAGGGAATGGTGACGTGCAAAGATACTTGTCATGAAAAGCCTCGCTAAATTTACCCTTCTAGGACGGGGCGAAGGGAGCTGTATTACATAATCCGCTAGCAAGCTCTCATTTTCTTCACCTATTTCTTCCCTTTCGATTTTTCTTCTTCTCCTTCTTTTCTCCATATGAACAACGCAATATTTAACATTCTGATTAAAAGCGTTCCGACGAGATACCCGTCGTTTCTTCTTCGGAAGGGCGATGTGAGGCTTCCATGACATCCGGAAATCGTCAGAAGAATGGAGATTAGTGTAAAACAGCGGATGGTCTTGGGTGCGGTGTCCTTCCTTTTCTTCAATGAAGGGGGTCGCAATGATCAACCGTACAGATATGAATTGAATGATGAATGTAGATCGTCTGCAATGTGAATGAATGAGCTATTCATGCTTTTTCTCTTCATCTATAAGAATAGAGGGCGATGCTCCAAATTTGCGAAATTGGAATCTCGCAAGGGTCGATTTTGCTGTTTGCACGTGGACGTACTCTGTCAGGCAGCAATGAGCGCTTCGGAGTCCAACAGTCCCAGTCCCCCGCGTCGGCTTAGTTGGGTCCCTTTGCGAGACCGTCAATGTTGTTGTCGCTTTACCCGCTCAAGTAGTAAACAATCCGCAAACACCCACCAGATAAAACGAGACCTGACAATGGAAGCTGTGTCAGATGCCAATGTTGCTCAACCAAACTTTGCAAGGATTGCAGAACATCATCGCGGACTCGCCGAGGAACTGTCAAAATGTAGCAATCTGCCTTCGGTGGATACAGGCGCTGCTCTCGCCCAAACCCTAACATCTATAATGACCGAACTACGAGACATGAACAGAAGTTTGAACAGGCGCATGGATGATATGGATCGGCGGATGGACGAGAGATTCGGGAACCTCCAACGGGAAATGCGTCAAGGTTTTCACGATATGCAGCTCCGAATCAAGACTGTGTAAGTGTCTATAATAGTTATAAACTACAAGCGAGAATGCTAATTCGCAGGACCAGAGACTCGAACAACATTTCACGATTAGTGAATAGCCAAATCGTCTCAAACACTACAGATTTGGCACCGTTATGTGCCCTTCAGACAGGAGACCCAATTGAAGGCTTTCCACAGACGCCGTCTGAAATTGCTCGTTTATCAAGTGAGTACTTGACAACAAGCTCATTGCGCCTTCAACTATCCAGGTCCAACTTTCAAGAACAATGATATCAATTTCTGACATATGACTCGTGTCCCAGGCCAACAAATCAATTCAATTTTACGCGCTCTCGAGATTGACACCGCTGGTACAATAGATGCAAAAAGACAACGACTACGCTTATACCTTGGACTTAAAGCAGTTCCCGTTTGATAGAAATGAAGGCGGGCTTTTGCTCCGACGCGCCTTTTTCGAAAGGTCCCTTTGAATGACATTTACTGTCGATTTTCCAACATTGTTCACCGAAAGGAAATTATTTGATTGGCATTCGAACATGTACAGGATATACCTTGGGAGTCAGTCACTAGAGCCACGGCGCGGGATTTGGGGCTATGTTATTTCGGTCGCATATGTTATACGCATACAGATTTATGATGGGACATTGGGAACACGGATATACTGGGAAAATATTTTATAATAACGACGAAACGATTTGTTACTCTGCTGGTTTTTATTTTGGACATGAAGAATATAATTTCAAGATTAAATTTCGGCCACAAACGCTTGGCACAGAAATGACGTTGGCAACGAGTTATACCTTTTTTTTTTTTTTTTTTTTTTTTTTTTTTTAAAAAAAAGAAAAACAAATGTTCATATATTTTATACCCATGAGATTACCAGTGAAATAAATGCCAAGAGAACAATAATTTCTAATCATCAACGTCGCTGTGGACACTTCTGATCCCTAAAGACACTAATTACTCGCTCTTGGTTAACGCCCAGGAGCTACGGCCACATCAAACACAGGGTCCGTTTCCCCGCTTGCGTCATTGACAACAACACCAGACCAGCTTTCCTTGCAATGTAACCACATATATGCCGTACAACCTGGACACATCAAGACACCTCTGAGACTCTACATGTCACTCTCACGTCAATTGACCCTCTACCCCCTAGCCTTCTCGACATCCTAGCATCCAATACCCCAGCAAGCACTTCACCATTAACATGCCGTCGCCCTCATCCTCCACTTCTCCCCGGCAGAGCCATACGCACAAGAAAAAGCACGTCGACGTGTCCAACAACCTTATCGCCGACGGCAATCTTTTCACCAAAGCTACCTTTCCTCCGCGCTCTACGCGGCATCCCCAACAACAAGCGCAGCAGGAACAATCCGGCCCGCGAACAAGAGTCGAGTCCTACAAGCTCGGAATCGGTCCAGACCCAAAAGGCGGAAAGCCGATCATGTCCACAGACACCAACGTGGTCGAGAGCAATACATCAATAAACGTAACGCAAAAGACAAGGACCAATAACACACAAAGGACAAAGCGCAATCCGAACCTCGTCATCGCGTTTGATCTATACGGCACGCTGCTGTCCACAGAGTCGATTGCGGAGAAGTTGGCAGAGGTCTTTGCCAATGAGATTGAGGAATTCAAAGGCGAAAGCAGCAATGTTAATAATGGGAAAACGGAAAAATCTGGGTCGAGCCCGGCAAGAGAGAAAGCAAATGAAGTCGCGACACTGTGGAGGCGGTATCAGCTGGAATATACCTGGCGGCTGAATAGCATGGGTATGTCATTTCCATTCCTATCTCCATCCCCATCTCCATATTCCTGTTTCCCCTTGTCTTCTTATTGCCTGATTGTGAGGCTCCATACCCCTCATTCTTTTCGTTGAAACCTGAAATCTGAAATCCCACGGATTCAAGCTATTAAATGTGGCCACGGATTCAAGCTATTAATTTAGGTACTGTGAACATAACCTGTCTTTAATAACTAATCCATATACCCATTCATGCTGCACTCAGCAGTTCCAGTTTGTTTTCCAGATAAATATACAATCTAATACAAAATAGACAAATACTATCCCTTTTCCACCGTAACTCGTCGATCTCTGCACCACGCACTGGCCGAGGCATTCCCGTCCTCGTCCTCGTCCTCGTCCACTGCTACCACATCTTCCCGCAAAACCAAAAAGGTTCTCTCCTCATCCGCCATCCAGACTGTCATGAGCGCATACGATTCACTATCGACATTTCCCGACGTCAATCCTGCCTTGTCTGCACTCGCCAAACTCCAGCAGTCCTCCTCCCCTTCTTCCTCTCCCCCATCCCCCTCCTCGTCCTCCTCATCCTCCTCGTCCCAGAAACGAAACATTACAGCCGTAATCTTCTCCAACGGGACACAGCGCATGGTCTCCAACAGCGTGACCAAATCCTCCGACTTACGTCCGCATTACCCGCATTATCATCATCCTCATCATCAACAGCAGCAACAGCAGCACCTGTTCGACAAACTCATCACCATGGATGATCTGGGACTACGACTCTACAAGCCCGCGCCAGAGGTCTACGAGGAACTAGCCACGCGCGTGGGAAAGGACGGAGCTGTAGCCGCATCCGGAGCTGGAGCTGTTTCAGATATGGCAGAGTGCATGTTAGTATCTGTGAACCCGTTTGACATTGTCGGTGCGCGCGCCGCAGGGATGAAGGCCGTCTGGGTCAATCGCGGCGGTGGACCTGGCTGGGTAGATTGTTTACTGGAGGAGGAGGACGACGATGACTCCGACTCCGACTCCGACTCCTACGACCACGACCACGACCACGACGATGACGATGATGATGATGATGATGACGGCGAAGAGAGAGGAGGAAACGAGGAGGACGAGGATGAGGAGGAGGATGGGAATGAACAGGATAAAGAAGAGGATGAAAACTACGGGCGTCGAAAACGAGGCGGATCTAAACCGTCCCAAAAGCGACAAGAGAGGAACAAAGGCAAATACAAGCCCACGGCGATAATACCGAGTCTGGAGGATCTGGTAGATGTTATTCGTCCGGAATTGTAGTCCTACAAACATCGAGTGTGTATATATAGCTGTACAAATAAGATCCAAGAATCCGAGAATGGGAGAATCCGAGAGTTGGTCATGATCATACATAACTTACATCACATCCGACAAAAGAGGAACGGGGAGTCCCTAGGTCACTGAAACGGCAAGAGTTTGTATGACAAATTTCATCAATATATGTTTGTATGTTTATGACAGGCTTTACCATACAGAAAAGGTAAATATGGGCTCAAGGCCCTTCCTTGACACAAGCCGATTCGTGATCCAAAGGAAAGGATCTGGGGGCAGAGATATGAGGCGAGAAAAAATAAGATCAGAAGGAAGAAGATGAAGTAGAGGATGAAGTAGAGGATGAAGTAGAGGATGAAGAAGAGGAAGAAAAAGAAGGAAGGTCATATTCATTTCTTCTTACCCTTGGCACTGGCCTTCTTCCCCAGCGCCGCTTCTCTCCGCTTTTCCTCTCGCTCTCTCAGCTCCTTATTGCGCTCTTCGTCCTTGACGCGTTTCTCCTCGGCCAGCATTTCCTTCATCTTACGCGCCTCCTCGCGCTGCTCACGCACGAGCCTGAGCCGCGCGAGATCTGCACGCGCTTCATCCGTCTTGCCCTCGGCATGGAGTTTCATGTAATGTTCTCTGGCGCGCTGGGCGTTGAGCGCCTCCTGCTCGCGACGCGACAGCTGGACGCCCTTTGCCGCGGCCTTTTTCAGGTCTGTTGGCTCGTCCGCGGCCTTGCCGCTCGCTTGCGAGCGCGCAGAGGCAGTATGGTTCGGGTTGGCGGGCATCTCGTTGTCGTCCTCGTTGTTATCGTTGTCGTCGGACCCAGAATCCTCGTCAGAGTTGGGAGGAAGATCGCCCGGCGCGGCGGCCTGTTGGGCTTTTCGTCGGATCGCGGCTTCTTTGCGCGCCTTGGCGGCCTTGCGGCGCTCCTCGCGTGTCAGCTCTGGTTGTTGCTGGTCTTGTTTCTTGGAGCCGGAGGGGCCGGAGGGGCCGCCGGCTTCAGAGCCAGAAGAGGATTCGTCGGACGAGGAGTCGCTTTCTTCGGAGGATTCTTCGGGTTTGCGGCCCTCCTGTTCAGTGTCAGTTTTCTTTTCTTTTTTAGTGTTTCCTGGAGGGGGGTGGGGGGCGGGGGGGTCTTAGTGGAGGTGCGTGGTAGATTTGTCCCAGGATAAAACGTCTGCGACCGAAAAGAGGAGATGTGGGTTATGACAGGGAAGAAGAGGATAGACTTACACCCCACATGCCCATGGGAAGCCCATCTTGGTCAAGCGGGCGCAGGTCTCTGCTGAAATGCTTGCCTCCTATCATCAGTCAGTACTGTCTTGCACTTTAAATTCATCTTCCATCTTCTGCTTTCCGTTCAAACGGAGCAGGAACTTAGAAAGGGATTCATCTTTGTCTCCAACTGTGTCCAAAGTAACGTACCTCCTCTCGACGGCTTGCTAAACTTGCCACCACGTCCACGTCCTCCGGGAGCCATTTTCTTTTCTTTTCTTGTCCGTTGTGGTCAAAGAGTTGTATGTTTGAAGTGTTATTTCACTTTTCTCTTTGTTGCAAAGTCTTGATCGAAGCACGTTTGTGAAATGCCCAGCTTATTTGCAGTCGCAAATTCGGAAAAGTCGGGTGTCAAGACAGGACACTGAAAAGAAGCCTTTGTGTGCCTGAAATATGTTTGCAAGTACTGCGAGTATTTCGAGGATGGTAGGTTTAGCACCGTCCTGCCGTTGAGAAATGTGAGTCAGTAGGCTAGACCAGCAAAACGACGAATAGCGTACACTGTACAGCGTGCACTGTACAGTATACTGCAGTACTGTGCCCTTTTCGTCTTTGTGCGGTTGTGCAGTGTGTGCTGTGCAGTGTGCAGTGCGCAGGGGAAGTGCGTGGTGACTGACCTTCAATCTGTGTCGTGTGGGGAAGTTGGAAGTGAATTATTTACAACACAAGTCGGCAGGGTCGGGCAGGTCAATATGTTTCAGCGTCTGTGCCTGTGCTTGTGCCTGTGCCCCTCTATCTCGTTTGACAAGTCACTGGCCAGGCCCATCTCAACTACCATAGGTGGGTAGGTAACTTATCCTTGGTCGTGGCATACCTTATACAAGTAATACAGAGTATATTTACAATCCTAGTATCTGTATATTATATATTATATATCGATATTGAAAATCTGAGTCACATTTACATCTCTACTAATCTCTTCAGATTCATGACCTTATGTGGAGTACGTTTCAACTTTTTCTTTCACCAACTTTGCACACCAAGTACGGAGTACAAGTAATTGTACGTGTTGTATTTACGCCACATCTCATTGGCCAGACACTAAAGGTACGTACCTTGTACCCTCTTACCCATGTACCTCCTCTCTCCCCTCGCTCCCTCTCTGTGTGTGTCTCGCAGGCTCAGTGTCTACAAGTACTCGCTTAACCTTCCTAAACAAGAACCTCACAACTCACAACTCACCGGGTAACTCCAGCCTCTTCCCTCGCTCGTTCCAACCGAGTCCGCTCCACACAAAACCTCTCTCGCCTCGCTCGCTCCCTTTCCTCTTCTTTTTTTTTTCTTTTCTTCTTCAGAATACGATACCCTTCATATTCACTCTGGCTGTTTCTGTTTGTTTATTTTCACAAATAAATAAATAATAAAATCCCATAGATAGTCTTGGAGGGGAAATTGGAGGGCAGAATATAATTATAAACGTTGGCTTACCCCTCGGTCGTCCGTACCTAGATGGGCGTTGAGGAAATATTAAACAGCGGGACATTACCACTTACTATCCAGTAGTTGCTGCAACTACTAGGTAGATATTATAACTCTACGGGATAGCTATAGCTACCTCAGCTATACCTCGATTGACTTGAACATCTATACAAAAGATGGGAAACGAGACAATAGGACACACGAATGTCTATACGAAAGAGAGGAAAGAATACATTGCAAACAAGACAAGATAATACAATACAACACAATACAATGCAATACAATGCAATACATTATACAAAGAGGGATAGTTGAATGGATGTGAACTGGAGTGAAACGTGACCTGTGACTGGTCGGACACTGGATTGGAACAGCTCTCGACTCTTCAGGGATACTATAGAGAAGATATGCCATGTGTTACAGGTATGTTATTGGTAATTGTACTGTACATGCTCAGAGGCTTTTTCACGCAAAACTCGATGCAATGCCGGTACGCTACGAACAGAGAAAGACGATAACAATGGTGAAAACACTAGAACAGCAACAACGAACGCCATATTGACGCCGGACCCAACGCCGAGGTATGCAGAAAATGTGAAGCAAGCCACCAGTGGGATCTAGATTAGATGACCCTCTGGCGACTGGTAGATATCTAGTCGCACATGTCATATGACCCGTTTTCGAGGAGCAGCTTACGGAAAGGCCGTGATATGGATCTGTTGAATGACACACCCAAGTGATCGAGCCAGGACTAATATCCATTCACTATCCTCTTGCGCCGGCCAGGAATGCAGGTGCCACGTGTCGTGCAATGTTGAAGCCGCCAATGAGGCTGACGAGCCAGAGCACAAGGTACACCACGATGGGGAAGAGTAGAAGTTCAGTGTGGTGAAGGAAAGGGAGCGCTGGCAACGTAATTAGCATACAATGCAATTGTACAAATGGCGGGGTTATATTTCCTAGCATACCGTTATATCCCAGAAACGAGATGACCGTGTAATACCCAGCGGCAACAAGGTAAATGGTGTTGCCGAGGAAAATGGATATCCTAATCCAGTCAGCTTTTGACTATCATACTCAGTCGGTCTCCCGGGGCGCATACCAGTAATCCTTGGATAATAACGGCATCATAAAGAACTGCACGACATAGAGAAAGACCCACACGGGGAAATATGCGCGGATCGCAACCTATTCATGTTAGCAACTGTCATATAGTACCATGGAGCCTGAATTACGGCCTTAATTGACCAAGAGCAGTCTAAAATATGGGATAGGCTTGGCAGGCTTACATCAAAGCAGTATCCGAATTCGAGCTGATCGCCGCCTCGGGGCTCAAACAGGCCTTGCCTTCTCCGGCCAGGCAGTCCGGCAATTGTGTTTCCCAATACTCGTCCAGCGAGAAAGTAGGCGATTGTCGAGACCAGCAGCGACACGCCGAGGAAATGTACAAATATGAAGACGAGCGTAAGACGGACTACTCCTGTTGCGGATGACGTGTATGCGAGACCCCACGCGAGGGCGGTCAAGAGGAGAAAAAAGGACAAGAGATATGTAAATGACGGGTCCGGTCGATGCCAAGTATTTTTTGTTTCTACAAATGTTAGCATGCGTGGTCTCGGGGCGGAAGCTTGGAGCTCTTAAATCGAGGCCTTACGTTTCTGCGGACATTGTTAGCAAACCTGTCTCCAGCTAGTACAATGAACGTAATAAGTCGAGGATTTATGGGGTTGTGAACATGACAGACGGCGGGACATACATGATAATACACCGACCGAAAGACCTTTTTCGGTGCAACAATCAATCTCGTCATTTCCCACACGGCCATTTCAAAGTCCATCTGCGAGAGCTTGAATAACCTGTACGAGAACCTCGATCAGCTTCAGTCCTACATCTTCGTCATGTATCCCCCGTAGATTTTTGTTATCCATATAGCGCGAACACCAGTGTCCAGTCTCACACTCGAGGTCCGTTAATCATACCGTTTGAAAAACTGAGGCATTCTGAACCCTTCGCTTCGTCCAGCATGTATGCCTCCAAAGGCCGGCACGCCATGTTGTCGCGGCGAGGAAATATATGCATTCATAGTGTTGTGGTATGTCTATTGGGAAGTATATCGTATTATTGTGTTCTGTATGTCGCTTTGGCAGTATATCGTATTCCGCTTTCTTGTTTATGAAGACAGCCTGCAGCGTATCAACCCGTCGTCGTCGCAGATCCACCAGTCGAGTGTCAACCTGTCGTCGACTTGCTGTTCAATGTTCGCTGTCTGCTGTCTGCTGTTTGCGGTTGCTGCTCGCTATTCGCTGTTCGCTGTTCGTTGTTCGTTGTCCGTTGTCCGCCACAGCCTTGTGCTTGACAGAGCTATCCGTCTGTCAATCCTCCTTCTTCTTCCTTCTTCTGTCGAAACCTCTATGTAAAATCTCGTAGGTAAAGAGAATGTCGTGTCGTAGCCGTGATACCTGACAGATTGAATTCTATCCGCCTGTCAACCTTCCTGTCGAAACCCCGTAGGCAGCCAGGACCTCGTAGAGTCGTAGGTAGACAATCGCAACCCGTAGGCAAAACACCAGGCCCAGAACCTCGCGTTCGCGTTGTTCGTCGTTCCTTGTTCCTTGTGCTTTACAGCCGTGATGCTTGACAGAACGACAGATTGACAAAATGACAGAATGTTGAAATCCGTTTCCAAATGTGTCGTAACCTCTAAATTGCAAACTGTACCAACGTAACTCTCCCTGTTCCTGTTCCTGTTCCTGTTGTTGTGATGCAACTTGCTGTGTTGCTGTCTAATAGCTTGCGGGCTGGTTGCTTGGCCGCTACGTAGTACATACCTACCTAGTAGGTGACAATTGAGCTCGGGACGGGTTACCTCCGGTACGCTTAGTTAAGCCACGTTCTACCTCGTACCAGCCTACGGAGTACTACCACCTCTCTTCCTCGCCCGAGCTACTCTAGCCGACGAGCGAGTAACCCCCAGAGTCGCAGCCACTCGCATGCAGAGAACCTACCTTAGGTAGGAGGCTAGGATTGATGGATGGATTGGAGATGTAATTACTACATGAACACTGAACTACACTGATGTTTAATAATTGCATCTATAGATACAGATAAAATTAGATCCGTCAGGTTAGATATAACTACCGATATCATAAATATAAAGAAGAAATAAAAAGAGAAGGAATAAAAAATAAAAAAATATCAAAGTATAAAAACGGGAAAGAAACGGAAATTAAAATATCCTTTGACATGATATGTCATTGCCTGCTCGTCATGCTGCAAAAAATAATGATAACAATAACAACAATAATGATAAAAATAAGAATAAGAATAAGAATGAGGATAAAAATAAATAAAATATAAATAAACAAATGTCATAAATACTCGTGAATCATGGATATTTACAAGCTCATATGCTGAAATCGGAGTGATATACTTGACCCCGGGAATATGTACCCGGGCAGATATATTCCAACAGGTAAATAAAATATGAAAAAGATGAAAAAGATGAAAAAGACGAAAAAAGACGAAAAAAGACGAAAAAAAGAAGACGAAAATAAATTAAAAATGACAATAAAATAAAAAAAACCTTACTCCTTGGCCTGAACGACACAGATGCTGGCCTTGAGATTCCGCTGACAGAGCGTATCGGCAAGAGCGCCAAGACACAATCTGCGGGCCGGATCAACCGTCGCTGGAGGCGCATGATGGTGGTGGTCGAGTTGGTGTGCATGCTCAGGAGTTGAATTGCGTCCGAGGATGATTAAATCGCCCGCGTTGCGAGGGGCAAGACCGACTTCCTCTGCGGCACGATGGGCCGCTTCGGCGGCAGGATCAGGGCTCGTCACAGTCTCAAAGACGACGCGCGAGGCGAGTGCCTCGGGCAAGGTGTTGCGGACCGAGTTAAAAAAGGTGGAGATGCTGGATGATCTGGTGGGTTGAGATGTGACTGAGACCGAGTTGTTGTGGAACCCGAGTTTAGAAATCGTGCTCGCAGTTCGACCTGTCGCGGATGCAGCGGCCGCGGTTCCAGTGAGATCGGTACTCGGTGCGGCACCAGAGACGCTATTCTCGTCGGAATGAATTGGGCTGGAATCCTCAAAGTAGACGATTGTGGCCGTGACATTTGGTCGTTGGGCAATCTGTAAGGCGAAACGGAGCGCAACGCGATCGTCGGCACGGCCAAAGAACGGCATGTATATGTGGTGGCTGCGGTCGTTGGCCGGAGCCGCGGACTGATCATAATGGCCGCTGCTCTGGAGACTGAGACCGCTGACGGTTTTGCGCAGTTTGCGAGATTCGTTTCCGGCTGGGGATCGGCCGAGGCCACGGTTGACGAGGATGGCGGTGTGGCATGTGGCCTGGTCGAGGGCGGTGGTGACAAAGTGACATTGCGGGCTGCTTGTAGATCGATTGGTTTCCTGATAGTCGGAAAGAGGGGAGCTTTGTTCGCTGAGGAGACCAGACTCGCTCCAGGGAATTAAGACCATATCCGAAGACAGGTTGGAGGCCTGCGTCAAGAGGGTATCGGCGTACGTCGATTCAGGCACAATTGATACGTTGCCAGATACAGCCACATTGTTGAGCTGGCTGACTGTGCGGAAGACGTTGACGCAAGGATCGCGAATTGCGAATTCGTCCATTTCAGACACCTTCATGACCGTCGAAGCTCGTTCAGTTAGTTCGAGCAGACGAAGGCCATGAATCGCAACCGACTGTTCGGACGCGATTTCTGGCTGGGGAGTTTTGGCAAGAGGAGCAGTATTGGCTGCGTTGATCTTGAGGCGGTGGACTTTGGGTGTGACAGGAGTCGCCGAAATGTCATTACCAAGCAACGACGTGAGAGTCAACAGACCAGGTAGACTCTCGAGACGAAGATACACAAGGATGCGGTGCACTTGGTTGCTCCTGAGCTTCTCAAACCCGGGACCTTCGTGAGGATGAAGAGGGTTTCCATCCCAGTCAATCTCGCCGCGCTTCCATGCCTCGAGCTTTCTCTGGTATGACGGAGGATAGAGCCATGCTACAAGCGGAGTGGTAGCGAAAGTGGTAATGAGCGCCATGACCACAAAGATGGTAAACGTGCGCTGGCTCAAAATCTTTGCGGAATAACCAATATTCTACAAGGCGTGTTTGTTAGTTAGATTGCAAAACGTAAAGCGGATTTAAAGCACCCATTCGACTCACCAAAACAATCAGCTCCACGAGACCCTTGCAGCTCATCAAAACACCAATGGTTAAGCTCTCGCGCCAGACGAGGCGGCAGCATCTGGCAGCCAATGTGCCACCAATGACCTTGCCAAAAAATGCCACGGCGATCACACCAATGACGTATGCCCAGGTAATGCCAGTGTTGAGGAGAGCCAGATTAGTGCTGAGACCAGAAAGGGCAAAGTACAGCGGCAGGAAAAGCACGCTGACCAAGTCTTCAATTTTCTCGGCCAGCTTGATAGCGAATCCGCCATCGTGAGGGCAGAGCAAGCCGACGATGAAAGCACCAAAAATGGGATGAACGCCGATAATGCCGGTGAAAAACGCCGAGGCCAATACAAGCAAAATGGTGATGCCAACCACAGTCTGTGTAGGGCCGTTCTGGAGGCTGCCCGATCGTCTCACAATCCACATGAAACCAGGGCGAATGATGTAGACGAGGAAGAGGGCCCAGCCAACGCATGTCAACAGTACCCAGAGCGCCGTGAGCCCGGTTCCGGCATTAACCAAGGCGACGCAAAGCGCGAGTAGAATCCAACCCACGACATCATTTCCTACACCAGCAGAAAGGACAATGACGCCAACGGGTGTGCTCAGAAGCTTGAGTTCAGTCAAAATACGGCAGAGTACAGGGAATGCCTATTATTTCAATTCGTTAGCAAATCAGTGCAGAAAGCATGCCAGGATATTGCTTACCGTAATCGCCATGGCAATACCGATAAAGAGCATGTACACTCCAAAAGAGATGGGTTGAAGGCCTGCATCCTCACGGAAACGCTGATATAATCCGTAGGCAATACCGCAACCAAGGCCAAAAGGAAGCGCAATACCGGCGAAGCCTACCGACAGTGCAACTCGCCAATTCCCCAGGAATAGCTTGAGATTGACCTCCAAACCAACCAAGAAAAGAAAGAGAATCAGGCCAATGTTTGCAGCTAGGTTTAGGTTCGACATGGACGCCTGCGGGAAGATATGTTCCGTGAATCCAGGAATGCGACCCATGACGGACGGCCCCAACAAAATGCCACCAATAACTTCAGCAATGACACGGGGCTGACGAATCTTAGATAAAGGCCAATGCAGGATGCGACAGAAGATGATAATTATAGAGGCCTATCGAATTAGTCACCTTCAAAACACACACTCAAATCTCAAGAAGCTGCCACTTGGGCATCGGTTTAAAGAAAGCCTACCTGGATGATGAAAAGAATAATGGGATTCTTCGGGTCATATTTGCTAGGGTCCGCTCCCTCGAGAATGCCACCCTGCGGGGCGGCTCTGTTTGCGCTTGACGCCGTTGCGCCTGCCGTCTTGGTGACAGTTTTGGTGAAGTCGGTCACGGTCCGAGTGACCACAGAGGCGACAGAGGTGGCCATTTTGCCTTTGTGTTTGATGGAATCTGTCCTAGGCCTGAGCTCTCGTTCCTCTAGGTCGCCAACGAGCTATGCATCAATCGTCCTCTAATTGGAAAAAGAGGTGGTGTAGGTGGTATTTTTTTTTTCCACACACGCAGCGCGCACCAACGATCAAATCTGATATTTCCCAAGTAGGGTTATAGTTGTATGTCCGATACCAAAAATCTCTAATATCCCGGAGAGCACACCAAAGCCAGCAGGGGTCTTGAACGCTGTATATATATGTTGTGCACAAGGTGGCGTAGGTGTTTTAAAATGAAGCCGTGTTTCAGTCGCCGCTGTTGCCGCCAGTATCGACTGCCACAATCATAGGCCCAGACACCGGAAAAAGGTCACAAAATGAATTTAACGTTTGGATAAGTCTGGATTATCGATCGACAGCGACAATGTGGAGAAGAAAATTGATCAGCTGAGGGAACAAGGAGCGCACTGGCCAAGCGTCCCGGCGAAGAGGCGGCGGGAGCCCAGATCGGATGCTCGGACTCGTACGGCGCAGTCTTTTGTACAGCGGGGACAGGACAGAAGCGAAGCAGCCAGTCGCAGCAGGTGCAGGTGCAGATGCAGCGTGGTGTGGTTGGTGGCGTCTCAGAAATAGGATGCAGCACGAGTGTGCCTTGCGATGCAGGCGCGCAGGTGTGCAGTCGTGCAGGCGTCCCGATTTAAGGGTCTCCTTGTGGAAACTCTTCTCCAGCAATTTCGTCGTCGCGCGGGTAGAACTGGTATTATAGGATAGAGATGGTGGGGTTGATTAGATGAAAGGGTTATCTCCCATGTGCTGTCGGTAGGGCTGCACTCAGGAACTCGGTACTGTACAGAATAGGAGGTGATCCACAAGCTCGCAAGGGCAAAAGTAGTGCGCCCGTTGTCGATTGAATCAGATAAATGATTTCGCAAAAGAGAGAAAAAAAAAAAAAAAAAGACGATTTAAAGGAATGGGAGGAGTATCATTGAGGGGAGCATGACTGATGAAGCGTACGAGATAATAGCACCTCGTGCGCAGGAGATACAGGCGGTGATGGACCACTTGCGCCAAGGAGCTCGTCAAAGCGCTTCCACAATGAGATGAATAGAACAATCCGGCAAAGTCAAATCAGTCAACCCATCACTTCTCGCGTGCGTAAGCATCAAGTGCCATCTGTAGTGACCAACTCGGCCAAGCCACCGTCGCGCGACTTGGCGATAAGCGGTAAAGCGAAAGCGGAATGCATCATCTCAGCCTTGGCCGTCCGCGCCAAACCAAAAACCCTTCTATACCAATCGAGGGTATAGAGCTTACCATTGAGGCATCAGATATTAACAGAACCAGTCGGAAAATTAAAGAAGTGATGCGTTCACGAATCTAACTGCAAGACACTCCCTGCCCTAAACTCTTACGGACCAGTTCTTTTAGCTACGAGGGAAGTTTGTGGACCAAAATAAAAGGCGGTTTTCAAGCGCGGGTCTTCATGAAACAAGGGTACTCTAAGAGGACGAGTACTAGAGTATTGCCAGAACAAAGAAGTAATAATTCTTTCAAAAGATCTGAGGTATTCACCGTTCAACAACGGTATCCATCTGTTTTTGGCCCTGAAGTTCAATCTTCTCCCCGCATTCGGCTTATCAGATCTGTCACATGCATCGACCCGGTTAAATTGACGAACCCCGACATGCGTCATATCACACCCACAATTATATTCAAGCAAAACATGACAATTTCAAAATTCAAACAGTGGATAAGGAATCAATATTTCCTCACATATCTACGCTATGTATGCTCGCCCTCAAGAGGCTATTGCAAGAGTAGCAAAATATATCCACTCTGTAGCAGTAACCCAAAAAGAAAGCAAGCCCAATGTGATCAAGAAAGAGTTGCTCAGCAAACGCCGGGTATCCCGCATGATTCCCTTGGATAATTGATCACAAATTACCCAACCACACTTGCATGTATCGTCAAATAAATAAGAAATGTAGAGAAGAAGAATGAGTAGCGCTGAGTGGAAAAGAGTAGCCAAGGAAAGATGTAGGCTATGCAAGAGTTGAACACGCTTAAAAACTCAAATGACTCAAAAGTTCCATGGTCTACTTTCCAAATGTTAAACTCCGAATAAACCACAAATCAGCACTTATCCACCGTTGACCTTGAGCGGCCATTTTTCATCACTCCTTCTCTACGGTCTGACCATGCATGACCTTTGGATCCGCCCCCTCGTCTGCCGCCTTTACCTCCTCATCACACTTTCCCTGATGCTCCTCCTGCACGGGTACAGTCTCTTTCCCAGCCGATGACTCCGGCCGTGAAGCATAAACCTGCGCTTTTTGCGTCTGCGCGTGATTTAAACTATCAATGTACGTCCTAAATTTGACAATCTCCTTGAGTAGATATGATGATTTGCGTTCCCAGTTGGCAAGTGCTTTGGTGGCGTTCGGATGACGAGGAGAGAACTATACAATGTTAGTATCCATATCCTTCCCTTGGAGGGCGAGTGAAAAAAAAAGTCCACGTAATGTCATGGGCAATGATAAGTTGAGATCAAGAGCAAACGCATAAAAAAGAACTTACAGCAAGCAAAAGCGGAGACCTCAGCTCGTTATGCTTCTGTAACTCCGTCTCCACATTCTTTACATAGGCCTTAAGACTGCTCAACTGGTCCTCCTCCAATAGGACGCTTGCCATCATACTCTGCTGCGGGGGAGTCCAATCACTAATCATGACACGGTCACCAGGCAGGCGAGCCCGTGACAGAGGCCCGTGATCAATGGAACTGCGAATCGAACTCTGCAGACTGGGCCGAGAACCAGCCGTAGCAGCAGGCGCCGGGGGTCCAGCAGCTGGTACACCTGAAGAGCCATCCAAGCCAATCAAAGCCGGGTTGATCACTGCATCACTCCAGCCATATTCAACGTTACTAATTCCTCCCATGACAGGTTCTTTCGAGAGACGGGCACTCCAATAGTTGGCCGTGGACACAAACTCTTTGACAATCTCTGGCGTGCCAACTTGGAAAAAGTGCACAGCACCAGAAGGAAGAGAGAGGGCCCAAACGTGAGGACGTGACTTGGAATATCCTGGTGGCGGCAGTGCGGATGCAATCGTATGTCGAAGCATGAAACTACCCAGGTCTTCGGCATTCTCAGACCAGTTTCCGCCCCCAACAACGCCGCCTACAGCGGGGCGATTTCGATTCTTGTTGCGCGTCGAAGCGCTCTTAGCGTGAAAGGAAAATAGTCTCATCCAGCCCTTTTCCACTACGGCAAAGCATTCGGTCCATGTCCGATCCTTGGATTTCTTGTCTGCTGCGTCAAGGTGATGCTTATGCTTAATGATACCTTCTTTGGCCCATGGCGCGCCCGCCAGCTCAAGCGTTTCGTCTTCGAGAAGTGGTCGGATCGATTCCTCTGACCCTCCAGAATAGGCGGTTTCTTCTCGGATGATGGCTTGGCTAAGAGCATTTGCAAACCCGATGGACTGCTTATAATCGCCTGGCAGTTGACCAGAGACAAATGTATCTACAGAATATGCAGAGTTGACTTTGCCCAAGGAATATTTACTCCAAGTACTGGAGGAGGTAGACGGGCTGAAGACCGAGGATTGGTCGTCGAGGCTGGTGCGGCTTGAGCTCACCGTGGAATGATGATAAATGCGAGGACGAGATCGGGTCTTGGATGTCAATCGCCCCGTCGTTGATCGACTGTCCATGGGTCTGCCACGGAAACTGAAATTTTCAGACGGCGCCTTGCTGATTGTACTAGGACTCCGACGAAGCACACCATGAGTGTTAACAGATAAGTTATTGCTGGATGAAGTCTGTGACTCTGTTCCACGCTCGCCGATGACGCCGTGCAGCGGAAGTCGATTTTGACGAATGGAATTATAGCATGCTCTCAAAATCGCCTCGATGAGGAATTCCCACGCTTTTTCTGACCCAGTAAAAGGTTTATTGACAAGGGGACCGCATTCGTCGAACGGGCGTTCGCCAAAAACTTCATCCTGACCGGAAGCCTGCGAAAATCGTTTCAGCAATGTCTGAGTTGGCCGAGTGCCCTCGTTAGATGGCCGTCGCTCCTTTGTTTCAGGAGGAAGTGTGGAAGCCCGCTCGCCCAGAGAACCCGGCTCCACCCACGGAATTGGCCCTCTGGATGGAGTAGTCGACGCTCTGATAGTCTCCACCTCACCCGGGGCCGAATCAAGCGCAACACGCCGTACGGTAGGAACAGTATTCTTGATAAATTGATTGCGCGTCATCTTCGACTCGATATCGGCAAGATGCAGATCCGTATTAAGAAGAAGTAGAGAGTAGGCTATTGTGTGCACGACATCTGCTTGGATTATTAGTACTTACGAATACGTTCAGAGATATCCAGAGTATTACCTTTCGCTTTGAACCCGTGATTTGGGTTGCACTCGCACCATCGAGATGCAAAAGCGTCGAGAATTCGATCGACTTGTTGAGTCTCGCCACGGAGAACAAGTTTGCTGCAGAGGCTTCTCATCGAGAACAAAATACTCATGCTGGACCAGTCAAATAATTCCATGAAGGCGATTCTTGTTCTTTCGCTAACAAGAGTTGCATCACCTAGCCAGCCCGCCGCCTGGACTTTGCTCACAAAGCGCTCACCTCCATCAAAGATATCCTGAGCCCTTTCGCGGTCTTCCTCTGTAATCTCCTTCTTCTGCTCCGTGGCATCCTTTGTGGTCGTCGACTCTTGCTTAATTATCTCCTCGTCATCAATTTGCACGATTGGTAGACTTGCGGCTGACTTGTAATCGCTGATACTAGAGACGGAAGCTTTTGTAGAAAGCGTCGGTCCTTCAAGAGGAAGGGAAAGCCCAGAATGCGGGGTCAAACGACCATCTTGCGGAGTTGGAGAGCTTCTGTCAGAGCCAATCGTTTGCTTCTTCCTTTCCCCTGACCCGGTCCTGTTGTTTGCACCTATTGAAAGTGCGCTGTCACTCTGCGACTTTTGCATACCGGCATCAGGGACCAAAAGAGAAGGCTGTGGCACCAAATCACCCAGCTTTGACTTCTGTCTCGACCCTGCTGCTTGATTTTCGCTCATAACAGGAGTCGGACCGGCGCTGGTCTTTACAGCATCAGGTCCGGCTGATCTATCCAAATGATGAGGATGATCATCATCATGCTCTTCGTCCTCTTCCTCTTCGCTATTGTCGTGGAGGAATGATCCTTCGTAAACTTCGGGTTTGCTTCGCCCATGCGTCCCATTGTCACTCGACCTTGACCTGGGCGCGTTGTCAAAATTTGGCAGCGGCGACCTTTTTTCTTTCCTTCTACTCGGCGTTGCCACATCATCGCCTTCCTCCTCCGCAGACTTTACTGCTCGAATGGTTGCATTCTTGTGTGGCTGATAACCGGGAGAAAATCCCCGGGGTCGGTCCTCCTCCTCCTCCTCTTTATCATTGACAGTGGCATTTTCTACCTTCGCCTCCGGTTTCTTTCCCGCGCGCTGATCGTCCCCTCTCAGATAGGGATTCATAGCAGTACGTAGACTGCTCACCGGACTAGGATCAGGAATTGCCTGATCTGTGAAGCTGGGTGGTTGGAGAAGACTTGGGACGACTGGCGGTGCATTCTGGACCGAAATCGATCGCTTTCTGCGACGAAAGAAGGAGGAAGGCTTTTTATTTAGGGTAGATGGTTGCGTCCGAGCTGTGATGGGCGTGTTTTCGTCGGAAATGGCCCGAGGAGCTGGGCTTGGCTGTGAAGCAGGGGACTCAACTTTGCCCTGTGATCCAGGTCTGCTACGACTCTGTGAGAGAAGTCCTACGGGTGGAAGCTGAGGCGCGCTCATATTACGTTGCAATGGTGAAGTCTTCGAGGATCCAAATACGCGTCGAAAAAAGCCCGGTCGGCTCTTGGCCGGCGGTGTCGAGGCTGGAGGTACCGCGACAGGTGATTGCTTATGGAAAGATATGGTTGGGCTTGGGGCCGGTGGATCCAAGACAGTTGGCACCATGAGTTCGTCATTAAACCCACCAAAGCCTTCTCGCAGGGCCGCGTGTCCCAAAGGCGCCGGTCGTCGAACGTTGTGGCCACTACCAGAGGCGGGACGACTGTCACTACGCATGAACAAAGGGGCCGGGAGGCCGCCATGGTGGGCCGTTTGCGAATTGTGAATGCTTGGTGAGGGAGAAGACTGATTCCGTCGCGGACCAGCCGGGACGGTCGGTGTGGGTGCAGCGTCGTAGTCATCATAAGATGTGTAGAGATGAGATAAGTCGGCTTCCGGCATTGTCGACAAGTTGGTCGGAGAGCTATGAACTAGCCGGTCATCGAGGCGATGATCAAGTGAATAGACCCAGCGATTGCTGCCATATGTCTGGGCGTAACCAAATTCAACACTTGACGATCCACTGCCGTTGCTGCTCTTTTTACCGGTCCCACCGCGCGAATGCGATCCTCCAGCCGATTGTATGTCTGCTCGGACACTCTCCAATCTGTCGAGACCAGCAGGGTAATGAGCGCTGCTATTGCTCCTCGGGCGGCGTGAGCCAAAGGCGGTGAGACGTTCGGAGCCTTCTGCTGTAAATAAATTGTAGTCAGAGGACAGAGAATTGGTACAAGTATGACCTCGACGGCGAGGGGCCCGAGGAGGCAGGACCGACGATTCGTCGCGGTCAAAGGATGGGTAGGGCCGCGCGACTTCGGCGGCGCCACCGCCAATGGAGATCTGATCGAGGGACAAGAGCATATGGTCGACGATGGAATCTCGTGTAACGTGACGAGGCGAGAGCGAAAGGTCGTGCGAGTCCCGACCCTTGAGATCGGCTGCATTATCGGGACTTGGTGTTACATTGTCAATGCTTGCTGAAGGTGATCGGGCGCCCCGTGCGCGGTTGACTTCTCCAGCAGCGTTCTTGTCCTTTGACAATTTCGGTGTTGTCCCAGCCCTGATTTTTGTGACGGGAGTCTCTGGTGGGGCGCCTTGGTGTGACGGCGTGGTTGGACGGGACTTGACATGTGTTTGGCCCGACGAACGACGGTCGAAAGAGCTCATTGTGAGCAAGATGTTTCAGATTGGCTGGATGAATTTTGGAAAGGCAACACGTCTTATACCCTGCTTCACGATAGCAACGGAAGTGGGGTTGAGTGCAGTACCACAATCTCGCCCGATGAGCAAATTTGTTTTTCTCGCCCAACACTTCTATTCCGTTACCCAATGCTGTTCATGAATTGTAGGTATTTCGTGCTCATCCAATTTCTCCAGGCAAGTCTGCCCCTCTTTTCAACAGATTATGTATGGCCCTCGAAGATTGGCGTGCTCCCCACAGCCGATCCAAGCGTTGCGCAATATTTTCGAAGAGCGTATCACTTCTATCGTGATATTATGAGTTTGCGTTTCGAGCTGATTCGGGATTGCGCCGAGGGTGATGAATCAAACTTGGACGTAATACTCAGTCGCTGTGATGGAAATGTCTTTCCAGAAGGTTTAGATTGAGGAACTTAATGCCCTCAGCCTTTTATCTTATGTCGTTGCTGCGATACAAAAACCTTGCGTCACAAGTTCGGTGGATATTATATTACGGAAGTTGTTGCTTTGGGATCGTCGGGCAAGGCTAACCAGAATTATTGAAATGCCGCTCCTTGGATCCTGAAGGAAACACAAAATTCCTATATCAGCATTTCCCTTCTCATTTGGTTTGGTGCATTTACATCAAGTATGCATCGATCGAGATATCAGGGGCCTTGTACCTAATAAACTTTTCAAACCGGCAGTTGTGATGCTGAGTTGATCCGAAGAGCTGTCTTCTGTTCTGGGTAATACAAACACCGAGGGCGACGTTTTCTGAAATCTGTGCAGCACAGTTGTAGTGCTTCTGCGAGAGGAATAATACTCGATGTTTCTGGTCTCATGCAGATCAATCAGTATATTTTGCAATCCGTGGGTTTGGCTCTAAGAACGACAAGCGGCACGGAGAGAGTTACATTCGCAGTTTCGTCGAGTTTGATAACCCGCGAGCTCCACAGAATCGCTGAAAAATTGAAGAGAGTGCAAAAGACTGCATCAAAATGGAATCTATGTTAATACATAATGACCAATGAGCCAAGCGGGATTGGGGAGGTGATCCGACAAGTTGATTGCCCCCGAGATGCGTACATGAGCACGTCCGTCTCACACACAGAGACCGAGAGAGTGACAGATCAAGGGTCAAGGGTCAACCTAATATCTGTCCCAAATAGGTAAAGGTTACGGTTATGCTATTTCACTTAGTCTCGCCTCGGCTACTGTATTCTTCACCGTGTGCTTGGCCCATTGGCCATTCCTCAGGGACCCTTTCCAGTCCTTGCAGTTCAGGGGATTCAGCCAAGCGAACTTTTGTACCTTGAACAGAGCTGATATGTTATGAGAGGTAGAGCTAACTTAGAGTAATTAAACTCTCATCGGCTAATCAGCGCAGCGAAAGACCCAGTCAATGCAACGCTATCGGCCGTTGAATGTTCATGCACGGAGCTCGGCCTCCTATCAATCCGTGCTGTGCTCCGTACACCTCGTACCATAGAGCACTTATTCAAGGCCATGGCAGCGCACTCTAATGGTCGTCATCCGCGCCGTTCCGTTGGAAACCGCCCCTCTCCTTTATTTTTGCTTGCAGTCACATATCCGTCAGATAAAAATAAATGACATCAGATCTTTTGAACCTCAAGAAGATAGAAAAGGCATATTACATCCTATCCTTAGATGGATCGAATTATCTAGTACAGACGGAAACCACCACGGTGCAGTTGAGAAAAATAAAGTAAAAAGAAAAAAAGAAAAGATGATATCACATCTGATCGGTCACTTCCTGCGACGCTTCTGAATCGATAGATATCACGACTACCAACACCCCTGCTACTCCAGAGCTCCCTGCCACCGACTGACAACAATTCCAAAAAGAAAAAGATAAAAGGAAAATGATAAGTAGCCATCAAAGTGCTCAAGATCACAAACGGACCGCGACAACAGCCACCAACTTTGTGACGAACCACAGATGACAAATAACGAATACCTATGCACGCGTGCGGTATTCTAAATCTAGTAAAAGCCCTAGGAAATCCCTTGCGCCAAAGAGACAGACGATAATGTACTCAAATCTAGCCCATTTTTTTCTTTTTTGTGGAACCAAGCGATTGAAACCGCTCGACAACAAAACGCCCCGGTAATAAACAGATTAACGTCATTCGTCATGGGAGAAAGTTGCCCTGATAAAGATGAAACGGGCAATAGAAAACCTGTGCGTCAACCGACATATGCATCGGCATCAGTTCCAAACCCAGCCACAAACAATTGGTGCTTCAAATCTCTTTCCCGAGCGCTCTCTTCTTCATGGTCACCATCGGGATCGCCCTCTGCGTCGACGTCCGCGTCAGCATCAGGGTCCACATCGGCGTCTGCGTCCGCGTCAGGATCATGATGATGGGTATGGGTATGGTGCGGGTCATGACCGGACGGGAGATGGCCGATAGCCGCACGAGCGGCGGCTGTGGCGGACGCCTTGAGAGCTAGATCCGTGTCAGGATGACCGGTGGGATCGGAAGGATGTGGTGACGCCGAGTAAGATGTGAGATGATGCTGCACATCTTCCATAATCTGGGGGTCGAGAGGAAAGTCTGGTAGTAATGGCGTCGGTTGTTGATGAGGGTTGAAATGTGTTGCATTGTGTTGTGGTTGCGGGATATGCTGCGCATGTTGTTGCAACTGATGCGCTACGCTGTGGGGATGCAACATGCCTGTATGGGCGTTTGAAGGAACCGAAGTTGGTCGTGCGGATGGCGATCCTGTATTGGAGAGGCTGAGAATCCGCCCCGCGGCGGAAACGTGCGGCGTGGAGTTTGGCGGACCGGAAACAACGTTTGCGGTCGGAGCCGGAGACACAGCGGTACTGTTCCGCTTGGGCCCGCCAATAATCGGCGCTTTGGCGAGTTCTTTGCAATCTGCACAGTTGCGAATGACAAGACTGACAGTTTCCTTGATACGGACCCAGTGATATTTTTCTGCAATAGTTGCCGTGGTTTTGTTGATACCTCCATGCTGCTGAACGTGTACAGAGCGCGCAATTTCATACTGCCTTTGAGGGTCCGAAACAACCTCCTTATCCTTGAGCATGAGCCGCTCCGGCCCATCTCCGCCATTGACAGGAGGCATCAATTTGTAATGAGTCGCTGCGCTTCTCAGCCTGCTTTTCTCGGCGCGGTCGGCACCATTTGGGTATTTGCCATGCTTTAAGTAATACCGAATCTTATCAAACCGTTCTTCTGATACAAAATCCTCGCCCTCTGGACCGAGATCCCGGCCGAAAATAATTGCGTCGATGAGTTGTGAGGGGTGCGAGCGAAGGTTTCCGCAGCCCTTGACCCGGCCAATGCGCTTGAATCCCAAGGCGTCCCAGATGCGACAAGATGCCACATTTGTCTCATAAACAAGGTTAAACACCGAGTAAGAATAACCCTGGAAATACGGTCAGCAAACGCAATCCTCCAATTGATTGGCAGTATTTCAAGTGCCGGAGAATAGTCAATAGAGGCAAACGTACCAGCTTAGGAGCCCAGTCTACGTATCTTTCACCCATTAATCTACCTACACCTCGATTGCGCGCTGCATCGGTGACTAGAAATCCTCCGTTGCATACATGGCTAGAGCGACCGGGGTAATTCGGTTTGATGTAGAAACTCCCCAAACACTCCCGCTCCCAATCTTTCCCTTCGCGCTCCATCTGTGCAACCTCTTCCGCTGAGTCAATGCTACCTAGCAGCATCACCGCGCCGAAATTGTTGAACCAATAGGGCCCAAAATTCGCGAGGGGAATCGGTTCAATCATGGGATATGTATCACCGAGCTCAATTTCGCGATTTAGTTGGTCGCTCAGGTATGCAAGCAGCGTGTGGGGGACCTGTGCGGGCGAGGAGAACGGGATCACCGTAGCTATGGTAATGCGATCGCGCAAGGTAACCTGGTACGGTACAATCTCCGGAGGAAGAGGCGTAAAGGCGCTGGGATAAGGTGGAGGGCCCGACTGCCGGTAGAAGATGGGAGCGCTAGGATCCTCTAACATGGCAGGCATCGTGATATGCGCACCCAAGAGTCGGTGCTGGGAATTCCTGGACCTATATCATGCTTTATTAGCCCCCGAACTGAAGTATCGCAATGCCCGACCTAGACCAAAAGATGCCGGCGGGGCGTGGGCGGTCGGGTTGGGCAGGCAAACTTTTAGAAACCTCAACTAGCCACGAGCATTCGGGACCAAAGCTGAGAAAATTAATTCCGGACACGCGACTGGACGAGGCGTGTATGCCGGTCCGGAGGTCGGTGGACCAGGGGACGTCAACAGAATTCCGAAAGGGGTATGCGTTCGAGTTGGACTGGTCGTGACCAAGACTTGAGTGCTGAGATGTTGAGCTGAAGTTCTGAGTCCGACAGACGTGTTTTGTGTCTCCAAGGGATCACGTGATAAAGATGACTAAGCTTCCCAAGTCGCAGGCTTCGGGACTAGAGCACCAACTCGCCTGACCTGCAACGCCTCTTCGACATAAATAATCACCCCAGATTCGCTGAGGTCAATTCTGCTATATGGTTTAGCTCGGGCAGATCTATGCTTCGGATAGGCTGTAATCAAGTGATGCTCATTTCACAGGAGGTTGTTGACGAGCAACTCGTTTCTTCATCGGTAAATGGCCCCTTCAAAGACATTGCCATACCAGTCGGTGTTCCATCTCCGTCGAATGGCGGTCAAATCCTGTTGAATCACTTGGATCTCACCGCTCCAATGTCCGAGGAGAAGAAGTTCAGAATATGGACGCCCACGTGCATGTGCATGAGCGAAAGCAGCCTTGCTTTCTCTACGAAACCTGGCCAGCTCACTGACGACGTCGAACTCTGGTATCGTCGTCGCAATTGGCGCATCTTCTGCTTCTGAGCTCCCCAATGCTATTTTTTCCGTCGCGAATGCAGAAGGAAGCGAATGCCTTTGCTCTCGAACAGGCACACCACATTCTTCATCATCAAAGAAAGAGAAGTCTCCCTCAGCAGCTTCCCAGAACGCTTCACTGTCCGGGTCCTCAGTGGATGACTTAGTGTCATGATGTAGACCGTAGTTTTGGGATCTCCACGCATTATTGGAAGATCCAATTCCAAGCACGAGTTTTCGTAATGCAAAGATGTCGTGGGCCCTGTTTTGTTTGAACTGCTCCCTCTCTCGAGCTGTCAGGAAGGAAAAATTCACTTGCTCAACAGTTGCTTGCAACATCGCAAGTCCTTCTTCCTCCGCGCACTGTCGGATGAATTCTAGTAAGGCTCCAATAACTTTCTGATCTCTTGTCTTGCTCGGTACGCTGGTCAACACCAGTGTTCGCAGTTTCGGGAGCATTGCGGGGCGAAGACCACCTGGCTGAGAATTTTGCCGTCGTCTTAGAATCCTGGTTGTGCTGTCATGGAGGGACTTGAGATCATTATCGGCCTTGTTACTGCCGAGCTCAGAAACAGGTGCGCAGCGTTGAGGCTCCATATCTCGAAAATTATGGTCGGGATCGCAAGTTTCCGGCGCGAAGATACTCGAGCGCCTTACTCTGGATTCAGGAGTCTCTTCTGGTTCCGGAATTAGGGTAGAGCGCTCTATTGTAGCTGGCTGAGATGGAGAAGTGACACAATCAGACGGCAACTCAGCAATTTCTTCGCCGGTCGACAACTCGTAGAACACATTAGTCGCATCAAGTTCCGGGACAGTCACGGAGGCGTCAAGCTCCACCGCAGGCGGCGTCACAGCATATGGTTCACGGTCTGCGCCTTCGTCAATGCTGGTTGGCTCCGTGGCAATCTGATAGTCCACGCGCAAGTATGTTAATTTGTCGTGACAGAATCTATAGAGTGTCGGCGCAAGGTTTTCAATCCGTAGCTCGGATCCGTGCAGCCGAGGATCGTTCGGAGGAAACAGGTGATGAGGAGAAGTTGGCCCACTGCGCTTTGCCATTGATGCACAATCCAACACCTTGAGGCGTTTTGTCTTTAAAAGCTGCCGAAGGCCACTCGGCGTAAAGCTATTGTTGGAAATATACAAATGTGTGATTCCATTGGGTGGCACATCCTCAAAGCTTAATCGACCGATGAACTCGCGGGTGAGCCATCCAGCCACGTGCCCCTCCAACTCTTCGCTATTGTATGCAGCTGGCAGTGGGCCAGCAGCATATGGGTACATTCCCGCTGGCCAGTCCTCGTCTATTAACGAAACGGCTCGATGGCGACTTCTGGTTGTAGCATAATCGTAAGATCGCGGAGAACAAAAGCAATGGCTCAACAAGGAGATAGCACTTCGGTCCGTTAGGTAATTTCCAGTGAGGTCCAGACTGCGGATACTTGTTTTTAGTGCAGAAGCTAGTACTTCAACGTGTTCGTCCCGGAGACCACATCGCTGGAGCTTCAATATTCGGAGGAAGGGGAGGGAGCTAAGGCTATCGAGCACAAGGGAATTATTTGCTGCTGATGTTCTTGAAAGATCCAAATAAAGCAGGTTAGGAAAATGAGGAAGTGCTAAAGATAGGTTATGTGACGTAGCATTCTTGCAACCCGAGGCATCAAGCAGTCTGAGTGGGTAATTGGGCGATTCGTCGTCGTTAGTAGGACGCCTGCCACTGCTGAAATCCCCAATCAACTGAATAGCTGCATGGTCGAAAAAAGGTAGCCCAGAGACGAGTAGCGACTGGAGATTGGGAAGCATTTCCAGCAAATCTCGTAGCCACTCTGCTTTTGGGCCGCCGTAAAGTTCACCTCTCGCAGGGGGCAGTTGCAGAGTATGCGTGAGCGATCTGACATTCAAGCGGGCAGAAAATAGCGTGCGCCTGAATCTGGTAAGAGCCGCTACCCATTTCATTGCTTTAGCAAAGATCTTTGAAGCATTACCGTGCGGCAGACATAATCTCAAAAATTGGTGGCGACCTGAAAACAGGATGACAATAGGAACAACAAAGAGAGAGAGCGTGTGTGAGAGATTTCCAATGAGACTGAGAAAGAAATCGTGGAGCAGTCACAACGAAGCAGAAGAAAAGGAAATTTACATACATACCATAAACAGCATCATCATCTACCCCAAAATGACTCGCAGGATTACCCCAAAGGTATCTCACAAAAGTGTGATACCAATGGGATGAGACGAGGCATGCCGCGCAGAGATCATTCTTCGAAAGTCTGGCATAGGGCGCCACGATAGCCCAGACGTCTCGGGATGTAGCAGCCTCATAGGACGGAGGGACGTCCTCTTCCATGATGTTTGACCTTCAGACTTACTAGAATTTTGTAAATGTATCAATTTCCGACAGGCTGTGCTGTTCTCCAAGACAGAACAACCGCGAATGCCGTAAGAAAATTACCGCCAACTTTCAATTGTAGACGAGCAGCGTGGCAAACATCCTACTCAATGAAAGCATCAAAGTAAAGCAACCACAAGTATGCCAAATTTTGAACCTTCAACTATTCAAAATTCACCGCATGTACTAAAGCGATCAGTTGCGAACCTTTGAAGAGGAAACAAAACTGTTGCTCAGGGCTTAAGTGCGAAGAACAGATATGGACCGAGCGAACCCATCGCAATGCGATCCACAACAGTTGACGAAATGGTTTGTGTCGCTGTGAGAGCGCCTCGGTGACAAGTGTTAAGTTAGGGAAGGTGCACAGCCTCATGACCTCCTGCAAAAAGAACTGTTGGTTAAGATCCATGACTCTATACAGTAGCTCGGCAAGTGGTGATTATCTGTGATAGCTCCTGTTCCAGTTAGACTTTGCTTTAGTTACGTAGAAGCGGGTTAAGGCCATCGAACGGACCCCATCAACCGAGAACCCACCCTATGCTCTCCGCCGTGCAGAAAATGCAAGCGAGAAGCGAGCAAGTCCCAGTGCCACTGCCCTTCTCCACACCTGCCGCCGGACCGACCCGGCCCCGCTGTCTGAGGAGCTCCCTATTCTCGTCTACCTTAGGTAGATACCTACTAACTATAGGTAGCTTCAGACTCCATATAGTCTTGCACGAATAAATACTGGATTTGTTTGGAAAATCACATCATTTAAGATTTTCAGAACGAGGTAGACACAATGATGCTATTTCAAGTGAATTACAAAAGTTTTATAAGAGTAAAATTCCCAATGCAAATGGCAATAATCAAGACGATGACGATGCATGCACGCATATAACGAGGGGTCAAAGGATCAGGAGGAAAAGATTTAAAATATCTCCACTTCGATCGCAAACGCCTGAGCCATCCTGGAAACGAGGCATGGGGAAATCCCAGGCTAGCAGGTTCAATATTATTCTGGGAAGAGAGGCATGAGGCAGCGCCGATTTAGCGGTTGATCGATTATATCGAAGAAAGGCGCAGTTGACCTCGACCTTACGATGGGGAGCTCAGGCGGGCCATAGTTGTGCAAGTAACACAGCATTCCCAACCAGGGAAAGGTTTCCGATACCACATCCGTGCAGTGAACGGATGATGTTGCCATGCTATGACCTGCGACGTCACTGCCTTCACTATATAATGAAAGAATGAATGCTCCCTGCTGGGATCCACGTCGAGATTACGCATTAAAATCACATGACATAGAGCAGGTTCGTATCTGGTAAATGGTTAACCGTGGGGAGTTTTAGGAATTTGACAAGGCGGAGAATGTATTTACCCAAGGGGTGACTGCAGCTAAGTTGTGGCTTTTGCGTGTATTTTGCTGCTAACTCATCGCGAATGCTATTGAGTAATTGCACGTAGCTTTGCTGTGGATTTTTCCTGAGCGCGGTGATGAATGCCCACGACATGGCACCCGTCGCCTCGCCCCCAATCTGAGCATCTTGTCTATGAAGCAGTCATCGTTAGAGGACGGCAAAAAAAAAAAGGTTAATTGAGAGGGTTTTAGGCGAACGTACGAAGTCTGGGTGTCCTTGCTGCCGGACCACATGATGACATCGGCCGGAGAGGTCTTGGTCTGCCGCGCACGCTGTGTGGCTTCGTCGCCTGTAGTGGCCTTCTTGAGAAAGTTCATTGCTGTGGTTGCGATGCCACCAAGGTCGCCGCGTGCATATTGGCCCACAATGTTGAGTAGACCCTGACCAGCCTCCTTGGCGAGGTTGGGCTCCTTGAGTACACCCTGGGTAGAGTAAATGTAAGGAAGGTCGAGAGCGGAGCCCGAGTGACATGAGTCAAAGATGGCTGTCAAGCGGACACCTGGTGAGAGCGGTCGAACCCTTTTGAAAGATGATAAGTAAGGGATGATTTGGGTGCGATGGCAATTGTGGAGTCATACATGATTCTGTGCATTTCATCGTCGACAATGTGGCCCGCATTACGGAAGTCAACCGGATAAATGACTTCATCATAACCGTCATCCTCGTCACCGTCTAGATCTTTGGTTTGTCCGCCGTGTCCTGCATCGTCATTAGTTGCTGCAGCTATATGCAGAAGTGGACCGTGGACGAACCGGAGTAATGGAAGAACAAGGAGTCGTTTGGTTGCGCATCTTTGACCAGCCAGTGCATTGCTCGAAGAATATTGTTCTTTGTGGGCTGGCTCATGGGGTTCTGTTGATCATCGGTCAAGATAACCATGTCTTCTCGAGCGTATCCAAAATGCTCATTGAGATAGGTTGACATATTTTTCACGTCGTTGATGCAACCTCGAAGTTGGCCGCGCTGGCCAAAGTAATTGATACCGATCAGTAAGGCCTTACGACGACCCTTACAGTTTGAGTATTGGAAAGTATATCCCTGAGGCGCACCCTGACCAAACCCCTGCTGACCCTGGGGCGGTGGAGCTGGAGCATGATGGTTTCCATGATTGAACGAATTCGAGTTTACAGTCGGCATTCCTAGTGACAAAGCTCAGCAAATGCACTGTTGCGATAATTCCGGCAAGTTTTCTCTACCAGGTCGATTGCCATAGGGCTGTGGCGGACCCAAGTTGTATCCGTATCCGGGTTGTGGTGGGGGCTAATTTCAAGATTCAGAACACATGCCAGAGATTATTACTAAAGTAGCGCTTATTACCTGCGAGTATGAAGGATATTGCTGCGGTGGCGGCGCTCCGTAGCCACCATAAGGCGGTTGGGGAGAAGGGGACGTCTGGGGCGGCGGGTAGCCATAATTTTGCGGACTTGACTAGACTTCAGCACTCTTGTCCTCAAACGGATATAACGATAAAGGGATCTCACGGATATGGGGAGGGATATCCCTGAGGAGGGTAATTGGGCGGCGGTTGTCCATATCCACCAGCTTGCTGATGACCACCAACGTATGCTTGGCCAGGATAGTATGACATGCTTGTGTACTGGGAGGCGGAACAGATCGTTCGACGTCAGAGATTGCAAGCGTTATTCGAGTTATGCGACCGAGTCCGTATTAAAATAGGATCTGTGCGCTCTCTTTGTGATGAAGAAATGGCCGCAGAGGGCAAGGCAACAAGTGACTGGGCGAAGAATACAGAGCAGTTAAGAGGTGGAACCAAAAAATGAGTTAAAGTGGAGGAATTGACTGTCTCTTTCCAGACGCCAAGGAAATTGGGTTCCGTCAGATTGCGCCTAGAAGCGAGGCCGAGTTGGGCTGGAGATCACGAGAAGAGAAGACAACAAAAGGGAAAAGAATCTTGTTGAATTGGCGAGAAGGATCAGATGTCAGCCAAGAGAATACCGAGGCGATGACGCGTAGACACTGGTCGCCAAAGTTCTGACTTGGTAGAGATGTTAAATAAGTGATAGCGTCCCTTGACGGGGGAAAGGGATGAACGGGAGAGAAGCTGAACCTGCACGGACAAGGAGAAGACTCCGAGAAAGCTGAGCAGGCCGACAAATCCGGAGAAAGTAACCAGGCACCGTCGAGTTTGATCACACGGGTTTGCTAACCGGTTTATTAAGCAGCCGAGAACTCTTGCTGAAGCGCTTCACCACCAAATCCCACGTGGTTAAGAGTTAAGGGAAACGAGAAAGTTCTAATGTCCGTGTGTCTTTTTGGCCGGTCCGGCGATCTGGTAGAGAGCGGGTCAAGGGTCCCTTTTTTGAGGGGAAGAGTTTCTTTAAGTTTAGAGAGGCTGATCTGTTGCCCCGGTTAAAAGGTAACTCAAAATCTCACCACCCTCAAAAATGCCACTAACGCAACGAGCTGCACTCAGTTTGAGTGATGTGATTGCGCTTCGGCTATGTGCACTCTCCTAGCTGCAAAGCTGGAAGCTTTCGCTGCTCGATATTCGTGTACCTCCGTAACCACCGCCCGGCTCTGACAAAATCCAGGTGAATAGAGTGCACCGGAGCATAAATCTTTACAGAGGAGAAGTTTCATGCTTTAAATCAACAGGTGGCCATCTTCTGTAATAAACTCGCAAAGCCACCCCACGAGGTTTGAGAATCTAATCTTTTTGATTTTACTATGTTTATCGCCTACCCTTACTGCGTATCGAACATTGGGCGTGGACCTACCTAGTAGGTAATGCTAGTGCAACTACTAACGATGCAGCGATCGGTCGGCCTGTAGATGCATCATCTAAGAATGCTGTAGCACTTTACCTTGAGACATGAACGAAAAATCATGCGATTTCAATTGGCTGTTGAGGCTGCATGAAGAGACAATTCGCTTTAAGGTCGATTTAGGACGCCATCGGCTCCCCCAGACGGGAAATGGTTGCGGAGACCCAATGTCATGGATGAGTTTTTTTGCCACAGTCGCAAATACAATCGATAGAGGCAGTACTTAACCTATTCAGCAATGATCTTTGGCGTGTAGACTGAACATTCGACAAGGGTGTCAATATTTATGCAAAGTGTGGCGAGGCCCTCCAATTCTAGCGGTCTTCCGTGGCTGAGGTGGCGCACCTGACGCGGGCGTACAGCTCCTGAGGCTCCCACAATCCTCTCGCTGTCATGGCCCAATTGGTAGGAATGCACCGCCCCCACGAGCCTCTTTGGGTTGCAGTGTCCGCTTGCCTAGTCCAATCTTAGTGGTCCGGTGCCTGCGACTTCTGCACGAAGGGTGGCAATGCGTTGTTGTCTTTCGCTCAGACCATGCAGGAGCCGTGAAGCATACTTTCCTTTTCAAGGGACAAGAATCAGGGAGCTTCTATGATTGCGCCTGACAAGGCTGTTCAGCAGGCGGGAAACGGAGTTTAGAATGTACCATTTGGAACTACTTTCGTCCCACGCGCGCATTTCCGGATCTGGCCTGACAAGAACATATCTCCAATCGAGTCACTGCACATAGCTCATCCAAAGCAAAGAGATCGCACAAATTGCAGAAGCAGAGGAGACTTTTCATTCCTGAGCTTTTGTGTACAGGTATAATCGCCTAAAGAAATCGAAAACCTGTCCCGGGGGTCGTAAAAGCGTTCACCGAGCGCGGAAGCGACTCGCACTGATTACGCGCCCACGCCAGAAGACCAGCCCTGCAAAAAAAAGCCCATCCTCGGCTTATTCATCCATTTAAAACAGTCGTTACTCCATTTAAGCAGTCTTGGCAGCCTGCTGGGGGGTAATCTTCTTGCCGTCCTTGTTGTACCGAACCCGCGGCGGCGGGGCACGGTTGCGACGGCCCTCCCGCGAACGGACACTATCCAGGTGTGAGCCTATCTGTTTCTCATATATTCCTAGGTCTGCATGGGGATATATCCCCAATATGTAACGTACCGGACAATCTTGCCGTGGATGGCGCAAGAGACGCAGTATTGGAGCTTCAAGTACATCTTGGGGACAGTGTACTCGGGGAAGACGGAGGCGTCAGAGATATCACCTGAAAAAGGAAACGGTCAGTGGATCGTAATCTTTAACTCGAATTCATCGACGGTTTTGATTCGTTTCATCGGAAGCTTCGTAGGCGTGTGGGTTCACATACGGATGGCGGCCGACTCGACCATGTTGCGGATCGTGAATCTCTTTATCGCCTTGTCCTTAGGGGTGCATCGTGAGCAGTTGGAGCACCGGATGGGCTTGACGTGACCACGGCCCTTCTTGTTGCGGCCGCTGCAAGAATGATTAGCACTCTGGCGTAGTTTCGACTGGGTTGCTGGTATTAAACGGGTTATGCATACTTGGACGCTCGCTTCTTGACCATGATTGCTGTTCGCTGCAAAGAAATTGTCAGAATCGGTCGTCGTAGTAGATTTTAAGAAGAATGGTCCGGGTTGATTGCATACCTTCTACCTGTTGACTGTTAGTAGAACTGGCTGAGCGCGGCAGCTGATACGATGTCGTCGCTGGGTGGTTTTTCGGTGCTGGCGGCTCCGCACAAATGCAGGCGAAGCGAGGATCAGGGCTATGACGGTTGACCCTTATCATATCATTGATCTGATGTAACCAGTATCATAGATCTCTCACGTGATGTTTATTGGCTCTTACCTCTTTGGGAAACGCTTGAACCGAATGACAGAACGACGAGCCTTCGTAAACAGCTGGACCCTCTTTATGCCCCCTGGACCCTGCCGAGCGAAACAGCTGGACGCGCCCCCCTCTCACCCCCATTGGCTCTTTTGTTTGGGTTTCGTCCATTTAGTGAGATGCTCCCTCTTATCATCAAGCTTTTGACGCACCCTCGCTGGCCCCCAGAGGCGTCTCCGTGACCATAATTTTTATGGATGATTGGGTGGGTGGTGCAACTGCTGCCATATTCAAGAAGGATATATTAGTAGTGAAGATGGAAGTTTATTTATCTAATGCCTGGAAAGCATGTATAATTTGATGTAGACGGTCAGTTCTGTGGTAAAACGACCGCGAATCCTTGACGGCGCCGTCAAGTTCTAGTTAAAAGCAGCGTCATTGCGTTGGCCTCGGTTTAACCCATCCGTGTCTTAGGAACCCCATAGCAACCAACCAAGACAGGAAGCAGATTCTCATACCGCTCTGCCTTCAAATCGTTCAAGTTCGCGCCTAACTGCTGCCTTCTGGTCTCTTGCTCCAAAACTTTCCCTTTTTGACTCCCCGAACGCGTCGGCTCCCCTACGCATAACTTGTTTCTCGAACTTCACACCCAACGAGAGCCTCGTCAACAAGGCTCATTGTGTCGCTATGTCCTCCACTGGCACATTCAGAGGTACGCCGAATCGGCAAGGTAGAGGCGCAATTCCGACCTACACCAACAGCCCTTCAAATATCCCACGTCCTTCTCACGATTCCCATCAATCCTCGAGCGCACATAGTGACGCAGGACATTCGTCTTTGAGTGCTAGTCGTCAGAAACAATCCAAAAGAGATGAGGTCAGAAATTGACACAATCAGATGCAAATTTGTCAAGTTAAAGCTAAAATTTAGCAATAGGCTATTCGAAAGAAAATTGAAAATGATCTCAGCAAAAAAAGGCAGACTACAGCTCGCGCCCGCCAGACCAGAAAGGCACCCCCAGGAACTGTTTTGGCATTGAAGCCGAGCCCAGCGCTCCAAATTAAGCCTGACACAACGGTTGCAGAGGCCGCTCAGCTCATGGCTGCGAAGCGTGAAGACTGTGTGCTGGTGACGGACGATGATGATCGCATTGCCGGTATTTTCACAGCAAAGGATCTCGCTTTCCGCGTGGTTGGACAGGGCGTTAAGGCCAGGGAGATTACAATTGCGGATATCATGACCAAGAATCCGCTCTGCGCAAGAACAGATACCAGTGCCACAGATGCTCTGGATCTCATGGTTCGAAAAGGCTTCCGCCACCTTCCAGTCATGGATGAGAATCAAGACATCTCTGGAGTGCTAGATATCACAAAGTGTTTCTACGATGCCATGGAGAAGCTCGAGCGGGCTTACAGCTCGTCTCGTAAGTTATATGACGCATTGGAAGGCGTGCAGTCCGAGTTGGGTTCCAGCCAGCCTGCGCAGATTATCCAATACGTGGAGAACTTAAGGCATAAAATGTCTGGTCCGACTTTGGAAACAGTTCTCAATGGTATTCCGCCTACAGTGGTCTCGGTGCGCACTTCGGTCAAAGACGCTGCAGCCTTGATGCGAGAGCATCATACGACTGCACTCTTGGTGCAGGATCAAGGCTCGATTACCGGTATCTTTACCAGCAAGGATGTCGTTCTTCGCGTCATTGCTCCCGGCCTCGATCCCGCGAACTGCAGTGTGGTGAGGGTTATGACACCTCACCCGGACTTTGCCCAGATTGATATGACTATTCAAGCTGCGCTTCGGAAGATGCATGGTCAGTATAGCTAAATCTGAGTTTTTGAGAAACGCAAACTAAATATCAGCAGACGGACATTATCTGAACCTTCCGGTAATGAACGAGGCGGGAGAAATTGTGGGTATGGTGGATGTGCTGCGGCTCACCTATGCCACCTTGGAACAAGTAGGTGTTGTCAATTTTACAATGCAGAAATGCGCTTCTGATACATATATAGATCAATGAAATTTCCGCTGCAGATGGCGAAGGACCTGCGTGGAACAAATTCTGGTTCTCGCTTGACAATGAATCAGAATCCATGGTTTCTGGAGAGGGAGGAAGTCATGCACCCCACACCCCTGGCACCCGATCGCTCATGTCTCCTGACTCTTCGCGTCCCCCCATTGATCGGGGTGATAGCGTTCTGCCTACTGACTCTGCTTCACATACGGGCGCAGACGATCCATCTGCTGCAGGTCAGTCACTGGTAGCCATTGAGGAAACACCCTTTCCGTTCAAGTTCAAGGCTCCGAGCGGACGCGTCCATCGAATCCAGGTTGTCGCGGCGTCTGGTGTTGGAGAGCTCATTACGGGAGTCAGTGCTAAGTTAGGTGGCGAAGTCGCTGGCGTTGGCGGTGAGCCGACTTTCGAGGATGGAAAGCTTGGGAAATCGGGCTATGCTTTGAGCTATATGGACAACGAAGGCGATACCGTTTCCATTACCACGGATCATGACCTGCTCGACGCAATCATTCTGGCTCAGCGGGGTGGCCGAGACAAGGTCGACCTCTTTGTTCATGATCCTGAAAAGCCACCACTCCCCGCTACTGTGGATCCCCAACCCGTCATCGGCGAGGCCCCCTCGGTTCTTTCTGGTACTACAGCAAGCCGCAGCAGGCGAAGACAGGAGAGCGACGACGATGAGGCAACAGAGGATGAGAGCTCTAAGAAAGAACGGAAACCCATCGTTTCTTCTGGCAAGCAAGAGGAACAGATTATTGCAGGTGTACCAAATGAGTTGCTTTTGCCGGGTGCGCTTATGACGTTAGCTGTGGTCATTGTCGGTGTTTTCGCCCTGAGTCGGACAGGCCGTCGGTGATGTGAAAGTGTCTTGCGAATATGATATTTTCGAGAGCAAAGTATGTCGTTTCTCGAGTTGTATTGCTGGATCTGTCCCTATATTTATTGCTTTATCTGGCGTACAATTCTCTACTCAGGCCATTCCCGCTTATCTTCAGCAACGAGGCCCTTGACAAGGGCCTAGCATTCCAACTTAGAGATATTCGGGCCAATCATTTTTCGAGGACTTTAAATACTAGCGCAATTATTTGTAATTCTTATTTCTACCTTTGAGAGTTCAATGCCCTATATTATTGTACTTCCATTCAGGCAGTAATGTCAATAATTACCTGTAGGCGGAGAGTGGGTAAACACGAGAATGGATTCCGTTCATTGTCTCCGTCACGTGCAGACGAATTAACTCGCCCAAAAAAATTTGGAAGAATCGCGTCTCTCTAATAACAACCCCACCAAAGACCCCTCGTACAGTAGATATTGAGCCTTGACCAGGAACGAGCAGTTTCTTTTATTTTGCTTCGGCTCTCACAACAACAAATTCCAATTCTTTGTAGTACATTGTTTGCAAGGTCGAACAATCAATTTTCCCTTTGCGGCCAACCGAGCGGATTTTTCCTTTTGCCGACACCTTCCACGTCCGCAATTCTTCGGTCCCTTTGCTTTGCCGCCCGACAACTTTTTTTGTTCCCGGTTGGCGTTTGGCTCATGTTTGGGCGCTGAAGACGTGGCATTCCTGACCTTTTACAACGTTCACCACCACACAAGATGGCGGTCCTTCCAGCTGAGGTTCACAATGCTCTTTCGCAGCTGCTGCAAGGTCTCTCATCCGCCGACAACGCTGTACGATCGCAGGCCGAAGAGCAACTAAATAATGAATGGGTAATTGCTCGTCCAGACGTGCTCTTAGTCGGACTGGTCGAGCAAATTCAAGGAGCCGCAGAGCCGTCGGTGAGCTCTATCCCAGCCGGAAATAAACATTTATTGTCATTCTCCAGAGTATGATCGACTGACCCAGTTCGCCCTTTTTACGTGTGCATTGCAGACCCGTTCATTTGCTGCCGTTCTCTTCCGCCGGATATCGACCAAGACACGAAAAGATCCTAAATCAGACACCACTAAGGAGCTTTTTCTCACCTTGGATCAACCTCAGAAGACTGTTATCCGTACCAAACTGCTGGAGTGTTTGGCGAACGAGTCACTTCCGCATGTGAGGAACAAGGTTGGAGACGCCATTGCAGAAATCGCCAGACAATACGTCGACGATGGTACGAACAAGGACAAGCGCAAGAGAGGGTTGCTTCAAGAACAAAGTGGCTGACATTAATTCCCAGGAGAGTCATGGCCGGAACTACTTGGCGCTCTGTTCCAAGCCAGCCAGTCGACCGACGCTGGTCAGCGAGAGGGTTCATTCCGTATCTTCGCGACCACTCCGGATATCATTGAGAAGCAGCACGAAGAGATGGTCCTTGGCGCATTCTCGAAAGGCTTCAAGGATGATGACATCTCTGTAAGGACATAAATTTGCTTTGCGTGTCGATTTTCATGGCTAACATTTTCAAAGGTTCGCCTGGCTGCCGTAGAGGCCATTGCTTCCTTTTTCAGAGCCATTGATTCAAAATCGCGGAGGAAGTACTACTCTCTAATTCCGGACATTCTCAACATTCTCCCTCCTCTGAAAGATGCCCAAGACTCAGATGAGCTCTCTCGCGCTCTCATGGCCTTGATCGATCTTGCCGAAAGTGCGCCAAGAATGTTCAAGCACCTTTTCCACAACTTGGTGACTTTCAGCATTACGGTCATCCAGGATAAGGAGTTGGAGGATCAGACGAGACAAAATGCGTTGGAACTAATGGCTACTTTTGCCGACTATGATCGGGATATGTGCCGAAAGGATCCGTCTTACACGAATGAGATGGTTACTCAGTGCTTGAGCTTAATGACGGACATTGGCATGGACGACGACGATGCGGCTGAGTGGAACGCATCCGAAGATCTTGATATTGAAGACAGTGACCTTAATCACGTTGCTGGCGAGCAGACGATGGACAGACTGGCCAATAAACTCGGAGGCCAGACTATCCTGCCGCCGACCTTTAATTGGCTTCCCCGTATGATGACCTCTTCTGCGTGGAGAGACCGGCACGCTGCCCTCATGGCCATCTCAGCCATATCTGAGGGATGTCAGGAGTTGATGGTCGGTGAACTCGACAAGGTCTTGGATCTTGTCGTTCCCGCTCTGCGAGACCCGCACTCTCGCGTCCGATGGGCCGGATGCAATGCTATAGGCCAAATGAGCACAGATTTTGCCGGTACAATGCAGGAGAAATACCACCAGATTGTCATGGCAAACATTATCCCGGTTCTCGAATCGACCGAGCCGCGCGTTCAGGCACATGCTGCTGCGGCGCTTGTCAACTTCTGCGAGGAAGCCGAGAAGAGCATCCTGGAGCCTTATCTTGATGACCTCCTTAGCCATCTTCTTCAGCTTCTTCAGAGCCCAAAGCGTTTCGTCCAGGAACAAGCGCTGTCAACAATCGCCACTGTTGCAGACTCGGCCGAGACTGCCTTTTCAAAATACTATGATACCCTTATGCCTTTGCTTTTTAACGTTCTACGGGAGGAACAGTCTAAGGAATATAGATTGCTGCGCGCGAAAGCGATGGAGTGTGCGACGCTGATTGCTCTGGCTGTGGGCGAGCAGAAAATGGGGCAAGATGCAATTGCTCTTTTGCAGGTGTTGGCAGCAATTCAGCAAACTGTCATTGACGCCGATGATCCTCAGGCAACCTACCTGCCTCACTGTTGGGGGAGAATGTGCCGTGTCCTGCGCCAAGGATTCCTGCCGTACTTGTCATTTGTCATGCCTCCCCTGATGGAGCTTGCTAGTGCCAAGGCTGACATTCAGCTTCTCGACGATGAGGAGCAGGTGGCTCAGATGGAATCCGAGGAAGGTTGGGAGCTTGTTCCTTTGCGTGGCAAATTTATTGGTATCAAAACCGCCACTCTGGACGACAAGAACATGGCCATTGAGCTGATCACCATCTATGCTCAAACTCTCGAGGCCGCCTTTGAGCCGTATGTAATTGAGATCATGGAGAAGGTTGCTGTACCCGGACTCGCGTTCTTCTTCCACGAACCTGTCCGAGTTTCGTCTGCCAAGTGTATTCCGCAGCTCCTCAGCTCATACAAGAAGGCACACGGTGACCAATCACCACAGATTGCTCAGCTCTGGGCTGGCACAGTTGACAAGCTTCTCGAAGTGCTAATGGCTGAGCCTACAGTTGACACCTTGGCCGAAATGTATCAATGCTTTTATGAGTCGGTGGAGGTTATGGGTAAGAACTGCCTCTCGGCAGACCACATGAATAAGTTTATCGAGTCCGCCAAATCTGCTCTCGAGGAGTACCAAACTCGTGTTGCCGGTCGTCTAGAGGAGCAAGCGGAGCGCGAGCCAGGCGAAGAGGAGTCTGAGGAGACTCTCTTTGCTATTGAAGACGATCAGACCCTCCTCTCAGATATGAACAAGGCTTTCCACACCATCTTCAAGAACCAAGGCACTTCTTTCTTGCCTCACTGGGAACGTCTTCTGAATTTCTATACAACCTTCCTTACGAACCAGGATCCGACGCAGCGCCAGTGGGCTCTCTGCATCATGGACGATGTGCTCGAATTCTGCGGGCCGCAATCGTGGAATTATAGCCAGCACATCATCCAACCTATGATCGCGGGCATGCAGGATGACGTTGCCGCTAACCGACAAGCTGCTTCCTACGGTGTAGGTGTAGCCGCGCAGTTCGGTGGGGAGCCCTGGTCCGAGTTCGTGGCCGCCAGTCTCCCCACGCTTTTTGCAGTCACCCAGCACGGTCAAGCTCGGGAAGACGATCACGTTTTTGCTACTGAGAACGCTTGCGCCAGTATTGCCAAAATCCTTCACTTCAATTCTACCAAGGTTCCGAACGTGCAAGAGATTGTTAATGCTTGGATCGACACACTCCCCATTGTCAACGATGAAGAGGCTGCTCCTTATGCGTATTCTTTCCTCATACAGCTGATTGAGAAGTAAGTCCGAAAATTCTTTTGCTCTAATTTAGCGCCCGGACCAGGACAGGACCCCTCGACAACAGCTACGGACCTAATTTATTCGTGATGCTAACATACGACTCCAGACAAAACCCTGCAGTATACAATCCTACTCAGGCTGCCAAGTCTTTTGTATACATCGCTCAGGCCCTTGAAGCGGAAACCATTCAAGGCCAAACCGCCAACCGTGTTGTCGCTGCGGCTAAGCACCTCGTCGGGGCTGCGGGTCTCGATCCTGCCCAGCTCCTTGCTCAGCTCACCCCAGAGACTCAGCAGACTGTTCGAGCATACTTCAGCTAGGTGCATAGACGCATAGTCGTACAAGCATGTTGATGTTGAAAAAGACCACGAAATCCATGTTGAAGGAGTGCTTTGTTTTGTTGGGATTGGAAGTTTGGAATTGTAGTTTTTATTCTCTCTCTCTCTTTTTATCTACCCTACCTCTTTTTATTTATCAGTTTCTTTTTTTGCAGGGCACATGATGGCTTATGCCTATCTTCATTATCTCCTCCTTTTGCCAAGAGCACGGTTCCTTTGTGAGAGCGTCGCATCACATGGTCTCAAAACGATTCAAACTGCACGCTCTGGACTGGGCTCCTCCAAGATTCAAATTTCTGCTGGATAGGAATATCTGTCAATGGAAGGCTAATTTCCGATTCCTTTTTTTTTTCTTTTTCACCAACATAGCATTAAATTAGACAGGCCAACTGATTAACTGATTAGAGAATGATGCAAAAGTTGATTGATATTTGATTCACGTTTCCTGGCTCTGAACCTGCGGCAAATAGGGTAGCAGTCTCAGTGGCATCTCATCTGTGTCTGACAAATGCTTGGCGGGGCAATTTATATGGGATAGTTGCACACATACACCTGTCAATCGCCGAAAAAAAAATTTTTTTACGTGAAAAGTTACAAAATAATTATAGAATATCGCTCTGAATATTTACGCTGTCACTCATGTAGCCATGGCATACCTAAGGTAGTTATGAAGCGGAAGGTCAGGGTGTTCTCAGGTCGCGACCTCGGTGAGAAGCCGAGCTGTGATTGGCCCAGAGCTTTTTCTCGCCGACGCGTGGGAAAGCGGTAGCAGGAGTAACTGAGGGAAGTTAGAGGAATCTATCACTATCTCCGTGCTGCCACAACTTCTATTTTCTGCGCAACAGCTCGACGATTTGCCAGGGCTAGTGTTTTTTGCGCCATTCTTTTTCAGTCCTACCGTTTGTTTTAATATCTCATTTTCTTCTTCTTGTCTTGTCTTCAATCTGTCATCAGACTTCGGTATTCGCAATGTCTTTTGGAGCACAGACTCCAACCATCGTCGTCCTCAAGGAGGGTCTGTAGCACCTATCCGCCATTTCCTCTCACATTGGCCTGTCTGACCGAAGTTATAGGCACGGACTCTTCTCAGGGAAGGGGTCAGATTCTTTCCAACATCAACGCTTGTTTGGCGGTTCAGGGCACCATTAAGAGCACTCTCGGACCCTACGGAGGAGACCTTTTGCTCGTTGACGCAAATGGAAGACAAACCATTACAAATGATGGCGCTACCGTGATGAAGGTGCTTAATTCTTGATCAAAATCTGGTTGATAGGCAACAGTGGAAAGCTCACAATTTAAATAGCTCCTCGACATTGTCCACCCCGCTGCCCGAATTCTTACCGACATTGCCCGCTCTCAGGATGCTGAGGTCGGAGACGGTACCACATCGGTGGTTGTTCTCGCCGGCGAGATTTTGAAGGAGGTCAAGGACCACGTGGAGGCAGGCGTGAGCTCTCAGGTCATCATCAAAGGTCTGCGGAGAGCGTCCGCCATGGCGGTCAACAAGATCAAGGAGATTGCTGTGAACACAGCGGACGGAAACAAGAGAGAGACATTGAGCAAACTGGCAGCAACTGCCATGAGCAGCAAACTTATTCACAGAAACTCCGACTTTTTCACCAAGAGTACGTTGAAACTGAAGTCTGAATGGGCAGGGTGGGATTGGTGTGTGCTGACGGGAGCTTGCTATTAGTGGTGGTCGACGCTGTTCTTTCGCTCGACCAGGACGATCTCAACGAAAAGCTTATCGGTATCAAGAAGATCCCCGGTGGTGCTCTCCAAGACTCGCTCTTCGTCAACGGTGTCGCCTTCAAGAAAACCTTCTCTTACGCCGGTTTCGAGCAGCAGCCCAAATCGTTCAAGCAGCCCAAGATTGTGTGTTTGAACGTCGAACTTGAGCTGAAGAGCGAAAAAGACAATGCCGAAGTCCGTGTAGAGCAGGTGTCAGAATACCAAGCCATTGTGGATGCGGAATGGCAGATCATCTACAACAAGCTCGAGGCGTTATACAAGACCGGTGCCAAGGTCGTTCTCAGCAAGCTGCCCATTGGTGACTTGGCTACTCAGTATGCTTTATGGTTTCACGCAGAAAGTACAAAGTAAAATTACTAACGGATTCTTTTCCGCAGGTACTTTGCCGATAGAGATATTTTCTGCGCTGGCCGGGTGTCGTCGGAAGATATGGAGCGCGTAGTACAGGCCGTCGGAGGTAGCATCCAGTCAACGTGCTCGGACATCCAGCCTGAGCATCTCGGAACTTGCGACAGCTTCGAGGAGAGACAGATTGGTGGAGAGCGTTACAATTTCTTTGAGGGCTGCCCCGCGGCCAAGACATGCACTTTGGTGTTGCGAGGTGGTGCTGAGCAGTTCATCGCCGAAGTTGAACGAAGTCTACACGACGCCATCATGATAGTCAAGCGTGCTATCCAACACAACAGCATCGTCGCCGGTGGTGGTGCTTGCGAGGTGAGCGAATTTTCCTCTGCCCATTTCTCTCAATGCTGCTCCTATTCTGCGTTTTACCTTGGTCTTCATCCAATTAACGTCGTTTTAGATGGAAATTTCTGCTTATCTCCACACGTATGCCGATAAAAACATTCCTCATAAACAACAATCCATCATCAAGGCGCTCGCCAAGGCGCTCGAGGTCATTCCTCGCCAGCTGTGCGACAACGCTGGCTTCGATGCCACCGACATTCTCAACCGGCTCCGGGTCGAGCACCGGAAGGGCAACACATGGGCTGGAGTGGACTTTGTCAATGAAGGCATTGCCAACAACCTGGAGCGGTTTGTCTGGGAACCTAGCCTCGTCAAGGTGAACGCTCTGCAGGCAGCGGTTGAAGCAAGCTGCTTGATTCTCAGCGTCGACGAAACTATCAGTAAGTTTTTTCCCTGATCATAACCTTTCCCGTCATTACATAAGAGTGTGTGCACTGATGCCATTCCTTCCGATACAGAGAACGAAGAATCCGCCGCTCCTCAGGCTCCGTCGCGGGGTCTGCCTCCGGGTGCTGCCCAGCGAGCCCTTCGCGGCCGCGGACGGGGTATGCCCAGGAGGTAAATATGCCGACGATCTATTAGTGGTGCCAGTTACGAATAGTGCCATGTATAGCATAGCAAGTTTAGTTTCTTGTTCATCTCACATCAGGACAGGGAATGATAGAATGCAAAAAGCCTTGATTTAAATTCACAATTTTGTATTCATTTTGATATATTGTAGAATTCTATGGTTTCAGGGGAAGGAACCCATTCGCGTATAAGAAAATTAGGGAATTTCATGGAAATGGTCCTCTGTAAAAGTGGACAGAATCTACCACTGGATAGTGACAAAAAGACCATCTTGCGGAGCTTACCCCTGCCCTTGTCTCACCGCCTTTGGAACCCCGGTCCGACGAACCGAACCAACACCCTCAGCTCCTCTCCCCGCATGTGTTGAGGCTTCCGATTGACAGTCAATGATATACAACTCCAGGCTTGACAATTTCCTTTTTCTTTTGGTAGCTCTCATTTTAGATTCATGGTACTTACCGTCTCTCTTCTCATTCGAGCCGTTCTGGTCCGTTTCAAATCCCATAACGTCGCGACGATCTTTCGGCCTTCATCACTGTCATTCAAATGACGTCGTAATCAGCTATCACTTCCCTCACAGTTCGCACTCACCCATCAATTATGACGCAGCCGGCTGACAACGACAAACGTGATCCTCAAAATGGCACTGTCAAGTTTGATCCGACATTAACCTCCACTGCGCACCAACTGAGAGCTTCGGAATGTCAGATTAATGGACCTGACCTCTGTCCAGATCTGGTACAGTTGCAGCAGCAGCGTTCAAATATGAACTCGGCAAAACCCCCAAACACAGGACTTGCCTCCAGTGTCAGTCTCACATCGGTCTTGCCTGCAACTTCCAATTCAATTCCAGTTTTAGCCAGTTCCAGCGAAGCAGCCTTGGGCGCCTCATCCTCACGGACCGAACAGCAGAACGCACCAACCTCGGCGTTAATGCAAGCCACATATACCTCGCCCAAGCGCAAACGGAATGGAAGCAGCTCATCGGCAGGGTTTGAATACCGGCCGTCATCATTGCCATTACGTCTACAGATTGGTGCCAGTATGCCTAATTCTGCTGCGAGCGGTCACGATTTACGCAGCTCATCTGGACCACATATCAGCTCAACAGTAGACATGAGTTCTGCAGCACAAGAAGGTTCATCATATGCTGGCAGCACAACTGGTAGTGCCGGGGAGGGTAGCCCTCGTTCTGCGGTTGCAAGAAAATTGGGAGATTTACACTTGCGCAGTGGCGACCCTGGGCAAGAAGGAGGACACGGTGTGCGTAGATTGAACTTTGGACTTGGGAAGGCACAGCAGGATGAAATAGGCACGGATACAGATGACAGCACACTTACCAGTGAGGGCGGCGCGCGCAAGCGGCGCGCTCAGGGGACTGGAAAGAGCAGCATGGAGAAAGCAAACCTCGATATTGCTTCGCCATTGCCCTCCCCTTCTCCTATGGATATGGATGGTTACGGTTTTGGATTCAAGGATATTCCAGCAAAAGCTCGAGGAGACGGCGCAAGCGGCGGAGCGCAAACTGAAGAGAAGGTCGCAGTGGATCCTTCAGACTCTGTCAGCAAACAGGGTGAGGCCGGAGCACCTGTACTCTCCAACAAGGATTCTTCAGACCCAACGCAAGCAAATACTCGATCGCAGAGAACGGCCAAGAAAGTCCATTTTCCACAAGGAGGAGACGAAACGCAAGCCTCGATAACAACAACTTCTACATCTCCCAAACAGCCTGCGCTTAACGACGCGCCACCAGTCGATGCACACCTTAATGAAACAATCAAAGTGAACCCGCAAAGCGACATCCAAACATCATCTTCGACACCCTTGCTTCCTTCATCAATACGGCCCTCACGAGCATCCCGAACATCCAAATCCTCCAAATCATCCACATCAACTAATCGAACAAAAATCGCTGCGAAACAACGAAAACGGCCAAAATCTCCACCACCCCCAGGACTGACAAACCTCCCAGACATGTCAGATATCACAGGGCATCCATCAAACCTTTCAACCACTCCTCTACCATCATTATCATCATTCCCGGAACCCAACAACCCCTCATCCCAAACCACTGCTCCATCGACCACTTCATTTTCCTTCCGTCCAAACGGATCCACTGAACCGACCATCCCTTCCATTAATCATTCTACCTCGGATATACCCAGACCCACCAGCCCCGTCCCCCAGGAAGAAGAAGAAGTCTCCTCAACAAACAACACCGCAATCGAAACAGTCACAGACATCAACGACGCAGACTACGACGACGGCGTCGGTCTCAACGGCGTCGGCTTCCGCCCCACGCCCAGCATAGCCTACGCCCGCGCGCAGAAACGCAAACAGCAAATTGCCGACTGGCGCAACAGGGAAGCACGCGAAGCACGACAACGCCGGAGCGAGAGACGCAACATGTATCGCCGTGTCGCAGGCCCAAATGGCGGTGGAGTCAGCGCTTTACGCACCGGTAAAGGCGGCGGAAGTATCGGCGCAAGAAACAGCAGAAGAAGAAGAAGCTCAGGCGTCGGCCTCGGCACCGAGGCTGGCGCTGCTTCTATTGTAGGGTTTCATAAGGAGGGGATTAGTAACGAAGTCGAAGAAGCCGGAATGGACCAGGACGAAGCGCTATCCGGCGAGAAGAGGGTCCGCTTTCTTCTCGACGACGCGTAACTCCCCATGAGCTTTTTCTGCCTCGTACTTTTGCCCCCGTCACTCCCCCTTTTTCTTAATTGCCCCCATCTTTCCAAGTTTTCTTTTCTTCTTCTGTCTATATTGACTCGTTCTCTTCCCCTTTTGCTTTAAAGACTGAGCACAAAGATACCCCATTTTCCCTAGTTTACTGGAGTTAAACATTTTCAGAGTGTTGATATAGGTCCTACAAAAAACATTTACATCTTGCCATCAATATCAATACTATTTCGAATACTACTGCCTCCGTATCCCTGTCTGAAAATAGTTTTAGAAATCTCCTCTTTAGATGAGACCATTCCCCCGAGAGTCAAAACCCACGGTCAAGAAAGAGAAGATAGAAACACGAAATGGGACACAAGTACCTAGGTAATTCAGCTTCCGTAGATGATTCTATCATTTCTACTTTGTATCGAATGAGAAGATTTTCTATCTAATAAGAAGAAGATTAAATTGTAAACAAGTCGCTATGCAATGGATTCGACATAAAACTAATCAAAGTAGTAATGCAATAAATAAAACCAGCATGGACACCTAATACTCCTGACGTCCTTGAATTCACCCCCCCTCTTAAAAAACAGAAAGTTTCAAACGAGACGCCACATCCGCAACAGCCCAGTAATGGGCGTGGGATATATATATGTACTAGTGGGAGACGGGGGATCAAAAATGAAATGAAAAGCTGATCAAGAACAAAACAAAACAAGAGAAATGCTGAATCGAGAAAGGAGAACAAACACAAGAGAAATGCTGGATCGACAAGGAAAACACCACAAGGTCTACAATCCACCGACAACCTCCTCGACCATACCAGTCAACATTCTAAAGCCATAAAACTTGGAGACGTTACTGATAACTTTAAGGGACCGTAGACTCTTGGTGCGATCGACAGTTGGTTTCCAAATACCACTGCAGGAGCAATGGTCGAGGAAGTCATTGACTCTGAGGGCGCCGCACTTGGCACATTTGAGGTCTTGGACCTGCCATTCCAGGACGAGTTTCTCGACACGGGCAATGAGGATTTGCTCAATGGCCAAATGATCGACTTCTGTGCCGCACATTTCGCAGCGCCACGTGCGGAAATCGATGCGTCTCTCGGTGGAACTTGCACCACCCGGGGTTGGGTCTTCTGGGTAGAGGGCCTCGTCACGGCAGAGGTCCCAGTCGCGCGCGTGGGTGCAGTTTTCGCAGACGACTTGTTCGATGAGGAGCGATTCGCTGGGGTTGACGAAGCGCGCTTCGGGGGCGAATTCGCGGACGTCAAAGAGGGCGAGGAGCTCCTTGCGCAAGAGCCGCGCGGAGAGCGTGATGCTCTTGTCGAGACTGAGGATTTGCATGAGAGATTTGACGAGTTCGAGGACGGGATTTGTCAGGTTGAGGTGAGAGCCAGGGAGGTGGGGGAAGATGTAGTCTGATGCGAGTGAGGGATGGAACATTTCCTCTTTTTGGCGACGAAGGAGAGCAGCGATTTGTTTTTTGAGTGGCTTTTCAAAGTTGCTGCCGAGAATGGCGTTGGAGATTTCCTGCTCCTTCTCGGGGTTGAGGCCAGCGCGGACAGGCAGTTGGGTGAGACGGACGGTGGTGTTGGATGGGGTGGAGGAGATGGCTACCCCTTCGGCGGTTAGAGTAGGTTTGGGCCGCTTGGCATCGTGCATGAGCTCTATGAATTCGATTACCCAGTCGTTGAAGACCGTCTCGAGCGCAGGCGGGAGGAATTTGCTGAGCTGCCAGTGCATGATGGTGTGTAGGTCCTGTTGTTCGGCTTCTACGACTTCTTGGCAAGCTTTGCCGCCGTGATTGAAGTCGTCATACCATACCAGGTAGTCCCAGTATTCTTTGATTTCGAGGTCGAGGAAATGAAATAGCGGCCGGGACTTGATCGACTTGAGAATATACTGGCTGTACGCGTATGCATTACCGACTTCGGCCTTGGTGGTCTGCAGCAGTAGACGGTTCGCGTTTGCAAAGACGACATGTGATCCCACCCGACGAAAGTCCATCATGAGCTGCTGGAATGCCTTTTTGGACATGATCTGCACGTAATAATGTAATGCGCGGTCGTACATGCACGATTCGGAACTTTCGACCCAGCGCACTAGATGTTGTACCATGATATCTGCGAGGTCACTGCCTTTGCAAGCTTCTGTCCACCAGGCCTTGACCATCTCGCGGAGCACCCCAACCCCAGCAGAGGCAAATGCATTATCGGCGGAAATTACATTGGTACCGTCACTTGGCGCATCGTCGGCAGGTGCAGCAGGGTTGAGTGAGACCGAATCGCTTCCCTCGAGCTCGTTGATGAGAGACGAGGTGAGGATGGTATTAATTGCCAGATTTCGAACCTCGATATCTATGCAAACGGACGAATAGGTGCCTGGGTTATTGACCGAAGGCATATCGACCTTTTCCATTCTACTGACGACATCATCTTTCTCATATCCGGCATGGTCTGGCCGCGGGCCAGCGGACCACCAAAGGACAATATTGTTCTTTTGCAATCGACGAGCATATGCAACATCAATCAGGAATCGTGGATCATCTTTTTCCAAATTACATAGTGGAACATCTCCGTATCTGGCCAATTCTATGAGATGGGATATCCAGGATCCTAGAGAAAGATAGCGAGGTACAATCCGTTTATGCGCAAAGAACTTTTCCCATTCAAGGGCCGGAAGCGTACCGTCATCAGGATCAGGTTTTATCGCCATGATCGGAAATTCCTTTAGCATCGGAATTTCATGCTCTAGGACGCGGCGCTGCGGTGATTGAACGACCAACATCAGTGGCCCGCTCTCATCATTGCGTATCTTCTTCAGCAAATCTCCCAACTCGAGCTGCGCCTTTCGCTTCGTGGTAACCTGTGTTATCTTGAAGTGAATCTTCTCTTGATAATCGATACAGTTCTGCCACGGCGCTCCACCAGCCTCTTCCAAGGCGTTGGCTAGTTGTTCCGAGTAAATCCTGTCAATGTTTGGGAAGTTGTTGGTTTCGCGAGACTTGTTCAGCACAACCACATGGGCTTCTTGCTTCGTGGTGGAGAAAAGCGCAAAGACTTGGCGCATGCTCGTGACAATGTGATACAAAAAGACATATCCAAGGGGCGACTGCTGAAGATATGGCTGCTTTGCTTCTGCTTGCTTGAGAGCTGAAAGATCAAAACCTTGTTCCAATCCTTTACCCAGTACGCCGCGTTGACTGGAATCGATGGTACAAAGGTTACCTAGCTCAAGCACGGCTCGGACATTAAGAGGCAGCTGCTTCTCGTATACTCCTTCGACACTGGGATGGTTGAATAGAAGAGCTAGCTTCTTCGCCTCGTTGATATAAGTTTCTTCGGACATGGTCAATTTAAACAGATGGACAGACGGATGACCATTTGGTAAGGTGTGGTTGACTTTCTCCACTGAGCAGCCTTCGACATCGACATCTGGCAAATCTTTGCTCTTGAGATTGAGATAAACCTGTCGAGACACCTTTACCTTGAGATTATGAATCTTCTTGTCGATAAGTACAAAAGCGTTGACCAATCCGGGAGTTTCAGTTTCACGCAGCTGAAGTACTTGCCAGGTACCAACAAACAGCATTTCAGCCTGGTTTCTGAAAAAGCTGCCAATGGCATCCGACGAAGCATTGTTACGCTCTCCAAAGAGCTGTCGCCGGCGCAGTCTAGCTTGTTTCTGGATCTTCCATTTCTTCTTTTGATACTGCAGCCACTCCTCATAGTCTTCTGAAATTGATGGTATCTTAGCTGGTAGGCTGGCATAAGGATCCAGATTCTGCGGAGTGGATGGTTCGATAATTTTTCTTTTCTGCGACATCTTTGTCAGGACACCGTTCTTGGGTTTCGTAAGTGGTTTCACGCCAAAGTCTTCAAAGTCGGGCACGCGCGTTTCCAAAGAAGTGTTGGTAATGTCCGCAAGTGTTTTCTTCTCAAACATGTCGGTCATTTTCTTCTGCTTAAATTTGTCGTCCTTTGTATTGATTCTTCTCTGAAGCCAATCCGGGTGCGCAACGCGCGGAACAGGATTACGAATCTTTTGCAGAGCGGCTGGAATCGTGATCAGCTTCTGGATGACAGACCCCAAACGTTCCAAGTAGTAATCCCAATCAATTACATCTCGGGGGTCCATGTCTCCGGGGTCTTCTCGGAGCCACTTCTTCAAGAAAAACCGCTTTATGGGTTCTTCTGCCGAGAAGATGGCTACAGGAATGGCTCGATCCGTGACCGGCGCATGACGGGGTTTCTCTGAAATAATATATTTGCAATTCAGCCCTTTATCCTTCACCATTTGCTCGCCAAGGAATTCAGCAAGGCGGCGTGCAGTAGTGATAGAGGTTGACTTTTGCCCGCCATATTCTTCCAGGGTCTTCGTCATGCTCCTATTCTCGCAAATGAGGTCAATAAGTTCCTCATCCGCCAGCGTAGAACCGTGCTGATACAGAACATCAAGCCATCGGTTTGCAACTTTTGCAACAGATGCATAGGTCTCGGCGAGTGTCGTGCCCTCGAGGAAGAACTTGAAAATTTGTGTCTGAAATATCTTGATGAGCTTCAACTCGCCTCTCCGCTTTACTTCAAAACCCTTCAGCTCAGCTAGTGAGCCATCGTGGTTGAAAACAGCGTATCTCTTCTTCAAATTCTTGTCTTCTTCTTTGGATGTGGGAAGGATCATGGCTTTGTAAGGCCCATCGACTTCGAAGAAAATGGTGTTATCACTGTGCGTCTCATATCTGAATGTGACAGGATCCACGAGAGTCTGGTACTGATGATTGGTGAATCGCTCGTGTACCAGGTGGTTTAACATCACACAAGGATACGAGACGGCAAGCTTCTTGCCGTTCTTCAATGTAAAAGCAAAGTTCTCTGGAAACGTGCCGGGAAGAATACACCAAATACCATCGGTATCGAGCTCAAGTGGCCTCCCTATCCTCTCAACAAGGGATCGAGCCAGCTGGATAATGCGCGCGCCAGTCAAACAGGTCACTCCAGCCATCTCCATTGAATACCATCTCGAACCCTTTCGCATGACATACCCGTAGAAACTGTTGAGGATGACTTTATGAGCAAGTTGCAAAGAATCAAAAAGGATAATCATTTTCTTTGCCTCTTCAATCTCGAGACTTGTTGCGCCTGAAGACTTCAAGGCGTCCGTGTTATTTTTCCAGACTTTCTGCTGTCCCTTGAAATCATATCGTCGATCTCGAAAATTTTTGACTGTGTCGACATAGAACGGGTTTTCTCGTTGACAAATAATTGCTTCGCGCTCGATTGTTCTGGCGTCGTGAATCTTGTGGTAAATCTTTTTGCTATAATCTTGTAACCGCTTCTTTATTAAAGAAGCCTGCTCGTCTTCTGTAAGATCCTGGAACGTCCGATTTGGCGCGTTTGGACGCTTTCCAGGAAATCTTTCGTTTTCTAATGCTTGTCGAATCATATTGTATTCGTCGCGTTTCGCAGGAAGGAACTCTCCTCGCCACGCCCATGGCATCCTCCTATCGCACGTTTTACCAGGACGGTTGAAGTCGCAGGCAGCACAGTCAGATTCCTGAATCATTGAGTCAGGCTGCAGACGGTTTGTCGTCATAATATTTGGATACATGGACGCGACGTCCAAATGGTAAATAGATGGCCTTTCGTGTCGATTCGGAGTTTGTTTTAGACTGAGCAGTTTTTCAACAATTTGCGCTTTGATCTCATCGTAATTAGCAATATCGTCCATGGATTTTTTCTCCTCAACAGTGATGCTAAACGTGAGAGCGGCGTCTAGGTCGTGGATAAGTTCATCAAATGCCGAGGGATCTAGCGCAAAGTTGACTGGAATATCGCTTCGAAATACGCCAGCCTCGATACTCTCAACGTGGCCGCCGACATATGTTTCACTTTCTACAAGATGTCCCTCCCAAAATGACTCTTTTGGAGCCTGATGCTTGTTGGGAAGCAAGATCTCTTTTTGATATGCTTGTACCTTATCACGGATCAGCGAATGTTGATGCTTATAATTCAAGATGCTTTCTCACCATTAATAACATCTCGCACAGCGTTCCTGTTCCCTTACGCAATGTGTCGTCAGGGTTCAGTGGAATGATCGTACACAGGGAGAAGATGAAAGGATGCACGTATTTCATGTACAGGTAATAAGTCGCCACAGCATCTGAAACGGAATATTCTGCAAGGGTTTGCGGGCGTTCTGAGGCATAGCTAAAAGGAATTAGCCTGTGCATTCGTAGAACGAAAAAGTCTAAATGGGAAACCTTACATTGTCATCAATTCTGGATCCAACTCGTCTGGATCGTAGCCTAACTTTGCAACCGTGACGGCTTTCAAACCTCGACTCCCTTGAGGAAGATAGCTGTCTCGATTGACCCAGGCAAAACAATCCATATGCACGCAATAGTCGCTATGATATATATCCTCACTGTTCTTGCGAAATCCAATTTCCCGGTACATGTCAATTCCTAGAATGCTTGCCCGGGCCTCAACGAATGGCCAATCGAAAAAGTCTCCGTTATATGTTGCAATCACTGTGGGTCGGGCCTCCTTGACGTGAAGGAAGAATCGTTCCAATACTGCCTTTTCATCTGGTTCGTTGAAGATTATAAAGGGGCCTTCGTACTCTGGTTTAGGGGTATAATCAAAGTCGGCAATATCCTCAGAGACAATCTCCCTGTTTGTGATAAGGAATCCTTGGCCATCGATCATGTATGATATCATCATGATCTGGTCAAAAGCAGAGTCGGGAAATTTTAGAGGTAATTTGGTAGTCTCAATATCAAAGGCCAGGACCACCGGATCGGCTCGCTGTAGACGCTCCTCTATGCAAGTTAATCCAATAACGCCATGCTTGGCCTCGACAGTGTACCATTTTCCAATACGAATATCTGAACATAATCAGCCCGGAACCGTTTTAGAGAATCATGTTGGCAGGAATACCTTTATCAATTGCGACCCGTACATGATAAGGAACATCATATTCTCGAATATCAACAATATAATCGCTTGCATCTGCAATTCCAGTAAATCGTGCGTCGTGTTCTCGTTCATCATCAAAGAGATCAAAACCAGCATTTGCACTGAAAGTGAACGCATGTTAGAAATCAAAAGTCAGCTCAATTATCGTTCAATTGGGTACTAACCTGGCGACCTCGGCATATGTATCCATTGCATTCATGCTTTTCTTGTTCTTATCCGCAATCGGTTGGAGAACCTTTCTTACCGCCAGAAGATCCCCAACGTTGGCGAAACGCAGCTGCAGGAGTGTTCTGCGGTATCCAAGGAGGTGATTTGGCTAAACACACAAATTAGTGTTTGGGGACATGGTCAGATATCATATAAATGAAATAAAACAAACCATTTGCAAGTCCTCCTTCTCTACCCGATTGATCCCCTTTATAATTCCTTCGAATGCTCTCTTGCACCATTCCTCTACTTCCTCCTCTTTCCCTCTTCGGACAGCAATCAGAAAATAAGGATCATATTCGACCGTAGCCTTAAATGTGCCGCCATCCTCCTCAATGAAGTAGAAATCCACACCTGCTCGTCCTGCAGGTACAGCCTCATCCTCGACTGAGGTACTGTGCATGTTGCACAGCCATCCCATTTTCGGCTTTCCAGATTCATATCGCGCAAACCCCATTGCCTCGTCAATACTGTGGGCGAGTTTCACCGCCTCGGCCTTTTCATTCTGTGAAGTGGCCTCGCTGGCGCGGAGGCTGGAAGCCTCGACGGTCTTGGTGCGTCGAGCCCCATAAGAGGATTGTCCATTCTTGAAGACATGTCGGTATGGCTGCCCTGGTCGTCGTACCGGCATATTGGCGGCGATGTAGATGGTAACGGTTGACTTGCGAGCGCTTCTGGCTGCTGTTTGTACGGGTTAAACCCCTCTGAAGGCTGACATTAAGAAAGACGTGCTGATACTCTAAAACCACACAAGGCACGGCCGAATCAATATAGGTTTCAATGGATAGTTGAAAACACTGGGGTCAGGAATATTTGTCCACTCCGTCAAGACTGGTAACTAAGGTATGCCTGACAACTTGGTGTTCCCTTTTCGGCGACGCGTAAAGTGGTTACCGACGCGGACGCGCCGTAACTCTGTGACGCGCTAAGCAGAGAAACTGTTCATTCCCAATCCAGCGACAGAACTACGGCAAGCGAAAAATGCATAGAGCGAACACTGTCACAGTCTGAGACTTCACCAGGGATGATCATAACACTCGGATAAGCAAATTCAACCATGGCAGCTGACAGTCGAGAGGACACCGCAGCATCTCAACCGCCAAGCGGACATCCCGCTGATCAAGCCGCAGCATCCACGCATGATCAAAAAGTCTATGAAACCTTTAATCTTCCCCCAGAGAGCGCCAATATTCTTCCAGGCGGCTCGGTAAATACCGCCGGGGGCACATCTCCCGAAGCAGGATTCATGGAAGCAGCGAAGACTATTCAGATCTCGGACTTTCAAAATGTGCATAAACAGCCTTGTGTTCGCGATTCCCTGCTGACAGGGATTGCAAGTGGCTTTGGGCTGGGAGGTGTTCGGGCTGTGTTGGGCGGTAGGGAACCTCGTCATGCACTGACTTCAGTTGTCAATTGGGTTATTGCTAACTGTTTGACAAACAGCACCATTGCCCAAGGCGTCTAATTGGGCCGTCGGAACTTTCTGTGTCATGTCCTTTGCTGCCTACGAGTACTGCCAGATCAAGAGACATATGGAATTAGAGGGAATGAAGAGAGCGGTCGAGATCATAGACAAGAAAAAGGTTGACCGAGAACAGAAGATGGAGGAGGCGCGGCTCGCCCGACGAAAAGCCAAAGAGGAAGCAGACCAACAAGCTGAAGAACATGCGAAGTCGAAGGGAGGCTGGGGCTCCTGGAAGGGTTGGTGAATCGAGAAACATCCGGCCGAGGCGTACAAAGCCGATAATACTTGAATAGTTGAATTCAGGCTTCGCTTGCTAGTAGCCAGCACCAAGGTAGTAATTCTCTTGGTTGGGGTTTTGGCGTTGGGCATAATCAGAGGCCCCACTCGACAGCGTGATGCCTACTGATCTTCTGCGGAACTGATCATAGCTTCAGCGGGTTTGAAGTTCTACAAAAGCATACACTTGTATATTCATATATTTGTATATTAATACATCTCAAAAGGATTTAAGAGAGGCGTGCCAGCGCAAAGCCAATGGATTGAGATCCTTTAGCCGCGCGGCGCCCCTACGCCAACTGGATAATAGAGATATGTACACCGACAGAGAACGAATCCGCGCAATTGTGGTAGTGCGTGGTTCTAGGTTTCCAAAGAGTGGTTCCTCTCCGGAAGGAATGAGAGCCAAATAACATGGAGATATGACAAGATAGCCCAAACCTAAAATCCGGGTTGATGATAGTGCGTCAAGTCCTGAATTGAAAGGATGAAATGAGAGGAAGAGCAACGACCATATGTGGGGTATATCGCAATTGTACAGTTTTCGTCTACAAGAATCCAATAAAATCAAACGCCAGACCGCGCCTGCTAGAGCGTGAATCAAATCCGGTCCGAGAGTGTCAATAAATGCATGAACGTGTGCACTGCCACGCCAGATAGGGTTGGCAATCATCGTTTTGGTGGGCCACCACGAAGCTGCTCCTTGAGTTCCTCGACATAGTATTGGATGAATTTTTTCCCATTAAAATTGTCATTTCCTACATGGATTTAGTCAGAGTTATGATGATCATAGAAATAGACGCAGGGTGCTTACTATCCAAACGTGTGCTGTCAACTTCCTGGGAAGGTTCACCATGTCGGATTTCGCGGACCTTCCCATAGACTCGTCGAACGGCACGATGGAAACCCGGACTCGCGAGGAGCTGCCATCAAGAATCAGTAAAATAGAAACACTTTTCAGCAATCTCGGGCCAATAGATGTTGACGTACTCGGGCGGTCAGCCAGGCCTTCAATGTCTGTCTTAGCAAGCTTTCCTAGACGTGGGATGGTGTAAGATACGAACCTCAAATACTCGAAGCCACATGGCTGCAACAATGTTAGTCACGTATAATATCCCCAACTATCCAAATAGATCTGAGCAAGGTGTGAAATGCATTGCTTTAATCAAAAGCTTTGTCGAAAGCCATGTGGGCTAGGTACTGTTTGGAAAATGTACGATGTAGAGAGCGATGTTGGTGTGGGGAGAAGGAGAAACAATCGACGCATGTAAGCGACGCCACTTGGTGAGATAAGCAGCTGGGCGCTGAAGCAAACCCACGCATGTTGGCACAAAATATGCATAAATTTAATGATCCACTGTACTTTTTAAAGTCTTTATTGCTAACTTACCAGTGACCACTATATTACTTATAATTTCTTCAGAAGTACTATGAGAAAGAGATTTCACTCATACAAGACCAAAATTTTCATTCTTGTTCTTCTTCTTTCTCGATGAAATGATTGACCATGTAAAGCAAGACTAGGGTAGTCAAGTAAATTGCTTTTGCTTTCCCAAAGATAGATGCCCAATGTCATGTGCGGCAGCGTCCAGCCTCGCAACACCAATTGGCCGTATGAAATATATTAATAGAGATATTATATGCGTATCAAGCAAGCGGGATTATATGGTTACCGATTCTTGATTCGAGTAAAATCTCATCGAAGCACAATTCGTGGTCTTCGTTGGGCGTCCAAGGGGCTTAGCCCATCATCCACCCTGTTGGCTTCTTGAAACACAATTAATGACCGTACCAGGTGATTTCATCGCCCCCTTCAAATGCGGGACGAGTGGCTCAAGGGTCGTAAGCTCGTCCCTCACTGCGAGTGATTCAAGCCATAGGCAGAGTCGAGTTCATTAGCCCACCTAGTGTGTTTTTTAGGCTCTCCTGTCAGATTATTCGGCTCCCCGAATATATATACTATATTGGAACTAACTCTCAAGGTTCGTCTTGAAACACAGGCACTTGCCACAGAAGGGTTGACAAATTGCTGCCAGTGTATACTGTATTGTGTATATCTATCGGATATAAATATCATAGATAGGGCTGCATCACGCACCTTTCCATTTGGATTTTTCTTGGGTGTCATCCGGTGTCCTTCGCCTTCCCACTGCGCACTCAATTTCCTCGCCCTGGTGGTCCCTGACGTCCCCACAGCGCTTTTGGCGATAAATCTGCAGTGGGCATAGTCGCTCCTGCACCGTGCTGCATCGAGACATCACCGCTAACCGCCTTGCTCGCCTTGCTCGCCCAACCACCGTCAGCTCGGTCAACCTGCATCACCTCCGAGTCCATTGGCGGCGCAAAGCTGCAGGCAATCGCCCAGCCGAGCAGGCTATGGCTGCGCCCTTGTCAGTACCGAGACCTGCCGCTGCTTCGTCTTCAACTTCCTCCAGCCCTCCTTCGTCACGTGAGCAATCTCGAAATGCTCTAGTAGAACTTCATCCGCCGGCGTTTTTACGCCAAAGTCGCCTTGGTAAGCATTTTTATCATGCTGCGTTGACATAGATGCTTGTTCTTAGGAGCATTCGGAGAATGCGTTGCTGATAGTGTTCGATTAAGCATTGCGGCAAAAGTTCGCCAGTCTCACTGTTCTCCAAAGAGGACGGCTTGAGGATGCACACAAAAATCCCGAGTCGAGATTCAAATTGCCTCAAGATGAGGCATCCTTGGTGCGGAATCGTTACTTGGACATTCAGCCTTGGGCCAATTCTCGAGTCCACCTCAAAGTTCCAGAGGGTGAATGCGACTATATAAACGCTTCTCCTGTGTCTCTGCAGAGCTCGACTGGTACAGTAGAAAAGTATATTTCAACCCAGGTATATGGTCCTTGACAACATGCATTTTTTGGCTGCTCTTACTTGATCACGTGCTGACAGGGATTTGAATAGGGTCCCAAGAACCTATTGTTTGGTCATTTTTGGGGAATGGTCTGGCATGAGACTGCAGATGTGGCAGTCATTGTTATGCTCACAAGGACGTTTGAGAGTGGACGCGAGAAATGCTCACAGTACTTCCCAGCAGAGATGGGAAGTGAGCCAATGATGTTCCAAGTGAGCACAGAATCAAGCAAAGAGGTCGAAGGAAGCATCAGGCTTGAGGAATATTCCGAAGATGATGCTACTCGGTCCATTATTCGTAAACTTTCATTGCGTGTGGGCGAGGTTGAGAAGACAGTCTGGCATTTTCTCTTTGCTGGCTGGCCTGATCACACCATCCCAGAACGCGAGGATCGTGCTGCGTTGGTCAAGCTGATTGCGCTATCAGTAGAGAAGAACGAAGGCACAAACAATCCTCGCATTGTACATTGTAGCGCTGGTGTCGGTCGCTCTGGAACTTTTATCGCCCTGGACCACCTCCTGCGAGAGCTGCACTCGGGAGGAATGGACAATGTGCCAGATGATGTCGATAAGATATATGAGACAGTCACCTCCCTGCGAGAGCAACGCATGTGGATGGTTCAATCGGAACCGCAATATGCATTCATCTACCAGGTACTCATGGAGGAGTGGAATGCAAGGCAAGCTGGAAGCATTCCCGCTTCTCCAGAGCCGGCACAAACTGATAAAACGCCTATCGATGAAGTGGAAGACAGTGATGAGGAAGACTATAATGACGAAGCCGGACCCTCTGCAAAAAGAGCCAGACTCTTGGCTGAGCTAGTACAGAATGTTCAGAAGGCATATGGACCTATTCCTTCTGAGGGCGAGGAAGCATCAAAATAAGGCACTTCCAATTTCTATGACCCTACTAGCATCTCCAAGTTGGGTTAACTTCCCTTGGATATTCCCTTGCTTTCTTTTCTTTTCTCTTTCTTCTCAGCATCCACCCCTTTTTTCTTTCCCCCCCCTCATTTTCAGCATGCAATAGTTTCTTTCAGTGTCTATACATCAGAGTGGCCGAACAGATTTTGGCCTAGCGAAGTTTTGGCGACGAAGATATCCAAATAGCGCCTTGGACTGTTTATATCAACTTAGAGCCTCGCGATAGAATATTTCTCTAGTTTTTCAGTTTCTCATGGGAAGAAAGAAAAGAAAAATTGGCGCAAGCAGAGAAATATCGACCTATTAACCCTGATTCGAACGTGGACCTTTGAATTAACGTGCACTCAATATTCTAAGAGGAATTACCGGGAAAGTGTATGCCGGTGCTGACCATAGAAACGTAATGCGCGTACGGCTTACTGTATCCACAATAAATGCCCTGCTGTACGTTGAAGGTGAATGCTATTATTTCTTTCATTTCGATAACAGGATATCATAATTCAAGATTGATTGAAGTCATTTATCAGTCGTCTCTCTTCTTTCCTTTCCCAGCTTCGTCCACAGCACCCTCACCACCAGAGGCTTTCTGGCCTGTAGCCTTGCTGCCTTCTGGCTGAGCAGATGGTTCATCGTCCTCCCAATTGTCTTCGGCGTTTTCATCCCAGTTATCAAGCTCCTCCTCCACTGTGCGCTCCTGCGGCTCATCTCTTGTCACACCAGTCTCCTGGGGTTCCAGACCGCCAAGTTCAACGTCTGGCTCTTCCTCCTGGCCAGAGACGGCTTGGTACTGCCTAGTTCGCCGGCGACGTTCGAGCATTCCCTTGTGATACCAGCTACACAGAGCAACAGCTATGAGAGATCCGACGAGGTTGGCCAGGATATCATATGGATCGAATTGTCGACCATTCTAGATACATAAAATTAGTTACTTATTCAAGCAATAGCGCAAAGATGTTAGCTGTACCGGAATCACCGCCTGTATAAACTCAGATCCGACACCAAGAATGCCCGTGCAGACAATCAAAGTGAAGTTCATCGCCCTGCGGCGGGTTGTTTCCAAAACCCAGTAAAAGCATAGCTGCAATTCGCATTGTATTAGCACGGCTAATTTGATTGCCCATCGAGCTCCCTTTGAGAATGAGTAAGGCTTACTGAGAGGATGAAGAAGGTCACAAGATGGAGTATTTTGTCGTTGATAACCTTTATTTGAATGCTCGAGAGGCCCAAATATGCGGCACCTAAGAGGAGGACGCAGAATCCCCCTACATGAAAGCTTACAGTGAGCTTCTCAATTCCCCAGCGTAACCTACAACTGGCACAGGTCAAACACGGGGCCGGCGAGACACTTACCGGCGAAAGGTGGCCGTACCCGCATGATAAACTCAACAACACGATATCATTAGATTCCAAAGATTGATTCTAGCTCCTTAATTATGCTTGCAACGATATGTGGTAGGCACAATGGTCAGTAGCTTGCCCCTTCAAACTATTCATCTCATTCATCCCTCAGCTCCGAGCTGGCCCCGTCGGATGACCGCATCGTTCTCGCCGATCCCGCGGCAAGTACAACAGATCCAACAGATTACCCGGTGCGTCAGGTCACTGCACGCGGCGTCGCTTAGCGGACGCAGGTGAAGCCGAACGTCAAGTCGTCCTCAGCGCGACAATCCCCCAGGATCGGCCTTATTTCATCCATCTATTGTCGTCCACCATCAATCGATTTCCATCCTTGAATCCACATGCCTGATAGCTAGAGCCGTCGGGCTCTCTATTCATACCGATTTCACCTTAGTGCGACGATTTGGCGAGCTTCACCACGGCGCGCTCATCCTGGAGTTACAACCGTCTCTAACGGCGGGAGAGGGGCCCCCAAAGTTGAGCGCGGAAGGGAGATGTCGTCCGCCAACAACAATCCACCCTGGCAGCCCCCGGCGCACCTACGGCACCTAGATGATGGTTTCAATTTCTTCTCTCAGAGTACGTCTGGCGCGCCCAGTTCGCGGGCCCGGACGCCAAATACATTACCGGAGATTACCATCGGAGGTGCCGAATCTGGCAATATAATTTTGGACGGGGAACCTGCTGTCGAAGAGGACCCCAGGGCAGCGGAATTTGATGAGCTATTTAGAAAAAGTGAAGCAAAGATTGCTTCTCTCTTCAGTCGCCATGATGACGCGCCCATGGTTGAGGAAGGCGAAGCTTCGAATGAAGCTGATATTGGCCTAGAACATGGTAGAGCCGCGGAAGGATCTACTCGGGATGCGGCTCCACCTCCCAAGAAAGCTGCACGAGCTATCAATGAGGATGATTATGATGATTACGACGAAGATGAGGAAGAAGAGGCTCCGGCTCCGCTCAGCCGCGTTTCGACTGCGAAAGATAGCAGCACCGTTACGACAACCGCGACTGCCAGCCCCACGAAGCCCGGGCTTCCCGCGACAGGAACAACTTCCCCCGCCATCAAACTCCCCTCTTCGCGCGAGCAGGAGAAGTCGTCCGACGAAGTCCGCAAGAAGCTCGAGGAAGATAAAAAGGCGGCAGAGGCAGCAGCTAAAGCAAGCTTCAATACCCTCATCTATACATTGGAAAATGACCGGGATGCAATGTTGGACCAGCAGAAGCTGGATGAGTCCGAACGTCAAGTTGATGCTGAAATGTCTGGTCCCGGCGGAAGCGCGAACAATGCCAATAACACGTCTGCTGGTGGATCTCAACCAGGCAGTTTAAGTAGCGCAAACCTCGGTGCTTCCAGTCTGACTCTCAAGCACCTTATCGCGCGGATCGACGCAAAGCGTGATCAGGTCCGCGCATCCGATGCTGAGCTTCGGAGTCTTATGAGCGAAGTTCGAAAAAATCGGAGCAAATGGGCTAGTGAAGACAAGGTTGGCCAGGAAGAGCTGTACGAGGCGGCGGAAAAGGTTCTCAGCGAGCTGAAAGCTATGACGGAGCATTCGACGGCATTCTTGAGCCGTGTTAATAAGCGCGAAGCTCCTGATTACTACAATGGTAAGGCCCTATGACCTTGTACAATGGTCCTTCCCCTGCTAAAATGTGCATCTGCAGTGATCAAACATCCTATGGATCTCGGAACAATGACGAAAAAGCTAAAGGGTCTTCAATACAAATCAAAAAAGGAATTCGTTGACGACTTGAATCTCATATGGTCCAATTGTCTAAAGTATAATGCGAATCCTGAACATTTTCTGCGAAAGCATGCACTTTATATGCGGAAAGAGACGGAGAAGCTCGTCCCGCTAATTCCGGACATTGTTATTCGAGATCGCGCAGAAGTGGAGGCAGAAGAACGAAGACTGCAAAATGCGGAGGCTGATCTTGAAGGGGGCGAGGAGAGTGATGACGGTGAGTTGCATGCCTCAGTGCTTGGGATAGGGACGTTCTTGGGCATATACTGACAACCGATAACCATGTAGAACCTATCATGTCCTCGCGGGGCCGAAAAGCTCCAGGCATGAAGTCAAAGAAAGGCACCACGGTTTCTCGCACAGCGCCGACTTCTGTGCCGGAGGGTACTCCTGGTGCCGAAGCGAAACCGCCTCCTGGACTGCCTCATAGCAATTCCGGAACTAATCTCAAGAATGAATTTCTTCGAGCAGATTCTGATGCGCCAATGGAAGGAAGCCAGACCGAGTTCTCTACCCCGCCGCCCGGCAGCATTACTCCCGCTGGGGCAAACGGCGCATCGAATAGCGGCGCACAGAGCGACGCCATGGATATCGATGGGATAGGGCCGCTTAATGGGTTGGAGAGTGGCTTAGGTGGGGCTAGAGATGACACAGAGTACGACAGTCTTGAATTCAAGACCTGGAAACAAGTCACAAAAAAGGACCGTGCTCGCGTTGCCGCTGAGCGTCACCGACTTTTCCAAGGCGACCATCTAAATCCCGACGAACCGGCGCTCCTCCGCACAAAGGCCGGAATGCGGCGGTGGTTACGGAAGCGTCGCGAGGCAGTCAACTTGGGAGCGGCTGGTGACGTCAAAGTTGGCATCGAAGATAAGGAGGTAGAGCCCGAACCTCAGGGCTCAGCTACGCTGGCCGAGGGTATGGAGGGCGAGGAGGAGCCAGCTCTGCCAGACTATTACGATGTATTAGCTGGGATACCAGAACTGCCAGAACGATTACGATGGTTGGAAGACTCCGAAGGCCAGATCATCGACCCATCGGAAGAGTATATGAGGGTTGTTCCAAAGGGGCAATTTACGTCTCCTCACAGTACCTTCGCTGAGAAGATGGAGGCAAACATGAGACAAATGCAGGAAACGAGGAAAGTTTGCGCAAAGATTGGGATTGTCAAGCAAATGCAGCTGCAGTCGCAGGTTGGTATCAACGAGATCTTTTTGACATGGATATTCCGACTGACATAAACTTTCCGTATAGATGTATCAGAATCAATTCCAAAAGTACGATCCTGATCCGTTTGTGGAACAAGACATTCCCCCACATGTAGTCTCAGATGATGGACCCGTTATGGCTCCCTGGGTGTGTCGAGCGGCTCTGCAGCGATCGGTGGGCAAGTTATTCTATCACGCGGGCTTTGAAGAGTTTCAACCTTCGGCGTTAGATGCCGTTACGGATATTGCCGGCGATTTCTTCGCTCGCCTTGTGCATACCCTGGGGGTATATAGAGAGGTGCCCAAAGTACCGGAAAAGGCTACCGTTGGTCCAGCGGAACAATCCAGGCCTGGCTGGAAGAACAGATTTAGCACAGAAGAGATTATCCTCCATGCGATGCACGAGCATGGCATCAATATTGAGGCTCTCGAAAGCTACGTCAAGGATGATGTTGACCGACTGTCCTCGAAGCTCGCCAATATGCACGAGCGGATGAAGGCGCATCTCGCTGAGTTATTGGTATGTACCTTCTGCTACCTGATCATCTTACCTTGGTCCTATTTACTAAGTTTTAATAGCGCCCCGCTCTTGGCGATGCCGGACCAGACGGTTCAAGCGCCTTTAATGACGGCAGCGAACAATTTGTTGGCGGAGATTTCGCCGAAGAAATCGACGAAGACTTTTTCGGATTCAGAGAACTTGGTCTCGACAGGGAATTTGGTCTTGCATCGCTCAGCGTTCCATTACATTTGCTGCAGAACCGGATGCACAACGCTTATACCGCACAAAATACAAGGTATGGCATCCTTCTCCGCCTCCTCTGCTCACGTGAAACCGGACCTCTTGCAAGAATATTTCGATTTGTACTAACACTTCATATCAACAGCGTCACGTCTACTGCTGCATCCGCCTTCCCACCGCCTGCGCCGTTTGATCACGTTACTGTTGAAAACATCAAGGAAGAAATCGGACTCGTGCAAGAATTCTTCCTGTCTAAACTGCGCGCCAACGATGACCAGCCTCTGGTCGAAGACGAAGATCTCCCGCAAAAGCAACGCTTCCCCAAGCCTCGCCTTCCACCAACGGGCAAGATTTCCAGCCCCCGCAAACGGCCACTCCAGCAAACTGGCGCAGGCAATCTCAAAAAGAAGAAGAAGCTGGAAATCAACAACGTCTCGTTTTCCAAGGACGACGACTCGGCTTCTGGAGTCAACGGCACATCCAAGACCGGATCGACTACAACTCCTACAAAATCCGGCGGAGCCGGTGCCAGTGCTGGCAGTACCTCAAAACCTAAACTCAATCTTCCTGGTCCTCCGCTTCTCGAGCGCATGGACAGTAGTAAAGGCAGTGACGCAGACAAAGACGACGCGACTACAGGCTCGGGTGTAGGGATGATGAGTCCAGAAAGTATTACTGCTTAACAGTATCAAGGCTTCTTATTTCCTTTACTATATTCAGCCCCACATTTGTTTTGTCCTTTTCTTAGAGGCAATTCGATTTGGACCGGAAGCGGCTAGTGTTCAACTATTTCCACCCTTCTTCTTCCTCTTCTTCTTTTACTTCTTTCTCCTTTTCACTTTCTCCTTTTCCCTAGGTGTCGCGTATTTTGGGAAGGCGTCCTTGGAAACCAAAAATAAACCCACCCCCACCCCCCCGCGTGCTGTTTCTTGGCAAGAACCGCTGCGAAAATACCCCCACGCAGCTTTTTCATTGTTATTATTGTACCTTCCCGTTCCCTCGTCCCTGGTTTTTGGGAACTCAAAAAAACGTTTTTCCTTACTCGGTGTAACTTCTTTTCACGAGATATCCTTCTCACCTTTTCTCTTTCTCTTTCTCTTTCTCTTTCTCTTTCTAATTTCTCCGGCGTGCCCAAGGACTCCCGAGACTTCTGTGTACCGCGGGGTCCAACTCGCACGGTTGGCCTCGCGTCTCGCCTTTTGCACTTTTTGATTTTTGTATTGTACATACATACATTCTAGTCCTTTTTATCCTTTTTTTTTCTTTGTTTCCCTTTTCTTCTTCTTCCTTACTTCTACTTTCATAAATGAATATTAATTAAATTAATCACTTGAAGTCTTTTCAACACTTAGTTCCCATTTTCGTTTTCTGTTTCTTCGCATCTTCACTCTGCCCTCTTTTCCTGTTTTAGTTGTTCTGCCTTGATCAGAGACCGTAAGAATCAGCCTGATTCAAGACAGCCCTTAATACGTAAATGTCTTCTTTTAGGAAGGAGTAGGCTGTACGTCAAAGGATTATGGAAGGATATACTAGGACTGTCGAAATAACCGCGTCACTCAATTTCTTTTCCGTTTCATATCATGAAGGGAATGGAAGGGATAATGTAGATTTGTAGATTTGTAGATTTGTAGATTCTTAGACTTTTAAACAAGTGACGAGTCTTGTCCAATAATGGATAGTGATGATACTTTTCTACATGGTATTATACGTATGAATGTATATATGGTATAGTTTACAGGATTGGATTGGTAAGAGGGGATGAAGGAACAGGCGGGATGGGATAATAGTGGATGAAGGAATAGAGCGGATGGAACAACAGACAGAATGAAATCATAGAGTAGGTGAAGGAATAGGGAGGAAGTGATAAAAAATGAGGAAGAAAAAGAAGATAAAAGTCTAGGAAGGCATCACCCAGATAATTCTAATCGCCGCTCGAGCAAATACCGCGCATCGCTCTCGGAAAGATGCTCTAATCCAAGCAGATGCAGCGCTTCGCGAGCGCTCTCGTTGCTTTGGAATACGCGCTTCTCGACGTCTTCTAGGTACGGCACCTCTCCCTCTTCGTCTGCTCCTGCGTTTGAAACGGAACGCATATCTGGCTTTTCCTCGGCCTGGGCTCCTGCTTCGTCGTCTTCGCCCCATGCTGCGGCTGCACGGTCATCTTCATCGTCTTGGGCCCGAGGTGTCGAAGTCGACCTCGCGGTTGACGAATTCCTCAAGGGCACGCTTAGTAATGCAATTGCATCTTTGAGTTTGCGCATTGATGACTCTGCGGAAACACTGCGGTCTCCATGGACCAGAGACCGGTCGATTACAGCCCAGATGGCGGCGACGTCGCGAGCGAGCTGCGCGACGCCGGTGGTGGAAAAGGAGTTCCGGAAGAGAACGTGGTCCCAGAGGTAAGACTGGATGGAGAGGCAGACGTGGCGGGACACACGTCGGAGCGGAGCGGGCGCAAGGATATTTGCGAGAAAAGAGAGCTGCGTGGAGAGGAGCTGGATCACGGGCTCGATTTCCGGGGTGATGGCTGAGGCTGCGGAGTCGGATTCGGAAGAGAGGGACGACCAGGGATTGCTAGTGGAGCAGAATGTCAGATTTTTCAAATAGAATTTTGGAGGAAGGGGGGCAAGGGAACATGGGGCTTACACTCTTCCATATGGTCGTAAGGCTTCACGGACATTGTATGTCATTGTATCGATGAGAATGTTCTCGGCACGGACCCGTAGACGGTGATATGCGCCTGCAGTTTCATCGAATAATGCCCCTGTGTCGCCTTCGGAGCCTACGGCGCTGGATGTCCGTTCGGCGACATCCTTGATGCTCATTGGGCCGGCGAGATTTTTACCAGTGCTTTGCCGGGCGCGATCTTGGAGCTCTTCCCAGAGTTCGAGAAAGAACTGTGTGAAATGGCAGTCAGGCATACGTTGTGATTTGTACACTGTAAAAAGGAATTCTTACCACGTCGTCGCTCCAGTCACCCATGGCTTTTTCGAGATACTCGGCGCTGCCGTAGACTCTGCAGAGCCTTTCCAATCCACCGAGACCCTGGAGCTTAGTTTGGTCCTCCCTGGTAACTCCTTGTACCGTACGGCCAATGGAAGATGTTAAAGTGAGGTAGGCTTCCAGGCTTGAATGCAGGCGTTCATGAAGCTTATCGAAAATTGCAATCTGGATATCGATGAGAAAGCGCAGCTTTTGGGAAAAAGACAAGAGTGGCCGATAGCGGTCTAGATTAAGTTAGAAGGATCAATCCAACACGTTGGCTTAGGATTAAGTGACAGACCAGTAATAGTTTCGAGCAGATCATTGACTCGAATAGCAGCTTTTGTGGGCTTTGTGATTCCAGGATCAACGCTGTCGTAGTCGATCTCGCCGCTGTCTGCTGTCTCGAGAATATTGTGGTATCTCGACAATGCGACTTTGACGCACTAGTCAGAATATAGAAGATATACTCTGCCAGGGTGTAGCAGTACTCACAATCTTTCTCTACCTGGAGCCATCGGCCAAACCAGTCTTCCTGGACCAATACTTCCCACGTCAACCCTTTCCAGCCTTCAGCTCCTGCACCGGCGTCATATCCCCATTCATCTCGCAGACTCGCATCAAAACTCATAAGTTCGTGCATGAAGTGACTCAGTAATTGCGGCTGACGAGCAATCTGGGGGAGAAAAGTGTGGATTTTTGATCGGAGTATAGGTAGAATAGAAGTGATAAAGGCGGAAGTAGCATCAATGTAAAGTGGATTGAGCGCAAGATTGGACCCTTTGAAATGGGCGCGAAGAATAGGTTCAAGGCTTTGCATTAGAAATTCATAGTATGTGTTGACCAGACCTAGTATGTGGGTCAAAAAATACTCGGGCTTTGAAGGAGTCAGCATGACTGCTTTTGTTTTAATGAAACAATTTGAAAGAGTATACCTTATCTAGTCTGTTTGTTGGCTTGTCTCCGTCAAAGTGATATCTGAAACGCAGCTCAAGCGGCTTTGCCATGACCTCGAACGGCAGAAGAACAGGCGGTTGCTTGAATCGTCGGGCAGGCTGGTTTTCTTGCGCCTCAAGCTCCCTAGTCAAAGAATGTTAGTAATCCTACTCATAGCATTCAATTGTGATAATCAAACATACGGTTGCTGAAAGTTTAGGAGATTATCGATCCTGCCTTTCCATGTCTCCGCAAGGTATTCTGGAACCGTGACCCCCCGGTCAGGCCAATTGAGCTTCTGAAGTAGCTCTCCAAACTTTTTGCTAAAGTGATCTTTCATTTCACCCTTCAACGTCCGGCCAATCCGCTCAACGTGGTCAAGCAGATGCGGAGCTGCGCTCTCTGCGGCAGCATGAAGGGGATATAGGCTCATGATCAAGCTCTGTAGGCGGGTATATGGTGCAAGTGCAGCTTCGGGGGACTCTTTCAGTTGGTTGCGTGTCTCTGCGCTGTAGAGATAATGCAAATAAGCATCCATTCTGAGCTTGGGATGGAGCATACACCCACCTCAAAGCTTCAACCTCCTGAAGCAATTCCGTATAGCCACTCGCAAGGTCGAGTCGCCGCAGCTTCTCCATTGTCTCACCAAACCGTCTGACGGCATCATCGCTAGTCTCCGAGTGAGTAACAATCATGAGTCGACGATCAATGTCTGCCTGATTCTGCTGAAACAGCGTTGCGCGATGCGCGAGGGACGAGGCATGAGCGGCAGACTCCTGGTCCGCTGTGCGCAGAGCGTCTTCTGCTTCTTGGAGCTGCAATAGATAGTCAGCTCAATACCATACTCAACCTCAATTAAACGCAGTCTATACCTGTTTCTTTAACAGCGCCTGTTGATCCTTGACAGCTTGTATGAGCGAATCCAGGGACTCCAGATCGGCCGTGTTCTGGAGCTTGTCGTTGAGATAGTCCTCCACGCGCACACGCTGGTCTTCTCCAAGCCGGCTCAGAGAGCCATTTGAGAAGGCAACGTCATCCATCTTTAAAGTCTCTAGATTCGTAGGAAGTTATTTGCTTGGTGGTTCAGGGTTTCCTGTATTTACACTCAGGAACCTCCGACTCTCCGATGATTTGGACTCTTAGCGAGGGACGATCGATGACGCTGTCTCTCTCTTACTTACGAATGCGGAGGATAAACTCGACTTCAGCCCCACGACTTTTATATTTCACCATGACTACTACAAGATCTCAGATTACTTAGAGGTGTCTGTTTTCGAATATGCCTTCGCCGTCAAAGCGACGCAAGAAGAATGACTACCATTCTACGCCCCAGACCGCACGAAGCTTAGACTACTTCTTCAGTAAACAAACCCAGAGCATTGCGCAACCTGAGAAGGCCACGCCCAGAGATGGCCAGAATGACTTATACCAGAGTGACGAACCTAATTTCGCCAAGGAGCATCAAGAATCAACTTTAAATGACGAAGAACTGGCCCGAAAACTACAGGCGGAATGGGAAAAAGAGGATACGCTTGCTAGGGAAGCTCCGGCAGATGTGGTCCCAGCAGCACAGCCTACAAACGATAAATCTTCTGATTCTGGCAATCATACACCAATTCAGCAAGAGACAGCAGTAGGAAGACCTTGTTCAAATGGTCCCACGAAACATACGTTATCGCTCCAATCAGCCGCCGCGGCGGAGGATACTGTATCAGCAGCGATTCCATTCGACGAAAGCCCCTTGACCTTCGACCCTTCGAAATATATACCAGCACTTCAAGAGCATTGGGCATCTGAAGGCGGTGATGCGACGTACGCTTTGCTAACGAGGTGTTTCGTACTCGTCAATAGCACCCAAAGTCGTATCAAGATAGTCGATACTTTGGTTAACTTTCTGAGGACCATTATTGAGGGTGATCCTTCCAGCCTTCTTCCATCCGTATGGCTTGCCACGAATTCAATATCGCCCTCCTACATTTCTCTCGAACTAGGACTGGGCGGATCTGCCATATCCAAAGCATTAAAAAAAGTATGTGGGCTCGACAACCAGGGGTTGAAAACATTATACAACAAATATGGCGATGCAGGCGACGTCGCATTCGAGGCAAAGAAGAAGCAAAGCTTTACGCTACGAAAGCCCAAGCCTCTCTCGATCAAGAGTGTATACCAGTCACTCGTCAAAATTGCAAACAGCAAAGGCCACGGCAGCCAGGAAACCAAGCAAAGAATTGTGGAGCGACTGGTGCAGGATGCTCGAGGGGCCGAGGAAAGTCGGTACATTGTGCGAACATTGGTCCAACATCTGCGCATCGGTGCCGTCAAGACAACCATGCTCATTGCCCTATCTCGTGCGTTTCTCCTCTCTCGACCTCCTGGCGCCGATTTCTCTGTCCGCTCTCAGTCCGAACTTGCTGCACTCAAGAAAGATGCCCTGGCAGAGATATACGCGCGACCAGAAGAAATCGTCAAAGCATGCTTTGCGCGGCGACCAAACTACAACGACCTTGTCCCCTGTCTGCTCGAGGTCGGCGTATCAAAAGAGCTTCTCCTGCGGTGCGGGCTAGCCTTACATATTCCTCTACGTCCCATGCTTGGCAGCATCACACGCGACCTGGGTGAGATGCTCACCAAGCTTCAAGGTCGAGATTTTAGCTGCGAATACAAATACGACGGGCAACGGGCCCAAGTCCACTGCGACGAACGAGGCAAAGTCACCATCTTCTCACGCCACCTCGAAATCATGACAGACAAATATCCAGACCTCGTGGCGCTTGTCCCTCAAATTCGCAGCGAAGGAGTCGACAGCTTTATCATGGAAGGCGAAGTCGTCGCCGTCGACCACACCACGGGCGAGCTCAAGACCTTTCAGACCCTTGCCAACCGCGCAAGAAAAGACGTTGTCATCGGCAGCGTCACCATCGACGTCTGCCTCTTCGCTTTCGACCTCATGTATCTCAACGGCGAGGAACTCCTCGATCGACCTTTCCGGGAGCGGCGCGAGCTTCTCCGGAGTCTTTTCATCGAGGTACCACACAAATTCACCTGGGTCAAAAGTATCGACGCGACATCCAGCGACTCTGAATCTGTCCGTGAATTCTTCAAAGGAGCCGTCGAAAACAAATGCGAAGGGATGATGGTCAAAGTGCTCGACAACCTACCCAACCCGGAGCTCCAACATGAGATTGAGCTTGCTGAAACCGTTGAAACCGCAAACACTGCACAACTTCCCAATGCCAGCGACACAAAACCCAAATCCAAATCATCCGGAACCAAATCCAAATCATCAAAAACCAAAACATCCGCCCCCAAAATCCTTCCTCTGCCCGCTCTGCCCACAGACCTTTCGCCCGAAAAAGAACAAGAGCTCGTCGCCAAAGAACGGCTCAACCCCACCACCGCTTCCCGCCGCAAGGCTCTCCTCGCCACCTACGAGCCCGACAAACGGCTCGACTCCTGGCTCAAGGTCAAAAAGGACTACGACTCGACCGCGGCTGACACGCTCGACCTCATCCCCGTCGCAGGCTGGCACGGCAATGGCCGCAAAGCCAAATGGTGGTCGCCCATTCTCATGGCCGTGCGGAACCCCGAAACAGGCTCCCTCGAAGCCGTATGTAAATGCATGTCTGGCTTCACGGATAAATTTTACCAGGCGAATAAGGAAAAGTATCCTGACATTGGGACCGTTGATGCCGGCGCTGAAACCGATGCTGTAGCTGATGTTGATGTTGATGCTGAAGCTACGTCTGATGCAGACGTCAATGAAGCCGATGCAGCAGGTGGTGGCCAGAACGAACTCAGCAGCACAACTACCCTCCTCTCGCAACCCTCCTACGTCGAGTACACTGGCGCCGACATCCCCGCCATCTGGTTCGAGCCGCAAGAAGTCTGGGAGATGGCCTTTGCGGACATCACGCTCAGTCCGACATATACTGCGGCAATCGGCCTAGTGAGTCAGGACCGCGGACTAAGTCTCCGTTTTCCCCGGTTTCTGAGAGTACGAGACGACAAGGGCATAGATGATGCGAGCACGTCGGATTTTTTGGCCGGGTTGTGGCGCAAGCAGGAGGCAAAAGGCGGAAATAACGGCAATGGCAATGGCGTCACCCAAGCCAATGAAGCCAATGAAGCCAATGAAGTCAATGAAGTCAATGAAGTCAATGAAGACATTCAGAGAGAGGAAGGTGCTACTGGCGGGGATGCGATGACAAAAGAAGAAAAAGAGGAAGAACAAGAAGGAGGATTAGGGTCTGGAAGTGAAGATGAGCAAGGCCTATATGATGGCTAGAAAATACTACTCGGTCAAGCCTTTGCGAATTGACAGGGGAAGAAGGGGATATGAGATATGAGATATGAGATATAAGATACCACGAGCTAAGCAATGCAGTAAATAGTAATCTATGATATAGCTATAATACAAAGGTTTCCATTACAGATAGCACGATAGTCAGAAAAAAAAAAAGAGAGATTTGGCATACAACAGATCCACGGCTTTTTAGACAATAATCAACAACCTCAACAACCCTTTTTTTCCCCTAAAATTAGGAAGAGATGAAAGGGAAAAGAAACCAAAGAATAACCCAATGGCTCTAACAAGTCTTGATTGGGAAAAGGAATGGGGGGAAGGGAAAAAGGAAAACGGGCCGAGCTCCATATTGCAAAACATGTATGCGTGTAAGTGTGTGTTCAAAGAAGACAACTACTCCAATGGAGGCAAAAAGGATTACCTTCACCGCGACGGCCGAGACTCGGACCCGGACCTGGACCCGGGATTTCTCAGACGCTCGGCGGGGTTGAAAGTGATAATTCCTTGGTCAGCAGCCTCGAGCCGGGCCTTCTTGCCTGTTTCTCCGGCACGTCCGAGGACACCGGCAATTGTTTGGACACAGCGCAGACTAGAAACGGGGGGTCATGTTAGCATTTGTATGCTTATTCTGTTATGAAATTCCAAAATTCAATCTCATATTCAGTAATCAAGCATACCTGTCATCATTGGCGGGAATAGGATAGGTAACCCATGTAGGATCCTGATCGGTATCGACAATACCAATGGTAGGCACACCGTTGAGGCCGCACTCATGCAAGAGAACATAGTTCTCGCGGGGGTTCAAGCACACGACCAGATCAGGCTTCAGGACGCTGCGGTTCATCAGCTGGTCGCCGAACAGGTGCGTCACGTCGTTGTCAAATTCATCGACGACCTTGGTCTTGCACCGCGCGAGAATCTGCTGTCCGTTTGTGATGCTGCCTGGCGTCCAGCGCTCAAATAGATGGCACCCGCCGGCCAACTCCGCCGCCTTGACGACACATCGTTCCTGGCCTTCCCTGGTGCCTGCAAACAGCACTATTCCTCCGCGCGCTGTCACGCCGGAGACGATCCGGCATGCTCGTCGCAAGTGCGCCGCTGTAATTGACGGGTCGATGATGTGGATACCGGACCGGATACCGAAAATGTATCGCGAGTTTCCGGGATGCCACAGCGATGTGCTGTGTCCGAGGTGGGCTTGTGCGGCGATAAGGGATTCAACGGAAATGTCTTTGGGAGAAGGAGGGTTGTTAACGAGTTCGTGAGGCCGGTAGAGATGCGAGAGAGCACTGCCGAGAGGGCCGGTCGTTTGTTCTGTTTGATTGGAGATGGACTGTTAGTTTTGATGCAGAAAAGAGACGTGGTACATATTGCTGCATATTGAGATTCCTTCTGTCGGACGGGTCCGGAAATATGGAAATAAGGAAAAGGGGCAGGCTGGAGATGACCGAGAAGAAGATGAGAAACGTACTTTGGGCTTGGATGGCTTCCCATGTCTCTGCGGTGGTGAGTTCCTCTGTCTCGCTCTCACTTGTCAAGGCATCGGTGGGCTGCACAGGGACGTGCGACTGGCTGTTGACGAATTCTTCAATCGGCTGCGTCTCGCGAATATGATGCTCCAGTGATGCTTCGATGGTCTCGGTGTTCAGGGCGCGAATCCATCGTCGGGTCGGTGCGAAGAGCGCTCTCCGGCCTACGTACGAATTAGCAATGCAAAGAGAGCTACAAAAAGATACCAATTGGTATGCTTGAAATGAAAGCACCCACCTTGCCGAAGCATCAGTTGCCGTATTATCATGGTTGGTAATGTCGTTGTAAGCCGCAGTCTGCGATATTCATTTGCTGAGACTATTCGGGGACATGTTGATAATTTGGGTCTTTCTTCGCTTATACCTGCCGCTTACATGTCTCGGTTGGAATTTCCGTATGTTGTCACGCACTTCCTTGCGGCTCGAAAGGAGAAATTGTCCATAATAAATGTTCCGCGAATTTCTATAGGAGATTTCTGTGTTTAATCTACTTAATCAAATTTTTATAGTATCTTTTCACATGTAGTGATATCTGGTCCATTCATAGTCAAGCGCCACGCCTAATTCCTTTCGTTTTCATACAGGCTTTCCTTGGGTTTCGTGGCTGCGATCAGGCGACAAGCCTCGAAGCTCCTGTAGTCTGGCAATATGGGATCGTCAATTTGTTTTTGGACATACAGATTAATCGTGATATTTGATTATCATTCAAAAGGTACGAGCAGTAAACATCCTGGTAGGCTTCTAGACATACACTACAGCACAGAAGAAATTGGCACGGAATCTACTTCCTGGTTCAAAAAAGAAATCATCGTCTGTTTATTATTGTTGATGACAAGAGGAAACTGAGGCATGTATATATACAAAAACAAGTATAGCCTACTCAGTATTTTGAAAGGAACAGGTATGAGATAATACAGAGCAGATAAGAAACTAATAGGTGTCTATGGTAAATAGTCTACACCTACGCCAGACGCCTGGAAACGTAAAGGTGTGTATGTATGTGACGAGGCATGTTGAAATATGGGAATAATTGCTTCGCTTTTCCTTGTAAATTTTGAGGCGGGGTTTTTAGTTGATTGCGCGCATGGTCATCTCGACACTAGATTGTTGTTGTTAGCATGTCAATCCTCAATAGTTGCATAGACTTCATTATGTCTTCCACGGAACAAAGAGAGTAAACACTTACACAGCAAAGGTGCCGGCGCTAACAGGCAAAGCTCTGAGCAATGCGGGCGCAATACCCTTCCAGAACCCTCTCATTCCCTCCTCAGCCCAGGTCTTTCCAAAGCAGTCGCGCATAGTCTTATACTTCATCTTGTCACCAAATCCGTCGCTCTGCATCTTACTCTTGATGACGTCAAGCGGGTAGCTAGCAAGCCAGAGGATCTCGCCCGCAAGACCACCGGCCAGCGCGACCTTCCATGTGGGGAGTTGCTCGCGCGGCGTATTGACGCGGCGGCACTCGGCATTCATCAACCACTCGTAGGCCAAGAACCAGGTACCGTAGCCGTGAGCCTCACGGAGCAAAGTAATGGATGTTCCACGGAACAAGCCACGTCCAATACCGTTATGTGCGCTTAGAGCACGAATGCAGGAGATGGGACCAGAGTAGAGGCGTCCAGCGCCGTGGGGCTGAGTTTGCAGCCGGATACGTACGTGCTCAATGGGGCACGAGAGAACGGTGTTGGCAATACCGGCAAAGGAACCAGACAGGTAGAATTGGGTTAAGCTAAGTTCGGATGACCCGTTGGGGTTCCGTGCTGCATTGAGCGCTTCAAATTGGCGCCGTGCGTAGTGGAATCCGCCGAATTGGATAGACACCTAGGAAAAGCTAGAGTTAGGAAAGATGGTGATGTAGTTTTGGACGGGAAAAGAGAGACTTACGCATGCACCAATACCGATGAGGGGTGTCAAAGTTCCCTAGACGAGAGATAGAGTCAGTGTGATGTCGTCGCCCATTGAAGCAGTCTTGATGCAGTAAATAAAACTCCGAAAAAGAAAGCAACGAGAACATCATGATCAAGTGTCGTACCTTGTAGAAAGCCAACGGACCCTCATTCTTGAGAATCTTCGTAGCACAGTCCGCGGCGCTCGAGTACTGCGACGTTGTCTGTAGACGAACCTTGACAATATCTAAAGCCGTCTTAGAACCTGGAAAAAGCCAGAGATATTTCTGACTGATTTGGTTGACTTACCAAAGGGTTGACCTATGAAGACAATTAGTATTTGTTGTCGTACTCCCCATGAACATGCAATGCAGCTTGAAACAAGAACAGGCAGATCTAATGTTTCAAGAAGATACCAGAGAAAAGAATACAGAAGAAAATGCATCATCATGACACTTTTCGAACGCTGAATGAACCGTCGAAGCAAATGCAAAGAATAGCATAATCAAAAGCCTGTAAAAGAAAGAGAAACCTTTTTTGACAAAGTCATGCCGATAAACAAACCATGAAAATCAGAGACAAAGCAAGAACCACACTCCACTTCAAATTCATGATTCAATATTCATCTGGCAAATAATCCAGAAAAGAACAACAAAGCTCGATCTCCTGCCCAGAGAAGGAACAATACACCAACATAGCAAGGAGTATAACAATCAAGACATCAAGAACAGCACAATAACAAACTCACCAATAAGGACCTGTGCAACACCGCCCATAGCACCAGAAAACAGGTCTTTGAAGGTCTGCTTCAGACCAGCATCAGGCTGTTCGATAACTTCTTCCATCTTGACCGAACTGAATGAATCTGTCCTTTTCCCTATTTTGAAAATTCAACCGTCGGTCCTCTGACCTCTTGTTTTCACACCAGTAATTTTATACAGGTATATCACCAAAAGATAAATAAATCCACGTGAAGCGCAAACTTTTGGAAACCGAACTACCAGCGAATCCCCTGACGAAGAAATTGGAATATGAAACAAGAGGTTTTTCGTAATTGAGTCGGGAGAGGCACCAAGAAGTCAGACCCTCTTCTTCTGGCGCCGCGGGTCCGGATAGAATAGGATAACTCTTGCTCCGAGTAAAAGCAGTAGTTCTTAGGAAGGCGCAACGAAATAATTGTTTCGGCAGATTTACAGTCTCGTGCTTCAGTTACCCTGCGCCCTGGGGCTTATCAGTTTAGATTGTCAAACTAAAAGGGGTATAGACTGGGTTGCGCAATTGGTATGAAGCAATGAGCTTATCGGCATTTAGCGATAGGAGTGTCCCGGTCAGAGGTCCCGAGTATAACCGTCCCCTCGGTCGTATTAACTACAATTCAGTTATATTCAGCTCTGATTTAATTTGGAAAGACAGATATCATTTCTATATAGTTTGTTACTTTATATAAAGAGGTCTCTTTGTTTTCTCTGTCAATTTTCACATTGTCTTTTTTTTTTTTCTTGATATTTTATGAATAATAATAGCTCATATTTTGACAAATTATTGAGCTAAAAGAAAATAATGCAAGGACCAACGATCAAACAAGAACCAAAGCAACCAACGAAAATAATAAAATAATAAAATAACTGTTGCAGTCAATCGTAAATATTATTCAGCTGGGCTTCTTCGGTCTCAGCGGTGACACGAAATCTGAAGAGTGTCTGAATTCCCCTACTCATACTGCCCAGCATACTTTTTCCCGGCAATCTTTTTTGCCATTTCCAACCTGTCCCTGACACGCTGGACCCGCACTTCTTTATCCCAGATATACAAGACACTTTCATGCGACGTGCATGCGGCAGCCCATTTAGAAAAGTTTGGCAACTGACGAAGCGGTTCGACAACAGACTTTGGGAAAATGATGTCATCTGCGAAATCGAAGACGCGGAGAATGAACGATGCAATTTGGACCTGTTATATTTCCGCTCATATCCTCAAATTAGCCAGATATATACTTTCTATTTCCATTGATCTTATTATAGTTACTAATTCTCTCTGATATGTTTTCCCCTGGCTCTACAATGTTTGCAAATAACCAGAAACATAACAGGGAAAGGCACTTACCTCTGCAAGAGTAAGTTTCTCGCTCCCACCAAAATACGGCGCCGCATCGCTCAAAAGCGGCTCGATGTCTTTTTCGACGGCTTTGGCAAAATCTGCTGCTTTTTCTTCGCGCTTCTGTTTGTCCGGCGCGCCGAGAATGCATGCCCACATGAGCGGATTGACCCTGGTAAAATAGGTATCGACGAAAAAGTTGATGCGTACGCGGAAAAGGGCCGCAGCAGGGGAGTCATTGCTAGCCGGCACAAGATGAGATGGATGCGCATCAGCGAGAAATTGTGCGATGATGGCAGATTCGGTGATGACCTCGTCGATTTGGCCGTTGGAGTAACGCATTGCGGGCACGATGCCCCTCTACTGGAGATTAGTATATTTATGAACGGTTTAGTAAATTTTGCGAAAATATAGTGAAGCTGTAGCTGATGTAAAATTGGAGAAATGGCCTCCGATAATATTCAAAAGGTGGGCATGAAAAGGTGTATAAGAATATCAGGCGACTCGCGCATGACCAAGGTGTCAAAAAAAGGAGACAAGGCGTAAACAAACCGGATTGATCTTATAAAACCACTCCTCCCTTGGCCGGTCCAGATCGATAATCACCTCGTCGTAGCTCAAGCCGAGCTCACGCAAAGCAATGTGTACTCTATGCGCCCACGGACAGCCATGGTTTGTATAGAGCGTTAGTTTTGGGATTGCTGGAGTAGGCGTCGCAGCTCCTGCAAGCGTGGTCGTAGCTGTAGTGGCCATTGTAATCGTGTTTTTCTTTCCTTTTCGATAGCAAAGGAAAACAAAAAATAAAAAAGTTGAGGTGATAATAATTGCTTTGGCGGTTTGACCAAATCCAAAGCAAATGATATCTTGGTATGAGGATAAAGGAAATGCCAATGTCAATATCTCCGACTTTGTCAAATGATACTGATGGTCAAACAGCTGGGAGATGTGCATCCCAAATATATAGACTTCATTCTATCCTAAGGTGAGTTCCTATCTCTTAACAAAAAAAAAAAATAAAGAAACTAAAAAAAAAAAAAAAAGATTCTTCGTAATTCCGCCGCGCACAGTCGAATCCTGTACAACTTGCACAAAGAACAGACTCTGAGGCTACAAACCGTCATTAGGTGTGTGGAGTTTAAGTTAGTGGGCGTGCCAGGCACAAGGCACGGACTAGGCAACACCTAGGCCTGCCACCACAGAGCTTCTCGGAAATCCGTCGAAGAGAAAGGAGACTTTCTGAGTCGGTAGGCTGGGGGAAATTCAGCGAGAAACAGTATACAGCATAGCAATAACTTCCTGAAGTATAACACGGTATCACTGGCTAGGGTCGTATCGTATTGTTTACAGTGTTTTCTTGCTATCGCTTAACCGCTAGGGGCCGGGCCAAGGCAAACATCAGGCAGCAATCTAGGCTGGTACCTGTTCTGCCTTAACTTCCTGAGCTTCTTAGCATTGGACTCGCGTCTGTTTTCTTCTATCTTACTTTCCGTGTGACATGCGTCGCTCAATTGAAGCTATCAAGAAAACAAGCATCGGGTCACATAAATCATCGGCCAAGAAGACATGACCGTGAAGAAAGAGCATCACAATTGACATGCCCACAGTCTCGACGAGTTGGATGTATATTGAATGGATTAATTATGAAAAAGTGGATATGTAGATGACGAGTCAAAATTCAGACATGAAAAACTCCAAAAAAAGACAGGAAAGCCCAGATATTATAATGCTTCTGCGGAGGGCATAGGATCTGCAACTAAGCAGTTTCCGCCAACCGCTGTCCTGCGCCACGCCATAAGATGCTACACTCCCGAGTGGTGAGCACTGCCGCCAGTCCGACTCCCGTCCAATGCAATTGGGAGCTTGCATTTGTAACCACGCTGCGCCATGCCACGCTACGCCTTTGCCCTTCCCATTAAGTTTGCTTCGCTGTGCTTTGCCAAATCTCTCCGTCGTGTAATGTTGATTGTCCATATTTTTGATATTGTCGGTAAACAGTGCCATATAAAATAACCAGAGGTAATTGCGCGTGTGCCTTTGTTGGTATCATTTGAAAATTAACTGATTGAGTAGTTGCATGAGTGCGCCTAAACGGGTTGATAGTTGGTATCGCATGAAAACTTGTCGATCTTTCGTTGAATCCCTTTTCTTAATTCTAAAGCAAAATTCCAGAGAAAACACTTGCGCTGCGCTCTCAAACAACTGCTTCGGGCCGCTCGCCCTCAGCGACAACGGCAACGCCAAGTCCACGGTCTGGACTCTGCAGCACGAGCTTCTCATGGCGGCGTGCGCGTAGATACTCGCTCACAGATCGAATGAGTACAAACCACCCAACTATCATAAATACATAGGCAAGCCAGTCGCTCGTAGTAATGCCGGAAATTCCGTCCTTGGGTGCGCCACCACCAGGGCCATCCGATGCACCAGACGGATCAAAATCGTGGCTGTTGGGGTCGGAGGGTGGGCTGTACTGGGGATCGGAGGCACCGGAGCCGTCTTTGGCCCCGTTTCCTTTCATATAGAAACCGTATTGAATAAGAGTAATACCGAGTCCAGCTTTACTACCGTTCTTTGCCGCATGCGTGGTGTGTAGGAGGTATGTAAGCAAGAAACCGACTAGCTGGAAGGACATAGATATCATGCCATTCCAGACAAACGAAAAGACGGAGCCAACAGGGAGACCGTCAACGAAGACTTCGTCCGAGACCATTCCAGGAGCAAGAATGGTCGTCTCCCAGTAGGGCGGTGTAGCATCTGCGGCGGCTTGCTCGTAGGTCTATTAAACATTAACGATCAAATCCACTTCCTCTGAACCTCTCAAAGTTTATCGTTGGGTTACCTACCGGTGGATGTTCCTCCAATTTTTCGCCTCGCTCAGGCTTTGCGTTCAAATTCGCAAACACACCATCATTAGTATTCTGTCCGCCACCGTATACCCGTCCACGAGTGCTGCTTGTTTGGGTTGGTGCGGAAAAGACCGGCAGCTCAGTCACTCTCCGCTCAACACCAGGGCGAACATCATCATCATGATCGTGGCTGCTATTAAGCTCTCGCGTCGGGGATTGAGTGCGGGAATTACGCATCAGGCGCTGTCTATCGTCATGATGATCTTCATTTTCGCTATCGGAATCATCCTCCCCAAAAGCTTCCGCAAGAGTCCTGTCTTCATCAGACGCAAGAGGATCACGGTTCGACAGGAATCGCTGAGACGCGGGTGACGAGGCCCGCGAGTGGAAGGAGGGAGGAGGCGAATTCGGTATATGATGTTGTTGATTGTAATTCTCTGCAGTCATATGGGTATCATCTTCATCGTGAGCAGAGATCTGAGATTTTGAAGTTAGTGGATAGGGTCTAAGATGCCTGTAGCAAGGCGCTGATATCGCGAACGCTATTGCATGATCGTCGGCGATCCAGGCAGCGGCTACCCGAGGGGGAGAGGAATGGGGGAGCACATACCCGCTCGTAGCGCTGGGAGCTCATGGCCGCCAGCTAAGTAAAAGAGCGAAAGGAAAAGGGTATAATGTTGGTAGGTCAGAGAGAAGGATAAAATGGATCAAGGTAAAAAGGAACGATAAGTGAAGGAGAGGGAGAAAGCAGAGATAGAGACGAATTAATGAGATGAGGATGGCGGATGATGGGCTTGTCTTGGTCATGAATCAGCCTTGAATGTCGACGGTCGTCTGGACGATTCCGAGCACAGCCCCTCAAATTCCGTAGAGAGTACAGGTACTCTTATTCCTTTCAGCTTTGTGCGACGTATGAGTACCGCTACCAAGACTAATCCCTCGATTCCTATTCGCCGCTAGACTGAATCCAGGACGTCACGAGTCCGACGCCAAAAAGTGAGGTTCAGAAACACAATAAATGGAATTTCTTATACTGTTATTTTTGCCCATTGAATGCCAAATCTCTTTCACTCATCCCTCATCATGTCAAATCCTGTGTGTATCATCAAACCCAAGGAACTCTCATCACATTAGCCCTAACCTTGTCCTAGATTGCCTACAGGCACTACCTTCGCATTTTGCGGCGCTGGCCCAAAGACCTTTTGCGGCCCGAAGTCACTTTCCAGAATGCCATGCGCAAGCGCCTTGAGCAACGATTTGGGCCTTCTGCCGTAGCGGCGAACCCTCAAGACAAAGCTGCCGAGAAATCTATTACGCCGTCACAGCTCAATGAGACCGCTGAGCTTGCCCAAGTGAACGCGCTTTACTCGTTGCTTGAGAATAGATACAGCAAGAAGGTATGCAGTCAACGCTTCGATTCCACAATGGAGCCGCATATGCGGAAGAGATTCCAAACTGTATCGTTTCTGGACCATGAGCTAACATGTGCTAGTATCCGACCTCTCCCTCGCTCATGCGCCCGGCCTCAAACCCTGGTTATTATGAAGATCTTATTGCCGAGCTCGAAGCCGCTCCCAAGCGATCATGGCTTGCCAGCTACCTGAACAAGTGGAAGGGTTTCTTGCGATTCAAGTAGAGATGGGTCCGCCTCCTTCATTGCTCGCATATTCGACTTGTCATACTATCATTCGAAATCGGTTTTTCCCCTCGGAAAGATTCGGCGGAAATTGGCGTTATTAGGCGCAACATATTTTACCTGGAGGGACACCCTTGACGCTATTCCCCTAAATAGAGTCAGTTGGGTCATCTGCGTGCGCTCACCATGAGCCTTTATCGTGGTACAAATCGTGAGATACCCCGCTCATTTGACGGCTGTGATGTATAAAAGGGCAGAAGCTGAACAGCTTCGATATACCTCAATTATACATTGGAGCTACCAAAATATCCGTTTTTAACACCTATTATTATTATTTTATTCAGATATTTTACTTTAGTCTTTTATAGCGTAATAATACATCGAACGTGTCTTTCAGACATAGTGGAGTCAATCGGAATCATTTCTTGTGCAATAAGCAGGAATTGCAAAAGCAATCACCCGGTTTTGATGTTGGAAAGAACATAATATCCTAAGTATTTGATCGGATAATGTAGAGTGGCGAACACTCTTCACAAAGTTTTCAAATCGTGTACTGCAATAGGATGATCTCTGGGAGTGCAATAACGTGTTCTGTCTCGATGAAGTTGACCCGAGCGGCAGTTATTCATGATTGCCATTTCCCCAAAGTTGCTGCTCTACCTACCTTATATTGAGGATGCTGGGGGCCGCAAAAGGTAACGCGCCTTTACGGTATTCTTATAGTCTACTTTAAGCAACAGCTTGATGGTGCATGCCTCTCCTTCGAGACTGCTGACGTTTATAAGGCACAACGTCGATGTTTACGGTTCTCCATGATTCAGTCAGCGGGTTTCAATGGGTTAATATGAGCTCGAGACCCCCATTTCCCTAAAAAGGTCTAAAAAAGAAAAGTTAAGATCTCGCCAATTTTATCCGCCTTATTTGGTCTTGGGGTTTTATGGCTGCTGAACACATGACGAGTCTGGTTCTTTAATAGAGCAATTCGTGGGCCATTTTGCAAGGATACTTCGTGAGAAAATCAGCCACAGTATCGTAGATGAGCGCCCACGGAAGGCGAGCGATACCAATTATTCGAGTCAAAAGAATCTGCTGCAAGACTTCATATCCATAACGCTTACTCCGGTAAGCTTGAGCAAAATATGGGCGTTGTAGATTGTACAGTGCCGGTGGTTGAATGCAAGGTCCATCGCAGACGATGGGATTTTTGTTTGTTTTCTTTCATCGCAAATTGTATTCTTGGAAACTAATGCTTCATTATGAGATGAAGAGCCATGCCACGTGAGCAGAACTCTGAAAAGCTGATTTGATACTGATACCCGGTATCTTGCAATTCGCGTGGAAGTTCCCACGATTGAAAGTGAGCTAACTCACGTGGGTTGTTGCTTATTTGGTGTTCAAATAAGCATCCTCGGCACCTAACAACAAGGAAGGTATTGTCCGGGGTAATTTCCGGCAAACTTCTTTTTCCGAATCCGAGAACGCTCCGGAGCCGATCATACAGTGGTCACGTGATTTATTTCCCGCAAACCCAATCAGGAAATCGTTTGACTGTCAAGTTGCGTCATAGCTGGACTTTTCGCACGGTATGGAGAGACTTCTACAAACTTGGCAGCCAATACAAATGTAGCCTTTTCATATGCATATCGATGATGACAGTTTTCACGGGAGCAGAAATGAATAGGGTTCGTCATACTCATTAGCGATCGGCGATGGGGCCAGCACGAGCTTGTACGGCTTGTTGAACGGAGGCAGGTCCGATTTGCGTTGTGCTCTGATTGGTCTTCAAGGCTTGAATCAATTTTCGTGGTGATCGACCCGTTTGCAAGGAAGATGTCTGATATGAGGGCTGATGGAAACAACGCGAAAGCTGTATGAAGCGTACAGGATGAAAAAGGGAAGAGTTGACCAATTTTTCATTTCTGATTACGGTATTGGGCAATGATCGGCCAATCAAGCGATGCATTCTTCCCAGTCGATCCAAAGCCAGAGTGACGATCGCGAGAAAAGTAGCGGCGTTGGCAGACTGGTGGCGCACCAAAATCCTTATTTTGTCGAGTAATGGGTACTTTACAGCTGTAAATACTTTACGATTCGTATAATTTGTCGCCTCAGTCAAAGTACTACAGCCTGGGCAGTACCTCTAACGGCTAGCCGAGAGCCTAGAATTTCATCGGCCCCACGCGTGAGAGCTGGACCCTGGATTCGGGAGGGTGAGTCTAAGCCCAATCGGGTATTTCGATCGTTATGCCCAGCTCGCTTGTTCTGGCGATCGCGAACTGCTGAGGCCTCATCTGTGGCTCTTCCCTCACTTACTCGCTCTTTACTCGCACAGTACGCTGTTACTCCCGCCCACCCTCACCCTATCCCAAAACGAAAATCTCGATCGAGCCACGGCGTGGCCCACTCCACAGGCCTGTCGTCCCAAATAATAATAACCTGGCCCCTTCCATCCTTTCTCGTTACCATGTCTCTCCAACTTCTCCATTCGACTACAACCACCAACTACTTGGACGTGGGGTCCTGCCGGCCATTCCGAATACGCTATTACCGGCCATTTCAACAACCTCACACGTATCGTTATCAGGATCGCTGACGCCGCTCCAGCTGAGCTGGAGTTGCCCGCGCCCACGGAGCATGGATATTTGGTGACCACACACGTCGAGATTGTATTCCTTCCATCGCTGTCAACGTGGCAGGATATTTGGAAAAATAATACGAAAAACTAGTCGCCGCTTGCTGTCGTGTCTGGAATATTCAAAGACATAACGGTCATGGCAGCTCGAGCTCCTGATAATACCTCTCAGAAAAAGCCGGTGCTCACGTCTACCGTGCTTCCGACCCGACCGCTTCCTCCAAATGAGACACTTCAATCTACACCTGACAGATCGATCCTACCCCAAGCACAAATACCACTCAATGCAGCCGATGAATGGTTTCAATTTCGCAACAACAATGTCTCCGCTTCTCTTGGAAACACATTCCTTGATGGTACGTATCTGGGTTCGGCGCCACGTCCTTTGACTCCATAATCTAATTCTGTCGTAGTTGATCCTCCCTTCCTAATTGGAAGCTTACCTGCTCGCGATAGACCGCATGATATAAGAAGCACCGCTGCCGAGATTCCAGAAATGGAGTACAATGAAATGGGACCCCCCTATCACGGGCCCCCGCAGTCGGACAGCAATGCAGAGGCCTATCGAGATGTCATTGACGACCTTACCGTTGAGAACCAACATCTCAAACGAAGACTGAAGAAATATCGAAGGCAACAGTCGACCAATGTTCATGGTGAGAAGTTATTTGAGCTTCGCATCCACGGACTACCCGCAAACCGCAGAAGGGAGTTAGAAGAGGTGCTTCAAACATTCGCTGCAACTGTTGGTGGATCGTCAAATGTCGACATTACATCAACTACGCGATCATCGGGCCAAACATCTTCAGGTTCTGCGAGCGCTAGCGAGCACTATCATCGTGTCCCAGCTTCTGCGCCCGGAACCGTCGACTCTGCTTACGTTTCTAACTCAAAATCCGGTCTTCTATCTGTACCCTCTTTCAATTCGCAACGGAGCCTGGGCACTGATGGAACGTATACCGCCCCTCGACCTGCTCGCCATCAGTCAATGCCAGAAAAAGTCAAGAAGAGACTAGTCGTGGCTCGCCTCGAACAGCTCTTCACCGGAACATCATTGTTTCCCGGAGCAATTGGCCCTACTCAATGGCAGCCTCCGAAACCCAATGACTCACCCGAATTTGGTCTAGATACGACGATGGGTTTGTCGCAAGGGTCTCGAGAGGCGCCAATTCTCCCCCGCGAGGTTGAACTTTCAGAGGATCCGCTCAAGTCCGGCGCTGTGGATGGCTCGAGTGCAGTTTCCGCTCCACGGAATATACTGCGCTCTCCATTAAAGTCTGCGAGCATCGATTCGGGTTTGTCCATGCCTGAGCAGAGGCCGACAGGTCCCATGGATATTGACCTTCAACGTGCTCAAATTCCGGCTGACAATTTCTACTATATTCGCCACCTCGGTCTTTCTAAATCGGACTCGGACTCCCGGCTTTCATTTTCCAAGCCCCAGGGCTGGATCTATCTAAACGTTCTCACGAACATGGCACAACTACACACACTCAACGTAACTCCTGATTTTGTCAAGGACGCAGTTGCATTTTACAGCGACAAGTTTCAGCTGTCACAGGATGGCCAGAAAGTTCGGTGGATTGGCAGTAGTGATTCGACGGTAGCCAACGCGGAGGGGAGCTCGTCAGAAGAAACCGACAAAAATTTCTCTCACTGGGACAAGCGACGAAAGTTGGATGGCTCGAAAGGTACTAGCAGTGTGCCATCAAGATCATCCATGTCGGATTCCAAATCTCGATCGCGAAGGGCTGAAACGTCGACTGGTAGCGAGAGTCAGTCCAAGTCCAACTACCTGGCGTACACTACTTTATTCTCCCACGACAGAGAATCTAGCCGGGAGTCATCGGACGAAAATATGTCCGACATTGCACATTGGCATCATTCACAAGCGTTGCCCAACGATCATCGACGATACGCTGCAGACGATCGGAAAGATCTGTCTTCATCACACCTTCGAGAGAGTGCAGACGGACCCATTGTCTTCTATAATGGCGCGAAATTCTTCACTGACCTTGGTGGCGATCCCTTCAATAGTCATCACTCATGTCATGACCCACCTGCCTATCATCGAATGACGTCAGATGTGGTCGGGCGGGCCTCACCAACTAAGACTGCCCAATCGGGTAATGGCAGCCGTTCTTCGAACGGAACGGAGCCTACGGCCACTGACTTTGAGGTCTCTGGACTGGGCGGTGTGCAGCCAGAGGACAATTTTCTTGTCAAAGTCTCGAATCGGCAAAAGATTTCTCCGCCTGCATCACAGACACCATCCACACGTGAAGTCTCGCCTTTCTCGGTGCCCAAGTCCCGCGTTAAGAAGATTATCCACAGCATCCCGCAAGCAGCGATTAGTGCGTTTGCCGACAGTAACGTCGTATCTCCTGCGAATACTTCATCCTCCTCTCCATCACCTCCTGTCTCTGGCGCTGGCGCAAGTGGCACTTCCTCGGATACAACTTCTTCCCACGCGGAAAACGTGCACCGCTTGCGACAACGAATCGCCGCGTCCAGGGACCCCTCTGTCGGAGCAGCGACACCTCGAATCACCCTCGAACCAATTTCCCGCAGGCACGTCGCGATGCCACCATCCTCATTACCACCGGCATCTTGCGTCTTCTTCCCGTTCTCCTCTGATGACTCTGGAAATTCGTCCATGGAGGATGAGCAATCAGGGACCGAGGCGCTCTCAATAAATAACGAACAAGATCATCATAACGCGCCCTTGCTCGCTCCGGTACCCCTTTCAATCCATTACTCAGGCGAAAGCGGTTCGGCTCCCGCGTCGCTCTCTCGCGAGAACTCGGGGGAGACATCAGGAACTCTTGGAGAATCCGGAAATGTGGGCCGACCAGAGAACAAGTCTACCTCCTCAGGTCAGTTCGATGCTCGTACCTCGGATTCAATGCGCAGGCTTCCAGGTTACGTTGCCGCTGGACGGCGCACCGTGGGTAAAATGCCCACTCCGCTTCGAGTCCAGCGCTCCTCATCAGATGACCAGGAGGAAGAGGAGAATCATGATGTCGTCGCATCCGATGAAACCGAGAATGGTGGTTAAAATTCTCAACTCTCTGCTTATCTCATTTGTATTTTGGGGGGGGATAGAATTTTACTTGTTTTGAGCTTTTTTGGAGTATTTTAACGCTCCTAGCATATTATTTCGCATCATAGCGTCGCGGAGTCCACTTTCCTCAACACTTTCCCCTCTGCCTCGCGTTTTTAGCTTGTATGGTGTGGAACAAGTCCATTGACTTGATTCTTGGTGGCGTTTTTACCATACCCTTTTGCTTTTTGAATTCACTCAATTTTCCTTGGTTCCGGATTTTCCTCTTTTGATGTCGCACCGGGGTTTCTGTTTTGGGCATCAAGCGCCGAGGACGCGCCGGCGAACTTATTACTACTTTGTATCCAATTCTCTTTGCTGCATATTTGGCGGACACGTGTGGGTTTCCATCATCATCATCATCATCATCAATATCATCATGTTGGATCGTCCTTGGAATATGCATGTCAAATCATTTGGCATTCTTGGGAGCATTTCCTCTCTATCGCTTGTTCGGTTTGTTTTTGTTTCAATGCGGTGGTGTTTCTTTCTTTAGGAGTTAGGAATATGGGGTTATCTATTCTGCATTTTTCTTGTCCCTTTTTTTTCCCTTCATCATACCCATCAAGGCCGGGCAGGACTTGGTCTGCGTTGGGTCTTGGTTATATTCAGGTGTCACTCCCGATTGACCTCGGATCGCACATTCCCAACTTTCTTTTTTTGTGCATTCATCCGCATGGCATATATACACAGATTATTTGCAGTATATACATGCATTACAACAACCCAATTGAGATATTCGCAATTCCAAATATTCAAATCGGACCTTTAAACATTGCTAGTCCTGTGTAATAAGAGTCTGCCTGCCCTGTGCCTAATCCAATTTGACTGGATTGACTGACAGCGGTTAGTCCAGCCCAAGAGTTAAAGCTAGCAGGCCAGGATATTGGGAGCTTTAATGCAAGAGAGATACTCGTAGCAGTAAGTCCTTTGTGGCCGAGTACGAAGTACAGTAGCATTCATAATGGTCATCAAGAGCACTTAAATACTGGAAACAGTTCTGAAGTAGCACAATAGCTGTTACTAGCACATAACAAAACGAAAAAGCGGGTTCAAAAGGCTCCGGATGTCCGGATGTCTGGATGTCTGGATGTCTGGATATCCGAATAACTAATGAAAAAATGCTATTCTTTACTAAGAGTAATTCTCTCTTTTCCCCCCTTTTTTCTTTTCGTCTTTCCTCAATTTTTGTTTTTCCCCATAATTCATCAGTCCAAAGGAGAAACATGTGAAAGAAAGAAAATAAGGAAAAGAAAATAACATGACTAGGAAGAAAGGAAAAGGTTGGTTATTTAGAAGGGGTAAAGTTGAGAAGGGAACAAATGTAAAGGCAGAGTTAAGAAAAAAGACAGTCAATAAGGAGAGAGCACAGGAGAGGAAAAGAGAGGGGGGGGAAGGGAGAAGAAAAGAGAAAGCAAAGCAAAGAGAAACAAATATAAAAAAAAAAAAAGGAGTAGAGCCATCTCGCTAATAAATTCAACCTTCAATGCCTGTTTAAGAAAAGAGAAAAGAGAAAAAAAAAAGAAAAGAAAAAAAGAGCCCACGCAATTCCATGCAATAATAGAAAAAGGGGAGGAAAAGGCACAACAACAGGATAAAGGACAGAGAACACAAATACATAGAATGAGAAAAAAAAAGGGGGGAAAGAGAACATACAAGAATCAGAAATAGAGAGACATAAAGAAAGGAAAGGAGAAAAAGAAAAAGAAAAAAAATGATAAACGGTAAGAGTGTCGAGATGCTATAGCGATTAACATTCAAGAACTCGACTCTGTTTTCCCCGCCATGTGTGCGCTATCCTCCGCTGAGATTCTTGAATAATGGTGGCTTTTTGTCTCGCTGCCGGCTGTTGATAAAGTAGGAAAATAAAATGATAACTTGAAAAGGCAAAGTGAAAAGCTTGTGACCGTAGCTGGCTTCCGCTTCTTCCGCTTCTGCATGCACACCCGCTTCGCTTGCTTAAACATTCTCGCAATTGAGAAAAAGACGCAAGAAAAACATTGAGAAAGGAGAGATTGAAAGTCATAAGTCATTCCAGATGAATGCAGCTCAACTCAAATCAAAATCAAAATCAACCTGCTTATTTACCAAAGGTTAGGGTCATCAGCTCCTTCAACGTTATTGAGACTATCCCAAGCAGGTTTCTTCGGGAACGGCTTCTTATTGAAAGCACCAGCGCCAGGTTTGTGCAGGAATTGCTCGTCGTCAAAGAAAGGGGGGTATTTGAAGGCAGTGGGGTAAGGGGAAGCATAAGACGCAGCAAGAGCTGATCCGTCCCGCGGGAGATTCGCACCTGTCGAGGAATTATTGATTGCTTTCCAACCTGATGATCCGCCTGGTGATTCCGAAATCATGAGGTCATCTTGTTCTTCTTCATCTGGGCCGGCTCTTGCGCCACCCCAATTTGGCACCTCCATCATTTCGGGCTGCGTCGGAGTCGTCGTAACGGCGCTGCTACTTCCGCCGGTATGCTCATAGTCATGTCTGACGTCCTCCATGTGCATAGTTCCTCCCTCGTCACTGTTGGCCCGCTCCGACTGTTGCGGCGGGACATCTCTACAAACGGCATCAACTAGGTCATCTTTGTCTTCGTCGCGGACATATACAAGGAAGTACGGTGTGGCAGGGTTCTGTGACTCCTGATAGAAGATTTCCTTGGGGTCCTTGACCTCTGTAACGTAGCCGTCATTGTATTTGCGCCAAAGTTGTTGCTTGAAGTCGTAAATGTAGATCCAATAGTGGCCAAAGGAAACGGAGCCACGGTGGATGAAAACAGAATGGAGGCGGTAGCGGAGTTTGCGCAGGTCGGTGTACTGGCTGCTGATCTGGGTTCGGAGATCCTTGGATCTCTGTTCCATAGCTACAATGGCTGGTGAGAACAAGCATCACTTAATATAGGCAGAAGATATTACTCACAGGTAAGCTCTTGTTGGATGGCAGCCGCCCGGTCCTCAAGAGCACGGGGTAAGTCGGAATGAACCGGGACAGTCTCCTCTTCGCTGCCCGATTGGAGGTTGGTCAAGTATTCGTTGGTAAGCTGAAGCGCTTCCGTAAGTTCGATGCCCAGCTGAAAGTGCGGTTAGCTTTAATGCAGAACTTTCCACACCCCTATCACCAACGTACATCGGTTTTAGTAAGCACAGCCTTTCGAGCCTCTAATTTGCTAAGCTCTGCTTTCCATCTCCATACCTCCTCCCGTCTCTGAAACAACTTGACATTGTCCGAATCCATGTATCGATCGAGGAAGATAGTCTCCTCAAGCTGGAGGTGAGAATTTGACTTATACGCCGTCTTCTTGACCGGATCAAATTGGACACGTTGGACCTGGATCTGCAAAATTGGCGGCAGGACGCTGATCGTCGCATACTGTGGCGTAATACTATCCTCCACATCGACCTGCTGAACATCAAAAGCACCATCAAGAGCCGAATAGATATCACGAGGCCCAGAAGCCACATCAACTTTGATATCTGAAAAAAATTCCTCCTTCACATCAAACTTCCTACCCTTCTTTGTGTATGTCTTTGCCTTCCCATAAAATAGCCTATTCACCGTTAACGCACATCCCACACTTGAACAATTGCAAATATACTTACCTCTTGATGGTATCAATTTGCTCCCCATCAGTATCAATGCTCTCCGGTTTAATTGCACATTGCAATTGGAACATGACATTTGCAATGACTTCTGTGACATCCTGTTGAGCGCCAATTTCCACCTCATCTTTAATCGCTTGCCTTTCCTCTTGTGATTTTTCCTGCGGTTTTGGTCGGGGTGGTATCGGCGGTGGCCGGAGGGGAGGGGCTTGGTTTTCGGGCGGCGGTGTTAGAGGAGCTCCGTTAGCCATTGCTGGGTCGTTCTCGTTGGGCCATGGCACCGAACGGCCTTGCTCGTTGACCTTTGAAGGTGACGAGTCCCTGAGGGGTCTTTGGTGTGAATGAGCGTCATAAGACGAAGGTAGTTCTTTGGTGGGAGATAGGTTCTCCTTGTCTTCCACAGCTCTCTTCTGTCGCTCCATTTCATCAGAATCGATCATGGCAAAATCTTCATCAGTATTATCAGCTGCTTTTGGTGTGCCGACTACGGTACTCTCGCTGCCACCATCACCGTTTGGTTCTGGTAAAGAATTCATAGCGGATAGGCTCTCGTCTACCTCCATAGCTTCGGCATGCTGATGTGGCGGTCCAAGAGGCCCAAACACTGGTGCTCTATCAAGCTCACCGAGAGAAGGACGCGTATCCCTGCTGGCCATGGACATTCTGCGAAATGCTTCTTCATGGGAGGAGCTGATAAGAGTGAGTCGGGCCAGTTCATGCTCTGGTAGGATAGCTGCAGCCCGTGCAGTAATCATATTTTGGAAGAGCTTTCGAAGTTCGTGCGCGACTAGATGGAAAGATGTTAGCATTGCTTGAAGAACATAATGATTTCACAAGCACTGACACTTTTGCGCCCGTACAACCTCTCTGAGGCTCACTCTTCTTGAACCCACGCGCTTCTTGCTGATCATTTCAGGACTCTGGTCGGTCTCATACTGCTCAATGTTGAGAACGAGGTCCCGCAAGGGACGAACGGTAAAATAGAACTGCAAAAGACTATTTAGATAGCATGTATTGCCAATGTTCTCCAGTCCCACCGGCCAATTATTTGAGGCGTCATCAGCAGGGATGGGAGAAATGCCGAGAAACTCATCAAGCCGGCGGCTTCCCTTGGACTTTGCAATCGCAATTAATGCTTTCCTCAGCTCCGGAATTTGAGATTTTGCTTCATCAGCGTGAATTTGGTACGCAGTCATAATCATGTCATCATCGATGGTACGATCGGAAATTCCAAGCCTGTTGTACGCTTGGCCAACATCCATTTCAACCTCTCCGAGCTCTCCAGTCATCAGCCAGCTTCTCAGAGCTTGACTATTTCGCTTCTCTGCAATGAGTGATATGGCTTGACGGCCGGTCTCTACGCCCGAGTCGCTCTCGTTGGCCTAAGAGTTTGTTAATATCGGAGTTTCTTGCGCGGTCGATGATTATATAATGAAGGCCAGATTATTCAAACAACTCCAGACGTCACACTTGCCTTCAATGTAAACATGGTAACGATGAAGTCATCCGGTGTGCTCTCTTCTGCTCCCAACCAAGCGAGGGCTTGCTGGTAAGTCGTGACGGCTAGAAACATGGTTTGTTAGCGACCAGCAAAGAGCTGTTTGACGTCTGAGCGACAAGGTAACAAACTTACTTTCAGAAGCCACTTGTTGAATCCTACGGCTGTTTCTATCTTGTGCAATGACCTTCAGCAACCTTCTCGCTTCTTCATCTTGTCGTGGAGCATCCTGGATCCGGGCCTGGAAGGTTCCGATGATGAGATCGTCATCCAACTCCATCGCACTGGGGTCCAAATTGAAGAAGGAATAAGCTTGACGGATTTCTTTACGGCTGATTTCGCCCTGTGACTCCATTACGGCAACTTTGGTCTGCAGTGCCTCACTGCGTCTCGCTTGTGAAAGTCCTTCAAGGCACTCTAGGTAATAGGGAGCGTTTACACGATCACACCAAATTTGGCGGTCGAAAGCATAGATAAGTAGTCCGTCAGAGAAATCAGATACAGTGCCGAGACTGGCATAAAACCTTTATACGGTCAGAAAACGGGGAGGATTTGTAGAGTGAATGAAAGCACTTACGGATGCTCAGCAACCGTCAGGTCAACGGTCCGCCGAGCAGACGGGGTCTTGTCATCTACAGGGTTGTGAGCTTTGTGATTCTATTTTCAAATTCGTCTGCAATCCAGTGCCCTTACAGTCCAACGATCCCAACAAGCCTTCGATATCTCTTAGAGACGGCGGAGGAAGGAATGGTACGTGACGGCCCCTCTTCTCCTCCGCCGGACGAAGGCTAATAAGTACCAAGAGCTCCTTCTCGACATCATCCAACAAAAGCCTAAGCGGATCTTTGTAGGGAGTTTCTGATGATCGATCGGGCCGAGGCAATATCCACCCAGTATAGTCCTCCTATTTACAATTTATTAGCGACCAAAGTAGCAAGGCAAAGGAAGATATCAGGAGCCTGAGGGAATACGCACCGCTCGCGAAAATCCGAGATACTCGAGTAAGTCTTGACATGACTCTCCAATAGAGGTCATGAACCGTTTGTTAAGTGATGGGATCTTAGTGTTCTCCGGGCGGGTCGTCGAATCATTGATATATTGTCTGAGATTGGTCATAACTTCTATCGGAGTAGGCACAGTCTGACCGTGCATACGCTCTGGATCGCTGTTTATCGCCGATTCTGCTCTCTCCCGGATAACATTTGGATCGGTCAACATCCGAACAAAGTCTGGGGATAGCCTAGGCCTCTTCATGCAAATGCGCACTCCAGCTGCGCAAGTCGGAATTGAGCACTCGAAAGCATGCTCGACAAAATCAACGTACTCATCACCATGCCCCAATGGTTCCTGCTTTGCCGCCGTGGACAACTCTGGCTTGTATTGCAGATGGTGAAGCGGAGCGCTTCTTGTTGGGCAGGGGGAGCCAGCGCCATGACCGCGGAGGTCGATAACGAGATCAACATGGCATCGGCAGTATTGACAGAAAGCACCAAGCTTGTAGAAATTGAACGGTTCGACAGAGGCGCCGACCGGCGGCAGAACGCTCTGTTCGTATTTGGTTACAAAACTGTGGCGGCAACTTTCTTTGGGGATTTCGTCGGGGAGAGGCTGTCCTTCCTGAAACTGCGGCGGTGAGTCTATAAGTACATTACGTCCGGAACGAAGCGGTCTGCGCGGATCGAAGTTGAGGAGGTCTTGGATCAACCGCGGCGGAGTCTTTCCTGTTGCAGAAATAGGCGTCAGTTTCTATTCACCACGGGCAGGCAAGGACGACACAGGAACTCCGTACCTGGCCCCGCCGACATTTCCTAAAGCTTATACTCTTCCAAGGCACCCCGTGTATATATGAAAAGGATACTTCTTCATGCGCTTGGGCGAGAGGCTTGCTATAACGGCAAAATGTCGAACGCTAGGCAGCCTGCTATACACGATTTTGGATAGGGTCTCGGGGAGCAAAAAGGCGCGCTACTATGTGAGAATAGCAGTTTTGACGGTTATATATTCCGCTTGCCTACTGACAGTGTACAGATAGCTTGGGTGGAGGAAGAGTAGTTGGTTACTGGGGAGCTCCTTCTACGAAAACGACGACGAGGACGATAATGATGATGCTGCTGCTGCTGCGGCGATGACCGCAGAGTGGATCACCATCAACCAGCCACTAGATGCTCGCTCTCGTTGCATATAGTAGCATACTGACAACTTGTCTACTTTGTGCTCAAGGACCTTACCAATCGGATGAAAATTATATGATTTGCATTTAATTTAATAAGACTGAATTCCAGCTATACTCTCTCATGGGTTTCTGCATGAATGCATCTTGGTTCATTTTAGACCTATCATAAGCAAGGTGACGTGCCCCGAATTCTCAGCAGGCTACCTGATCGGCAGCTAGAAGTACATTAGATAACGCTATGCAAACGGTATAGACTAAGTATCGCCACTACTGTCAGGAGTACCCGAATGTCTTGGTGTGCATAATCGCGATCAACGCGTGTGTCTATACCAATATATTCCTAATGAGGAAAGAACTACCCCAGAGGGAGCTACTCCTCCTCCCGCTTCCCCAGACAGCCCAACCGGTCCGACAACATTCATCTAGCCATCACTTTTAATTGCTTAGCTGACAGCAAAAGAATTGCGCGAAAGGGTTGACTTGCTTGTTCTTTGAGTTGTTCTCTTTGTAACACTGATCTAATCATGGCATCGGAGGATACAGTCTATCATCCTAAAGATGCCATTTCGGCCGCTATCAAGACCACCATGATTACTGGCACAGCTGGCGCCGCCGTCTCGGCCATTCAGAATTCTCTGTCAAAGAGCAGTGTGAGCGCATGGGGCTTTCTTACCCATAGTGGAGGCACCATTGCGGTATTTGGTAGGGTTTGCATTCAGATGAAATCGCATTATAAACAGAATTAACTAATACATTGGACTACGAACAGCGGCAATGGGCGGAAGCTACGAATTCGCCAGAACAGCATCGGCCAATCTACGTCGAAAGGAAGACAGCTTGAATAACGCAATTGGTGGTTTCTTCGGGGGAGCTGCTTTGGGTCTTCGCTGTCGGTGATCCGCAAATAATGGAGGCATATGTCAGTCCTCGGGCTTACCGCTGACCAAAAACAGTCCGGACATTTCCTGCCGTCTTGGGATACGGCGCCGGCCTAGCAGTTCTCATGGGAGTGTTTGATTACACAGGAGGGAAACTGTCAGGGTATATGAAAGACCCTGCACAGGATGAATTTGAGCGGAAAGAGGAGCTTCGGAGGAACCGACGACGGCCGTTGGAGGAGACCATAGCAGAACTCGGCGAGGGGCGAGGTATGTTTTTCCATTGCCACAAAAGGTACACCAGCAAAGTTAACAAGAGAAAGGGATACACGCACCTGGCTACGCCGAGCGAAGAAGGGAGAGATTGAGGGAGAAGTACGGCATTGAAGTGCCTTGAAACCAAAATTATTCGCACATGAGATGACTGATCAGATCGTGATATTTATGTTTTCCGTTGAAAGGTATCGGCAATAATGAGTAGGAACTTGCATGGAAAGGATCTAGCGTGCTCAATGAATAGACGGCAATTCAATGCAAATTATGACTATCGGAGTATCCTTGGCCATGACCGAATCGACTGAAACTGTCCGATACGCAAGTGGTCGTGATGACAGATGCTGAGCATGCTCACAAATGCCGAGCTATAAAACGGGACGACCACGAGTCATAAGACCGCCCTGTGATTCGAAGTTAGGGCACGTTTCTCGCTATACCTTGTTCAGTCGATGAATCCGTGGAACCCCGCATTCGTGGTTGAAGCTTACTATCCACAAAATCCCTGATTCGCGGTCCCGCGTCCGGCATTGTTATTAAGATGAGGCCCCCAAGCGACGCAGCCGGGAGCCTTGTCTAACAATTTTTGGCTTCATGAATCGATCGGGCTGGGCTAGTGAGTGGTGCTAGAGCCAAATCTTGAACTCATCCGCTTCGCCGTTGTCAACCAGACAATTTTTTGACTGCCGAACGGTTCTGCGCAGAGGTTCCTGATCATTTTGTGGCGCATCTTGTAGACGTCAAGGGCGGACAGGATTCCATGGTGCCCGGGGTCAGCTATCCTCGGGCGCCACGACACCACTTTGGGTCCTGCCGTTGCATCCCACGATCCTTGACCAATTTGATTGCTATCGTCACGAAATCCAGAAGCATCGATTTTCCCTTTAGTCACCTAGCCGAAAGGGCATATAATGGGAACTTTGTCGTCATGCGCCCTCGCTCTTTTTTATCCTGCTGCTCTTTTCCTTGCCCGCCATCATCGGCATCGTGATCATCACCATTTTCATCGCTGTTTCTCCAGATTTTGGTCAATCCTCGTGTATTGTATTTTTTTCGCATCGTGTACGAAGTAATCTCTATAGCCGTTTGCTCATCTCTCGCCGTCGGAGAAAAAACTATACCAACTCCCTTAATATACGGAGTATACTAACCTCCATCCGCCTCGCGTCGTGAAAAATTGAGCCCCACCATACGTCACCACAACGTGGATCAGGGTCCAAAGACCGACCTCTCCGTCCCACTATATACCTACTCTATCCAACTGGTTCATCAGTCACTTCGTTGCAAATCTATCTACATAGGCCAATCACATTCAATTTTTTTTTCTTTTCAATACTTTCCCAATTGACTCGATTTCCTCCCAACTGTGTGTTTACAATGCCCGAGACAACTGCCCCGCAGTCCAACGAGGTGGGACTCAAGGAACGCTTCTTCAGCTACTTCCAACATGAAGTGACAGGTATATCATCACCGTTTGTTCCTGTCATACCTTGTGCTACCCTCTTTTCTTTCCCTTCAATGCACGGCAATGTTTGAAATTTGAAAAGTCGGCCATGCTAAGAGTGAACGTATTTTGCGTGGCACGCAGATCTTCAGCGACAAATGGACCAAATCGCTAATACGTCCACCATTGGCGGCGAGCGAATCGATGCCGTCGATCATTGCTTAGCTGGCATTGCACGGTTATCTGGCGAAGTCAAAGACGCGTCCAACTACCTTCCACCATATGATCAGCGGGCATATTCAGAGGTGAGAGAGATTAGCATCATTTCCATGCCTTGCACCATATCAATCGATCGCTGACACAAATCTGTTCTTTCGTACCGCGATAGGCAATCAAAGCGCTATCAGAGAAACTGCAAGAGACAAGATCGAGAGTCGCGCCGAAAGCGAAATTCTCCTTCAAGACAAGCAAGAAGAATGGCTCTGCCATTTCGCTTCGGGATGCCGCTGCCCTAGCTGGCCCCCAGGGCCTCCCGGGCTATCGCAGCCTGTCATCGACCGAGTCATCGGCTATGTCGACGCCGGGGGAGAGCACAACGACATCGACAACGCCCAATGCGGAAAAGGAAAATGGCGACGACATTGACAAGGCGATTGCAGCGGACAAGGACGTGCCGTTTATGGGCGAAGGCGACGACGTGCCGGCGGTTGATGGCGACGTGCGCGCCGCCGCCGCAGCGGCCTCAATTCGCAAGCCATCATTCTCGCAGTCCAAGAGTGTCAATATCAGCGCGCACGCGTCCACGCACATTATTGTCCCCTCGACGGCCTCCCATGCCACATCCTCGGGCACACTGTCATCTCTGCGCCGGTGCATTGTCGACATGTCGATACCGACTGCCACTGGCACGCCCTTTGCCAGTCTGGCAATCAAGAACGTTCGCGACTCGCTGCTGGTATGCGGTCACGTCAACGGTCCGGCTCACATCACCGGCGTACAGAATAGCGTCATGGCCGTCGCATGTCGGCAATTTAGAATGCATCAGTGTAAAGGTGTAGATGTTTATCTGTACTGCGGCAGTCGTCCGATCATTGAAGACTGCGAGGATATTCGATTCGCCCCCATGCCTGAATCATATGTACGTTACTATCCAATGTTTATCCCAAGTCTAAGTGTAATTTGTATCCATTACTAACCTTCGTCAAGATCACCGACTCGCTCAAATCGATTCCCAACCAATGGGACCAAGTCGACGACTTCAAATGGATCAAATCCGAACCGAGTCCGCACTGGAGCGTTATCCCTTCGGAGAAGCGCATTCCCGAGAATATATGGACCGAAGCCGTTCCCGGCGGCCCAGGACACAAACTGGACGATATTCTCAAGGCTACTATCGGACAGGGAGTCATGATACGTCAATAATGACACGTAATTTTGCCCTTTCCTACTTTCTTACTTTCCTAATTTCTTTAGTATATCTTTCCGTTGCCGCCTTTTTCTTTCTTTTCTTCTCTCATTTTTCTTTTCACTTTTTATTTTCTCACTTTTTCTTTCCTTTCGTGAGATAACTTCTTCGTGTAATTACGTATTGCGCAACGCTTGAGAAATCGGGGATATACGAACACGTTATGATTCTTGTATAGCTTTTCTTTTCTTCTCCTTTCCTTTTCTTTATTCTTTATCCTTTATCATTTATCCTTCTTCCTTTTCCCTTTTTAGCCCCTTTGGCCTTGTCCCTGTAAGTTTCTCTTTCTTTTCTATCCATTTCTCTATCCGTTGCTTTGTCCATCTCTCTCCCGTTCAAACACGACTTTCGATGCGTTGTATATTGTAAAAGCCCTTTTTATTGTTCCTTTTTTTTCCCCCTTTAATTTGTGTCATATTTTGTTCAATCATTTTTTGTAATTTGTCAGGGACAACGTATAAATACACAAAAGGCTCAACCTTCCCAAAATACAACAGTATACACAATCTATCAATCTATGAGTCCACGTAATATCAACTTGATAAATTCCAGGTTTACTTTGTCCCCCCTCCCCTGTTTTTTTGGTCATGTGTGCTTTGTACTTCTCTACCAACCTTTACTCGTAAGCTAGGTAATAGCCTACTCTCTCTACTCTCTCTACTCTCTCTACTCTCTCTACTCTCTCTACTCTCT